AGGCAGGGGCACAGAGGTCTAGCCAGGGGCACAGAGGCCCAGCTGGGGGGCACAGAGATCCAACTGGGGGGAAACAGATGTCCAGCTGGATACAGAGGTCCAGCCGGGCACAGAGGTCCAACCAGGCACAGAGGCTCAGCCCGGGGCACAGAGGCCCAACCTTGGGCACAGAGGTCCAGCCGGGGGGCACAGAGGTCCAACTGGGGGGAAACGGAGGTCCAGCCGGAGCTTGGAGGTCCAGCCAGTCACAGAGGTCCAGCTGGGCACTGCATGGGGTGCATCACTCCAGCATGATACAAGAATTTCCCCTGAAGTCAGCTTAGGGGATGAAAATGAAGACAAGGAGCTTGAGATAAGAAACCATGAAAACAAAACCCAAAAGACTTGGCAGATGACATTTAGGACAACATGAAATAAATTTTTTGAGAATTAATAAATAATGTATAACCTGAGATAGGAATTTTCTTTTCTGGTTTAAAATGTAATTTAGAAACAACCCCTCATGGGGCCTCCCTGGGGGTGCAGGGGTTAAGTCTCAGCACTGTGAAGCTGTCCGCAGAGGTCCATGCCCGGCCTGGGAGCTGCCCACAGGGCGCGCAGACCTCTCCTGTCTCCCCGCTGCTCCCCTCAGCAGTGTACCTCAGTCAGTCTGCCTGTTCTGCTCCCCACTCTGTCTCTGGTGGGTCCTCTCACCCCCCCGCACGCCTCTGGCCTGTGCCCCAGCTCTTGCATGCATGAATGGATACAAATAAATCTTTAAAAAATAATAAAATAAAAACAACCCCTCAATTTTCTATTGAAAGAATGCGTGTTGTCCTAAACATTTAGTAAATTACCCTAAATCTCCGACAGCTCGTGTGGTTTGCGCCCCGCGCCCCCTTTTCTCGTTCCTAATTCTCGCGCCGTAGGGGCCCACGCAGGCGCACGCGGCAGCCGAGCACGCCTACCTCTCTCTAAGAAATAGTAGTCAGGACGCTTGCTTCGGAGCTTTCACAAATACACGTTTTATTTGTCTTTGTGCTGGGTTTGCTTGGGGGGGAACCTGAGATCAGAGGACGCCCTGGGGTGCCGGGCGGGCTGGGGCGCCGCGCTGGGCCCGCGTCTAGCCGGGGTCTGTGGCCTCTGCTTCTCTGAAACGCGTGCGTCCTTTCACCTGCGCTTCATTTTCCTCGTTCTTGTTTATTTTCCTCTCTCGGGGGAATCAGCCCTTCCTGGGGCACGCCCCGCGATGCGCTGGGGGCTCCCCGAGACGCCCACCCCTCCTGCGTCCTGTCTGTTCTCAGCTGCGTTTCGTTCTCCGCGGAACCTCAGGGTCTCTCGCCAGAGGGCGCCGGCCCCGTGGCCTGGGCTGTGCGTGGGGACGTGTGTCCGGGGACGTGTGTCGGCGCCGATGGAGCGTTGCAGCCGCCAGCGCGCCGTCCGGAAGGAAGGGGCTGCGCTTGCCTTGGTTTTCGCCGAAGCCAGGTGCTCCGGGGTCCTGGACGCTGCAGAGTAGGCGCGCGTCCCCGCGGCGCTGGGCCCTTGGAGAGAAGGTCCTCGCGGGTGTCTGTCCGAGTGATTCCCAGGAGAGAGCGCCTGAGCACGTGTGTCTCCCTCAGAAAGGGTCTCTGCTGCCGCTGGTCTTCCGTCCCTGTCGGTTTTCTGTTTCCCGAGAGTGACCTCAGGTGGGCAGAGAGGAGAGAAAGGAGCAGAGCCTGGCGGGATGTGCGGGGAGGGGGAGATGATGCAAAGGGGAGGCGGGAAGAGGCAAGCGAGCGGAGGGACCTGGCGGGGCGCGACGGAGTGGGGGGTCCCCGCAGCTGCTGGCCTGCGCCTGGCCCCGTGACGGCCCCGCAGACACCGCGCGGCTCAGGTGAAACCTCCGGAGAGGGAACGCGCAGAAGACTCTCCCTGGGGAGCCGCCTCGCGACCTGCAGGCACCTGGGAGCTGGGAGCTGCGGCAACTATAAAGCACAGGCAGAGGACGGCCCGTGGGCTCAGCGGCCTCGGTACTGGCCGGTGCGGTCCTCAGCGCCAAGCCCGCAGGAGCCCAGCCCCGCCCTGCCCTGCCTCGGGGACCGGCCGGGGCCGCGGGAGGCCGCAGGTGATCAGGGGCGGCGGGGGCAGGGCCAGGTCTGTGAGACGAGGGGTCTCACCTGGCCCAGGTCACAGGTTCTCAGGCCACGAGAGTGACCGGCTCAGGGCGGGGGCTCCAGGGGTGGGGGCGGGGGGCGACCCGGGGGGCCAGGGCTTCTCTGCCGCGCTCACCGGGACTCGACGTGGTGCCCCGAGGAAGGCGAGCGCTCCAGGCGCTGCGCCGAGGTCCTGCTTGCACCCCCGGAGGGCGGGGTGCTCTGGGCTAGGGCCGGCCACCAGGCCGCTGCCGCGTCCCCCCCCCGCCCGACTCCTCCGCCAGCTCCTCTCTGCTCCTTGTCCTGGTTAAAATGTCCTAATTAAAGAACCTCACGGTTGGAAACGTGACATTTATAGCGGGGAGATCGGGCTGATTGTCTGCACTGTTCTCGGTTCCCGCGCGTGGGAAGTGACCAGCTGGGACCGTGCGGCCCCGACGAGGGGCTCCCGGGAGGCTCTGAACGGAATGTGCTCCCCTTTGTTAATTTTTTGCCCGATGGGCTGGAAGTCGGCACCTGAATGGTGAGGTTCTCCCGACTTGACGTGCCCTGCTGGCGTCACATGGCCGTAAGCTCAGCGCCCGCCTCGTGTCTGGTACGTAGTTAAATCACGTGGATGGTTCCTGCTTCTGAAAGACCTTCTGAAAGGCCGTCCACGCTGGACCCCCTGCGTGACGCAGCTCGATTCATGCTTCTTAGAGGACACTCCTCCCATCTCTGACGTATTTTCTATTCTCACCGTTGTTTCCCTCTAAAAACCACCCACGAAATGTCGCCGCGGCTCCACTCGTCTGACGTCAGCTGTGCACGAGCCCCGGGCTATTCCACTTCCCTGCGAACCCAGGGCGAGGTTACTCACCCCCAAACTCACCAGATAGGAGGCGGGTGCCGAGCTTACAGTCATGTGACCTCAGAAGGGCATGTCATGTCAGGCGAACCCCACGATTCAGGTGCCGACTTCCAGCCCAGCAGGCAACAGCTGAGGGGTGGGGGTTGGTGGGGAGCGGACAGCAGAGGCGTCTTGGGGTGCAGTGCTGGGCATGAAGGGCTCAGAGCCGTCCAGGGGTCAGCCGAGGCCCTGGAGGCTGGAGGTCGGCAGGTTGGCCGGCCGGACTCCTCGTCTGAGCACGGAGGCTGCTTCACCCACCTGCAGAGACTCGCAGCTCTGAGTCGCTCTGCTGTGAGCACAGGGGGGTCTGCAGGTGATTTGACTGATTTTTAAGAGCCAGGACTCAAGATTTACCAGCTGGTGCCCAGGGGAGTGAAGGGGAGGAGTGTGTCAGGGTGATCAGTGGATGTTCTTGGAAAACTGGGCTGAGGACCTCGCAGTTACAAGAGGACCCCATGGGCCCCACGCTGGCCCTGCGCCCCGAGACCAGGGCCCAGAGGAGCATCCACTCACCCTCACAATATCAGCGACTGAAGAACAGATGCTGAGCCCGGAGGCGCATCCAGAGCTCCCGGCAGACTCGGCCAGCGGTGGGCCCAGAGCTGAGGGAGGTGGGAGGGGCTCGCGGACGTGGGCTTGTGAAGGGGACGCTGCGCTGGTGAAATCGGAGCAACGGCCGCTTCTGAAGGGCATGCATGCTGCTTGGAAATGTGCAAAAACGAATAGTTACTCATTTAAAAATCAAATCTGAACCATAAAAACAGAAACGTGGGCAAGATTTAGCCATATAGGGACTGGATTTCAGGTCTAGGAGAGCATCTCAAATGTGCACCGTGCCGTGTCAGGCGACTGCATCAGCAGCCCATTGGGCTTAAAAAGCAGATTCATGATTTTTCAATATTGATAACTCTTGTTTTTAAAGATTTATTTATTTATGCATACAAGAACTGGGGTGTAGGCCAGCGGTGCGGGGTGGGGGTGGAGGGTTCACCAGAGACAGAGTGGGGAGCAGAACAGGCAGGCTGACTGAGGTACACTGCTGACGGGAGCAGCGGGGGGACAGGAGGGGTCTGCTGTGCCGTGTGGGTGGCTCCCTGGCCGGGGATCCAACCCGTGCTGCAGAGGCTGGTGACAGCTTGATAGCTCTGTCTTTAACCCCTGCGCCACCAGGGAGGCCCAGTGTTGATAGCTCTTGATTCCCCCCGAGAGAAGATGCTCATGCAGGAGGCACAGGTGTGAGAGGAGGAGCAGAGCGGACAGACACCTGCGAGCGGCCAGGCCCATGAGGGCGGGGAGGAGACCAACTCAGCCACGGCCTCCGCTCTTGGGTACTTGCGTTTGCTCCTCATTTAGGCAGATGCTCGACTTAAGGTAATAAAATCACAAGAGTGTTTATGAATTTTAAAATAGCCCATTTTCCATGCCATTATAACACCCATGGAAAAGGAATAACTCAGGCTGCCACACTGTTCCAGTCAGCGTAGCCCTGCTGTGTGTTTCCTTCTGTGTTTCCATGACGTTCCTGTCTGACACACTTTTGAACACCACCAAATGCAAACTATAAGCTATTCCTACTATTCTGAACAAGTTTGTTATTGCGTGAAAGGCAAATAATTGCTAGAGCAGCGGTAAAGCCTCATTGCGGAGCAGTGTAGACGAACAACAGCCCTGCCACCCAGGCGAGAAGGAGCGGGCTGGGCTGAGACGGCCCGGGGCCCCGACCAAGCAGGCACGAGGGCGTAGAAGCTGCACGAGGGACGAGGGGGCAAGTCGGGGTGTGCCTGCGTCAAACCCACACACTGGGCTTCGTAAATGTGCACCCAGCTGTTTCTCAATAAAACTGGAAAAACCGGAAACACCTTCCGTCTTGACTCGCGCGCTCTGCTGAGCTAGGCCACCCGCCCCGGGCGTCTGAACGGTTGTCTGCGCTGGGGCCTCACCGCCTGTGAGCGGCGTTCTAAGTCCTTTCTCTGTGTCCGTGTCCTGTCTGTCGTTCACAGATGGCAGCAGACCGGGGAAGGAACGCCTCTACCATCGCCTACGTGGTCCTGCTGGGTTTTGGGGACCTCGGGGACGCAGGGAAGGCGCTTTTCTCTCTGTTCCTTGGCCTGTACTTGGTCACCGTGCTGGGCAACCTGCTGCTGATCCTGGCCGTGCACTCCAGCCCACGCCTGCACACCCCCATGTACCTCCTCCTGTGCCACCTGTCCTGCGTGGACGTGGGCTACACCAGCAGCATCGCGCCCCAGCTGCTGCAGGAGGTGCTGGCCGGCAGCCTGACCGTCCCCTTCGCCGCCTGCGTGGCGCAGCTGTACGTGGTGGGCGCCCTGCTCACCACCGAGTGCTTCCTGCTGGCCGCCATGTCCTACGACCGCTACCTGGCCATCTGCCGGCCACTGCGCTACGCGGTGCTCATGGACAGCACGGCCTGCGTGCGCCTGGCCACGGGGTCCTGGCTGGGGGGGCTTCGCCTTCCTGGGCGCCATGCTCCTGCTGCTCGCCACCCTCACCTTCTGCGGCCCCCACCTCATCAACCACTTCTTCTGCGACTTCTTCCCGGTGGTGAAGCTGTCCTGCACGGACACAGCGGCCGTGGAGAGGGTGGCCCTGGCCTCCTCCTTCCTGTCCCTGTCGCCCTTCCTCTGGACCCTGCTGTCCTACAGCTGCATTCTGACCTCCATCCTGAGGCTCTCGTCCTCCGCCGGCCGGCGAAAGGCCTTCTCCACCTGCTCCTCGCACCTGATCGTGGTGAGCGTGTTCTACGGCACCCTCATCGCGCGCTTGGCAGGAGTCACAAGTCTCTAGACACCGGGAGCCCCCTTCGGGGCGTTCTGTGAGCAAAGGGCATGCACGCGCCAGGACCAGGCGCCCGTCACCCCAAGCCTGACCTGTCCCAGCGACTGTTCAGAGTGTCCTTTGAGTGGGAGGACACGGGACGTGCACTGGCAGCCCCAGGCACCCCACGCCGGCCCACCAGGACTTTACTGTCATGACCAGGTCCACGGACGGTCAGAGCACAAGCCACTCATCGCGTCACAGAGCCAGCAGGGCCGCGGCCGGGCCGGGCATCTCCAAGGGCTGCTGCCCTCCTGTCCCACCCTCCCCCAGCCCCGGGCCCCGGCAAGACCCAGCTCTCCTGGGGGGCTGGACAGGCTGCAGCTGGGCACCTGCAATCTGGCGGGACAGGGGTGGCACCCCAGGGCTCCGCAACATGAAGTGTGTTCTGTCCGGACTGGACTGAGCTCTGTGGAAGCCCAGAGGAGGCCGCTCCCCACGCCGGGCGTCCTGTTCGCCATGCGAGTCTCACCCCCTGGCCCTCATGGCGACCCCCAGGCTCTGACATCGGGGCTCCCTCCAGCACATCCCAATGCCGTCTGGGCGCATCACGAAGAACGTGAGGGACAGAGAAACCACGGGGCCACCAGACCCTCCCCTGTGCCGCTGGGCACGTCCTCCTCCTGCACGCGGGTGTCCGTGGGGCATCTGCCTCACACTCCGAGGTCACGCTCTGCCTGCAGCTGGCCCTGTGCAAAAGCTCCATCTACGTCCAGACAGGCTGACCACAACATAAACTGTGCCCCCCTGAACCCCTTGTTCTCGGGGTGCTGTCTTGGCGCCCAGAGTTCCTGCTGGTCAAGCTAACACATAGAATTGGGCAGGGCCTCTCCCCGGGACAAAAGTCCTGGCATGAGGGACACTCTGGGGAGTCGAGATCTGCTGAGGACGGCAGCGCCGGGCAGCCAAGCAGCATCACCCGCGGGGCTACGCGCGGGACGGGCACACGCGCATGAGAGCGGGAACTGGAAGAGGAGGTCTGACCAGAGGGCACCACGGAGCCCGGCAGCAGCCCTCTCCCTCCCCCAGCTCGTGCACCCTGTGCTCACCCCACCACGCACCCCCTCACCCCTCCAGGACTCGCCGCCTTTGCTGAACTGCGAGACGGCCCTGGGGAAGGGGCAGCATCTCCGGGGGCCGAGCCCCCCAGGTCTCTCTCTGCCTGGGCTTTGAGCTGCGTTTCCTCCTCCCGCGCCGCCCCCAAGGCTGCCGCCCACGAGGCGACAATGAACGAGCCGTGATTTCTTTGTGGGGGAGCACGGAAGTTCTCTCCCATTCTCATTGCTTCAAGCAAACACCCCAGAGGATGCCGCTTGCCCACGGCCGCCGGACACGAGTCAGACGCCCAACTCGGCCGGCCAGGGAGCCCCACTCACAGCTCAGCAGAGGTCATCGAACGTCCTCTGGTGCTTTTTAGGACAAATTCTTAATCTTTCTGTCTTATTTCTGCTAGTAAGCGTTATTTTCCTTTATTTCTGCAAGAGCAGGTGTCACGCGCGAGTGTCTGCCGTGGGCGCACCGCAGAGCTGACTGGAGAAAAACCACGCAGGTGTTTGTCCCCTCGTGGCAAAGCAACGTGACTTAGAGCACAGTCCTCCCGTAAAAGGCCCCGAGGTCTTGTACAATGCCCCACAGTTCTCTGGTAAAGTGCCCCGAAGCCCCTAAGTTTTCATTCATTTACCTGCTTATTTCATCTTTCTCTGGGGTTTTAATGTAATTGGTGTCTCACATTCAAAAAATGGCTTAAAATGGCCTGTTTGGAAGCAGAAACTACTGCTCAGTTTGAGCTCCTAATCATTCCATTACCACCACTCAATATGGCTGCTTCTTGCTTCCCTCACAGATTTGTTTTGTGGTGAAAGATCCATAAACTGTTTCTTTTTATCCCTGACTGCTCTGGCGAGGACTTCCACTGCCGTGATGGACACAGTGGTGAGGGTGACACCCTGCTGGCCCTGACCTAGGTCCTGGGGGCTGGTCACGGGTGACTTATATGGGTTGGGGTATGTTGCTTCGATACCTCATTTATCGAAAGTTTCTATCATTAATGGATGTTGAATTTTGTCAAATGCCCTCAGTATCTATTGAGAAGGTCATACTATTTCTGTTTATTTGTTGTACGTTTATTGATTTGCAGGGGTTGAACCATCCTTGCCCCTCAGGTGAACCCTGCTAGGTCACGGTGCAGGTCACTCCAACGTGTTCCTGGATACCGTCAGCGGGTGTTCTGAGGGCTGCTGCAGCCATGTTCACCAGGGACATTGGCCCCTAGGTTTATTTCCCTGCAGTACCTTGTCCAGTTTTAATGTCAAGGTAATGCTGGCCTCGTAAAATGAGTTAGAAAGTTTTCCCTGTATCCATTTTTGGAAGAGCTTTGGGAGGGTTGGTGTTAATTCTCCTTCAAATAATTGGCAGAATCCACCCATGGTTCCAGAGTCCTGAGGTTCCCCTTTTTGGAAGCTTATTGTTGCTTCAATGTCCTTATTCATTATAAATCTGTTCACATTTTCTACTGTTCCATTTTGCTAGGTTTCCTATTTCTAGAAACGCGTCCATTTCCTGTAGGTCAGCGCCCAGCGTGACGTCTGAGCAGGACACAAACCCGCCTACGGGGAGGGGGCGAAGAGCTTCCTCAGGGCAGCCTGCATGTCTGTGTTCCTCAGACAGTAGACGACAGGGTTGAGGCTGGGGGTGAGGATGGAGTAGAACACAGACACCAGCCGCCCTTGGGTGGGAGAGTAGTGGGAAGCCGGCCTCAGGTAGGCAAAGCTCCCGGTGACGTAGAACAGGACGACGGTGGCCAGGTGTGAGGAGCAGGTGGAGAAGGCCTTCCGCCGCCCGCTGGCAGAGCGCATCTGCGCGATGGTAGAGATGATGAGGGCGTAGGAGACCAGGGTGAGGGCGAAGGCGCCAAGAATGACACACCCGCCCACGGCGAACCCCACCTCCTCGTTGGTGTGGGGGTCGGCGCAGGCCAGCCTCATGATGGGGGAGCTGTCGCAGAAGAAGTGGTCGATGACGTTGGGGCCGCAGAAGGGCAGGGAGAAGGTGTTGGCCGTGTGGAAGACGGCGTAGAGGGCCCCGCCCACCCAGGCCCCAGCGACCAGCTCCACGCACAGCTTCCTGCTCATCAGGGCCCTGTAGAGCAGGGGCCTGTGGATGGCCAGGCAGCGGTCGTAGGCCATGGAGGTGAGCAGGAAGCACTCGGACGCACACAGCGTCACAAACAGAAAGAGCTGGGCCACGCACTCCCCAAAGGAAATGACCCCCGAGCCCAGGAGTGTGCTGGCCAGCGCCCTGGGCACGGTGACCGAGGTGTAGCACACGTCCAGGAAGGACAGGTTCTTGAGGAAGAAGTACATGGGAGTGTGCAGGCGGCCGTCCCTGGTCACCGCGGCGATGATGGAGCCGTTCCCCAGCAGGGCGAAGAGGTAGATGAGCAGGAAGCAGGCTGTGCTCACGGGCCGCAGCTCTGGCCTGTCCGAGAAGCCCCTGAGGATGAACTCGGTCACCATGGTCGCCACGGTCTCATTGGTCATTTCCCGTCCGGGTCGGGGATAAAGAGCCGAGACTGTCCGGGAGCGCGGTGGCCTCGGGGGCCGTCAGAGCGGGATGCACAGGCACACGGTGGCCCCAAGCGGTGGCCCCACCATGGCTCCCGGCCGCCCGCCCGAGGTCTCCCTCCTGCTGCTCCTGTGATGGCTGAGAACAGGAGGCTCTAAACAGAAGGAAGAGAATCACACGCATTTGCGGAGGCCTGCTGGGCCCTCACGCTCGCCGGCGGGCTCTGAGACGCTGGCTTCATGCAGACCCCTTGGTCAGCGTGCCCCTGGGCCTGCGCCGCCCGCCGGCGGGCAGCAGCTGCACGTGCATGGCCGCCGGGCTCTCCACAAGGGACTGGGGGATGCAGGGCCCTGATCGGCCTCTGCCAGCCGCCAGGAGACAAAGCTCTCACGGTTTCTGTGAGCACAGCCGGGAGAGGTCCGGCTCCCGAGGCCCGGCCAGCCCCACTGCTCCAGGCTGCTCCACCCCCGCCACAGACAACAGCCCCCAGGTGGCCTCCCTGGTGGCGCAGGGGTTTGGTCTCAGCCCTATCACGCTATCGCCAGCCACGGCAGCACGAGCTTGATCCCGGCCAGAGAGAAACCCACATGGCGCGGCAGACCCCTCCTGTCTCCTGCTGCTCCCCTCAGCAGTGGATTTCGTCAGTCTGCCTGTTCTGCTCCCCACTCTGTCTCTGGGGAGTCCCCTCCCCCCAGCTCTTGTGTGCATAAAAAATAAAATAAATCTTCTTAAAAAAGAGCGAGAACGGCCCAGCACAGCCTCTTCACGCAGCAGCGCTGATGCTCACTGCAGGGTCACAACCGGGGTGACTGTGACTATTTTAAAGTCCGTAATTATAGTAAATTTCTTAACTGCGGCAACACTGGCTCCCACGCTGGTGTGATTCAGGGCACAGTCACCCCTCAGACGTGCATCACCCCCACCCTGCCCCTCGCCACTGGCTCCCCTCCTGGGGTCCATGCGGCCCGGGGTCCATCCTCCTGCCGCTCACCCCCCGCGCCCCGGCTGGCCGCAGCAGAGCCCATTTCTCTCCCTGGGAGGGGACAGAGAGCGGGCTGGGGGTTGAGACGGGGCCTGGAGGCCTGGATGGCTCCCTGCACCTGCCAGCCCCGGGGAGGCCTGACGGCCGGCTTCGTGCTCTCGGGGCCGCGGCCTCCACAGCTGCAGGTCAGCCTGGACTCTTCATGAGCAACTTAAATTCTAAGCGACATGTCCTGGTCACTGACATGGAGGGAATCCGGGGGCCCGGCCGCCCATGAGGGGCACGAGAGGCCAGTGGGGTGTCGGGGCGGCCACCCTGGGTCACACGCGCACAGTGGGACCACAGCGGGGCCAGGCAGGGGCCGGGCCGGGGTGGCTTCAGTGACTCCTTCTAGGGCAGCCTCGGTGGCTCCACGGCTGAACTCATGAGGGCGGCAACCCCCGGCCCCGCCTGAGGAGGGGACTGGACACCACCCAGACCCTGTCCTGACGCCAGCCTCAGGCCTACGTGAACACAGATCCCCGAGCACTCAGAGCAACCCGGCAAAGCAGGACATGGCCTCGACCCTCAATGGCCCCACGGTACCCCCCATGGTCCCCCCACAGTCCCCTGCCATGGTGTCCCCATGGCACCCCCGGAACTTCCCCTCTTGCACCAGGGCCCTCCAGTCGGCCCCTCCACCACCTTCCATTCACACAGAGCCTGGGGCCATCCCCTGGGGAGCCACGGTGTCTGTCTCCCGCCTCAGTCACTAGCTGGCCCCTGGGCTGGCCTGGACGCTGGTCGGTCGGTGTCAGGTGCACCTGGATGTCCAACCTCTTCCCGAGCAGCAGTGGCCAGGCTGACCGAGCCCCGAGGCTGCACATCATGGCAGCGGACGTGAGCCTGGCCCCAGGGGCTTAATGGACAGGTGGGAGGGGGCCTGCTTGGCCAAGTGGCCATGACTGTCAGACACTGGACGGCCCCGTGGAGGGCGTCTGCCATCTGGAGCGCAGCGTGAGCCGGTCCCGCCGGGCCCACCCACCACCCCTGGGCAGCGCTCACGGCTGGCCCGGTCCTCACCCGGGAGCTGCCCCCACACAGGCCACACAGTCAGCCCGGAGGGACAGACGCCTGCGACGGCCACAGAGGCAGGGGACACCGTCCAGAAAAGACCCTGACGCAGACCCGGGGGCCCGGGGAGCTCTGAGTGTGCACTGCCCCACCCCCGCATACCCGCAGGAGCTGTGTGGCCCCCACCGCCCCCAGCCCCGCCCCGCCCCCGCTCTGCGCCAGCCAGTCCCCGGGTCAGACTGGACAGGACAGGCGTCTGAGGAAGCAGCCCTGCTTGTGTGGCAGCAAGACGACGTCTAGGGCAGGGGCCTCCTCGGGCAGTTTGCGCCGACCTCGGCCGCCCGGTGCCCACGACAGGCCTGAGGCCCCATCATCACCAGCGCTGACCGCGAGGGCCGGACCTGCTGCCCGGGCCGCCCGCCACGGCCCCACTTGGGAAACAGAAAGTGAACGTCTCACCCTCCCCGTGGCCTCACCTGTCCCGGCGTCTCCTCCCCGTCAGCCTACACGCCGCCGAGACCCGCGAGCTCAGCCTGGCCAGACGTCGCACAAAAGCACCCGGAGGAGCCCTGGGGTGGGGCACCGGGGTCAGCACCTCTGAGCGGCCAGGGCCGCATGGGTCGGGGCCGCCTCAGCCAGGAAAGGGGTGCGGGCCTGCCTGAGCCTGCGTGTTTTGGGGCGTCCGGCCTCGCGTCCATCCTGGGGCCTGCAGAGCGGGGCCCAGCACCGGAGACTGCAGGCGCAGATTTACATTTTTGGATAAACGATCCTGGACGGCTTAATCTAACGGCCGTCACCGCATTGTCTATGGTCAGCTAGAGCCACAGAGGACAGCGAGGACCGGGCAGCGAGGACCGTCAGAGGTGGGACAGGAAACCCACAGGAAACTTGAGGTCAAGCGGCTACACGGGACAGGTAAGAGACGTTTCCAGGGAGGACAGTCGTCGGCTCGGAAGGCCAGGCCAGGCACCAGTGTCCAGGTCTGGGGGTGCCAGCTCTGCCAGTCAGCGGTGGTGCCTTGAGGATCCCCAGACCCTGCCCCACCGAGAGCGAAGTGGTGACTGAGCTGCCGCCACCTTCCCGGGTCAGTAGCTTTTACTGTTGAACTCTGCCCGTCAGCTCATCTGAGGGCGAGGCTGCGTCCCCCGGGGCTGACCACGGAGGAGTCCCCGACCCCGGCGCCCCGGCGCATGTCCCTGGGGCCGAACTGCTGGCAAAGCTTCCCGCAGCTCCCCAAATTGGCGATCAGAGACCGGGAATCAGTCCCCGGCTGGCGCAGCACAGCCCACAGGGGCGTCCCTGTGAGCAGACGGGTCCAGCTCGTCAGTGGGGATCCTGGTTGGGGCGCATTTGAGGAGGCTCCTTGAGGGGGGGGGCGGGGGGCGTTCTATTTGTCTTGGACATATTTTATGCTCTTGTCAGTGTTTGAATTACTCTCCTACATTGTTGCTAATTTTCTTGGGGCGTCTGGCGTCCCCACCCCCCCCCACCCCCATGGTCCTGGCCCATGTCCCCGTGCCCGCTGGACGCCAGGCCTGCACCGGCGCGACCCTCGCTGGGGTCCACTCAGCACGCGGCCCGCTGGCCCCTCCATCCACCTGGCCTCGTCGGCACCTGGCCTCACCCCTGTGCAACCCAAGCAAAGCTGGGGGCCTGCGGGGTCGTCCCAAAAGCCCCCACGCACGCGCCTCCCGGCCCAGCGCCCGCCCCGCAGCCACCTCGGTGAGAAGAGGGAGCTTCGCTGTCTCACTGCAGTTCTATTCCCTCAACCCGAGAGTGAGACTAGGGCAGCCGCACCACCACCTCCATGAGCTGCGTCGGGAGAGGGAGCCCGGCCCGGCCCAGTGGCCCCCCATGCCAGAGCCGTGGCCCATGGGTGGCACCTGCTTCCCAGCCCCTGAGCTGCCCGTGCACCCGCTGGACGACCCCGTCCCTCCAACTGGCCCTGCTTCCCCGAGTGCGCCCTCCTCACGGCTCGGCCCAGACGGGTCTCATGGCGGCCGCGTCCCCGCCGGGCCAGACCCCTCCGCCCTGTTCCCCCAGGGTGCTCGGAGGACGGAGGGCTGGGAGCCGCTCGCCCGGTGCCCCCGCGCCCGGCGGCCCGCGGCGCAGCACAGGTGGGGCCAGGGCAGGAGAGCTGGTCCAGACCTTCGGCGCCCGGGCGGCCACTGCAGAGCCTGCTCAGTGCGCGCCCGCAGCCCGGGTTGGGGCCGGGCGTTGGGAGGGGGTGCGGGGGGGACCCGCTTTCAGCCCCCGTCACGGGAGGCCGAGACCGCCACGGAGACAGCGACAGACTGGAGAGGGGCGCGGTGTTCAGCCACGGCCCTGCGCGGCCGCGCCGAGTCCCAGGAGGCCACCGCAGGCCTGGGAGGCCGCAGCCCGAGGGCTCCGCACCTGCCCGCAGGCGGCCGCGCTGCCCTGAAGAGCAGCTCCCGGCACTGGGGGTGTGGCTGGGGGTCCCGAGGGGCGCACAGAGGGGAGGCCCTGCAGGGGGGCACGGGGTGGGGGGAGGGGGCTCTGCGGCTGGACACGGGCGCGGGAGGAATCTACACGCAGTCTCTGCAGCCCCGAGGGCGGCGCCAGCAGGGAGCGGGACAGGTAAGGGAGAGGGCGCAGGAGGGGGTGTGTGAACCCGGTATTTAAAGATTTGAGAAAGACGGCTGAGCTTGCAGAAAAGAGTGAATCCAGGCGTTCCTTCTGTTTCTTACCGGTCTGCACAGCGGGGGCGGCGCTGGGGCTCCGGCGGTCAGCCTGAGGGCTGAAGGGGAGCCCGAGGGGCAGCCGCCCCGCTGCTTGAGTCCGCGGGGAGGAGCCCCCTCGAGTCCCACTGGTCTATTTTCCATTTTGGGACATCTCTGGCGGCTCTGCCGCTGCAGCGAGGCCCCAGACAGGCGCAGAGCAGAGAGGCAGCTCCCCCAAGAGCCCAGAGCCCGCAGGGGTGCCCTGCGGGACCCGTCCCCAGAAGACCTGCTGCCAGCGCCAGCCCCAGTGGCTGAGCCGCGCCCGCCAGCCCCGCCCACCCGGTCCTGGCACTGGCCGGGACAGCCTGCGTCCTTATCACTCGCCTGGCTGCGGGCCCTGGGGGTGGGAAGGGCGCAGCCAGAACATGCTGAGGACACCACCGCACCGCAGACACCCCACAATGGCCTTGTACTGAGGGGCACGGCCGGGCCGGCCACGGGCAGCGTCCCCGTCACTGGGCTGCGGGGGTCTGATGCGGCAGGTAAGGGCAGAATCGGGTTTGCTGTGAGACGGGGCTTGGGCGGCTGCTTCTTCCCAAGTGCAGCCGGAGCCTCTGCTGGCTTGTGTGCGGGTACCGGCTCTCGGGCCGACCCCGCTGATCTACGAGCACCGCAGGCTGGGCGGGTGGTGGCGGGAGGGTAGGTAGGAGGTAGGAGGAAGGACGGGTGCACGGTGCAGGCAGATGGACAGACAGGGAGAGGGGTGACCATGGACAGGCATGACCCATGGCAAGTGGACCCTGGCCCTGAGGCCTCGGCCTCTGTGGCGTCACCGGGAGACACATGTTGGGGCTGTGGCTGGGCCATCCAAGACGGCCAGCAGGCAGGTCAGTGATGCCACGGCTGCGGCCAGAGGTCCGGCTGCTGGCGCTGAGGAGGGGATTCCGTCCAGGGCTCACCCCTCCACAGCTGAGCGGGGCCTCTGTGCCCCACGGACGCTGTGTTATCACCACAGTGGGCTCCGTGGGGTCGGGCTGTAGGGGCAGGGCTGAGTCCGGGGCCGCTCCGCCGGCTCCAGCAGAGACACAGCCTGGGGAGCAGATGGTGGGAGATGCGACAAAGCCGGGGCCCGCGGGAACATACCCAACCCACAGGGGGTGGGTGGGATTCCCAGGAGAGCTCTGGAGTGGCCGTGGACATGGGTGGGCAGCACCAATGTTCAGGTCCGGGTGAAACCATCTGCTCCTGGCAGGGGTGGGCCAGACCGAGGCCCCACCTGGAGGAGCGGGGAACCCTCCTGCCACCCACCCTGGCCCTGGGGGCTGCAGGGAAGTGGCCCCTCTGTGCTCACGGCCAGCAGACGGCTGCGCTGTCCTGCGTCTTCAGCCAGGGTCCGACTGTGGCTGGGGCAGCCCCTCCGGCAGCTCAGGCACACCCCCCACCCCGGTGTCCACCGCGGGCCCCCCGGCCAGGGCCGGCCACACAGTCAGGGCGCATTGTTTTGGCTTCCTCCACGTCGGAGAGCGAAGGGCCTTTAACAGAGCCGACCCTGTGTGTCTTCACGCAGATTGTGTGTTCACAAGTCTCATGCACAAGCTTTTAATGAATAGTGCAGATTCTTTTTAAGATTATTTATTTCTGCACACAAGAGCTGGGGGCAGGCCAGAGGTGTGGGGGGTGAGAGGATTCCCCAGAGACAGAGCGGGGAGCAGAACAGGCAGAGGCAGTGAAACCCACTGACGAGGGAGCAGTGGGGAGACAGGAGAGTCTGCTGCGCCATGTGGGCAGCTCCCTGGCCAGGGATCGAACTCGTGCCGCAGTGGCTGGAGAGAGCTTGATAGCGCGGAGACGTAAGCCCCGCGCCCCCAGGGGGCCCTCTGGTGTGTATTCTTTGGAGCAGTTTTCCTGTCTTAGACATTAAGGATGTTTGTCCTTAATGAATCGATGTCTAAATAATCTTCCCTCAAAACGTATTTTTCAAACTAGCTTGTGCTCGCCGCCCATCCATCACAGGGTGGGCGTGGCCGGGGTGTCCCCGCCGTGCCAGCACCCCCACACACCACTCCAGAGGACAGCTGTGCTCCAGCCGCGCGCCCCCGCCCCCCGCCAGGCCGACCCCACCAGCAGCGTGCGACGTGCCCGGGAGCTCCCAGGTCATCTCAGCATCGTGCCTCAGCGAAGCCACTTGACTCGCCGTCTACGTGCCGCACCGGGGAACGCATTCTTCACGTATTTCCCTAATCTGAGCTTCTCACTGAGTTGCTCACTGTGTTCTGTCTCCAGACCGACTGTGACCCCCGCAAGGACCCCGATTTCTCTGCCACGGCAGCGGAGCGTGGAGACCAGGTGCAGGCGGGGGTCGAAGGGCGGGCCAGTCTCCAACCCACGACGAGGGATGAGGCCTGAGATGGTGCCGGGGCAGGCTCCCGGCCGTGGCTAGGAGGTGGAGGCGGCCTGGGCGCCTTGGGGGCTTGTGGTCAGCCGGGGGGCACGTCCTCGTGGGCGGCCGGCTTGGGCCACCAGACCAGAGCCCCGTGGTGGACGCCTTCAGGCCGCAGTGTCCGGCCAGCTGGACTGCTGGGCACACGGTGGGGGCGGGACCCCTGGACGGCGCCTGTGTCTTCGGGTCTCAGGGGCACACGGTGACCCCGGGCTGCGTCCCAGGCCCCTGACCCACCCCCTCCCACAGCACCTCTCCTCGGGGATGGACAGGGCCAACCAGAGCACCCCGGAGGGCTTCGTCCTGCTGGGGTTCTCCGACCGGCCGCGCCTGGAAGCCGCGCTCTTCGTGTTCGTCCTGTTCTTCTACCTCCTGACGCTGCTGGGGAACTCGGCCATCGTGCTGGTCTCCCGCCTGGACCCCCTGCTGCACACGCCCATGTACTTCTTCCTCAGCAACCTGTCCGTGCTGGACCTCTGCTTCACCAGCAGCCTGGCACCCCAGACCCTGGTCAACCTGCGGGGCCCCGACAAGACCATCACGTTTGGCGGCTGCGTGGTGCAGCTCTACGTCTCGCTGGCTCTGGGCTCCACCGAGTGCCTGCTGCTGGCCGTCATGGCCTGGGACCGCTACGTGGCCGTGTGCCGGCCCCTGCACTACGCGGTCATCATGAGCCCACGGCGCTGCCAGCACCTGGCTGCCACCTCCTGGCTCGGCGGCCTGGCCAACTCCCTGGTCCACGCCACCCTCACCCTGCAGCTGCCCTTCTGTGGCCACCGCAGGCTGGACCACTTCATCTGTGAGGTCCCCGCCCTGCTCAAGCTGGCCTGTGTGGACACCACAGTCAACGAGCTGGTGCTGTTCGTGGTCAGCGTCATCTTCCTCCTGCTGGCCCCAGCCCTCATCCTGCTCTCCTACGGCTTCATCGTGGCCACCGTGCTGCGGCTCAGGTCCGCGGAGGCCCAGCGCAAGGCCTTCAGCACCTGCTCCTCCCACCTGGCCGTGGTGGTCATCTTCTACGGCACCATCATCTACATGTACCTGCAGCCCCGGGACAGCTACAGCCAGGAGCAGGGCAAGTTCATCTCCCTCTTCTACACCATGGTCACCCCCACGCTGAACCCCGTCATCTACACGCTGAGGAACAAGGACGTGAAGGGTGCCCTGCGGCGGCTGCTCTCGGGGAGACTGTGCTCCCTGCGGACATGAGGGGCCGCCGTGGCTCCGGCTCGCCAGGCCCCATCCTCATGGCCATGAGTCGCAGCCTGACCCAGCCTGACCCTGCGGAGGGTCCCTGCCCGCAAGTCACTGGACAACACGCATGTGTGCGTCCCGAGTGGAGGCCGGCCAGGCCCCCCAGACCCCCCAGATCCCCACCCCAGGCCCCCACCCCCGGCCTCCCTTCTGACCCGTCCCAGAGACTCAGTTACTCGCTGCTCAAACACTCGCCAACCCGTCTGGCTTGCAGTTTGTGTGTGTGTGTGATTTATTTTGTTTCTTGTCCATTTTTTACCAAACACTCACTTTGCCGCAGCCCTGCGCCAGGAAACCTCCTTTCTCACACGCGCTCCCTCACCGAGGGCACCGGCGCCAGCTGGCGGGAAATACCAGGCAGCGCCTCCCAAACAGCCCTCCCATCCGTGTGCCCGTGGCCTGCGGGGGCGTCAGGGCAGGAGCCCACGGCCGCTGAGCCCGTGCCTGGCGTGCGCCCCGTCGCAGCCAGAGCTGGACGTGTGGAGGAGACGATCGATTTTATTTCAAAACAAGCACAAAACAATGTCTGTGACTTGCTCACGCAGAGCTTGACCGGCCATGTCCTCCACGTGGAGGCGGGGACGGCCCTGACCACCACGCCAGGCGGTCACCTGTGGGCGTGAAACTCCTGGGGAGAGACAGACACAGGCGATTGCCACACAATTAAAAAAAAAAGACGACGTGAGACGCTCACAGCGTCAGCCACTGGACCTTAAAGCCCACGCCGGGGCGCGGTCAGCCACGCTGTTCAGGGCGGCAGGGGCTGTGCGGGCACCTGAGCCGGGAAAGCTGGCGTCACCTGCGCCTACAGGTCTCCTGTGTGTCCCTGTCACGAGGCCCAGGCCGGGCACCGCCCACACTCCAGGGTGTGGGTCCTGAGAGCACGTGGACGCCCAGGGCGGGGAGCTGCAGCCAGAGCTCGGGGCACCTCCACTCACACCCCGTCGACCCCCAACAACGCTCTCTCCAGGGCCTATAGGAGCCAGCCCCCAGGTTAGCTCCTCCCCAGGAGCAGGTGCAAACGGGGAACCTGCTGGCGCTGCCCCTATGGAAGGCCCGGGAGAGTCCAGCCGTCGGCCAGCCCCGGGCGCCAGGCCCCGGAGGAAGCCACAGCTCCTGAGCGGGGCTCCTGCCGCCCGCAGCCCACCGCGGCTTCCCGCGAGCTCATGGCGCAGCCGTCGCGGGCCCCACGGTCACAGTGCGCTCAAGCCACAGTTCTCGGATCCTCCTGGACGCCCGCCAGCAGCACCGGGGCCGCGCTGCTGACACCAGAGACGAGGCCGCGGGCCCAGCTCCGGGGAAGACGCCGCACAAGGGGCCGGGCACGCCGCGCCCTCCTGGCTGTCCCCGCCGTTATGAACTGACTTGGCGTTCCTGAGGCGATTTCCGCATCCGCGTCCAGGACTGTCCCCCGGGACACCCGCGTCCTTTGTCCTCAGACTCTGCTGCCCACGTGGGCTGGAAACTCCAGCCCCTGTTACCACGGCGCAAGAAGGGGGCCACGCAGAGCGCCAAGACGGGGATACAAACGCCTGCCTCGCTCGTAGCGGGGAGACGGAGCGGGAAGGTGCTGCGGAGGCAGACGCAGCGCAGAGGAGGCTGTTCCAGGTCAGCGCCCCGGGCCCCGGCGGGACCTCACCTGGACGGTGAACACTGGGATACGAAACACTGCGCCCGGCGGGCAGGCAGGGGCTGGACCAGCAGGCCCGAGTGCTTCCCTTTGCACGTCTCGCCGCCCTGGGAGAGCCGCGGCTGTGCCTCCTCTGAGGAGCCGAGACTCCAGGGCTGACCGCGGGGCCCGGGGCCAGGCTGCCCCCTGCTCTCGTCCCGCGTCTCGCCCGCGCCCACCTTGTCTCTGCCGCAGCCAGTCCGCCGGGGACGGGGCAGTAACCGGGGTGCGCACGGCCTGCCAGCCCCTCGCCCACCGCCTCCCCCGCAGAGCAGGCAGCCGCAGCCCTGGGGCAGGCGCGGGAGGGGACGCCCTGAGCAAGGGGAGAGGCGGCGGCGCCTCGGAAGCCTGCCCCGGCGCGAGCTGGGGCTCCCGTTCCTCAGGCCGCGCCTCCGGCTGCGTGTGCAGCAGCCCCAGGAGCAGAGGCGTGAGGGACGGGCCAGCAGGGGCGTCGCCCGGGGCCGGGTTACACGGCTCCCCTGAGGCGCCACACAGCGTTAATGAAGAAAGTCACGGCAGGTTCCTCATTAGAAGACGCTGCGCGAGACTGGCCGTCCGAGCGAGGCTCCTCACAGCAGCGCTTCGCCACTCCCTGGCTCGTCACAGCACGTGTTCCCAGGGCCTCCTGCAGTGCGTCGGGAGCGCAGCCTGCACGTCCTGGTTCCTCAGCGTGTAGGGGAGCGGGTTGAGGAGAGGCGGCCACAGGGTAGACGAGGGAGACGAACTTGCCCTGGTCCTCGGCCCTGCTCCTCCGGGCAGGCTGCAGGGACCTGAAGGTGACGGGGCCGCAGAGGACGACCGACCACCACGGCCAGGTGGGAGGAGCAGGGCCGGCCGCCTTCCTCCTGCGCCTTCCTTGCCGCCGCCGCGGTCCTCGGCACGGCGCGGGCGAGACAGCACAGGCGACCAGGATGAAGGACACGGGCGCCGCCAGGAACAGCAGAGACAGCGAGACAGCAGCGGGTCGGGCAGCGTGGGGGGCAGGCACCAGACACGGGCCCAGACGAGGACGAACCGACACCAGGAGCCGGAGCGCAGATTCCAAACCACCAGCGGGGGGTGGGGCGAGCAGAGGCGGGACGGGCGCGGACTGCAGTGGGCACTGGGCTGCCGCGGTGGCGGGCGTGGGGGCGCACCCTGAAGGGGGTCCCGTGGCCCTAAATCGTGTACAGTGTAAACCCATTTTGCCTCAAAAAAAAAATGATAAAAAATCTGCAGTTTCTGCCCGCCAGCCGCACCCAGAGAAAGCTGTGCAGAAAGTCGCCGTCGCCGTTGCAGGACACGGATCGAGCGTCCTTCCCGTCGCGACGCTCGCTGCTTCCTACCCGCGGACGGGGAAGCTCAGTTAATTGCGACAACAACAAAGCCCCGAGGTTTCGTGGCGCAATTTCCAGCGTGGAGGAAACGGCCGCGCCGGCAGCCCGGGAGAGCCGCGGGGACGGGCCTTGCTCAGGGGCCTCCGCCCCGCCCCGCCCCGCCCGCCCGCCCCGCGGCCCCTCCTCGCTCCCTGCCGGCGGCTCGCGCGCTCGGCCTGCTCTCCCAGCCCCGGCCCCGTCGGCCCCGTCGGGAGGTGCCCGCGGCCTCGAGGGCCTCCTCCTCGCGCCTGCCCGGCAGCTCCGGATCCGGGTGCAGCCTGCGGGCCGCCTGGGGGCGCGGGCGCTTCGCCCGGGTCACTCCGCAGCCCCAGCGGCGCCCGCCGCCCGCTCTCCGCCCGGCGTGCGGGGCCGCGGCGGTGTCCACGCGCGGAGACGCGGGCCCCTGGGGCTCAGCCGGCTCGGGCCAGCGCTCAGCACCGCCGCGCGGGGTGCGGCCTCAGGCCTCCCTGCTCCCCCGCGGGCGGGCGGCGGCCCGGGAGGGCGGCTGCGCTGGGGGCGCGCAGGGACGGGGGGCGCGTGGCGCCCCGATCTCCGCGCCCCGCGCCCCGGGGCTCCCGTCGCGGCTGCAGGCGGAGACGGCGCCAGCCCCGCCCGGGCCCCGCCGGCCGGCGGGAGCCGCCACAGCAGCGCGGAGAACCGGCCCCGGCGCCCTCGGCCCCCGGGGGTCAGGACCCCCGGGCGGGCCGGGCTCCCCGGGGCCCCCGCCTGCGCCGGGGCAGCGGCTCCTCGTCCGAGGAAACCTGCGACGTCCTGGCCGCGGGGCCGCCCGGGCTCCGCCTCCGCGGCTCAGCCCAGCCGACCGGGCCGGGGCGGCGCCAGAAGAGCTCGGGCTCCGGCTCGGCCCGGGAAAGGCCGCGCGCGCGTGTGTGTGCATGCGTGCGCGTGCACGGGGTGTGTGTGTGCGTGTGCACGGGGTGTGCGTGCGTGTGCGTGCACCGCGTGTGCGTGCACGGGGTGTGTGTGTGCGTGCGTGTGCGTGCACGGGGTGTGTGTGCGTGCGTGTGCGTGCACGGGGTGTGTGTGCGTGCGTGTGCGTGCACGGGGTGTGTGTGCGTGCGTGTGCGTGCACGGGGTGTGTGCGTGTGCGTGCACGGGGTGTGTGTGCGTGCACAGGGTGTGTGCGTGCGTGTGCGTGCACGGGGTGTGCGTGTGCGTGCGTGTCCATGCACGGGGTGTGTGTGCGCGTGTGTGTGCGTGCACGGGGTGTGTGTGTGCGCGCGCGCACGGTGTGTGCTGTGCACGCGCGCGTGTCGGGGGCTCAGTGGCACTGAGGTCGCCAGGTCCCGGGGCGCGCGGCAGCCCCCCGCGACCCCCGCGGCCTCGCGGGCCGCACGCGCTCCCACCGCTTACGTCGGCCCCGGGGCGGCCCCGCCCACGACTCCGATTGGCCTGGTTTTTCAGTCCTGCAGCTGATTGGACCATTTGGCACCAATCACCTCCCAGCTCACAGCTGATTGGCCCAGTCCACAGGGCAGGAGGTACCCAGGCACGTGCAAGGGTCGGGGCGCGGCCGCCGCCCCGGCTGGGGGTGGGGGGCCGCGGGGAGCCACCTGCTGCGCCCGGGGCGGGGGCGGGGAGCCCCGCGGGCCGCGCCGGCCCTACCGCGGCAGCACCACCTCGTAGTCGTGCTCGGGGCCGCAGGAGGGCGGCCGGGAGGGCCCCGGCGTGCGCAGCAGCGCGTACTCCGTCTCGGGCGCGGGCCTGCGCGCCGCGCGCACGTTCTCGTAGCCGGGGTCCGCGGGGCCGTGCGCGATGACCGTGTAGCAGACGTCGTCGCGGCCGCCGCCCGCCGCGCCCGCCTGCCGGGAAGGAGCCCGTCAGCCGCCCGAGCCCCGCCCGCCCCCGCCCGGCCCGCCCGCCCCCGCCCGCGCCCGCGCCCGCGCCCGCGCCCGCCCGCCAGGCCCCGCCCACGCACGCCCGCCCCCGTCCATGCCCGCCCGGCCCGCCCGGCCCGCCCACGCACGCCAGGCCCCGCCCACGCACGCCAGGCCCCGCCCACGCACGCCAGGCCCCACCCATGCCCGCCAGGCCCCGCCCACGCACGCCAGGCCCCGCCCATGTCCGCCAGGCCCCGCCCGCGCCTGCCAGGCCCCGCCCACGCCTGCCAGGCCCCGCCCGCTCCCCAGACCACGCCCGCGCCCGCCAGGCCCCGCCCATGCCCGCGAAGCCCCGCCCACGCCCGGCCCTGGACGGCATCGGCGCGCAGGTGGCCCCGCAGACGCAGACGGCGCGGGAGGGCGGGGGCCGCCTGCGGGCTGGCGGGCGGGGGGTTGGGGGGGCCAGCGTCGCGGCTCGGCGGCCTCCGCAGGGGCCCGCGGGCCGGGGGACACGGCGCTGCCCACCGGCCCGTCCTCGATGTCCGGGCGCTTCCCCTCCCCAGCGCCCCGCGAGCCCGGGCCCAGCCGGAAGCCGCCCGGCGCCTCACCTGGTCCTCCACGCGCGGCGCGGCACCTGCGGGCGGGGCGGGAGCAGAGCGTGGGCGCGGGACACGAGGCCCGACCCCCCCCCGCCCCCCCCCCTCGCAACAGAGCCGGGGCCCTGGGGCCCGCCCAGCATCCCGAGCCCTCCCCGCGCCCCGGGCCACGGGCCGCCGTCAGCCGAGCCAGGCTCAACCCGGGGCTCCGGGGCTCGTAGCGCCCCAGCAGAGGGGGTGTCTTTCCTGCGCCCCGATAATTGCGACTCTGATCTCCAGAAGCCCCTCAGCCACGACCCTGGCCGAGCTCCAGGGCCCAGTTGGCTTCGAGGCCGAGCACTGACGGGGCGCCGGGGCGCAGGGCTCACTCGGCCCGCCCGTGGCCCTGGGCCGCAGCCCCCGTGGCGGCCCCGGGGCGGTGGGCACAGAGGCTGCCGGGCCTGGGCCCTGGAGCCCAGAGCTGGGGGGGGGCGGGGGGGCGGGGAAAGAGCCCGGACTCCTGGGCTGCAGCGTGACCTGCGGGCACGGGAAGCGCCGCCACTGAGGGCTCGATCCTCCTCGCTGCCCACCAGCCTGCTCCCCGAGGAAAGAGGGGGCGCATGAGCACGGGCGAGGATGCAGGCTGGGCCCCGGCCACCCCACCCAGCATCCCTTTGGGCCTCCGCCAGGGTGGCCGGGGGCTCACAGCATGACGCAGCCGTGGCCTCAGGGTGCCTGCGGCTGGCCCCGGGACGTGGCCGGCTCGCCGGGACCCTCAGGGGCACAGACGCCCCAAATGAGCCGGGTGGAGACGTGAGACTTACGATCCTGGTGGTGGCCTCGGGGCTGCCTCCCAGGGGCCGTGGCCGCCCGCCTGCAGGGAGAGGAGCAGCGGCGTGAGATGCCCAGGCACGACCCGCGGTCCCGCAGTCCCGGGCTAAGCAGAACCTGCGTGGCCCAGGCTGGGACAGAGAGTGGACACGCCGGCCGCGCCGCTGGGACCGCAGAGCTCCGTCCGAAACCAGGCAAGGGCTGGGGACCCTGTCGCACAAGCACACGCCGGCCTCGCACGCGGCTCCCTCTCTCTATGAAGCTGGGAGGATGGAAAAGGCACAAAAATCCCGAAGAGACTAGAGCCCGGCACCTGCCGGGCATCAGGGACCGGCGGGCAGGACCTGACCGGACAGCGTCCAGGCGCCGAGCACCTGTGGGACAGCCCAACAGCCCGGCCAAGCTCTGATTCAGCCCCCAGCGGCTCCTCTGGGAGGCAGCTGTCCCTAAAGGTAAATGAGAAGTTTCTAGAAACCGTAACTGTGGACAGGCCCCCGAGCGAGGCTCTGTAAGGGGGGAAGCCCGGGCTGGCCATGTGGAGTTGTGGTCTTTTTAAATATAAAGATCATTTTCCATTGAGAGAAACAAAATTTAAAGGCTGTAGGGGATTTGCTCCGAGCTGGCACGTTTCCCAGGACAGCAGAGGCTGACAACGTCCACAGGGCGGGAAGGCGCAGGGACGCCGACCTAGGAGGGGAAGCAAAGCTCGAATTGAAGCCACAGACCTGAGAAGAAGTAAAAGGAAATAGCAAAATATCAGCAAGAACAGCGCTCCCCGTCCGGCTCGGGGACCCGGGAGAGACCTCGTGCAGGGGACACTGGTCTCGCGCGTCCTGTTTCTAAACAAGGAGAAAACAAACATGCAAAGGACATCTCAAGCCCAGAGCAATTTTCAGAATAGCCACCAGCCTTTAAACTCAGGCCCACAAAAGTAAGACGCGAGGAAGTTGGCAGCGGTGACTGCCGCCTCCTGGAGAAAAGCAAAAGTGACAGAGACTGAGGCTTCGGGGGCGGCGAGGGGGCCCGTCTCTCGGCTGGGGTGGTCCCACGACTGTGTTTTGCTAAACTTATCACGCTGTTTACCTTAAAAGGGTTTTTGTTGCGTTATCCTAGATCTTAAAAGTCCAACGGTCCTTGGCGCGACCGCGCCTGAAGCCCTGGACTAGGTGAAGATCAGCAGAAACACAGCACGCGACGCCTCCGGAAGAAGGCGGGGTGAGTCACTCATCCTGACCCACTGGCCACAACGAGCCGCCGCCCCGGCCTCAGCTCCAGCCATGGGAGCCGGCGAGGGGCCGCCAGGTTGGGGTCCCCAGCAGCCAGGGTCCCTCCCGGCAGGACGCCTCCGCCGGCCGGCCTCCTGTGTGCACGTGCAGACACTCGGGGCACGTGTGCAGGGAGGGGTGCGCCTGGCGGGCGGCACTTTGGGGCCGGCGCCCAGGACCGTCTCCCGGTCCTCTCTCCCCCAGGCCCCATGCATGCTCGGCGGCTGCCCCGTGGGGGCGGCTCTTCCTGCCAGCCTCCTCACGACACTGCAGCCCCCACTTCCCCGGCAGCCCCCGCCCCTCACACTGCAGGGGAAGCGGAGGAACCAGCCCGGAGATGAAGCGATTAGGAGGCGGCTGTGCGCAGAGATAGGGGAGGCCGTGGCTAGCAGACCAGGTGTCCCCTGCAGATAGCCGGAGCTGGGGGTCCCTGCACACCCCGCAGACGGCTGGGGGCCTCTGCCTTTCTCCACCGCGCGTCCCATAAGGGCCAGGCCGCGGATGAGGCCAGGGCCGGGTGCTGGGCCTGCAAAGGTGTTGCACGCAGAGAGGGTGTCAGGGCGCCAGGCCCCCCCCAATCCCGCACCCAGGGCACCTCCCAAGCCCACACTCAGGATGCAGCAGAGCCTCAAGGCCGAGCCAGGGTGTGGAAGGGCAGACTCGGTGTTGGGGCGTGGAGGGTGGGGAGCGGTGGCCGCCGCCGAAGGCCCTGACTGGGGCGCCTGGGAAGCCATGACCACGAGCTTGCCTGGCCCACCCCCACCCCCAAGGAGCTGCCGGGCCAGGGACGCAGTATCCCCGAGGCCTGGGCACAGCCCGACTTACCTTGGTCTCCCTGCCCCGGGCCCTTCCCGCCTCCGCCGCTGTGCACCATCCCCCAGGCAACTGGAAGGAAACAGAAGGTGAGCGCGGCCTCCCGCAGGCTGCCCACTGCCCCGCTACGCGGCCCTGCAGTCACCCGCCACCATCTCTGGGTGCCCACTTGGACATTGCCTCAAGGCCTGGCACCCGGACGGCTGCCATCGGCCCTGGCACGTTCGCCTCTTGACTGAGAACTGGGACGTCCGGGCCAGCTTCCCCCACTCGGGCCTGTCCTGGCCTTGGGGCTGTGGCACAGAGGGGGCCTGCAGCAGGACTGCCCGGCACCAGCCCTCACCAGGTGGCACCAGCCGAGCCGAGCCTCACAGAGGGCCCTGCTGCCCCCGAGTCCAAAGCCTCGAGGTTCATCCCCTGAAGCCGGCCACTGCAGAAAGAAGGTGCCAGAAGGCACCAGAAGCCTTCCCGAGGCCGCGTGCTCCTGGCCCCTCCCATACCCGCCTGTCGCCAACTCTGAGCCAGAGCCCGAAACCTGGTGACCCCAGGAACCCACCGCACGGTTGTCACAGGCCCCACTGCGGCCCAGCCCAGGCCGGCCTGCTTTTGGCTCTCATCTCCGCTCTGTGTCCATCACGGGCAGCGCCGGGCGCCCCAGCAGGACAGACTGGAGCGCCCAGGCCAGCCGGCGCAGCTCCTCTCCAGGGGCGCGTCACAGACCCCGGCCCCACACCCAGGGCCACAACCCCAGGCCACATGGAGACCCAGCCCCAGTGAGTCCAGAGGCCCCCTGCAGAGGAGCAGCCCCCGACAGCACAGCCCCCAGGTGCCCCTCCTGCCCCCACCCCCCGTCCTCCCCAGACCCACCTGAGCTCCCGCAGAAGACGATTCCCCATCCTCGCCCAGTGCTCCTATCTACCCTGAGCGCCCCCTGCTCTGCACTGCCCGGCCACTGGCACCACCCAGCCGGACGCAGGATGTTGCTCTGACCACAGGCCGGGAGCCGCGACCACAGGCTGCAAGGGGGGGGGCGGGGGGGGGCAGGAGAATGCCTGTGTGTGTCTGCCTGTCTGTGCATGTGGGGGGGGGTGTGGGGGGGGTGTGGGGTGTGGAGTGTGTGGTGTGAGTGTGTGAGGTATGAGTGTGTGAGGAGTGAGTGTGGGTGGTGTGAGTGTGTGGGGTGTGTGATGTGATGTGATGTGTGTGGTGTGAGTGTGTGGGGTGTGTGATGTGATGTGTGTGGTGTGGTGTGAGTGTGTGGGGTGTGTGATGTGATGTGTGTGGTGTGGTGTGGTGTGTGAGTGTGTGGGGTGTGTGATGTGATGTGTGTGGTGTGAGTGTGTGGGGTGTGTGGGGTGAGTGTGTGGGGTGTGTGATGTGATGTGTGTGGTGTGGTGTGAGTGTGTGGGGTGTGTGATGTGATGTGTGTGGTGTGGTGTGGTGTGTGAGTGTGTGGGGTGTGTGATGTGAGTGTGTGTGATGTGAGTGTGTGTGGGGTGTGTGGGGTGAGTGTGTGGGGTGTGAATGTGTGGGGTGCGTGGGGTGTGTGGGGTGTCTCCATGTGCGCTGGCAGAGGTCGAGGGCGGGGCTGGGCGCTGTGCCAGAGCGAGGCAAGCGCCCCCAAAAGCACCTGTGCTGAAATGTTAGCGCCTGGTTAAGCCCCAGGAGTGACAATTGACTGGAAACGTCTGTATTTTTAATTGCCATGAAACTGTAATTATCAGAGCGGCAAATCCCAGGCTCCTCCCTCCCAGGGCACCCCCTCCTGAAAGCGGGGTGTGGCTGCAGGGTCATTGGACTCTGGGGTCCCCGCCCTCTCGCTGCCGCTTGGAGCCGCCTGCCCCCCTCCGCCGTCAGGGGACAGCCAGGCCCAGGGCCCTCCAGCCGCCTCCAGGCCGCGTCCCCCCTGGGGGCTCAGCCGCCTCCCTCCCCTGTCCCCACAGGGAAGAACAGCAGCGGGGGGGTCAGCCCTTAGGTCAGGCTTGATCTGGGAGGTCATTTAATTTGCACCCCCATATCCCCTGCCCCCTCATACTCGACACCCCCTCGTGGTCAGTGGGGAGGGTCAGCCCGAGTCAGCCAGCTGCCAGGATGTGGAGCGGGGGCTGCCCGGACACCCTCAGCAGGCTGGGGCGGAGCTCCTGCCGGGCAGGCCAGCGTGGCCAGGCCAGGTGGCCCCTGGGCCGGCCCCTCGCAGCCCAGCGGCAGCCCCCGTTCAGCTCTTTGCTCTGGCACGACGCGTGCGTCCGCCGAGGTCTGTGTCTGGGCTGATGTCCAGAGCTGAGGCGACGGTCACACGTCCGAGTCTCTCCCAAACACGCGGGCGGCTGCGGGGACGCGGCTGTCACCAGCTCAGCCGGCCACGGTCTGCCCGGAAGCTGGGCGCAGCCACAGCTCCCCGGCCCGGGCGCGCGCCCCTGCCAGGCAGCGGCCACTTCACCTGGGGGTGGCTGGGGCAGCAGGGCACAGAGTTCCCCAGATCAGACGGCCGCCAGGATGCAGCAGCCATGCCAGGCCCTAGGCGGACCCTCCAGCAGCAGGACAGAAGGGCCGCGGGCCTCCCACACCGCCTCGGAGAAGACCGGGTGGGCGGAGCTCAGCCTGCTGGCGATCAACCCCAGGGCGCAAGCCGGCGAGACAGTGTGCCCCGGGCCAGCCAGACCCGCAGCCGCGCCCCTGCCAGGCCCGGAGCCGGGCCCTGACTCCGCCACCAGAAGGGCGTCTGCCCAGCAGGCCTGGTCAGCACAGGCTGGAAGTCCACCGCGTGACCGACCGGTGGATCACTCACGCCATCCGTCGATCCATAGGATCGGGATCCGGGGGAAAGAAAATTTTCCCCATCGGGAGACGTGATCTCACCTGTACAAAATCCCAAAGACGCCGCTGAAAACTGCTGCACCAGTTTGAGGATCCAGGGTTGTCCAGGACACGCAGAAAGCAGCCGCGCGTCTGCACGCCGACCGGGCCGGGCCGGGACCCTCACGGCAGCGCTCGGGCAGGCAGATGCCGGGTGGCGCCGCGGTGCCGACAGGCCCGCTGGAAACCGCTCGCGTGTCAGATGAAGGCCAGAAGTAAGAGGGGACACGCCCTGCGTCTGTGGCCAGCGGCACGGGTGTCACTGGGGGCCCTGGAGCGGCCCCGGGGGCCCGGCGTCCCCATCACAACGCCAGGTTTCTGGGAATTTTTCACAACCCTAAAATCCTCTTGGAACTGCTAAGACCCCAAATAACCAAAACAATCTTCGTTAAAAAGAAAGGTCTGGGGCCTCCCTGGTCGCGCAAGGGGTTAAGACGCAACCTGTGGAGCTGGCCGCAGCCTCTGCAGCACGAGTTCGATCCCCGGCCAGGGAGCTGCCCACCTGGCGCGGCAGCCCCCTCCTGTCTCCCCGGGAGAAGCAGAAGCAGCAGAAGCGCAGATCTCGGGCGACAGCAGGAGACGCGCCTGCAGGCAGAGAGGCGGCGCGGGAGACGCGGCCTGTGGAGCGGGAAAGCCGCCCTAAAACCCGGGGGACCCTCTCTGGACCATGGGGCCCCCTCCTCATTAGCACCAGCCACCTGCTGGGGACCCGGGGCACACGCTGGGCTGTGGACAGGGACGAGGGAAGGTCTCCGCGAGCCGGGCCTGGTTGTGTTGGAAGACACAGGTGAGCAGGCGGCGGAGGGGGGCGGGGGCGGGCGGCACACGTGGGGGTCTGGGCAGCTGCCGGAGGGCGAGGCCTTCGCACTCACGAGTGCCGACTGGGCCGCTGGTTTTGCACAGACTCTCCGGCGGGGGCTCCCGGGTCTGCTCCTCTGGCGGGGGGAGCCCAGACAGACGACAGGCGTGGCCAGAAGCGCCATCGCCCCCCGGGACCACCTCACGGGGGCGTCCCTCGGCGGCAGCGCATCCCCCGGGCCGGCATCCTCCAGAGGCCCAGAGGCGCAGCCCTCCAGGGGCCCCTGCTGCAGTCAGTCCCTGAGCTCTTACCTCCCGCGGGAGCCGAGTCTCCAGAGCCGCGAGGATAAAGCGCAGGAGACCCCCGTCCCCGGCTCGCTCTGCGCGGCAAACCCGCCCGAACCCCGCGGTGCCTGCGCGCCCGTGGCCGGGCCAGCGCCCTCGCCCAGGCTGGCCCAGGCTGGCTCCCGCTCTCCAGCCCTCCACTCCGCGGCCTCCAGGGGGGAAGGGAGGAGCCGGCGAGGCCCGATGGGCTGCTGGAGGTGGGTCTCTGCGCGCTGGGCAGCGCGGGCGGAGCCCCAGGTGGGAGCCCAGTGAGCTCTCCACCGCGGTCCCGGTCCCGGCCCCACCTGCTGGTCTCAGGCCCGGCACGCTGGGCCAAGGAGGTCAGCGTGGCCGCAGGGGACATGGCAGGCGCGGCGGGGGGGCACAGCATGTGCAGGGCCACACGCGTGTGCATACAGGCCAGGGGCTGGCCCTCCCCAGGAGCCTCCCCGGCCGCTGCCTCGCCCCCACCCCACTCGCCCGCCTGGGCCTGGCTTAGACAGAAGCAAAATTTGAACCAAGTCTAGAAAGTCGAGGAGAATTTGGGGCAAGGGAGCCGGAGGCGGGCGTGGAGAGCCCACGTGAGGTGGGGAGGCTGCGGGGCTGCGCGTGGAGACAGGGTGGGTGAGAGTGAGACGGGCGTGGAGCCTCGGGGGCCCCTGCCTGAGCGCGGCTGGGGTGGGGCGGGCGAACCAAGCAGAGCCCAGGGGTGCGGTGCCCTGAGCGGGACCCCAGGACTGAGCGGACCCCGGGGGGCGGGGGGCCACACCGAGGGGACCCCGGGGGCGTCCCCCACACCTGGGCTGAGCGTGAGGCACCACTGGGGCTCCAGAATTCTCTCTCCCCTGAGAGAAGCTCGAGGCGGGAAGGAGATGAGACGATAGGGGAATCCAGTCTGCGGGGAAAAGATGGCGAAGACAGCACATCTTGGAAGGAATTGGGGGGCACCCAGGAAAAGTTTATTCACTTTTAAAGATTGATTTATTCATCATACAAGAGCCGGGGTGCAGGCCAGAGGTGCGGGGGTGGGAGGACTCCCCAGAGACAGAGCGGGGAGCAGAACAGGCGGAAACACGCTGCCGAGGGAGCAGCGGGGAGACGGGAGGGGCCTGCGCGCCCTGTGGGAATCCCCCTGGCCGGCCGGGAACTGAACCCACGCTGCTGGGGCTGCAGACAGCTCAGGCTCTGCACGCGCCACCGGGGAGGCCCCAGGAAAAGTGCAAAAGGTGAGCTGAGAAGGACGAGGTGCCAAGTGAGGAGCGCGGCCGAGGCGGCCGCTGGGAAGGCGGGTCGGTGGCCGCACAGCACAGCGCGGGGCTGCAGGCCGGGCCGGCCCTCCCCGGGCCCCCGAGGGGACGCCGCCGCCCCCCACCCGCTCCCGAAAACACGTGCTGACCGAGCCGGCCCAGGGAGGTGCGCGGCCGGGGCTGCGGGCTGGGGCTGCCTGCCTGGCGGTGACGCCCCCAGTCCCCCGGGCCCGAGCCGCCCGCCGCCTCCTGCGCTGGGCTCCGTCCTGTCCCCGCCTCAGGGGCCCCGCAGCCGCCGCCCCTTCCCAGGAGAGGAGGGACGCGGCGTGGAAGGGAGAGGGGCCGGGAGGAGGCGGGCGGCCGGGGCGGGCGGGCGGGAGGTGAGTGCTTGGGTGACAGATAAATAAACAGCGGCAGATACGGGGGCGACGGACGGATGGACAGACAGCCAGACCTTAACACAGAGGAACTCGTCTACATTTTTCAAGTGAATGTGTGACAGCAGGACTCGCTTTACTCTCCCTTCTGAAACAAAATGACAAAGCCGGGGACTGGCCCCAGCCGGGCCCCAGCCTTCCAAGCAGCGGCCAAGAGGACGGCCCTGGGCAGGGTGGGCCGCGGGCGGGTGGCCAGTCCCGTCCTGCAGGCCCCGCCCTGCTCAGTGGCCGCGCTGGGGCTGCACCGCAGGACCCCGGGACGGCACAGGGCCGCCCGTTACAGCGCCTTAGGGCGCAGCCAGGGCCGATGGCCGCCGGCAGGTCATGGGGCCCCTGACCCACTCTCTCCTCCAGCCCAGGCCAGCTGAGGCCACGGAGGGAGCAAACACCAGCTCCCCCAGCACCGTCTTCCCGGTGGCTCCTCGGACCACCCCTGGCTGGAGATGCCGCTCTCTGGCGCCTTCCTGCTCTCCTCCCTGCCGACCCTGCCGGGCCACGGTTCCATCGTCCTCTCCCTGCCGGGCCCCAGGCTGCGCACCCCCATGTACTTCTTCCCGGGCAACCTCTCCGTGCGGGACCTCCGCGTCACCAGCACCATCGTGCCCCCGCTGCTGGCCAACCTCAGGGGCCCCGACAAGACCGTGGCCTTCTGGGGCTGCGTGGCGCAGGCCTACCTCTTCCCCTGGACGGGGTGCACCGAGTGTGCCCTGCTGGCCGTCATGGCCTACGACCGCCACGTGGCCATCTGCCGGCCCCTCCGGTACACCCTCCTCATGCCGCCCCGGGCATGCGTGCAGCTGGCCGCCGTGGCCTGGGTCAGCGGCCTGGCCAACGCGCTGGTGCAGGCCACGCTCACCTTCCAGCTGCCTCACTGCGGCCACGGCAGGCTGGACCACTTCTTCTTCTGCGAGGTGCCCGTGCTGATCAAGCTGGCCTGTGGCGACACCACGGCCAACGACCTGTCCCTGGTGGTGGGCGCCCTGCCCTTCGTGCTGGTGGCCCCCGTGCTGGTGCTCGTGTCCGACGCGTCCATCGCCAGGGCCGTGCTGCGGTCGCCGGCAGGCGAGGGCAGGTCCAAGGCGCTCAGCACCTGCAGCTCCCACCTGGCGGTCGTGCTCATGTCCCTCGGACCCGGCAAATACATGGACCTGCAGCCGCCGGCCCGAGGCGCTTCCCAGGCCAGAAGGGGGCAGGACACCCCAGGAGGGGAAGAGCACCAGCTCCCCGAGCCCGCAGCCTGGGCGGGCACCCCGGGTCTGGAGCGGCGGCCCCCGGGGCTGCCCGCTGGGGCCTGACACACGCCTCTTCGCGCCCCGGCCACAGGGCCAGCTCTCAGTTTGGGGAACTTGTGCCGTGTGATGCCGGGAGCCATCCTCACGTCCCGCCAGCGCCTGGCCAGGCCCGTCTCACCTGGGGAACTCGCCGCGTTTCTTCCTCGTTAAACACACGTCTAGAGCGCACCCCTGGGTGCCTGTCCGCGTGGGCTCTGATCCTGAAAGGGGGTCGCTGGGACTGCGAACAGGAAGGTCTGGTGGGGGGAGCAGGGGATGGTCTGGGGGCCCTTGCTCCCCCTTGCCAGCTCGCTGGGGCTCTGCACCCGCCCTCGGGCTGCCCCTTCCTGGCCGGTGGCCCCGCAGGCCTCCCCGCAGTGAGGGCAGAAGCAGGAGGCCGAGGGCGCGGTGGGGAGGAGCGGGAGCCGCTCGTCTGGGTTCTCAGCAAGGCCTGTGAGGGGACGGGGAGCTCGCGCGGAGCGGGGCACCCCCACCTCTCTCCCAGCGCCTGGTGACACCTGCCGCGAGGCTGGGGGATCTCAGGAATGACTTGCCGCCTGAGATGGCTGGGATGGGACAGGTGCCCCGGCCTGATCCTGGGGGCCGTGAACGGGCATTTTCTGGAAGACAAGCGGGTCCTCAGTGAGCAGCAAGGGCCCGGCCCGGCCCGGAGCAGCACAAGGAGGATCACGGGTGCACCCCAGGGGCCTGGTGGGCAGACCCAGGGTCGGGGTGGGCAGAGTGCTGGGGACACCGGCACAGGGGCTGGGGACGGCCGCTCCTGCCACTGCTGGACCCCGGCACCAGGCAGCAAGCGCAGCGCAGCAGCCTGCAGGGAAGGGGGGATGGATGGACGGTGGCCGACAGACCACACACGCACGCGTCCGTGTCACTCGGGAACACGCAGCATCTCGCTGACGCAGGTTATGTCACTTCCTGATAAGTTCCGGCACCGAGAGACCATAAAGCCTTCCTCAGAGGGGGGCCTGTAAGTCCCCCCCCTACTGGAGAGGGCTAGCGGTCGGGACCAGCCTCCACCCTCGCCAGTCTGGCTCCCGCTCCCCGCGGCTCTGTGGGCACCCAGCATGTGCGCCCGGGATGAGGGGCCTCTCCTTGAAATGACGAAGTGGGCGCATTCCCGAGGGCCCCAGCGGCCGCCTCCTCGGCCTGGACGCCAGCCCTGGGGTGGAGCGGGAAGGACAGACGTGCACGCACGCAACTGCAGGGCGCAGCCAGGCGAGCCCCGACCGCGCGGGGCCGCCCGGGGGCCTGCAGACGGCCTGCGGGGCCGGCTCTCATGCCCACCTTGTCGCGGCCCAGGCCCACATGCACTCCCCGCAGGAGGGCGGCAGGGCGCAGAGGACGGCCCCCCGGCAGCTGGCCAGTGGCTTTGCCCACCCGGCTGTCTTGTCTCCTGGGCTTGCTGAGCAGTGGACACTCGCTGGCCTCAGACTCCCGGGGCAGCTACAGCCGTCACTGAGCAGGGGCCGCTCTGTCGCGTCTTCCTGAAGCCTCCGTCCTCCTGGGCCGCCTCCACCACCGGCTGGGGCCCCGGAGGCCTCGGACACCAGCGTGGCAGGGACAGCTCGTCTCGCCCATGCAGCTGCTGTGACCGCCTCGTCCAGCCGCCCCCGTCCTGCTCTCGTTTCAGAATCTCGAGTCTTAACTTTCTTAATATTTCTCTTCTCCCAAACGTCCCACTAGGAGGCTTTTCTCCCATTTGGTTTTCCTGCGTGATTAAACTGGACATGTAGGCCTTTCCACTCACATTTTATTTCTGAAACATTTTCCTCAAAAAAGCAGCCCCCTCCATTTCCCAGCGCTGCTGTGCTCCCCCCACCCCCTGGCTGGGCTGCGCGGAGCTTCCACTCGCCGGCCGGCTGGGAGATCTGGGTGGTTTTATTTTAATTAATTAAAATAAAGATGCGAATCACAGGTGCCTCTGGGCCAGGTGGGCCAACGCTGTGCGGCAGCAAACACAGCCTCCCAGGGGTCAGTGACTCCTGGACACGCCGTGGTCACTGCCGGCCGATGGGCAGCTGGCGGAGCTGACAGACTCCTCTGGCCCAGCAGCAGCTGAAGACAGGATGCAACGCCCACCAGGGCTCCAGGCCGCGTGGTGCAGGCGGCGGTTCCCCACCTGCGTGGCCGGAGAGAGGGTGGACGCGGCAGTGACTGGAGCTGTGTGAGGGGCAGTGACCTCCCGTGCAGGGTCTCCAGAGCAACCTTCTGGTGCGCCATCAGGCGCAGGGGCTGTCTGGGCTGCACGCCCACCCCTGCCGGGCACACCTGCCCCTGCCCTTCCCAGCCGTCGCTCCCAACCCCCTCTCCAGGCTGTCCAGTCCACCCCGTCCAGGGGACACGTGAACAGGCATCCGCCCGTGGGGAGCCGGAGGTGCTCGGCGCCACCGCACAATGTCGCTCTGCCCTGTGCCCGCCCGTTGTGGAGCGAGGCCGGAAGAGGCGCACAGCTGCAGGACACGGCGTTGGGGGACATGGCCAGGGGGGGAGGGGGGGACGCACCTGTCCGGGCACGTGCCGAGGACCAGCCACGCGCGATCCAGCTGCCAGTCAGGCAGAGCCCGCCCCACCGGCCCCGTCTTTTAGGATTTGCGGTTAATTGCACCCCAGACGCGCCCCGCAACAATTATCGGTGAACCCCTCAGACGCTCATTAAAGAAAACATCGGGGATCGCTCCAGCCAGCGGAGAGCGAGCTTCCCCTTGACGTCTGGGGAGCGGGCAGCGCCCTTAAAGGAGGAAGGGGTGAGGGCATCACCTCGAGCAGAGCACACCAGGGGCGCCCCCGCGCTCACCCTGGGGCAGGTGAGCGCCCACCGACAGCCCCAGGTGGAGGCCCCGCCCGCCCCCCACGGGGAGCCGGGGGCCGCTCCTCTGCTGACCAGGCTGCCCTCGGCAGGGAGGCGAGCCCAGGTAAGGAGCCGGGCGCGTCCTCAGAGCAGCACTTGCTGCCGAGGGCAGGAGGGGCGGCCCCAGGGTGGCAGGGAGCCCCTGCGCTGACACAACCGCCCCTTACTCAGCCCCCAGAAGCCAGCACCCGGGGGCGGGCCCCGGGCCACAGGCTGGAAGCTGGCAGGGCAGAGCAGCGGGGCCGCGGGCAGAGCGGCCAGCACGGGCCGGCAGGCGGGGGAGGCCCTGGGGCCCGGGTGCCCAGGCCAGGCGGGGCTGGCGGCCGTCAGCTCACGGAGCTGGAGCCGGGTCGAAGCGGATCCGCCTGGCGTCTGTGCTTCCCTCAGACCAGAGCTTCTGTCCAAGAGTCAGAGCAGGACGGGGCTGGGCTGCCCACGCCAGACCCCACCTGCCAGCTCCGGGGGGACTTGGCAGCTGCTGCTCCCTGGCATCCGGGCGGCGGACGGGTCAGGCAGGATTTCGATGGGGACGGAGCCTGGGTCCAGCCGGCAGCAAGCCCCCAAGCCCGCCTGGCCCTCCCAAGCCGCCCACACGCTGCTGCCTGCTCGTCGGGCAGGTGACACGCAGGGTCCTGGGTCACCACGGCGCCCCCGTGTGCACGCTGCCGCCAGCGGGCAGCCTGACGCCGCCGGCCCCAGCAGAGGGCATGGGCCAGCAGAGCCCGGCACCTGGGGAGAGGGGGCCGTCCGGGCAGCCGCCGTCCCGGGCAAGTTGCTGGGCTGCAGCCTCTGCGGACCGGGCACACGGGGCCGCCTCCTGAGCGAGGAAGCGGAGGGGCCAGGGCGTCCTGGAGCTGGACCCAGGGAGACCCCTGCAAAGGGCCTGACTCGAACCTGAGTGTCCGCCTGGGGTCGGCGTGTGATGTGCCCGCGTGTGTACGATTGTGTATGTTCGTGTGTGTATTCATGCGTGTGAATGTGCTTGTGTGTGTCTGTGACTATTGTTGCATAGAGTGAGTGTGTGAGTGTGAGGTGCATGTGTGTGGAACACGCCTGCCACACTCACCGTGCGGGACGAGCACCCTCACCTCTATCGGGCCGCTCCCCCCGGTTGGCGGAGCTGATCCCCTCTGGCCACTGGGAGTTCAGGGCCCCACCAGGCCTGGCCCCCTCCCCCGCAAGCAGTGACGCCGACCCAGGGGCCAGCGGTCAGCACGTTGGGGCGCTGGCCCTCTGTGCCCACCATCTTGCCAAGTGCCTTTTCCAGCAGGTGTAGGCTCTGAGGAGAAGTTTGTCCTCAGCAAGCATGGCCACGAGGTGTCGAGCGGACACCCGCCCAAAGTGGCAGGACGTGCCCACCCCACCCCAGCCCCCACTGAGCCCCACGCGTGCTCCCACGGGAAAAGGCCTGGGGTCACAAGGGCGCCAGGGGGTGCGTGGGTGCCTTGCGGTGAATGCCGGTCGTGTGGGACCCACACACGGGGACCTAGTCGTTGTGAAGGCCGGGAGGAGGGACAAGCTGCCCGCGTCATCCACCTGTGGGGCTGGGGTGCGTTTGTGGTCCTGGGCAGGGGTGGGGCTAGGGGCTGTCGCGCTCGGGAGCCAGGACTCTCGAGGCAGTGGTGGAACCCCAAGTGGAGCCAGGGGTGTCCGCCAGGAACAGCTGCTCGGCAAGGACACTGTCCAGGGTGCCCAGCCATCAGGGCCATGTCTCTCCCTGACCAGGGAACCCCTCATGCTCAGGGTCAGGGTGCCAGGCCCAGCCCAGGCAGAAGTCCCCAGTGGCACAGGCCAGCCCCTCCAGGCTCTGCCATGCACCCATCTGTACCCACCCTGTGCCCCCCACAGGTGCAGAAAATGCCTCAGCATGAGGGGTGACAACCAGAGCTTCTCAGGGGGGGCCCCAAAGGACTTCGTGTTGCTGGGCGTCTCTGACAGGCCATGGCTGGAGCTGCCCCTGTTCATCGTGCTGCTGGTGTCCTACGTCCTGGCCATGCTGGGCAACATCTCCATCATCCTGGTGTCCCGGCTGGACGCCCAGCTGCAGAGCCCCATGTACATCTTCCTCAGCCACCTGTCCTTCCTGGACCTCTGCTACACCACCACCACGGTGCCCCAGATGCTGGCCAACATGGGCAGCTCCCGCAAGACCATCAGCTACGCGGGCTGCACAGTGCAGTATGCCATCTTCCACTGGCTGGGCTGCACCGAGTGCATCGTGCTGGCCGCCATGGCGCTGGACCGCTACGTGGCCATCTGCGAGCCCCTGCGCTACGCCGTCATCATGCACCGGCCGCTGTGCCAGAGGCTGGTGGCCGTGGCCTGGCTCAGCGGCTTCGGCAACTCCCTGGTGCAGGTGGTGCTGACTGTGCAGCTGCCCTTCTGCGGGCGGCGGGTGCTGGACAACTTCTTCTGTGAGGTGCCCGCCATGATCAAGCTGTCCTGCGCGGACACGGCTGTGAACGACGCCACGCTGGCCGTGCTGGTGGCCTTCTTCGTGCTGGTGCCGCTGGCCCTCATCCTGCTGTCCTACGTCTTCATCGGCCGCGCCGTGCTGCGCATCCGCTCGCGGCAGGGCCAGCGCAAGGCCCTGGGCACCTGCTCCTCCCACCTGCTGGTGGTGTCGCTCTTCTACCTGCCCGCCATCTACATGTACCTGCAGCCACCCTCCCGCTACTCGCAGGAGCAGGGCAAGTTCATCTCCCTCTTCTACTCCATCATCACCCCCACCCTGAACCCCTTCATCTACACCCTGCGCAACAAGGACGTGAAGGGCGCGCTGCGGCGGCTCCTGGGCAGGGTCTGGAGGCTGTGCCGCGGCTGAGTCTGGCCCCGGCCCTGCCTCAGAGCGGGCAGCCCCGCTCCGGCCACACCCCGGCCACGCCCTGGAGGCCACAGCCGCCCGCAGGGCCAGCGCCGGGCCTGGACAGAACTGTGCTCCATTAAGTGCGGTCACACCCTTGGATGATGCCCACCGCGCCCCTCCGTGTCCCCTGCCTCCTCTCCGTCGCGCCACAAACGCGGCGACCCTGGCACGCGGCCTTCCGTCACTCACAGTAAACGCGTGTTCGTCCTCGTGTGTTTAATGCTCCATGAATTTATTTGGCTTTGAAAAACATCCAAAGAGGAAGGACACTACCTCCTCCTCCTGGCCTGGTCGGCCCACCTCCCTGTGGCCAGGTCTTTGCAGGACGTCTCCCGCACCGCGGTCTGCAGGCCAGGCCAGCGCGCAACCTGGGAGGGGGAGGCGGGAGTAACGACGGGGTGCTGGCAGCTGATGTCTGGGGGCTCCAAGTTGCAGCCGCACACAGGGCCACGACCCGCCCCAACGCCCCCAGAGTGTGAGGCGTGGGAGGGTCCCCGGGCCCCATCCCGACAGGAGGGTAACCCAGACGCAGAGGTGAGGCGGGAGAGGCCGTGAGGTTCCAGGTCAGAGGACCCTGTCCGCCCACCCACGGGTGGCAACAGGCCGGGTCCAGGACCGTGGGTGCCCGGACTGGACCCAGCCAACCTCTGCGCAGTTCCGCTGAGCAGTTCTGGGCCTGCCCCTCCCGCCCCCAGCCCTCACACTCGGGAAGCCAGGAGACAGGGTCCGAAGCGGTCAAGCCCAGCTGCGGCTGCCACTGGAGGCAGAAACGGGGTCCGCCCAGGGCACCCACCCCCGGCAGTCCGCAGGACCTCCCAAGAGGGTCAGGACCCAGTCAGAGATGGCACAGGGAGGCCGGGCAAACACCTGCCACCCTTCCAGGCCCCACGGCTGGTGGGCAGCCGAGCCGAGAGCACCGAGGAGACACCGTCCTCCCCCAGCGCAGGGGGTCCAGGGCCTGGCCTTCCTCTGCTCCTTTGCCGCAGGCAGGGGCCGGGGCGGCGAGAGGCCGGTGGTCTCCCCTCAGCCACGTGTCTCCAGCCCCAGGAGTCCACCCTCAGACACACGCAGGGGCTGGTTTGCACAGGTCCACTGCAGGGGCCGGGGCCAAAGGCTGGGGAAGCCTGACCCCCGGGGTGCAGCTCGGGATACAGAGAAGATACAGGCCTCGCTGGGCCTCCCGTGGCTCAGCCGGGCGCCTCGGGCAGCTGGCGGGGACAAGGCCCAGAACAAGGGGTCCCTGGACGTCTGCTGCGAAGCCAGTCTGGGACAGGAAAGTCCAGGACGGCAGGTCGTGAGCCAGAGGGGCAGGCGCGAGCTCGGGGCGAGCCGACCCCGGGAGACCTCACCTGCGGACCCGGCTGATTTCCCTCGTGGGGGGGCCCCCAGGGCCTCATCAGCCTCGGCTGCTCAGCCTCCCCGGAATAGGGAGGAAATTTCCAGGTTCCCGCGCCAGCCGCTGAGGTCTGCCCAGGCTGTGATAAAGGCAGGGCCGGAGCCCCCGCCGCAGCCCCGTGGCGCCTGGAGGTGAGCGGCGCTGGCCGGAGGGGCGCGAGCGGGAGCAGCGAGCGGCCCCGGGGGCTCGGGCGGGGCACGTCCAGGCACAGGACAGCAGGAGCAGCGGGGAGGGCGGCCGTGAGCAGCCCGGGCCCAGGCAGCGGGGCTCAGAGTGAGGAGCTGTCCTGGCTGGTGCCAGGGACGCCCTTGAGGCTGGAGGCGAAGGCCAGACAGACAGACAGACAGACAGAGGCCGCCCAGCCCCATTCACCCGCGCATCCGAACAGCCAGACCGGAGGGTCGGAGCGGGAGGAGGTGCGGGGGGGGCGGGGCGGGGAGGGCACCAGGGCCTGCCGGGCGGGATCACGGGCTGGGCAAGGAGCTGCCCCCACTGGGCCGAGGAAGAGGCTGAGAGAACAGTGGGGGCTCGAGGCGCGGGGGGCCGGCAGCCATCCCGGGAGGTGAGACGCGCCCACCTGCGCTATCGGGCGCCCCCGCCCCCTGCAGAAAGTGAGCAGGGGCCCCACCGGGCGCTGAACTGCAAGGCCAGGGGAAGAAGCCCCGGCCCGGGAGCGCCGGGCCCAGCTGAGCGTACCGGGGCAACCTCTGTCTCCTCAGGGGCGAGGATTCAGGGGCACGAGGTCCCAGGGCAGCCTCACGCTCGCTTAGGGGCCACCACCACCCACGCCCCGTCAGCCCTGCACGACTCAGCGTCCCGTCTGCTGCTTGGGCCTCAGGAGCACCCTGTGATTGCCGGGGGATCACCCAAGACACACATCCTGACATAAAGCCTCTTCGCTGGGCACCAAAGGGCAGCTTGAGTGCACGGGGGGGCCCTGCTCCTGTAGGGAGGGTGGCGGGTGGTCTCGATAGCTCCCCCACACGCGCGGCCCCCACAGGGCAGGCCCCCCCAGCGCAAAATGGCCACCCCGGTCTACCCGGGCGAAGAGGCCACCCATGACGGGGCCTGTCTCCAAAGGGGCTCCATCTACACCCTGGGAGCTCACCCCTTCTCCACTGGGGCCCGCTGATCTGCCCGCGCCCACCCTGCCCCAAGTGCCACAGAAGTGGCTGTTTATTGGGAGTTTGGGTTTGGATTTTTAGATCAGGGAGGAGGCGCCTCAAGCCCCCAGCGTCCCGGATGCCAGGACGTCCTCGCTCCCGCCTGAAGAGCAGCGCGGCGCGGCCACGTGGCGAGGTCCCGCCCGGGACCCCCGCGCCCGCATCCGGCCCGGCCCTGACGCTGCCCTGACCCCAGGAGCGGGCGCCTTCCCTTTGGGGGTTTTCCCGGCACGGCCCGGAGCGGGACCAGGCCCCGCGGTGGCTCCGTCTCGCACCTGGGGCATCCGTGCACGCCGGGGCGGAGCCGCTCAGCAACTCCAGCGCCAGGGCCGTCCTCGGCGGCGCATTCATCCCGGTCCCGTGGATGCTCAGCTGTGGCTCCCGCGTGAGTCGGCCCCAGCACCCCACCCCCCGCCAGCCGGGCGACCACCACCCAAGCCACTGTTCCCTCCCGCGTTGTTCCTGCCGCGCGCGTGGGCTCCCTGTCCTGCGCCCTCCGGTGCTCTGCGGGGCTCCCACCCACGCAGTCCCTCTTCTTCGTTCTCCGTTTTGTCGCTCCTGATGTAGGCATCAGGGTCTTGGTCCTGCCTGGCCCGCGCCGGGGGAGCACCTGCCTCCTTCGCGGCTCCGGGCCTCACATCCGAGTCCTCAGCCCACTCTGCATGGACCTTCTCTGTGAGCCTCCACGGCCGGCTGGGGGACGTCCTTCTCCGCCCAGTGGCCCCGCTCCCTTGTCAGGCCCGGGCGGCCGCGCCAGCGGGAGCGGAGTCCGTGTCCATTTCGTGGCTCTTTTTTCTACTTCTGTAAAAGCTCCACCGACAGCTCGGCAGCATCTCAGTGAGCCCAGACGGCTTCGTGGTCCGGACACACTGACCATCCCCTCGCTGGCCTTGGGATGCCCCTCCAGCCATCCGTGTCCCCTTAGGGCTCTTTCGACAAAGCAGAGCAATGGCACCACCTTGGCTATGTTTGTTTTTAATAAGTTGTTTTTACCTTTTGCTATTGAAACAGATAGTTTTCCTATCACTGATTCACATATCCCATCATTAGGGAATAGAGAAGCTCCTGATTTTTGAATATCCGTTGTGGATCTTGCACATCTACTGAGTTCTTCCATTTAATCTAATGGTCCTGGGTGGAGTGTTTGAGATTTTCCTTATATAAGATTGTGTCATCAGCAAACATGCCATTTACTTCCTGCTTTCAGCCGCTGCCTTCTCTGTTTCTCGGCTGATTGCTCTGGCCGGGACCTCCAGTGTCATGCGGGCGGCTGCCTCGTTCCTGATCGCAGAGGAAAGGCTCGTCCCTCCCCGCTGAGACCAGTGGACACTGCCCTGACACGCAAGGTATGTCCCTCACAACGTGCGCCAGGTTTCTTACCATGAACCGATGTGGATTTTGTTCAGTGCTCTCCACCCATCGAGGATGGTCGTGGACTTCTTTCAATCTGTTAATAGGCGGGATCAGAGTGATTTGTTCTTGCCAACCACCACGGCCCCGGGATTACCCACCTGAGTGCCATAGGGCCCTTCAAGGGCTGACCCGGGTCTGCTGCAACTTGGTTGGCCACACTCAGCCTCCTTTCCATGCACGTGTGCAGCTGAGATGAGGCTGTTCCTTCCTCTTCAACAATTTGGAAAAGTCTGAGCAACAGGCATCTTCTTTTCTGTAAATTATTGATAAAATTCCCAGTAAACTCAGGAGGCCGGGGAAGGGCTTTGTGGAGAGTAGGAAGGTCCAGCCTCCTCGGCACTGACTGGTCGGCTGTGATGCCTTCCCTTTGTGACCCAAGCTTCACGGGTTGCATGTTTCTGAAAATAGTCTCCTCTCCTAGACTGTTCAGTGGGTTGGCGGGTGGCCCTTCGTAGTGTCAACGTTAAAATCTGCACATGCACCAGGTCTCAACTAGCAAAATATTCCTGCAGGCCAGCAAATTTCATGTCCCAGTAGTAATTGATGTGAAAGAGGCTTGAATATGCAACACCAGTAATCGTGCGTAACTGAATTTCTACAACGTGAGCCACAAGTTCTGCTCCTCCAGGTGCTCCACGGACACGCCTCTCCTTCCCTTCCACAAGGATGCTGGAAGGACCCACCAACACCACCTTCCCAGATGGCTTCATCCTGTTGGGGTTCTCAGATAAACCAGGACTGGAAATGACCCTCTTCGTGCTGGTGTCCATCTTTTACATGGTCACCCTCGGGGGCAACATCACCATCATCCTGCTGTCCCACCTGGACCCCCAGCTCCACACCCCCATGTACTTCTTCCTCAGCCAGCTCTCCGTGCTGGACCTCTGCTTCACCACCAGCTGCATCCCCCAGATGCTGGTCAACCTGTGGGGCCCGGACAAGACCATCAGCTACCTGGGCTGTGCCGTCCAGCTCTACATCTTCCTGGGGCTGGGGGCTGCCGAGTGCGTGCTGCTGCTGGTCATGGCCTTCGACCGCTACGTGGCCGTGTGCCGGCCCCTGCACTACGCTGTCATCATGCACCCCAGGCTCTGTCACAAGCTGGCCTTCCTTGTCTGGGTCAGTGGGATTTTTGACACCTTGGTCCAGTCCCCCTCCACCATGAAGCTGCCCTTCTGCCCTCACCACCGGGTGGACGATTTTCTCTGTGAGGTCCCTGCCCTGATCCGCCTGGCCTGCGGGGACACGCACGTCAACGAGCTCCAGATATCCGTGATCGGCGGCACCTTCCTCCTGGGGCCTCTCCTGCTCATCCTGGTCTCCTACGGACGCATCGCCCAGGCAGTGCTGGCCATCCAGTCCCAGGAGGGCAGGAGCAAGGCCTTCCGCACCTGCTCCTCCCACCTGGTGGTTGTCCTTCTCTTCTACTGCACCGCAACCGCCGTCTACATCCGACCCCGGAGCCATTTCTCCCAGAAAGCAGGGAAATTCCTCACCCTTTTCTACACGGTGGTGACCCCCACGCTCAACCCCCTCATCTACACCTTGAGGAACAAGGACGTGAAGGGGGCTGTCAGGAGACTCTTGGCGAAAGGCAGGCAGGCCGGGGAGGACTGAGGTGGCTTCAAAGTCACCACAGGCCCAGCTGCGCGACTGCGCTGCCTGAAACCCAGCCCGGCTGTCTCCATCCACTAGGGCCTCGGCGCCCTTATCTCGTCAGGTGTCAGTGACTGGCCCGGCTCTGGCTCGGCCCCCGGAGCTCCCACAGCACCCGCCTGTCGGGTCCTTGTACTGTGAGTAACCCCGGCCTTCTTGGTTTTCACACCTAAGCTGAGCTTGCACACATGTAAGCGTTTTGATTTGCTTTTGAAATCGCTGCCGCTCTGGGTAAATGCAGGGTCAACATTGTTTCACTACAATCTCTGTGTTTTAAACCTTTAACGCCTATCACAGACATCCTGAAAATAAAGGTCTAAAGGCCTCTTGGTTGACGAGCAGCACAGGTACTATGGGAAGTCTTACAGGCCTCCTGAGACACCCGCGAAGTCGGCCTCTCCCCTGGGGACAGAGACCCCGCCACGGCTCACGCCCGCTGGCCCCACAGGACACACCTCAGGCGAGGGGACGGGTCAAGCTTCCGGCGCCTGAGTGGACATCAGTGCGGATACTCTGCGAGTCAGAGGACAGGGGGGCGTGTCCTGGGGTGGCGTTAGCCTTGTTGGAGCTGGCGGTCACCCCAAATGCCGTCGGCCTCAACGTCCAGCAGATCTCCTTGTCAGTCGCCGCAGCATAGTCAGAACTTCATGGCCCTTTAACAGTCTTCTGCCCCCTGCAGTGATTTTCACCGATGCTTTCCCGGGAAAAGGACGTCCACAGCCTCTAGAGTCACAGTCTCGTGGGACCGACACGAGGAACCGCAGAGCTGACTGTGACCAGGAGAGAACTGGGCTCCTAAACTAGCTAGTAGGACTCACGCCTCCAGCACCACACTGCATGCGCCCTGCGCTGTGACGTAACAACTCTGAGGGTTAGGGTGGAGTCGCCCCAGATTTCAGGGACCTGGGACCCAGCAACGACGCGGGGCCCCTTCGCGGGCGGCGCTCTAGCTTGCGCCCCTCCCCCGCTGACACCGTCGCGGCGTGGAGACCGCGCGGCCACCGTGACTCTCACGGCCGCTCCCTGCTCGGCTGAGACAGGTGCTCGCTCGCGCCCGCGGGAGAGCGGCCGGGCCACGCGCCGGCGCCGGGACAACAGCCGCCGAAACACCCCAAGTGGCCAAAGGCCAAACACCAAAGCCCAGGGCTGCTGCAGCTCAGCGCGGGGCTGTGGGCTTGGCCCGCCCAGGACAGGCCCGGCAGGGCTCGGGGCGGCGTCTGCGGCTCCCCACGCACAGGCCCCCTCGGGCTCCAGCAACACCCAGGGGCTCTCAGGGGTCCTCCCAGGCGGCCCCACCCACGAGCCTGATTGGCCCCTGTAGGACCAATCAGCTCACACCTCACACCTCACTGGCCCAGCGCATGATCCAGGAAGTGCGCGTCACATAAAAGGTCTGAGGCGCGGCTGCTGCTACCGCCTGTGCTGCACGCTCGGGGCCGCCCTGCAGCTGCGCGGCCGCCCGAGCGCTGGACCCGCCCCAGGCCCGCCCGCGTGGCGCTGGCCCCGCCGTCCTGGACTAGGGACAGCGTCGTGGGTCCCCAGACGACTGCTCCCGGGGGACCCACCAACGCCCCGCGGGGAAGATCCAGGGACGGACGCCCCCCCCAGCTGCCCGGGCCGCGGGGCGCGGTTGTCAGGGCGCCCCAGGCCCGGCGACAGCGGCGCCCCCCTGAAGCCCGCGCCCCGCCGGCGCCGCCCGTGTCCCTCGTGCTCGCCGCGACCAGGCCCCGCGGGCCGACCCGCGCCAGCGCCACCGGTGCCGAGTCACCCGCCGCGGCGCACGACGGCAGCAAGGCGCGAGCCAGGCGGGAGGACAGCGAGGCCGCAGGCTGACTCCGCAGCGCCGCCAGGCGCCCCACCCGCCCCGAGCTGGCGCCCAGCCGAGGACGGGGCCCCCCGCGAAGGCAGCCGTCGCCCGTGGGCCTCGCCCGCGCTCTCGCTCGCAAGAGCCCTCGGGCTCCAAAGGCCGCAGCCACCACCGCGGGGCACGGACTACACGCGGAGCAGAAGGCTCGCCGCGGGGGCCGCGATGGCCGCCAGCCGAGATAGCGTCAGGGGCGGCCGGCACCGACCTGCCCCCGCCGCCAGGAGCGCCGGGCAGCACCGGGCCCAGAGCCCCCCTCGAGAAACCAGTGCAGAGCAGCTCCGTCTCAGGCCGCGCCCTGCGGCGCCTCCCCTTCCCGGGGAACAGCTGGCGACGCCGCTCCCCCCCTTCCTCAGGAGCTGCGCCTTCTTCCTTCCAGGGCTGCGGCTGTCTCTGTCCCGCGCGCAGCTCCGGACCCGGACCCGGACCCGGACGCAGCTCCAGCTCCTCCCCGGGGACTGCCAACGTGGTCTCCCTGCCGCCGCCGCGAGCCCTGGTTTATATCCGCTCCCGGGCTGCCCCGCCCACAAGTCTGATTGGACCATTTTTCAATCCTGTGGCTGATTGGACCGTTTACCCATCAGCCCATAGCACTGATTGGCCCATTCCACGACCCAGGAAGCGCACTTTGCATAAACAGGCTCTGGGAGTACCTGCCGCCAGGACCTGTGGTGAGAGGCGGGTCCTAGTAGCAAGAGTCTGATTGGACCGTTTAGCACCAATCAGCTCACAGCGCACCCGCCGCGAGCGGAGCGGCTCCACGATTGGGCGACGCTAGGATCCAGGAAGTGCGCTGTTAGATAAAAGGCCTCCCGGGCGCGCCCGCCCCAATTGACTGGTGGAGCCGCAGGGTGAGGGACCCGCTGCTCCCGGCCTCCCACAGCGGAGGTGGTTCTTTCCGACAAAGAATGGGGGTGAACAGGAAAGACAGATGTAATCAGTAATAAATACCCTTGTAAACATCAGAGTCTGCTTCTCAATACTTGTTGAGCTTTTTCTCCTACACTATGAGTTGGATTCTGGACTTTACAGCTGTTTTACTATCATGATCCAGATGTTTCCAGGTTTTCTTTTATGACTTGGACGTGTTAATATATAAGATTCTCTAGGGTGAGCCCCTAGAGATGAAGGGGAGAACTTTCTGTCCTTATGGTGGCTATTTAAAAAAAAAAAAAAAGATTTATTTATTTATGCATACAAGAGCTGGGTACAGGCCAGAGATGCGGGGGGTGAGAGGATCCACCAGACACAGAGTGGGGAACAGAACAGGCAGATCTACTGAGATACATGCTGAGGGGAGCAGCGGGTGCAACAGGAGAGGTTGTTCTGCCTCGCCATGTGGGTCTCTCCCTGGCCAGCCGGGGATCGAACTCATCTGCAGAGGCTGCGGACAGCTTCACAGTGCGGTGCTTAACCCTGTGTGCCACCAGGAAGGCCCACGGTGGCTATTTCTGAACACCTGATGACATCCAGCTGCAGCTAGAAACCAATACCTACCCTCCCATATGAAGATGTTTCAACAACAACTTCTAGAATTTCTAGACAAGTTTCCCTCAATATTCCCCAACGACAACCTTGAACCTTTATTTTCTGCTGCTTTCATTGAAATGATGGTTGTGTCTGCAAGATACAGCCTTTACTTGGGGCCCGCTATGGGACCGCTTCTAGCAGTCAGGCACACTCGTTAACAGAATGATCTGTTCTCAGGCCTAAGAGATCTTCTTGCAATAATTAAATTCCAAATTGCGGACATCTTGGGACATGTCAAAGTTGGGACTGCACAGAGGCAAAAATCTGCCTAAATATGTCTATTTGGGAAGAAATACATTTCCTAGATATACATTTCCTGTCCTTTGTGAAGACACTTATTCATATGTAGAAGAAGCTCTTCCAGTATGAGGTCTCTCCCTCACTCAATCAACCCTCATCTCCTCAACTCTTCTCAGCGAGAAGATTGAGTTCAAATCTGCAGGCCAGCCATGCCTTTGTTCACTGCATCTTCAAGGGTGAATTCCATAACCAGCCTTTCCTTCTCCCACCCATCCTCCTCAGCTAACCTCTGCAGTGACACTGAATCTAAATCCACGGGCAAGTTAATCGGTTGTGCTACGCTTCCCCATTTGCACAGGAGGACACAGGATAATTCCAACACTCTGCAGCTATTTAAGCTACAAGCATCTGCCTGGTGCTCCCCCAATGTCTCGTCAGGAAGCACATGGAGCAGAACAGGAGACTCCGAGATGGCACACAAGGACAGAACGCACTCAGCTCACAAGGATGCTCCTAAGCTAGTGACTAATTCCATGTGCACACAATAAGCTGGTTTGGGACAGAAACGTCTAACTGAGAGACTGGAACTACAGGAAAGAATCCATCATAACGTGCCAGCCCTGTCCTCAGAGATCAGAGCCGCAGAGGTCCCAAGGAGGGAGAATGTGCCTGAAGCTAATTTCCCTGAGAAGGGCCCCAGGGGTCTCATCAGTCTCAGCCACTCAGTCTTCCTGGAATAGAGAGGAAATTTCCAGGGCAGCGCTTCTGTGAATCTTCCCTAAGGCTGCACGGACAATGCCAATAAAAGCAGACCAGCTGTCAGCCCTCTACAACCATGGTGTCCGGGAGGTGAGTCCCCCTTCCTCGGGCTGCAGGTCTGGGCTGAAAGAGTGTCCATGCATTTGGGGGCTGAGCCCTTGGCTCTCGGGGTGTGTCACTGGGGCTGAGGGTGCGATGTGAGTGGTGGAAACCCTGACACAGCGGTGGTGACAATAATGAGAACTCAGGAGTGCCCCAGGACACTGAGGGTGCCTCTGGGGGCTGCCCTGGTGCACACAGAACAAAGCCCATGACCAGAAACGCGAAAGAGGATCGGCAGGACATCACCCTAGGACTGGAGCTGTCCTCGGCCCAGGGCAGAAGAGAGATTAAGACCGGGACATGCATGTATTAGAAGCGATGCCGAAGCCACTCAAGGGTCTGAGCACCACTTAGATACAAAAGGAGACAAGACCCCACCCCATCCCCACCCCTGGTAGAGGTGGGCCAGCAGAGGGAGGCCCACAGTGTCACGGTGCGAGCAGAAGCATAGAGCCCCCTGGACACACTGACGTGCACGTCCAGGAAAGCCCAGAGGAGTGAGGTGCGGGCTGCGGCTGGGGGAGGCACCTTGCCCAGGACTTGGCCCTGCCTGACCCTGGGGAGCACCCCAGGATCCTCCCGAGAACAAAGCAAGGAGAACAACCAGAGCCCTCCAGCTCAGGGAAGCAGGCCAAGTGCCCTCCCCAACAGCAGCATGGGCAAGGAGCGGGTGTGGACTCCATGCAACTGCAGGATCCAGGCTCAGCCACAGGCCCTTACTGTGATGCTCCATCACCTCTGCTGACTGCGGCGGCACTCGGGCTCCGCGTCTGCCCAGTGAGGGAACCGCAGCCCTGGGGTGTCCTGGACAAGCTGCCCATGCAGGAGGCCAGTGAGAGTCCGGCCAGTGGCGGGTATGAGGGCGCCAGGAAGACTACCCGGGACTGAGGATCTCGGGGCGCCTGCACCCCTGATTCAGGGAGCAGGAGCAGATGTCATGGCCCTCACCTCAGGGTCCCGCGTGTCCAGGCCTGACAAGCTCAGGTCAGACGACACTGGCACCCACATGAGGCTGGAGCCATGCAGGGATCCCCGTCTGAAGCCCAAGGCTGCCTCTCGGGTTTGGGTCACTTTAGGTGCCAAGTGCCCCGAGAGCATGCCACAGTCAAGAGGTGCGCACAGAGAGCAGTGGGGTATCTCCATCTTTCTACGCCAGCCTCACAGCCAGCCCCAGGACTGGGGCCTCGGCCAGGGTGACCGGTGCCCCGGACAGAGTCACACGTCTCACAGCCCCGTGGAGGTGCCGGTCGGGCCACGTGGCGGTGGGCGCGTGTCCAGCAGTGGCGTCTGCATTGGGAGACTCACCGCCTGTGTCCTCGGCCACACTTGTCCCTCTCCCGATTCACCTGCCCACCCCGGGCTTCTCGGACCACCATTTTGGGCTTATGCTCCCAAAGTTGTTCTTACCATTCATTCATCCACTGGTTTCTCTATAGACCACGTGTGATGACACAAACCGTAACCCACAGTCACCGAAGCGGCAGGAGAGGGTCTGCTGGATCCCAGATAGGGCACTAAGAGCAGGTGAAGCTACTTCAGAGGGACAGCAGGGCCAGCTTGCAGCTCTGCTCCACATGCTTGGCCCTGGCTTTCCCTAGAAACATCCAGCTGAAGACCTGCTCCCGTGGGAAAGTCCCAGGGGTTCCTGAGGCAAGTGAGGGCCAGGAAAGGTTAGGGAGCGCGTGCGATACTCACCGTCTAAATACTCCTGTGCGACACCCACTGTCTAAATGATCATGTGGGATACACATTCCCTCAAGATCCTGTGGGATACCCATTGTCTAATTACTCATCTGAGATGCTCATTGCCCAAAACAAAACTCTCTGCTCCCCAGGTGGTGTCTAACCGAGTGCTGTCCTCTCTTCCAGACGGGTGCCCGTCGGACCTGCCAACGACACCTTCCCAGATGGCTTCATCCTGTTGGGGTTCTCAGATAAACCCCGACTGGAAATGACCCTCTTCGTGCTGGTGTCCATCTTTTACATGGTCACCCTCGGGGGCAACATCACCATCATCCTGCTGTCTCACCTGGACCCCCAGCTCCACACCCCCATGTACTTCTTCCTCAGCCAGCTCTCCGTGCTGGACCTCTGCTTCACCACCAGCTGCATCCCCCAGATGCTGGTCAACCTGTGGGGCCCGGACAAGACCATCAGCTACCTGGGCTGTGCCGTCCAGCTCTACATCTTCCTGGGGCTGGGGGCTGCCGAGTGCGTGCTGCTGCTGGTCATGGCCTTCGACCGCTACGTGGCCGTGTGCCGGCCCCTGCACTACGCTGTCATCATGCACCCCAGGCTCTGTCACAAGCTGGCCTTCCTTGTCTGGGTCAGTGGGATTTTTGGCACCTTGGTCCAGTCCCCCTCCACCATGAAGCTGCCCTTCTGCCCTCACCACCAGGTGGACGACTTTGTCTGTGAGGTCCCTGCCCTGATCCGCCTGGCCTGCGGGGACACGCACGTCAACGAGCTCCAGATATCTGTGATCGGCGCCCTCTTCCTCCTGGGGCCTCTCCTGCTCATCCTGGTCTCCTACGGACGCATCGCCCAGGCGGTGCTGGCCATCCAGTCCCAGGAGGGCAGGAGCAAGGCCTTCCGCACCTGCTCCTCCCACCTGGCCGTCGTCTTCCTGTTCTACTGCAGTGTCACCGCCGTCTACATCCGACCCCGGAGCCATTTCTCCCAGAAAGCAGGGAAGTTCCTCACCCTTTTCTACACGGTGGTGACCCCCACGCTCAACCCCCTCATCTACACCTTGAGGAACAAGGACGTGAAGGGGGCTGTCAGGAGACTCTTGGCGAAAGGCAGGCAGGCCGGGGAGGACTGAGGTGGCTTCAAAGTCACCACAGGCCCAGCTGCGCGACTGCGCTGCCTGAAACCCAGCCCGGCTGTCTCCATCCACTAGGGCCTCGGCGCCCTTATCTCGTCAGGTGTCAGTGACTGGCCCGGCTCTGGCTCGGCCCCCGGAGCTCCCACAGCACCCGCCTGTCGGGTCCTTGTACTGTGAGTAACCCCGGCCTTCTTGGTTTTCACACCTAAGCTGAGCTTGCACACATGTAAGCGTTTTGATTTGCTTTTGAAATCGCTGCCGCTCTGGGTAAATGCAGGGTCAACATTGTTTCACTACAATCTCTGTGTTTTAAACCTTTAACGCCTATCACAGACATCCTGAAAATAAAGGTCTAAAGGCCTCTTGGTTGACGAGCAGCACAGGTACTATGGGAAGTCTTACAGGCCTCCTGAGACACCCGCGAAGTCGGCCTCTCCCCTGGGGACAGAGACCCCGCCACGGCTCACGCCCGCTGGCCCCACAGGACACACCTCAGGCGAGGGGACGGGTCAAGCTTCCGGCGCCTGAGTGGACATCAGTGCGGATACTCTGCGAGTCAGAGGACAGGGGGGCGTGTCCTGGGGTGGCGTTAGCCTTGTCGGAGCTGGCGGTCACCCCAAATGCCGTCGGCCTCAACGTCCAGCAGATCTCCTTGTCAGTCACCGCAGCATAGTCAGAACTTCATGGCCCTTTAACAGTCTTCTGCCCCCTGCAGTGATTTTCACCGATGCTTTCCCGGGAAAAGGACGTCCACAGCCTCTAGAGTCACAGTCTCGTGGGACCGACACAAGGAACTGCAGAGCTGACTGTGACTAGGAGAGAACTGGGCTCCTAAAATAGCTAGTAGGACTCACGCCTTCCAGCATCACACTGCATGCGCCATGCGGTTCATTGAAGGTTATGGTTGAATCACCCCAGATTTCAGAAGCGTCTTCCCTCTAGAGAAGACCTGCTCACGTGGGAAAGTCCCAGGCGTTCCTGAGGCAAGTGAGGGCCAGGAAAGGATAGGGAACGTGTGGGATACCCACTGTCTAAATATTCCTACAGGGCCTCCCCTGGTAGCGCAGCAGTTGAGCGCTGGGCTGTGAAGCTGCCCACAGCCTCTGCAGCAACGATTAGATCCCCAGCCCCTGGGCGAGGGTCCCACATGGTGCGCAGACCTCTCCTGCCGCCCGCTGCTCCCCTCAGCAGTGTATTTCATCACTCTGCCTGTTCTGTTCCCTGCTCTGGTGAATTCTCTCGCCCTCCCACACTTCTGACTCTACCCAGTGCTTGTATAAATAAATAAATAAATAAATAAATAAATAAATAAATATTCCTGTGTGACACCCACTATCTAAATGATCATGTGGGATACACATTCCCTCAAGATCCTGTGGGATACCCATTGTCTAATTACTCATCTGAGATGCTCATTGCCCAAAACAAAACTCTCTGCTCCCCAGGTGGTGTCTAACCGAGTGCTGTCCTCTCTTCCAGACGGATGCCCATCGGACCTGCCAACGACACCTTCCCAGATGGCTTCATCCTGTTGGGGTTCTCAGATAAACCCCGACTGGAAATGACCCTCTTCGTGCTGGTGTCCATCTTTTACATGGTCACCCTCGGGGGCAACATCACCATCATCCTGCTGTCCCACCTGGACCCCCAGCTCCACACCCCCATGTACTTCTTCCTCAGCCAGCTCTCCGTGCTGGACCTCTGCTTCACCACCAGCTGCATCCCCCAGATGCTGGTCAACCTGTGGGGCCCGGACAAGACCATCAGCTACCTGGGCTGTGCCGTCCAGCTCTACATCTTCCTGGGGCTGGGGGCTGCTGAGTGCGTGCTGCTGCTGGTCATGGCCTTCGACCGCTACGTGGCCGTGTGCCGGCCCCTGCACTATGCTGTCATCATGCACCCCAGACTCTGTCACAAACTAGTCTTCCTTGTCTGGGTCAGTGGGATTTTTGGCACCTTGGTCCAGTCCCCCTCTACCATGAAGCTGCCCTTCTGCCCTCACCACCGGGTGGACGATTTTCTCTGTGAGGTCCCTGCCCTGATCTCCACCTGGCCTGCAGGGACACGCACGTCAACGAGCTCCAGATATCCATGATCGGCGGCACCTTCCTCCTGGGGCCTCTCCTGCTCATCCTGGTCTCCTACGGACACATTGCCCAGGCGGTGCTGGCCATCCAGTCCCAGGCGGGCAGGAGCAAGGCCTTCCGCACCTGCTCCTCCACCTGGTCGTCTTCCTGTTCTACTGCAGTGCAAACGTTTTCTACATCAAACCAAAGAGTAAATTTTCTCAGAAATCTGGGAAGATCTTCACCCTTTTCTACACGGTGGTGACCCCCACGCTCAACCCCCTCATCTACACCTTGAGGAACAAGGACATAAAGGGGGCTGTCAGAAGACTCTTGGGGAAAGGCAGGAAGGCCGCGGGGGACTAAAGGACTTGGCATCAGGTCAGTGGCCTCGTGTCTCCCACTGAAGGAAGTGACATGCTCGTGGTGGGGTCTCTGCGATCAACCAGACCAGAATCCCTTGTCTCATGTAGTCGCCTGACAGAGCAAACCAAAGGGGGCACCGTCAGTCTCGACTATGCCATCATGAGATGCTGCTCTCATGCATTGGAGTGGACCCCACGGCAGCCATTTCCAGAGCCTTGTACCAGGAATGAACCAGCTGACGAGGGAGGGCGGGGCAGGCAGCATCGGCTCAGCACTGGGACCAGAACCAGGAGGACAGGCAGGTGCTGTGATGCCCTGGTGGCCTCTGGGAGATGACCTGTGAGACTCATTGTGACAGGATTGGCAGTGCCACTTTTAAGCTAGCAGTTGAGAGACAAGGTGATGGAGGATATTAGGCTTAATGAGCTGGGTGTCAGGATTGCCCCATCAAGGCCCTCTCCTGAGCTGGTCAGCAGAGCATGGCTGTCAGACCGGGAGACACCAAGGACCACCATTCGTCCCCACATTGCTCCTGCTCGCCAATCAGCATGCGTGCCAGCTGCTCACCACCTGTGAGGAAAGTGCGTTAAAATCAGGCTATTTTTCACCTTGCACCCTTTGGACATATAGCAGGCAACAGGTGGGCCTTACAACAATGTATGTTTCGTGTGGCAATTGGCACTTATTAGTGTAAAGGGGGCTCAGTGGCTATTCTGCCTCAGAGTCAGAGTCTCATTGACTGCCTATGTGTATGGTCCCGTTTCCTTATTAAAGGCCTAAAAATCCTGCGAAGGCTCCACATTTTCTTTCAGTCTGTGAGAAATGACCATGAACCTAGCAAACCTGGGATGGGTGCACAGCAAGTGGCGTAGTCGGCAGGATGGTGCAACACAGCTGGATATGGAGCCCTCTGAGACCTGGAGAGAGGTTGAGGGGTGCCCAGCCATGAGCAGCTGGTACCTGGTGGCCAGTCTCCTGTCCCAGTGGGCACCTCCCCATGAATGGCCAGATGTAGATGGATCCCATGCAGTTAGAACAGGCCCTGCAAGGAGTAGAAGACACCTTGGACAGAGGTAGCACCCATAAGGTGCAGGAGCTGTGAGATGGGTGCTTCTCACAGCTCTAGGAGTGTATGCAGAGAGAGAAAATCAAGGTCATGAATGGGCAGGAGGAGACCTAGCACCTACAGAATTGTGTGAAGTGGCTGGAAGAGGAGATGGAGAATCCGACCTGCCACTCCAAAGGCACCAATGCCCTCACCAGGGGGAGGAGGAGGTTGGACTCTGGCTCCGGGTTTCCACTAACTTAATTGGGTTATGACCAGAAAAGTCCAAGTAAGCAGATCGGACTGATGGGAGGGAGCCGTCCCAGAAACCCACAGGCCCATCTAATAGATCAGAGCAGTTCAGATGAGTCCCGAGGTGACCTTAACTTGCCACAGAAGGTATTCAGACCAAATTTAATTTCCCTGAGAGGTCCCTGGGGCCTTATCAGTCTCAGCTGCTCAGTCTTCCTGGAATAGAGAGGAAATTTCCAGGGCAGAGCTTCTGTGAATCTTCCCAAGGCTGCATGGACAACGTCAATAAAAGCAGAGTGGCCATCAGCCCTCTACACCATGGTGTCCTGGAGGTGAGTCCCCCTTCCTCGGGCTGCAGGTCTGAGCTGGCATGGCAGAGTGTCCATGCATTTGGGGGCTGAGCCCTTGGCTCTTGGGGTGTGTCTCTGGGGCTGAGGGCATGAAGCGAGTGGTGGAAACCCCGACACAGTGGTGGTGACAATAGTGAGAGCTCGGGAGTGTACCCAGGGCAGCATGGTCTCACTGAGGGTGAGGGGGGCACCTAGGCAGACACAGGGCGAAAACTCTGACAATGAGCACAACAGAGTGTTGGCAGGACATCACCCTAGGACTAGAGCTGCTCTCGGACAGGACAGAAGAGAGATTGAGACGGGGACATGGACATGCATGTATTTCAAGTGAATGCAGGAGCCACTCAAGAGTCTGAGTGCCACTGAGACACAAAAGGAAGCAAGACTCCACCCCACCCCCACCTGGCTAGAGCTGGCCCAGCAGAGGAAAGCCCCCCGGTGTCATCGTGGGAGCAGATGTGTGGAGCCACCTGGACATATGGACATCCCATCCTGGAAAGCCAGAGGAATGAGGTGCGGGCAGCAGCCAGGGAGGTGCCTGGCCCAGGAGAGCACCCCAGGATCCTCCCAAGCACCAAGCAGGGGGCCCCACCAGAGCCCTCCAGCCCAGGGAAGCAGGCCAAGTGCCCTCCCCCACAGCAGCATGGGCAGGGAGCGGGTGTGGACGCCAGACACCTGCAGGGTCCAGGCTCAGCCACAGGCTCCACCATGATGCTCCATCATTTCTGCTGACTCTGCAGGTGGGACCTGGGCTCTGTATCTACCTGGTGAGGGAACTGCGGCCCTGGGGTGTCCTGCCTGAGCTGTCCATGCAGGCAGCCAGTGAGAGTCCGGCCAGTGGTGGGTGTGAGCACGATGGGAAAGCTACCTGGGACTGAGAATCTCGGGGTGCCTGCACCCGATTCAGGGAGTGGGAGCAGATGTCGTGGCCCTCAGCTCAGGGTCCCGTGTGTCCAGGCCTGACAAGCTCAGGTCAGACGACACTGGCACCCACATGAGGCTGGAGCCATGCAGGGATCCCCGTCTGAAGCCCAAGGCTGCCTCTCGGGTTTGGGTCACGTTAGGTGCCAAGTGCCCCGAGAGCATGCCACAGTCAAGAGGTACGCACAGAGAGCAGTGGGGTATCTCCATCTTTCTACGCCAGCCTCACAGCCAGCCCCAGGACTGGGGCCTCAGCCAGGGTGACCGGTGCCCCGGACAGAGTCACACGTCTCACAGCCCCGCGGAGGTGCCGGTCGGGCCACGTGGCGGTGGGTGCGTGTCCAGCAGTGGCGTCTGCATTGGGAGACTCGCCGCCTGTGTCCTCGGCCACACTTGTCCCTCTCCCGATTCACCTGCCCACCCCTGGCTTCTCGGACCACCATTTTGGGCTTATGCTCCCAAAGTTGTTCTTACCATTCATTTATCCACTGGTTTCTCTATAGACCACGTGTGATGACACAAACCGTAACCCACAGTCACCGAAGCGGCAGGAGAGGGTCTGCTGGATCCCAGATAGGGCACTAAGAGCAGGTGAAGCTACTTCAGAGGGACAGCAGGGCCAGCTTGCAGCTCTGCTCCACATGCTTGCCCCTGGCTTTCCCTAGAAACATCCACTGAAGACCTGCTCCCGTGGGAAAGTCCCAGGGGTTCCTGAGGCAAGTGAGGGCCAGGAAAGGTTAGGGAGCGCGTGCGATACTCACCGTCTAAATACTCCTGTGCGACACCCACTGTCTAAATGATCATGTGGGATACACATTCCCTCAAGATCCTGTGGGATACCCATTGTCTAATTACGCATCTGAGATGCTCATTGCCCAAAACAAAACTCTCTGCTCCCCAGGTGGTGTCTAACCGAGTGCTGTCCTCTCTTCCAGACGGGTGCCCGTCGGACCTGCCAACGACACCTTCCCAGATGGCTTCATCCTGTTGGGGTTCTCAGATAAACCCCGACTGGAAATGACCCTCTTCGTGCTGGTGTCCATCTTTTACATGGTCACCCTCGGGGGCAACATCACCATCATCCTGCTGTCCCACCTGGACCCCCAGCTCCACACCCCCATGTACTTCTTCCTCAGACAGCTCTCCGTGCTGGACCTCTGCTTCACCACCAGCTGCATCCCCCAGATGCTGCTCAACCTGTGGGGCCCGGACAAGACCATCAGCTACCTGGGCTGTGCCGTCCAGCTCTACATCTTCCTAGGGCTGGGAACTGCCGAGTGCGTGCTGCTGCTGGTCATGGCCTTTGACCGCTATGTGGCCGTGTGCCGGCCCCTGCACTACGCTGTCATCATGCACCCCAGACTCTGTCACAAGCTGGCCTTCCTTGTGTGGGTGAGTGCAGTTTTTGGTTCTTTGGTGCATTCACCCTCCACCATGAAGCTGCCCTTCTGCCCTCACCACCGGGTGGACGACTTTGTCTGTGAGGTCCCTGCCCTGATCCGCCTGGCCTGCGGGGACACGCATGTCAATGAGCTCCAGATATCTGTGATCGGCGCCCTCTTCCTCATGGGGCCTCTCCTGCTCATCCTGGTCTCCTACGGACGCATCGCCCAGGCGGTGCTGGCCATCCAGTCCCAGGAGGGCAGGAGCAAGGCCTTCCGCACCTGCTCCTCCCACCTGGCCGTCGTCTTCCTGTTCTACTGCAGTGTCACCGCCGTCTACATCCGACCCCGGAGCCATTTTGCACAGAAATCTGGGAAGATCTTCACTCTTTTCTACACGGTGGTGACCCCCACGCTCAACCCCCTCATCTACACCTTGAGGAACAAGGACGTGAAGGGGGCTGTCAGGAGACTCTTGGCGAAAGGCAGGAAGGCTGCAGGGGACTGAGGGACCTGGCATCAGGAGGTCCGCAGCTGCCCGTCTCCCAGCCTAGGAAGTGACATGCTCATGGTGGGGCCTCTTTCGATTAGCCGGACCGGACTCCCTTGCTTCAAGCAGTCGCCCTACAGAGCAAACCAATTTGGGGCATCGTCAATCTCAACTCCGCGGTCATGAGACGCTGCTGTCATGGGTTGGGGTAGACCCCACGGCAACCCTTTCCAGAGCCTTGTACCAGGACTGAACAAGCTTGAGGGAGGGCAGGGCAGGCAGCAGGGCCTGGCGCTAGGACCGGGAAGACAGGCTGATGCCATGATGCCCGGGGGGCCCCTGGGTGCAGACACAGCCAGCTGTGCTGAGGTCCCTGGCCCGCACCCACCCTGTAGCATCTTGATTCAACTTCACCCTGACCCACTGCCCATGCAGGCCAGACGAACAAGGTAGCAGGTGGAATGAAGAGGGAGCACCGGCTGCCGCGTCCCCTACCTGTCTGTCCTCAGGCCTGAAGCCCCCGGGGCCTCTGGCAGCGCAGGAGGTGACTCATGCTCCCCCGGCCCACAGGGAGCTCAGATTCTGCCCCCGCTCCTGGTTGGACTGGGCACCACCCAAACTGTGGCTGCGAGGCCCCACTTGTGTCCTGCTTGGCTGCTCCCTGTGGCTGTTGTGACCTGTAGGGTGAGCCCCTGAGCCACATGAGGGCTTCTCATGCTCCTGCTCAGAAAGCACCCCTGGGACTCTGCACTCCCAAATCTAACAGGATCTTTGGACTAAAGTCATTCTCTCGTGCCAGCTGGCAGGCTAAATGGACCTTGTGCCTCGAGACCCCGGCAGGTTGCACCAGCTGCCAGAGCCAGCATGGAGCAGGGCCCCTCGCCGTGCCCCGGCAAGGCTGGGGCAGTCTGGCAGGGTCACCTCACCAGACGCGGACACAGACACCCCCCTGCATAGAGAAGCCTCCAAGCCAACGCTCGGCTAGCTCTGCCCAGAGGCCCATGCCCCACCGGGCAGCCCCGAGGCCCCGTCTCAGCACCAGAGAGCACCCCCACCTGCTGGAACCTGCCTTGTCCTGCCATGCCTGGTGCGTCCTGTGCTGTGAGCAGGCCTGTCTGGACTCCTGGCCCAGCTATAAAATGTTCACCGGCTGAATCGCTGCTGTATTGGGAACCCCCACTGGAATCCTAGAGCTCTCCATTCAAACAGCGGTCATGTTGGTGCCGGCGAAAGGATGAACTGGAAAGGAAGTGTCGAGAAACACGTTGCGCCGCGGCAGGGACTCCTGAGACTCAGGCTTAAAACCAGGGCTCACAAGGCCCCTGGCCCTCGCTCTGCGAGGCCAGGACACCCACGATGGTGTGAGGCTGTGCGGCCGCTAGGGGGCACTTTTGTGCCTGAACACAAAGCCAAGGACTGGAAGAGAAATTGAAGGAACACTCGGGGCTGTCAGGAGCCCTGGGGGGCCAGCGCCCAGGGAGTCCCTGCAGAATGCCACCCCGAGCCAGTGGGGGTAAGAACACAGGGCTCTCCTGCGCCCACCCGTCTCCAGGGCCCTTCATGAAAAGAGTCCTTGTTCCTGACTTTTTCTTTTGCCCTTTGTCATCCAGCACCTGACTTGCTGGGGGAGGGGGGCGGGGGGCGGCCGCGTGGCCCCAGGCGGCCCGGGGGGGGGGAACTTCCCCTGCTGAGGGGGCCAGTGAGGAGAAGCCCCGGTGCCGCCACAGGCCCGGGCAGGCAGGAGGCCACTGGCCAGCGCCAGGGCAGAAATCACCCGGTACAGCCTTCTTTGGGGCTCTCTCCTTTGTGGGGGCTCATTTTTGTTGATTTTGAATAACTGTAGACTCTGAAGAGGCCCAGAGACTGTGCACTGGCCTCCCTGTCCGCCTCCCACCTCGCCGGCGCCTGCTGGGTCTGGTCTCCCCCGGGCCTTCAGTTCCTGAAGCTGGTCTGACACTACGGTGGCCACATCCACCCCAACCTGCAGCTCCTGGCTGGGGGCCCCAGCTTCCTGGCCCTGCGGCGCTCTCTTTCCATCTCTCCTACCCCCCACTGCTGGGACTGGCTGCGGGCTCGAGACGCTGCTCCACCAGGGCCACGCCCCTTCCCATGCCCCTTTCCATGCCCCGCTCCCCGCGCGTCCCTGCGTCCCTGCCCTCCCCGACAATGGGGGGGCCTCATGAGTTTGCCCTGAGAAGTAGCCCAGGGGCCTCCCCAATCTGGACCAGCGGGCGCGCCAGCGCGGGACAGCTCAGCCGCTGCGTCCTTCCCCGGCCAGGTGGGGCGGAGACCCTCTCACGGCCACAAAGAGCACCCGGGCCAGCCACCGAGGCCAGCCACCCAGGGCGCCCCGCGGTTGTGTCACCAGCCCCGATACTGCGAGTCTCACCTGGGCCGGCGCCCCAGGCGCACCCAGAGCCGGTTCCCCCTGACCCCCCGTGGCCCCAGCAGCCTCACGCGCCGGGATACACAGTCCCCAGCAGCCACGAGTGGCCCAAGGCTCCGCCAGCCACAGCAAATGTGGATGTTTTATTGGAAAATGTAACTCTTACCAAAAATATTAAATATAAATATGTTGCTGCCACAGAATTCCCAAAAATCTATTGTTTCCTCCGTGTGGTTAGTCAGTGAAGAGAAGCTGGGGGAGCAAAGGGAAGGGGTGGAAGCAAACCCAGAAGTGCTTCCCAGCCACCCAGCGCCCAGGGAGCAGGTCTCCGCCTTGGGGGTGGGGGTCATGGCCCTGAGCCCCGCCTGGCTCCTGCGGCTGCACCACAGCTCCGGTCTCAGCCCACAAACCCCCTGCACCCCCTACGTCCCCGGGGGCGCTGGACCCCACCCCCACCCGGGCAGGGTCAGAGGGCCAGAGTCGGGGCGCTGGCCCCGTCCTCAGTACAGCGAGGGGTCGAAGACCACGGTCAGCTGGGGCTTCTCCTCCTGAAGGGTCTCCAAGCGGCTCCTTGCGTCCCGGTCGAGGGACATGTCGCACAGCCTGTGGGCGAGCGGACGGGTCGGCCCAGGACAGGGTCGCGCCCCCCCCGCCCCCCGCCCCCCGCCCCCCACTCACTCCAGCCTCCGCAGGCCGCAGCCCGGCCGCAGCAGAGCCTCGCACAGCAGCGCCACGCCCGCGCCGCCCAGGTCGTTGGCGCCCAGCCCGAGGCGGCGCAGGCCGGGCGCGCCGGTCAGCAGCGCGGACAGGTCCCAGCAGCAGCGCGCGGTCAGGCCGCAGCCGTCCAGCCTGCGGGGCACAGGCTGAGCTCCAGGGCCAGGCCCGGCCCCCGCCTGCTCCCCGCCCGCCCGGGCTCCCGTGCTCACTCCAGCGTCTGGAGCCCGCAGTCCGGCCGCAGGAGCCCCTCGCAGAGCCGCTGCAGCCCCGCATCCCCCAGCGCGTTGCCCCGCAGGTGCAGGTGCGTGAGGTGCGGGCTGGCGCCCAGCAGCGCGGCCAGGGCGGGCGCACAGGCCTCCGAGGCCCCAGCGTTCACCAGCCTGCGAGCAAGCACAGGAGTGGAGCTGTGGCCCGGCGGCCCCCGGGGGTCCCGCCCCACAGCCGCCCCGCACGGGTGTCCCCTCCCGGGGAGAGCAGGGACTGCGCCCTCGTCTGCCCCTGAGGCATCGCGCCAGGGAGCGAGGCTGGGCGGTGGCTCTGGGGCAGCGCAGCACGTCCAGTCGGCCCACAGGACCGTCCCTCCTGCAGGGGACTGGGGCACCGTCCTGCCAGGGCAAGACTGTACATCCTCCTGCCTGGCGTCCCCTAGCGGGCGCCCCACTCCAAACTTTAAGGGATCTCAGTACCCACGAGAAAGAGGAACGCACACCCTGGGCCAACGCCCTCCCCAACTCCCCCAGCCCCCCAACCCCACAGTCCAGGCTGGCAGCACCCCACGCTGTTGCTCTTTTTAATTTACCAGCGGCCCCTCTTGTGTCACGGGGGTAGGGTTTATGGAGTGTCTGCGGGGTGCTTGGCTGTGGGCTGACCTTAGCCAGGGTCGCGCACAAACCCTATCACAAGCTCTGCGTGCGGGCGTCACTTTTATCCCCTGATTTTCCAGTGAAAAATCGCAGGTCAGCGCAGTCACTTGGGGGCAGCAGGGGCACCGGGCAGACGCGGGGCGGGAACCCGAGGCACGGGGTCGGCGGCCAGTCAGCACTCCGGCCCCACAGCCCAGCTGACACCTGCGTGGCCCCGTCCCGGGCCTGCAACCCGCCTCACAGGACAGGCAATGCTTCGAAGCCCGCCCCCCATCTCAGCTGCCCTCCAAGAGCAGCCCAGGGGCACCCGCAGGTGTGTGGACGAGACGCTTCTGCGGACTCATCACAGCAAAACAGCAGCAGCTGCTCAAAGGCATTTACTACGCGGTTAAATAATCTATAGCTGCAACCACCACGAATAGGCTGTTTAGGAAGGAGAGACGGTGACTGCGAGGAGGGGCTGGTGGAGCGGTCAGCCGGCTCCCCAGCAGCCCTTCACGGACGCCCCAGCAGGGGCCCAGAGGCTGAGCCAGGGTGCAGGCGCCCAGGCCCAGGAGGACCCCAAGGAAGCGCCCATCCGGACCCGACCCTGCACTGGCCTGCCCAGGCTGCGCCCCAGCAAACTCTTCCTGGAGACCCCCACACCCGCTGCATGCCCTGCCCTCGGCTCCTCGGGAGCCAATGTTGAAGTGACCCCCCAGATGCAGGCCAGTGCCCAGGAAGACTCACCCCAGCTTCTGCAGCCGATATTGTGGGCCTTTCGCTTTCTCACATAAAATTCCAACACCTGCGTCGCCCAGAGCGTTGTCCCCCAGGTAGAGCCCGGTCAGGTGCTCGCTGGTGCTCAGCACAGCCGCCAGGTCCTCACAGCTCGCCGCGGAGAGCCCGCAGCTGACCAGCCTGGCGCGGGGGGAGGAGGTCGCGCCACCGCCAGAGAGGCCCGAGCTAGAGTCCTGCCCTGCAGGGGCTCCCCGCATGCGCTGGCCACACCCAGTTCCTCTGGCCGCGCCCTCCTGGCTTCCCTGGACGTGCTGGCCACGGTTAAACACAGGTGACCCTTCCCCACCATTTCTAAGCTGAAGTCGGTTCCCTGGCGCAAGGCGGCCCTACAGCCCCGCACCACACCCAGACCCAGACCCCGCTCCCCAAACTCACTCTGCCCCATCGACGCTGCTGGTGGCGCCCCCTCCCGTGCCCCAGCACCCCTGCCCCAGCGCCCCCTCCACCCTGCGTCCCCTCCCGCAGCTTCAGGGCCCCAGCCCCTCCACCCGCCCGCCCCAGTGCCCCCTCCACCTGGCGCCCCCTCCCATGCCCCAGCACCCCTGCCCCAGCGCCCCCTCCACCCTGCGTCCCCTCCCGCAGCTTCAGGGCCCCAGCCCCTCCACCCGCCCGCCCCAGTGCCCCCTCCACCTGGCGCCCCCTCCCATGCCCCAGCACCCCTGCCCCAGCGCCCCCTCCACCTGGCGCCCCCTCCCGCGCGCCCCTGCTGGGTCCAGCTCTCCAATAACACGCCCGGCGTGTGCTCAGGGCGCTGTGGGCACTGGGCTCCTTGCAAACACCACCCACTTTAATCCCCCCAGTGACGTGGCGAGGGCGGTGCTCCTGGGGTGTGGGGGCCGCCCAATCCTGCCCTGCCAGATCTGCACTCCTCCCCGGCCTGGCCACCGCCAACAGGGTGTGCCCCCTCTGCTCGCCCAGCTCCCCACTCCCGGGCACAGACTGCCCCACAGCCCGCTCCACCATGGACAAGACCGAGGTGGACGGGCCCAGCCCCCCGCAGACTCACCAGAGCTTCCTCAGGCCGCAGGACGGCTGCCGCAGCCCCTCACACAGCCGCCGCACCCCCGCATCCCCCAGCACATTGTGGCTCAGGTCCAGCTCCACCAGCGGGCAGGGGCCGCCAAGCACGGCCGCGAGGCTGGGGCCGCAGAGGTGGGAGAGGTCGCAGCGCCCCAGCCTGGGGCGAGCACAGAGCAGGTCAGAGGGCACCAAGGGTGGGGCGACGAGGCCACCTTTGGGGGGCCCAGGACCAGGCTCGGGCGCGCAGGGCCTGCCGGTGGGGGCACTGTCCATGCCCCAGGGTCCTGCCCCCTTGGCAGTCTGGCTGGTGCCCCCTCCCCCAAGGCCGGCGTGCAGCCCCTCCCCCCGCACTCACCACAGCCTCTGCAGGGCGCAGGCGGGGTCCTGCAGCGCCTCACACAGCACCTGCACCCCAGGGTCTCCCAGCGCGTTGTCACTCAGGTCCAGCTCAGCAAGGTTCGGGTTGGCGCTCAGCACGGAGAAGAGGCCCTGGCACACACTGGGCGTGAGGTGGCCATCCAGCGTGCTGGGTAGGGAGAAGGCAGGACGAGCTCGGAGCAGCCCTGGGCACAGAGGGGCCGGGACTGGCCGCCTGGGGTTGGAGGTGTGGGGGCAGGAGCTGTGACGTCCCCCCCAGCCCCTACCATCTCCCCTGCCCATGCATGCCCGAGGCCCCACCCCTCAGAAGGCAGCCAGCCAGGTGTGGGGCCCCCGCGAGCCCCAGAGCAGCCGCTTGCCCCTCCCGGTCCCAGCACCAGGCCTGGAAGCGCCGCTCACCCGCATGGTCCTCGGCCCAATGTGGCCAGAAAACGCCTCTGGTGTGCGGGAGGGAGGGTGCCTCCCCTGGCCTCCTGCTGGCCAGGGCCACCTGTGGGGGGTCACGGCCGCACCCCACACGCACCACCTGCAGGCGGCCACGCACACCCCCCCTTCCCTGGCCCAGTGTCCCCCACGCGCCCCTCAGATCCCCAGCCCGACCCACTGCCAAGCCTGTCGCTGTCCCTCGCACTCCCGTCAGGGCCCACCGAGCCATCACCCGGGAAGCCCCGCGGGTCCTGGGCCAGTGGGGCCATCTCTGGTCCCCGCACAGGCTGAGTGCCGAGGCCCGGTCGTCCAGCCGTCGTGGCTGTGGTCCAGCACCTGTCCTCAGGCCGTCCCCACCCCTCCTCCTGCACGCCAAGGCCCAGGGGCCCGACCAGGAGGGGCGGCGGTGCCGGCAGGGCCACGGGAAAGGGCAGCGGGGCGGTGGAGACGGCAGGGAGGCCCTTCCTGCCCCAGCCCCAGGCCCACTCCTTACCGGTGGGGAGAGGCTGCCCACGGGCCCCGAGGGACGTAGGGCTCCGGGCCAGGGGTCCCGGCCGCGGCTGCCTTCTCCTGGGGCTGGGCGTGCAGCACCCGCAGGGACAGCGAAGTCAGGCTACAGCTGTGCTGGATGCAGAAGGAGGACACCACGTGGTCCATGCGGGTAGACAGGTGGAGCTCCAGCCGGGGGAAGTGGCCCATGGCCCGCTGCACAAAGGCCCCCTCCTGCACCTCGTACAGGCAGTACAGCAGCTCCAGCTGGCTGGGTGGCACCTGCAGCCGCTTGGCCGGCGCCTTGGCCTGCAGCCAGGCCAGCAGCTCCTGCCTGACCTGCTGGGAGATCCTGCAGCTGAGCTTCTTCTCCAGGTAGGAAGCCCGCTCCCGGTTCACCAGGCCGAAGAGGAAGCGGACCACAAAGATCAGGTACCCCTTCTCGAACTTGCCGTAGCTCTCGAGGAGAGTGGTCACGTCACGGGCTGGCAGCCGGGCGCAGCGGGAGCCCGGGGCGCCCCCCTCGTCCTCCAGCAGGTAGTACATGGCGGCGAAGAACTCCTGGAACGTCATGTGCACGAAGCTGTAGAGCTTCTCGCAGTCCACCTCCCTCTGGAACAGGTTCATCCGCAGGAAGGCGGACACATCAGCCCGCTGCAGGCCGTGCTCCCGGAGGTCGCCGTCCTCGAACAGGATCTTCTGGTTCCAGATGCCATCCGCGGCCAGCGAGCAGAGGCCCCGCAGGGTGGCGGCCACCCGGGGCTCGCGGCCGGCCACTTGCGGCTGCAGCAGGCTGGACAGGAAGAAGGTGTACACAGCGGTGGTGGTCTTGGACGCCTGCGCCAGGCCCGTGCCACTGTCCATCTGCTGCTGCAGCCCGGTGCACACGATCCAGCAGACCAGCGGGATGAAGCACATGGCGAACAGCACCTCGTTGTCCCGTGTCAGCCTCAGGGCCGCCTGCGCCCGCTGCGCGTCCGGGAAGAACTTGAAGAAGTATTCTTCCCGCCCGGCCTCGGAGAAGCCCAGGATCTCCACGTGCCGGGGCCGGTCCAGCAGGTGCTGCAGCTTCTCCAGGGCCACAGGCCGGGTGGTGACCAGAAGGCGGGCCTCGGGCAGCAGCCGCTTGCGGATAAGGCTGCTCAGGAGGACATCCCCACGGACTGGGCACCGCCAGTCGGTGCAGAGCACCTCGCTGCGCTCATCGAAGGCACCCTGAAGCTCGTCGAAGCCGTCCAGCAGGAAGAGGACACGGGCAGGCCTGCTCAGGATCTGGTCCAGTGGGGGGCAGAGGCCAGGGCAGCAGCCGCGGACCAGGTCCCCCAGACTGCGCTGGGCCCCCAGGCTCACCTCCCGGCAGTGGATATAGAACAGGTAGTCGAACCGGCCCTGGTAAAGCCTGCCAACTGCCCAGTCCAGCATGACCTTCCTGGCCAGCATGGTCTTCCCGATGCCGGCCGCACCCTGGAACACCACGGTCAGCACCGGCTCGGGGCACCACGCGTCCGGCTCGAATAGCAGCTCCAGCTGAGTGATGCTCATGGGCCCGTCAGGCACCTGGGCCCAGGCCCGGCCCATGGCCAGCAGCTCATGCTCGCGCTCCCGCTGGCTGCGGTGGCCCTGGGCCAGACACAGCCGGGTGTAGCGCTGGCCCAGGTCCACGGTCTCCCCGAGGCGCGCATTGCGGTCCTTGAAGCAGCGGAACCGGCTGCGCACGTGCCGGGCGTAGGTCTGGCGGAAATCTGCGGGGCAGGGAGGGCCTGCTGAGCGACACAGCCCAGGATGGGTGCCCAGCATCCCTGGGGCCCAGACCCCTCACCTGGCAAGCGGAGGAGCCAGTGCCCCTGCGTGGCCCAGACAGGCCGTGGCCCAGGCTGGCCGGCAGCCCCATCCTGACGCCTGCCTCACTGCCTCCTCCCCTTTTCCCGGGGCTTCGGGGCACCGCCTAGACAGGGGACCCTCAGTCCCAGTTCCCAAGGCCACTCCCCCTGAGGGGCAGGTGCACGTGGTGATGAGCTGCCCCCAGCGCCCCAACCCAGCCACTCACCTTTTTTTCTGCAAGTGGAAATCCTGGAGAGGAAGCCTAGCACGCCCACCCACTCGTCCTCCAGGCAGTCCTCCTGGCACGTCATGGGGGCCAGGTCCTGGGCCGCCCCTGGAGAGGAAATGGCACAGTGAGCCCGGGGCTCCCGACACCACCCCCCACCTGGAGCTGGCAGGGAGCCGCGCCAGGGCTGCCAGGTGGTGCAGCGCAACCCAGGGACTTCCGCGCCCTCGGCCAAGGCCAGCCTCCCCCACCTGCCCCACTGGACCCTCTGTGGAGTCTCTCCCAACAGCCCAATGGCAGAAGCCGCACCTGAGGCTGCTCACGCTCGGGCCTCAGCAAGGCCCCTATGCCCTGCCCTGCCCTGGCCTGCCCTGGCCCGGCCCTGCCCTGCCCTGACCCGGCCCTGCCCTGCCCTGGCTCTGTCTGCCCTGCCCTGCCCTGCCCTGGCCAGGGAGCAGCTGCTGGGCGCCTGGGCGCAGGGTCGCTGCAGGGAGGCCCAGGAAGGAGGCCCCTGGCCCCAGTGGCCTGAAGGCGCCTGGAAAGAGGGCGCTGCATCCCTCCATCTTCTCCCAGCGTGGAAGAGGAAGATGCCAGAGGAAGCTGGGGACACAGGCCTGCACAGAGGGCAGTGCCCTCAAGCCATGGCACAGTGAGCACGGGACACGCCGCATCCCCACCACAGGAGCCCGCTAGGAGGCTGCAGGGCCTTCCCCAGAGACCAGCAAGCAGACCCCCACATGCTCGGAAACCGCCTCTGGCGCCAAAAGAAAAAGCCCCAAAGTGGGAAGGTGATGTGTGGGGGCGCCCGCACCCTGGGCATGGGGCTGCAGCTGGGACGTGGGTGGCCCCAGGACTCCGGGCTGTCACCCAAGGAGCAGAGGGCAGGGCCTGGCTGCGCCCGTCCATGACCAAGAGCCGGCCCGACGCCTCGGAGCCCAGCGGGCAGTGTGGGTGGAGATGCCGTGTGTGTGCATGTGTGCGTGTGTGTGTGTGCACGTGTGTGTGCATGCGTGTGTGCACGTGCACACGTGTCTTCGGGGCTGGCCGAGAGGACGGTCCAGTATCATGGCACTCAGGCTCACACACCCGGGCAGGGCCAACGCTTTGGGGGCTCTGCCAAAGGAGGGACTGCATGTGGCCCGTGGGCGATGCTCAGGACGCCCCAGAGCAGAGGACGCCCCGAGCCCCAGCACAGGCCCCGCTGGTCCAGGCGCCAACCTGCCGGCCCCATGGCAGCCGGGAGCTTCCGTTCCATGGACACAAGACCGCCCTGGAGTCTGGCCGGCCAGCCCCACGCGGGAGCCCACTCACCCCACACAGGCTCGTCCCTCGCGGCCCTGTCCCGCAGGTCCCTCCTGTTGATGGCAGCAAAGACCCGCAGGGCCGTGCTCCAGGCCCTGCGCTCCCCGTGGAAGTCGACCATCAGGGTGGCCAGGTCGGCGGCGTCAGCAGTCTGGGCCCGGCCCCGGGGGAGGCCACGGTGGCCCCGTTCTGCGGGCTCGTCCTCCAGGTGCATCTTGAACTTCTTGAAGTCGGCATGGTCCAGCTCCTCCAGGAGGCCGGCCAGCCTGCAGCGCACGCTCGCCATGGCCAGCAGCGCTCCCACAGGGGAGAAACAGACTTCACAGAGATCCCCGCCCCGTCAGCGACCACAGGCATGAAACCCCAAGCTCCCCGGGTATGAGGCAGGGTCCCTGGGGGACAGACAGGTCCAGCGCCGCCTCTCCCCAGAGCCAGAAAGGGCTGCCCGCGGCCTCCCCACCCTCCCAAGACTCAGTGTCCTCCTCTGCAGATGGCAGTGTGGAGGATGGTATTGAGTTCCTGCCAACCGCAAGGCTGTGGTTCCTGGTTTCTATTCTGACCCAGGAGGGTGGGCCCAGGGGTTTGGGGGGGTGGGGCCCAGGAGGGGCAGCTTCCCTCCCCTCCAAGGCAGAGCCAACCACTGGGGGCTGCACCCCGGGCCTCGTCCCTGGGTTGGGGAAAGCACCACCTCCCTCTGGGCCCTCAGCGCCCTACGGCCCCCCGCCCCCACGCCGGCCTCACCACCCCCAGCCCCCCTTCTGCAGCCCTGGCCGACCCCCGCACCAGCCCCGCTCGCCCCTGCCTCGAGCAGGTTTCCCTCCCCTTAGCTGGACCCAGCCACTCCCCAGGGTGCTTGGCAGACCCGTTGGAGCACAGGCAAGTGTCTCTGCTGCACACACGCGTGTCCCCACACACACACACACACGAGCACAATAAACACAACGCCCCAGAGTCCTGGGGATCACAGGCCTGCTGGCTACAGGAGAGCCCCAGCTGGTTCTGACCCACGCCGCCTGCCCCCGGGACCCCAGCCCCCAAGCCCCTCCACAGGACTGGACCCACACACCTCAGCTCAGGAGCGCCCAGAGGAAACTCAGCGGGGCCGTGGCAGCGCCACCCCAGCAGGCAGGAAGGATGTGGTCTCAGTGCCGAGCGAGCTTGAGTCACCACCAAGGCCGGGCTGCCGGTCACTCAGTGCCCGGCTTCCCGGACCAGGCAGCCCTGGCAGGGGCCACCCCTGCCAGGCCTGACCTCTGGGCCAGGCAGAGCCCCTCAGGGTGTTGCCAGCCCCCAGGCTGCAAGCACCGTGGCCACCGGCACCTCGTCCCCGAGTCCCCTGGGCTGTCACCGCGGAGTCTGGCTCATCCAGGGAGCTGGTCTGGACCCTGCAGGCCCTGCCCACTGAGCATGCGGCATCCGGGCCTGCCGGGCTGGACAGCGGCCCCACAGCCTGCCTCGGCTCCCCAAGTGCCCCGAGGATGGCTGCGGGCTGGGGCAGGCCCTTCCCTGCGCAGTGACTGACATCTTGGCCTCAGCCCTCAGGCTCCGGCCCTCCCTGTCCGGCTGCTGCAACTCATCCCGGGGAACTTAGGGGATGACTCCCAGGCCCAGCCCCACCCCCGGCCCCGGCCCCGGCCCCCACCCAGGGTCCCCAGCACTGACCCCAGCCGGACCACCGGCTCCGTGTTCTCGAAGCCAAGTGGGGGCGGGGGGCTCACAGCCCCCTGCCTGGAGGGGACGCAGCTGCTCCCCCGCTGTGGCCACGGCACCCCCGACACCAACACAGGGCCTGAGTGCCAGGTGCCGGCGCGGGGGGCGGGGTGGGGCTGGGCGAGTGGCTGCGGACCCCCAGTCCGTCAGCAGTGGGGCAGCGGCAAATCCGGGGGCGCCCACAGGAGGGGAAAGGCCCGGCTGCCCTTGAGCACCGCGGCCACAGCCTGCGCGCCGACCTGGAGTAGCCGGAGTGCCCGGGAGGGGGCAGATCCCTCAGGGATCGGGAAGGTCCCTCCCCTGCTGTCCCCCGCAGCACCCAGGGACCCTCACAGAGCAGGTGTGTCCCCGCGGGAGCCAGCACAGGCGCCCGGCACCCCAAAGCCAGCCCCCACGGCAGGCGGCACATGATGCCCTTGCAGGACACGGGACACGACGCTCCTGGCCTGAGGGGCCGTCCGCACGGCCCACTGGCCCTCTCCCCAGGGGCCGAGACACGGGGCAGGCCAGCCCGGGAGGACACGGGGCCCTGGGAATGGTGAGGCCAAGGGGGGCCGCAGCTGCCAGGGGGCCGGTGCCCACCAGCGGGGAGCGCCAGGGAGAGGGGTGGGCTGCGGGGCCTGCAGGGCTGGTGGGGGGAGGGGCGGAGCCGGGGTTATGCACCCCGCTGCCCTGGGCCCCCGTCCCGTGGGCCGGCCCCTCCCCGGCTGTCCAGTCCCAGGCCCCTGCTCCGGCCCTGCAGCGGCCCCTGCCGTCCTCAGCTGCCTCCCCTGCCCCAGAGCCCCACAGGCACCGTCCCCAAAGGGGCTGCCCCACCCCCTGGGCCCTGCTCGGCCGAGGACTGGACGCAGAGGCCGGCGGGTCCCCTGGAAGTGGGCTGCCTGGCGAGAGCGCCGGCCGTGCCGTGACCCTGCTTTGCCTCGTCCTTTCTGTGAAGTGCTGGGATTCTGCACCCGAAAGAGAAAGAACGAAACTGGCGGCCGGAGGGCGGGCGCCACCTCCGCAAGCCACTTCCTCCCGCTCCCGGCAGGGCCCTCGCAGAGCCCTGCTCCTGGCCAGGGCGGCCCCTGCTCCCGCCTGCAGCTGCTGGTGGGGGCGTGGGTGCAGCCAGCCCTGCGCCCCATCTGGGGAGGGGGGACAAGGCAGGGCCCCGGGAGTCCACAGCGGGGATACTGAGGGCCTGGGGGCCCACTGGGGCGTTCCAGAGACCCCCTGAGGACGGGATGCAGGGGGTGCCCTGTGAGGTACAGGCCAGTGAATTCACCCCCATGGGGAGGTTGGAGAAGCAGATGTGAAGCCCAAGACCCCGAGCCTGCGCCCCAAGCACACCCAAAGGCCCTTCTGGGAGCCCCTCCCCAAATCCAAGCACAGGACGGGGTCCTGGGAGCCCACCGGCCCCTTTGGGTGCAGAGGACACGAGCTTTGGGGCATGGATGGAGCTCTGGGCGATGCTGCCAGTGAAGGGGGAGGTGGTTGGCCTCGCTTAAGGCCAGACAGGCAAGGAAGCGAGGCTGTGAACCTTGGACACTCGGGGTGGGAGGCTGGGGCGGGGGCTCGTGGGGGACGGGAGGAGGGAGAATCACAGGGCCTGGAGATGGGGCTGTGCCCATCTGGGAGGATAAAGTTCACGCCCCCAAAGTACACAGTTGTATCAATGAGCGAAAATCAATGAAATCTAAGAGCTTCAAAATACCAACCCCCTTCTGCCCAACGCCTGCGTGACCCCCAGGCCCGAGGCAGCCCCGGCTCTGGGGGCCGCACGGCCTCACTGCGCTGGGACCAGAGCCGAGAGAAATGTTAGATAAGCTCGGTTTATTTTATTTTTTTAAATATATTATTATATTGCTTTTTTTCCCCAAAGATTTATTTATTTATTTATACCAGCACTGGAGACAGTCAGAAGCACAGGAGGGTGAGAGAATTCACCAGAGCCAGAGCGGGGAGCAGAGCAGGCAGAAGGACCGAAGTACACTGCTGAGGGGAGCAGCGGGCGGCAGGAGAGGTCTGTGCGCCATGTGGGACCCTCGCCCGGTGGCCGGGGATCGAACCGGAGCTGCAGAGGCTGCGGGCAGCTTCACAACCCAGCGCTCAGCCGCTGCACCACCGGGGAGGTCCAGCTCAGTTTATTTTATAGTTACGATAATACGCACGTGAACCAAGGTAACGTTTTCTTGCAAAAACAACCCTTTCCCAAACAGGCAAGATTCAGGGTCACATCAGCGTCACATCGGGGTCACGGTGGCAGCCAGGGCAGGGTCCCCCTACCTGAGGAGGCAGAAGGGCCAGGCCCAGGAAGAACACCCCCCACAGTTCCCAGCACATCCCTGCCAGCCCGCGGCTCCCTCTGGGATCTCAGTGGGGTGGGGGGCGTGGGGTGGGGGGCTCACGCGGCAGGGTGCTGCCACGCCTGGGACGGGCGAGACCGCTGCACCCAGCCAGGAGGCGGCCACCAGTCGCCGTGGGACGGAACCGGGCCTGGCGCACACAGACTCGTCCCATGTGCTCGCCCAGGCACAGGGGACGGCGACCCTGGCAGGGCACGTAGTTAACAGTTGAGGGGCCCGCTTGGGGACAGCCTCAGAGAGGTCTCCGTGCAAACACCACCTGCACGCACCTGTACACACCTGCACACGCCTGCACTCACCTGCACACACCTGTACACATGCACCTGCACGCACCTTCATGCACCTGCACACACAAACACAAACTGCAGAAGCACAGGAAACCCTAGGTCTTGGTCACAGCCTCTACCCCAAGCCTGCCCATAGGGCCCCTGGGTAAAAGGTGTACCCCAAGGTCTCCGAACAGGTGCAGGTGTGGCCGGAAAGTCACACACTCGCTGTGCAGGGAGCTGGGGCAAGCGCAGGCACTCACACACACAGGGTCAGCGGATAAACATTCGCTAGTTTTGTGGCTTATTTCCCCCTTACAACTCTAAGCCAAAGGACTCCCCTCCCCTGGGGCGTCCCCTCCAGGGGCCTTTCAACCCCAAATGCAGGAGGAGACCAGGAAGAGGGGGAGAGGGGAGGAGGGCAGAGCCGGAGGCGGAGGCTGTCCCTCCACGGCGCAGAGCCAGCAGGCGCCACAAGAGGGCGCCGGAGACCTGCTGCCTAGCCCAGTCAGAAAAGGGGGTGCTGCCGCCTGGGAGCGTGACACCAGGGCTCCCCGGCACGTGTCGGCTCACTAGGGCACAGGGACTGGGGGGCCAGGTGGGGGGCAGGGATCAGAGTGGAGGGATAGGGTTCAGGGACTGGGGGGACCAGGGACTCGGGCTCAGGGACAGAGGGACAAGGGACCGGGATAGGGACGGGGAGCCAGGGACCAGGGTGCGAGGGCAGAGCCAGGGCGTACCTCCCAGCAGTCGCCCCCAACCCCGCCACGCAGACCCCTCTCCCCAGTCAGCCCCTGGCAAGGGGCCAGGGCGCGTTGCCGGCGGGCACAGAAACCCACAGACCCGCCCCACCCCTCTTGGGGCAGATGCATCTGAAGTTGGCAAATCTTCAGGTTCCTGTAAGCTGGAAACACACAGCTGGGGCCACGTCCCAGATCATGGCGTCACCCACCAAGAAGTGACACAGTCGTCTGTCCCCCCATCCCCGCTCAGAACAGGCCCCCAAGACGTGCCCTGGCTGTGGGCGGTGGGGAGCGAGAGCCAGCGCCCCGTCACTGTCCAGGAAGCCTGGAGGCTGCAGACGCCAGGCCACAGCATCGCCCCTGAGACAGGCACTCTGCCCCCTGCAGCAGAAAGGGGTGAGGAAGCTGGGGAGCGTCAGGAGCCCCCGCTTTCTGACCCTCTTCAGGGCACAATGCAGGTTGTGCACAGGCCGCTGTAAGAACTGGGGGGCGGGGGCAGAGTGCCCTCCTCTCAGTGGGGCGTGGGGCCTCTCCTCCCCACCGCAGGGCCCGGGTCACCTTCCCGCATAGAAAGTGGCACCAGCAAGGCTTGGACAGAGCCCCCCCCCCCACCCCCGGCAGGGCCCGCACCCAGCACAAGGCTTGCACAGACCCCGCAGGCCACTGTCCAGGCTGAGCGCGCGACTCGGCCTGTGACTTGGGTTCGCATGTTGACCAGAACCCCCGCGGTGCGTGTGCTGAAGGCCGGACAGCCCGGCTGTGGGGGGATGCGTGCTGGGCCCAGGGCGCAGGGTCTGCTTCCCCCTCCGAGCCCCCCCTTCAGCCTTTGGGGTTCCCCCCCTCAGCACTCCGCCTTCCCTTGCTCACTTGCCCCCTCTGCACTCCTGGGGCATCTCACGGCGGGCTGAGTGGAGGACTCGGCTCAACGCAGGAGGCCCCGCAGTGACCGGTCACTCTTCCGCACCTCTGCCTCCTGCTGGGATGGGCGGCACTTCCTGCTCCCCATAGAGCCCCGAACCAAAGCTGGTCCTGGAGGGGCCTCCTCCTGCGCTTGGCAGGCCCCTAAGATGGAGGCCAGCGGCAGGAGGATCAGGGAGGCTGCTTGGACTGGACTCTCCCTCCAGGCAGACCTTGAGAAATGAGCCCCAAGAAATGCCAAGGCCTGACCCCCAGCCTCCATCTCTGCTAAAAGCAGAGACCTGCGGCCACACAGGCCCAGGGCAGCCCCAGGAGAACCCCAGGGGAGCCCCAGGGAGGGGTGGGGGTGGCGGGGGTGGTCCAGGCTTAAGGAAAGGTCCTTTGGTCCGCAGCTCCCACACTAGATCTTTCCCGAAGCCCCAGTGGGAAGAATGCGAGCAGGGGGAGGCCGAGGCCCCCAGGCCCGGCGCAGGGACAGGGTTGGGGGAGAGGTCTGGGGCCAGTGGCCACCAGTCTTCCCCTGGAGGCGCGGCTCCGGCTCCAGGCCCCGTGCCCAGCCGGCCCCAGGCTTCCTGCCCCCAGGCGGCACCGCGGGAGAAACCAAACCTCTGCAGCGCAGCTCCCTCTCCTGAGGCCTTCCCAGGAAAAGGCTCTGCTCCTCAGGTGCGCAAACAGCCCCCATCCTGGACAGAGGTGAGGTCCTGCCCAGGCCGTCTCAGACGCTGCCTGGCGGGGAGCCCCGGCCTTGCCTCATCCCAGGGCAGGAGGGGCTGCCTCCATTCACCTTGGGGAGTCCACCCCAGAGAGTCCAGCCCAGAGAGAGGCACCCACTTCCCTGCCTGCCGAACTGACCGGCTGACTGCGGAGAAGGCCCCTTCCAGCGCCCCTCCAATCAAGACCAGCGGGCAGCGGGCAGGCCTGGAAGAGGGTCCGGGGCTTGCGGGGAGGGCCTGCGGCTCTGGAGACCCAGCTCGCCCGTCCACGGGGCCCGGCCCCGTCAGAGTCTGCACTGGGCAAGAAGCAGCGTCTCCAAGGAGCTCCAAGAGGCGGTGCGAGCCGGCGGGAGGCGGCGCAGGACACAGGACGCGGCTTAGCAGAAAGAGGCTGCCGGGGTCTTCCTGGCAAGTCTGGCCCAGCACCCGCCCCTGACCTCCCCCCGCTGGGGCCCCCGAGCTGCAGGTGCCCCAGTCCTGGCCTCGCACACCACCTCCGGGCCGGGGGCAGGCCCTCGCTCCCCAGGTCCCAGCAGGCCCCAGGCGCCTGCCCTGGGTGCTTGTGGGCGCTCCACCTATTGCAGCTCTGGAGCTCATGGTCGCCTGGCCCCTCGCGAACAAGCAACGTGAATGACCAGCGTAAGGCCAGCGGGGGAGGGGCCGCAGCGAGCATGTGAGCATGGCGGGCCGGGCAGCGCATGGGCGGGCGTGGGTGCAGGTGCTAGGTGCTTGCGGGTGCTGGGTGCTCCTAGGTGCTGGGTGCTTGCGGCTGCTGGGTGCTCCTAGGTGCTGGGTACTCGCGGGTGCTGGGTGCTCGTGGGTGCTGGGTGCTCGCAGGTGCTGGGTGCTTGTGGGCGCTGGGTGCTCGCGCGTGCAGTCTGGCCGCGTGCCCAGCTGCCTGAGCCCCTGATGCTGCAGGGCGAATGAGGCAGACTAGGTGAGCCTGAAGACACTGATCCTTCTCGGAAATGGCCCTAGCCGGCTCCCCGGGGCCCCAAGGGGCGACCCAGGAGCTCTCCACGCTCCTCAGCTGTCCCTAGGGCCAGGGCTCCGTGTTCCCGCCCCGAGGCAGCCGCTGCCCCCAGCACCACCCGCCCGCTCTGCCAGTATGCAGGCCCAGCGGACCCTCCGGCCCAGCCCTGCTGCTGCCTTCACGCAGTGGGCGACGCGTCAGTGCCCATCCAGCTGCCCCCAGCACTGCCCACCCGCCCACTCTGCCCGCTGCCCAACCCCACGCCCAGCTAGCTGTGACCCCAGGTGCCCCCAGGGCCGCCCCTGTCCTGCAACTGGCCACTTAGGGCACCGCTGTGCGCAGCATCTCCTTCTGGAAGGCCAGCAGGTGGGGCTGCCGCGGGGATGCTGAGGACGTTGCCCCACTCGCCTGCCCCAGCCCCGGGGCAGAGCCAAAGGCACTGGCAAAAGCAGGCGTGAGGGGCTGCTGGGGCGGGCTGTGGCCCTGGGCACAGTGGGGGCCGGATTCCCCACCTGCCCCCCAGCTGCCTGGGGCTGGAGCGCGGCTCTGCCGGGGACCTGGACCCTTGCTGACCTGCACCCGCCCCCTCCCTGCCCAAGCCTCTCCTCCAGGCCCTGCGCCCGGCTGGCTCCGGAGAGGAAGGGGCAGCGCGGACCCGAGCTGGAAAGGGCGCGGGAGGGCTCTCCGGGCCGCTTGGGGGGCGCCGCCGCCCCGACTTCCCCTTGGCCCATGTCCTGCAGCTGCAGCGTCACCGCGTGTGGCTGAGTTGTGGCTCCAGGCCCTGGTCAGTCAGGAGTGACCGGCCCGTGACCCAGAGCCAAGGGGCGCCTGCCGGCGGGGAGGCCCCTCCCGAGCGCCAGGACACTGGCCTGCGCCTGGGGGTCTCTTCCCGGCCCCGCCTTCCCGGCGGGCGGGCGGTGGGGGTGACCGGCCGCGCCTCCAGGGCGGCACCGGCTCCCACACTCAGAACCGGCCGGCGGGGGCGTCCCTGGGGACCGTGGCCCGGCTGGGGCCTCCTCGGCGCAGCCCCGCGGCCCCCGGCTTGAGTCTGGGTCCCGGGCGGTGCGCCCCTGGGGGCGGCCTGGGCTCCCCGACCTCAGGGCTCTGGGGGTCGCCGCTGCGCGCCCGCGGGGGCGCCCCTTCGCCCACCCAGGCCCGGGGGGGCTCCCGGGACCGCGGGCGGGGCGGGGCGGGGCGGGTCCCGGGTGCCGCCCCCCCACCCCGCCCCACCCCGCCCCGCCCCGCCCCGCCCGCGGGCCGCAGCCGCAGCCGGACGCCGGACGCCGGACGGGCGGGCGGGCGGGCGCGGGCGCGCGCGCGGCGGGGCGGGGCGGGGCGGGGCGGGCGCGCGGCCGGCCGGGCCGGGGGTGTCGGATGTCACCCCCCGCGCACACCTCGGCCGGGGGGCGGGAGCGAACCACTGAGATGCGGAGACCTCCGCGGTCCTAGAGCGGAGCAGGAAGTGTCCCGGGGGCGGGCGCCGGGGCTCCGGCCTTTCCTCCCCGCGCGTCCGGCGGGCTCGGCGGCCAGGCCTGCGCCAGGGACGCGGTGAGTGGCCGCCGCCCGCGCCCCCGCCCCGCCGCGGCCGCCCGGAGGATGCGGGGCGCCCGCCCCCGACGCCGCGGGAGCGCCCCCCGCTAGGCCGCCGCGCGTCCCGCCCCGGAGCCGGTGAGGCCCCCGCGGGGCCGGGGCGGGCGCGGGGCCGGCGGGCCTGGCGCGGGCGCGGGGCCGGCGAGCGGGGCCCGGCGGGGGCGGACGGGCCCGGACGGGCGGCGGGACGGGGGCGGCGCCCGGGGGTCCCGCGGCCCCGCGCGCGGAGCCGCGCCCCGAGATGGAGCCGGGACCCCCGCCCGCCCCGCGGGGCCCGCCCCGCCCCGGAGGTTGGGGTGCCGGGGCCGTTCCGGGCGGGGGGCCGGGCCTCTCCCCCCGCGCGCCCCTCCCCTGCGCCCCGGCCCGCTGGTGTGCCCCGGTGCAGGCGGCTGGCGCTCCCGGGCAGAAGGGGTGCCCCGAGCCCCCCGCGGGAGAAGGGGCGAGGCGGGCGAAGGGCGAGCGCCCGCCTGTGCTCACCTCTGCCCAGACTTCGCAGGTGTCTGAGAGGCCGCCCTTGGGGTGAACTCCCCTGGCCCCCACCCCAGGGCGGACCCCTCGTGTCTCTGAGGCCCGCCCCCGTCTTTGTGTTCCAGCTCGGTTGGTCAAGGTCTCAAGGGCCAGGACAGTGGCCTGGGAGCCTCAGGAGAGCGGCCTGCGGGGCCCTCCGTGGGGGCCGCTCCAGGAAGGTACCCGCGCGCCTCCCTCCCCCCCGCCCCTGCATGTGGCCCGGCCGGGACCCCAACCGCTGCATCCAGTTCCAGCCGGACGCTGCCTGGGGCCCTGGGAGGGCCCCGCCTGTGTGGGAGGGCTCACCCCAAGGGTCTCACCACCCCAGATCCTCCACAGGAGACCAGACGTTGAAGCCAGCGATTTCTGTTTGGAAATAGGGCCGTCTTCTGCTGCTGACCCCCGTCAAATCCCATCATGCCCACAGCCCTGTGCCCCCGAGTCTTGGCTCCGAAAGAGAGCGAGGAGCCCAGGAAAATGAGGAGCCCGCCCGGAGAGGACCCCAGCCCCCCCGGGGAGCTGCCCAGCCCCGAGTCCTCCCGCCGCCTCTTCCGCCGGTTCCGCTACCAGGAGGCGGCGGGCCCGCGGGAGGCGCTGCACCGCCTGTGGGCCCTGTGCCGGGGCTGGCTGCGGCCAGAGCGGCACACCAAGGAGCAGATCCTGGAGCTGCTGGTGCTGGAGCGCTTCCTGGGCGCCCTGCCCCACGAGGTGCAGGGCTGGGTGCGGGCCCAGGAGCCCGAGAGCGGCGACCAGGCCGTGGCAGCCGTGGAGGCCCTGGAGCGGGAGCCGGGGAGGCCCTGGCAGTGGGTGAGCCGCAGGCGGGCAGCTGGGTGGGCAGCTCCCCGGCGGGCCCAGCAGGGGAAGGACATCTGTCCAGGGCTGCAGCCCCGGGTCCCGCACGGAGGGCGTCTCCCAGGAAGCAGGCCCGCCCCACTGGGCCCTCGGCAGGCACCGCGTGTGCCCCATCCCACTGGCCCCACTCGCAGTGCTGAGCGTCCCATCGCCTTGCAGCTCAAGCTCTGTGAGGACCCCGTGGTGATCGACGATGGGGATGGGCCCCCGGACACAGCTTCGCAGGAGCGGCCGCCCACCGAGCCCCAGAGCGACCTCACCACCCCTGCGGGGAGCCAGGATGTGCTGCCCACGGCCCTGCTGCAGGGAGCAGGCCTCCCCGGCCGCCCCCCCAGCGGGGACCCAGGTGTGCAGCCCGCAGGGGCGGGGCGGGGGCGGCCCTGACGTCAGTGCTTTCTCTGCACCCCGCTCCCATGGCCCCCACAGGCTGCGACCCTGGGCCCGCAAGGTGGTGCGGCCTGGCAGGCGGTCCCGGCACAGCTAGGCAGGGTCTTCTTGCCTCGCGTTCTGCCCTGGGCCCGGAGCCACATGGCACGCGGGCACCCGAGTGGCCCCCTGGCTGCCTGAGAGAGTGCCGAGGTCTGGCAGGGTGCCAGCAGGCCTCAGAGACCTGCCCTCCCCTGGGTTTCTGAGGGTCAGCCCTGGAAAACACTGAACTTGGGTCGGGCTCGAAGCCCTCGTGGGGAGGGGTGTTCCGAGGGGCAGGGCGCGGCCTTGTGGCCTGCAGAGTAGTCCTTGGCCTTGGGGTTGAAGGACGTGTGCAGATGTCCCTGTGTGCCCCGTGCTGTCCCGGGGCCTCAGACGGGTCACAGACCCACGTCCGGGAGAAGCTTCCAGAACTGCTGCCTAGCCGGGCCTCTTGGAGAGCACAGAGGTGAGGCTGGTGTCCCCGCAGCAGGAGCTGAGAGTGGAGTCCACACCCCCTCGAGCCCACGCCACCGCCCGCTGGCCGCAGAGGCGCCGGCCCAGCCTGCCCTTGGCTGAAGGCCTGGCCTCGGCCCGAGCTGCAAGGCCCAGTGGGGCCGCCTGACTCTGACCCAGGTCAGCCCCAGGTTTCTCTGAATGGCAGGAGCCAGTGCGTCCGCAAGGTGGGCAGGTGGTCCCTGCGGCCCCCGCTCGCCCCTTGCGCAGGTGTCGGGTCCCGGGCGCCCCCTTGGTGTCCCGTGTGGGCCACAGCAAAGACCCTGCCTTGGAGCGCCGGCCCTCGACCCCTGACCCTCCTCTCTGTCTGTTCCAGTTCCCCACGACCCAGACCTCCTTCCCGAAGCCACCCTGAGGGACGCGCAGCCAGCCAGCACCCTCCAGCTGCCCCCGGTGAGTGGCTGCGCGGCGCCTGGGCCCTGCCCGCACTGGGGGCCGCCTGCAGGGTGAGGTGGTCCCAGCGCTCCTGGGTGAGCCCCTCTGCCGCCTCCACTCCAGGGCCCTCTGGCCACATCCGGCAGGTGGGGGCCGGGCCTGACCCGGTGGGCCACCACGGCAGTGACCGGTTCCCTGCAGACTGTGGCAGGCGCTGGGACATAGGTTTAAGCATTTGGAATTCTTTTCACTTTCAAAAGCAGGTTAGCGTATCGTGTGAAAGTACATCGGGTTGTGTTTTTCAAAAAAAAAAAAAAAAAGTGTGGGTTCTTCCCGATTAACTGACACTTTTTTAACCCCCAACGGCGCGGCGCGGGGAGGCAGAGCACATACGCCCCCTTCCGCCGGCTGCAGTCGAGGTGCTGGCCTCGGGTGGGCGAGGTCCGGGGAAAATTGAGACCCACAACTTCCAGCATTAAGGGGTTTCCCTCGAGCAAAGGGTGCCTGCGCCTCCTGGTGTTTCTGAAGCTGCTGAGGCCGGACCCCAGGGCCCGTCGGCCTGGGGGTGTCCCCAGCCCAGGGTCCTGGCTGCGGCGTCCGGCGCGGCTCCCCCCTTGCGGGCCTCGGCTCAGGCGCCCCGTGCTGCGCTTTCAGAGCCGAGCGTCTCCCTTCAAGGACGTGATCTTCTGCTTCTCGGAGGAGGACTGGTCCCTGCTCGACCCCGCCCAGACCGGCTTCTACGGAGAGTTCATCATCGGGGAGGACTGCGGGGTGGCGCTGCCCCCCAGTAAGACTGGGCCGTGTCTCCCGTCCCCTGACCCCACCCGCCACCTGCACAGCAGCTGTTCCCACCACGCCCCATCTGGCGCCTGTCCCCATCCTGTTCTGCCCTTGTTCTGCCGCTGTGGCTCTGCCCTGGGAGGCGTCCTTGGTGCTCCCACCCCCCCCACCCCGGGTTGCTCACGCACCTGCCCCCCTTGTCTCTGAGCAGACGACCCTGCCGCCCCACCGCCCACCTCCCAGGGTGGGGAGAACAGGCCCCAGGGCCTGGAGCTGCAGGAGCTGCAGGAGAAAGATGCACCCCAGGTCTCCTTCGAGGGTGAGAGGTGGCTCTGGGGGCGGCGGGTGGGGTCCCCTCTGCAGGCCCCTGGCCCGGCACTTGCCAAACAGCCTTGCCTCCCCTGGCTTCTGGCGCCGAGGGCAAGGGTTTCCTGGGGGTGGGGGTGGGGGTGGCAGCAGGTGCCCCTGGGAGCCACACAGTACGCCAGGCACTGGGCTGCACCTCCAGGAGTCTCGCCTGGGGTGCAGGCAGTGTGGGGACACGAGGGCAACACCGTGCAGCCCCTCCTGCCTCTGTCACCAGGGCCCGCCCGTCACCCACACTTGAGACACCCCCTTCACGCACCCTCGCCCTCTGGGCCTAACGCAGTGAGAGCTGGTCAGTGTGGACAGCCCTCTGGCTGGAACCAGCGCCCAGGGCGTCCGCATGGCCCCGCAGCTCCCTCTGGCAGGGCTGGCACTAGGCCCCAGAGTGCCCCGCGGGGAGCAGACATGACCGCAGGTTCAGGGCCAGTGGGCAGGGGCGCCCCCGTGGCCTCTGGTGCCGCGGCCGCCAGGACTGTGGCAGGACTCGGGGCGGGTGGCGCCCGCCGCCCACTGTCCCCGGGCACCGCACCTGGGCCGCTGAGGACAGACGGGCTGCCTCGCTTTCCCGGCAGGCTTCCCCGGCGCCCAGCCGGACGACAGGAGGAAGCGCGACGAGCTACAGGTGCAGACCTGCCCGCAGACTGCGCCAGCCCAGGGCACCTGCGCAGGTACGGGCGGGCCCTCCAGCGCGAGCGCCAGGGCGGTGGGGTGTGTGGCACACAGGTGTGAGTGCAGGGGCGCCCCGGGATTGCGTCCAGCCCGGCTGTCGGCTGCTGCCCCTGCCGAGGCCCCTCCAGGGCCACCCCCAGGCCCAGCGGGGACGCCCTGCGGAAGGCGCTACCAGGGGGGCCGGAGTGCGGCTCGGGCGCCCCTGCTGACCGCCCCTCTGCCTCCTGCAGCTGGAGGCGACACCCCGCCCCCCAGAACGGCCTGGAGGAGGAGGTGACCATAGAGATCGTCCTGTCCAGCTCCGGCGACGAGGACCCCCAGCTGGGCCCATACTGCGCCGAAGGGCCGCGCAGCCCCCTGCAGAAGCCGCGGGGCCTCCCGCCCGCCCACCGCAGGGGCGCCGAGGCGGGGCCCGGGCCGCAGGGCCCCGGGAAGTCCTACGTGTGCCCCAACTGCGGGAAGATCTTCCGCTGGAGGGTGAACTTCGTGCGCCACCTGCGCAGCCGCCGGGAGCAGGAGCAGCCGCTGCAGTGCTCCGTGTGCGGCCAGCTGTGCCAGGACAGCGAGGACCTGGACGGGCACCTGGAGACGCACGAGGCCCAGAAGCCCTACCGCTGCGGCGCCTGCGGCCGGAGCTTCCGCCTCAAGTCGCACCTGCTCTCGCACCGGCGGACGCACCTGCCGCCGCACGGCCCGGAGCCGGGGGCGCCCGAGGGGGGCGCGGCGCCGCTGCGCTTCCCGTGCCGCGAGTGCGGACGCGCCTTCCAGCGCGCAGACCAGCTGGCGCGGCACCGCGGCGCCCACGCCAAGGACCAGGCGCGGCCCTTCCGCTGCCGCTACTGCGCGCGCGGCTTCCCGCACAACCTCGACCTGCTGCGGCACGAGCGCATGCACATGCGGCGCCGCTCCAAGCAGGCGCTCAACTCCTACTGAGCGCGCCCGCCCCGCGCCCCCGAGCCCGAGGTGCTGGTGTCTGCTGGGCGCGCGGCCCCCACGGGCTGGACGCCGGGAGCAGTGAGGCCGGGTGGGCTGGAGGGCAGCAGGCCCCTCTGGCTCCAAGGCCCTGCGCCCCTGCCCCCCGGGAAGGGAGACCGGGTGTCCCTTGAAGCTGCTGTGGCTGTCGGTCACCTGCCACGGCGGCCTCCTTGAGGGCAGCCCACGTGTTAGACTAGATACCCAGGGCCTGCAGCCAGCACCGGGCCCGTGCTGCCAGGGCCCAGCCGTCCTGCTTGGAAAGGTGCTTGCTCTGCCCTGCTCCGGTGCTGGCCAGCAGCAGTTGGTGCCTGCGGTCCTGGCTCACTTGGGCCGGAACCGGGCGGCTCAGCACAGCTGGGAGCAGCCTGGGTCTGTGGCCAGTGGGATTGCAGCGTCCCTGCTCCAGGCGGTGGCCCCTTATAGGGCCCCCCACACTGCAGGGTGTCCCCTCTCCAGCGAGGCATCACCATCATCACGTGCTGGGGTGCCAGGGTCAGGACGTGGACGCGCGCGTGAGGAGACACGGCCAGGGCGGCCTGAGTGCTGCTGACTGGACTGCGGGGCTCTCCCCAGGAGGCAGGGCAAGAGGCCTCGGCTTCCAGGGCTGCAGCCCGCGGTGCCCTAGTGAGAGCCAGGTGGAGCCAGCGCGGCCTCCCACTGCCACTGGTGGGGGGCAGCCCCCGGGCCCTGCAGTGGGTGGCCAGCCTCTGCTTGCCATAAAGGCCAGCTCAGGCCAACCATGGTCAGCCTTGGGGACGTCCTCCCGAACCATCAGCCTCTGGCACCGATGTGCCCGCCCGGCCTTTCAGCCCGAGGGAGAGGAAACACCGAGTCCCCACCCCACACCCGAGGCCCCTCGCTGGGGCCCTCCAGACCTGTGTGTCCCGCATGGGCGGGTCAGGCACAACGCCAACAGCCCTGTGGGGCAGAAGCACAGGACAACCCCGAGCCTTGGAGCCCCTGGGGATGGTGCCCAGACCCAGCTTCACCCCAGTCAGCCCTGAGGGCCTGGGCAACTCAGGGGGAGCCCCACGTCTGCGGCCCCTTCTCCCCACCCGTCCCCACGCGTCCCCACACAGGTGCATAATAAAGACTCACTTCAGAACTGAGGAGTGTGTGTGCCCGGTGTGGGGGAGGGTCAGGCACCTGTCCACAGCCCAGGGGAGGAGCTGAGTCCCAGAGTCGAGGTGGGGGTGACTGAGCAGCTGAGCGGCATCCACAGCAGGGAGGGGCGGCTGCGGGCTGCTAGACAGGCTCCCCAGCTTGTCTCTGGGCCCCTCAGTGCCCCCCTGCGGGGGGGGGGAGTGCGGGGGGGTGGGGGGATGCAGCAGCAGCTCCCCCAGGAGGGGCGGGAGGCCCTTGCAGACCCTGAGGTCTCTGAGGGAGATGCCTCACCTCCGTGAGGGCGCCCCACACCCACCTCTGAGCCCCTCCCGGAGGACCCCGCCGCCCGGGGCAAGGGGCAAGTCCGCAGAAGGTTGGGGCAGGACCAGCCGACCAGGCCGCCCAGGGAAGAGCCGTCCAGGCCCACCCCGCCTGCAAACCTTCGGGGGGCGGGGGAGGGCAGTGCATAGGGCTCAGGCTGATGTGGGGGAGCTTTATCTGAGCCCCAGCTTCTGCCCCTGGCCTGGGTCCCAGCCCTGACGGGTTCCCCCAGGGCCTTGGTGCCACCAGCTGCCCCTTGCCATGGCACACCCCCTTATCTCCCACTGCAGGGGGAGGCGGGGCTGATCCCCACCCCAAAACCCTCTGCTTTGGGGTGGTTTTTTCTGTTGAAACTGCCAAGAAGACACCCCCGGTTCCTTTCGCAAAGGATTCACAGCAGCGTCCTGTGGGCACCAGGCGCGACAGCCCACCTGGACTTCCGGGCCCAGTCCCGTCGCAGGGCCTCGGACGTGGGTCTGGCTGCCTAGGACCCTCGGAGCATACGGCCAGTCCCCCAGCGCCCCAAGTCGCGGGCCTCCTGGGAAGCCCCCGCTGCCCAGCCAGGTGGGTCTCCCCAGAGGTGGAGGCAATGCCCACAAGCAGGTCGGGCTCACCCACTCAGCCCGACCCCCCACCAGACGCCGTCCACACGGGGCCTTCGCTGGGAGGCTGGGGCAGTGGCCGGTCATAGCCCCTCCACCCGACCACACAAGGCCCAGCAGTGACCTACGTGGCCAAGAGTGTGGATACCACACGTGTCCCTGCGGGTGACGCTAAGCCGCAGGACAGATGGACTTGGGGGGGCTCTGCCCCAGGCCGCGGGTGCGCTCTCCCCAAGGCCCTTTCCACTCCCGCAGGTATGGCCAGGACTCATGGGCTGGGTGCCCCTCCTCCCAGCCGTTGGGTCCCCCTCGTCCTGCAGCTCCTGTCCAGCTGCAGCCCCGGGAACGGTAGGTCCCCCCACACCCTCTCCCACCCCAGCACACCAAGGCCTGTCCTCCCGCTCAGAGTCTGGGGGTGGGACTGCCTTCCCTGCCCCACCCTCCTCCCTCTGTCCACAGGGAAGGCCGACTTCCAGGTCTCAGGGCCCAGCGAGCCAATCCTGGCCACCGTGGGGAGCACCGGGGACCTGCCCTGCCGCCTGACCCCCAACATCAGCGCAAGGGACATGGCGCTATGCTGGTACAGGGACCAGCCCTCGGCGGCCGTGCACGTGTGGGACCGCGGCAGAGACGCGCCCGAGGCGCAGATGGGGCACTACCGGGGCAGGACCTCCCTCCTGGGGGCCCACCTGGCCCAGGGCCGGGCCACCGTGCGCATACACAACGTCTCCGCCTTCGACAACGGGACCTTCCACTGCCGCTTCACCGACGGCACTGCCTCCGCGGGGACCACGCTGTGGCTGAGGGTGGCAGGTGCGGGCAGTGGCCCCCAGGTACCCCAGTACCATGAGCCTGAGAACCTTCCAGAAAGCTCTGCCTTCGGCGGCTTTAGCAGGGACACCCTTCCTGGGACGCATCCTGACCCATGGCGCTGCCTTATGCAACTGCCCTTCCTCCATCATCCCGGTGACGTGGGGGGCAGACGGACAGACTGAGACAGAGGCAGACACAGAGAGACAGGCAGAGAGGGAGACAGGCGGAGGCAGAGACAGGCGGAGGCCCAGGGCACATGCGGGCGCGAGGCGGCAAGGGCTCCGGGCGACCAACACTCGCTGAGCAGAGAGGCGGCCTTGCCCTCTGAGCCTTTCCTGCCACCTCGGGGTGGCTTCTCCCGGGACTGGTATGTGCTTGGGGGTGATATGGAGGGAGGCGGTGGCTGCGCAGCCCCCTCCCACCTGTGGGGGCGCCCCGGGCTTGGGCCTCGTGGCAGCTGTGGGTCTCCCCCAGGGCTGGGCTCGGAGCCCAGAATCCACGCGCCAGTGCACGGGGACCGCGGGGTCCGGGCGGAGTGCACCTCGACCGGCTGGTTCCCGGAGCCCCAGGTGGAGTGGACGGACCTCCAGGGACAGGCCCTGCCTTCTGTAACCAACCTCTCCGCCTCGCCGGAGACTGGCCTCTTCGCCGTGGTGTCCAGCGTGGCCCTGGGGGGCAGGGCCCTGAAGGGCGTCGCCTGCTCCATCTCCAGCCCCCTGCTCCAGCAGAGGAAGGTGGCCGAGCTCCGCCTGCATGGTGAGCATGGCCCAGCTCAGTCCCAGACCCTGCCCGGCCAGGGACCCCGGGCACCCCCGCTGTCCCAAGCATCTGTGGCCTGACTGGGGCTGCGGGCCCAGCTTGGGGGCGCCCACTGAGGTGTGTCAGGAGTGCCAGGGGAGAGAGGACGGTTCCCCTCCTTAGTTTATTTGAAAGTTTTTTAATAGACTTTGTATTTTAGAGCAATTTAGAATCAAAGCACACTGAGGGGGAAGCTCAGACATTCTTCTGCCTCCTGCCCTGCAGCCGCCCCCACCTCCCCGCACCTGTCACCACCCACAGCAGACAGGGCCTCTCTTGTGCTTGGGGATTCCCCACTGGCTGCGCTCACCACCCACGGCTCCCTGTGCACCACCCCGAGGGCAGACAGTCCGTGGGTTTGTGGGGTGAAGCTGACGGGCCTGCAGCCTGGCGTCAGGATTCAACACCCACAAACCCCTCTGCCCTGCCCTGCCCTGCCCGTCCCTGCTGAGCCGCTGGGTGGCCTCCGGCCGACTCTGTGTGGCATCTACTGCTGAACGGTTCGGCGTATGGCTCACCTGGTCTCCCCGCGGGGCTGCCCTGTCCACGCAGGCGCAGTCTCCCTGCCCCCCTCAAGCCCGTGCCCTCCGCTGCGCCCCCTCACTCCCATCTCTCCAGCTTCCTCTTCCAGGAGGGCCACGCTGGGCTGGAGAACGGCCCTGCCGCTCCTCGCCGCGGCGGGGATCACAGTGGCTGGAACCCTCTGCCTCTTCTGGACGCGCCAAAGGGAGGAGAAGCAGCAGCAGCTGGAGGAAGTGAAGGCGTGTGGGCCCCGGGAGCAGCCGGCCAGCGGGCCTGGGGACGCCCCGATACCCGGTGCGCACTGGGGCCCCGGGCAGGCCCCGCCTCAAGCCCAGTGGGGGGCGGGAGTGGAGTGTGGCGTCCGGCATTCCAGGCATCCCCCTGGCGCGCCCTGGGCCCGCAGGTGCCGGCCAGCCCTGACCTCGGCCCGGATGTGGGTGGCGGGACAGAGACCCTCCTGACCTCCATGGGGTGAACAGGGTCTGTAGCAACTTTAACGTAAGAAAACCAGCAGGAGCGGGCGTGGGAGGCCGCCGCCGACTGGCCAGGCCTGCGGGCGCCTGTGTCCAGCTCCCGCCCTGCGCAGTCGCTGTTCAGCGGCCTCGCAGGAATGTTCTTGATGCTGCTCTGTGACTTCTGTTAGTCTCGGGCGACTTCCTGGGTGATGAGAGGGTGTGGACTAGAGGAGGCGCTGCCGGGGTGGTGGGGACGGCAGTGGCCTGCCAGGTGCCCGCACGCCGAGCCGCGGGGTAGGGGCGGAGAATTCCAGAAGCAGCAACGGGAATGTTTGGGGAGAAAAAAAGTCTTTGGCTTGAGGCAGAAAACTGGGGCTCTGAGGGCGCAGAGCGGGTGTGGGGTGAGCGAGGGACCCTTGGGGATGCCCGCCAGGCACAGCACAGCAGCATTTGGGGTTTAGAACCGATGGTGGGGACGTGCCCGGCCACCCCCAGACACCCTCCTGGCCTCTCAGCAGGGGCTGGAGCGCGGACGCGCGTCCTCCTGGGTGAATGCGCTCCAAGAGGGCCTTGGACATGGAGAGGACTCAGGGGTCCACTCCCTCTGGGTGTCCAGATGGGGCACGTGGCTGTGGAACAGCCCTACGGCCAGCACAGGCGCCTTCTCGCGTCCCCCTGCCCTGTCTCTGACCTGTGCCCTGACCACCACAGACCAGACGCGCTGACCAGGCCGCCACAATCCCCGGGAGCTCGGCCCACTCCCGCCTGCACCGGGCAGGCTGGGCTTGCTGCAGGGCTCCTGGGCGGGGCGCCCACCCCCAAGTGACCCCCGCGGCCCTGGGGCCCCTGTGCAGGCCTTTCCGTTGGCCCGAGCCTGACCTGCCTCTCCCCACAGAGAGCCTGTCCCTGGACCCCGACACCGCCAGCCCCAAGTTGGCCCTGTCTGCGGACGGGAGGAGCGTGGCGCGGCTGCTGCTGGAGCGGGAGCTGCCTGATGGCCCCGGCAGGTTTGACCGGGACCCCTGCGTTCTGGGCCGCGCACGCCTGTGGGCCGGGCAGCACTGCTGGGAGGTTGAGGTGGGGAACAGGAGCGCCTGGACCCTGGGCGTGTGCCTCGAGAGCCTGCAGCGCAAGGGGCGGGTCCCCAAGTCGCCCCATCACGGGGTCTGGGCAGTGGAGCTGCACAGGAGGGCGCTCTGGGCCCTCACCTTCCCCAGGGTGCGCCTGCGGCCCCGGGGGCCCCTGCAGCGGGTGCGTGTGCTCCTGGACCTCAAGGCCCGGGAGGTCGCCTTCCACAGCGGGGATGACGGCTCCCTCCTCCACACCTTCTCTGGGCTCTCCTTCTCGGGCGCCCTCCGGCCATTCTTCTGTCTCTGGACACACGACCCCAGACCCCTAACCATCTGCCCCGGGCCCCAGGGCCCGGAGGCCTCAGAACCTCCCCAGGGTCAGGGACAGGAGCGGGATGCAGGCCCCCCTCCAGGGCCCAGGCTCCCCCCGCCCAGCCCAGCCCACTGCAACCGCTCAGCCTCCTGAACCCCAGGGGGCGGGCACCGGGGTGTGGCTTCGTACACGACCCACTGCGCCTCGATTCCTCCGCAACACGACCACGGCCACGGAACCGCGTTCCCCCGAAATGTGCCAACTTCAACTTGACAGAGCAGGCTTGTAAGAAGCCAGCCGGGGCCGGGGCCCGCTGTGGGGCCAGCTCGCCCATGGCTGCCCCGGTGCTGTGCCGACGGCCATGCTCTGGCCCGTCCCGCTTCTGAGAGGCCCGAGTGCTTGCTTATCAAGAAGGGGCGAATTCCCGTTCGCAGATGGAGGTTTAATAAAAACTGAGCCCCCAAGGCCATCTTTTCAGAAAAGGTTTCAGGGTCTTTGTTTCATTTAAATTGTCTGGACACCTGGCGAGGTTCCGCTCAGAGGAAGCCGCTGGCCCCTGAGCCCGACCCTGAGAGGTCGGGCAGGGCTGGGTCCCGGGGGCCTCCTGGCTGGCGGGACGCGTGGAAACTCACTTCCCAGTGGTTTCACGGCCGCCTGTCTGCCACGGCCTCCCTGGCCACCCGGTGCCAGCCCGCCCGGGACTCCAGGCCGGCGGGGAGACTGGGCGGCAACAGCTTCGTGAGGAGATGGGTGCACGCGGGTGGCACCCGCACGGCTCCACGGAACACGGGGAAGGCGGGATGCCGCAGGCCCCTCGGAGCTCCGCCCACACCCGGAGACCTGGGTGCGGGAGCCTCTGCAGAGGGCGGCCGGTGCCTCGGCGCTGGGGACATCACTGCAGGCAGGCGTGCCCCAGCCCCACCAGCCCCAGCTGCCGCGCCAAGGTCGGCGCCCCAGCACCCACAACCGCCACCCAGTCCCAGCAATTAACCATCCTGGCTGGAGCGAAGCCCCTGTTGGCCGAGCAGGGAAGGCAGGGGCTGCCGCGAGGGGCCCGGGGTGGTGGGGGTCCGGCAGTCGCCGTCCTGCCCTCCAGAGCCCCAGGCGCCCGGCACCCCCAGCAGCCGAGGTCCGCCCACGGCAGGCAGCGCTGTTCCTCCTGCGGCCCATCCCGTGTCCCGCGGAAGGACCGAGTCCTCGGTGTCCTGCGGGCCGCGCCGGGTCACAGTGGTGCACACGGCCCCAGCACATCCCGGGCCCCACCGCCTTCCACACAGCGGCCGCGGACTCTGCCTGGCGCGGGCCGGGCATGGCCCAGGTCCTTCGCGTGATCTCCATGGACCCCTTGTTCTCCTGGGCAGTCCCTGCCCCTAGCGTGCTGCAGCCTGGGGCCAGCGCTGCCACACCTGGGGGGCGGGGGGCAGGCAGGGCCTCCCCATCACCCCACCGAGCTCCCCAGAAGCCAGCCTGGTAGAAGCGGCCGGACATCTGAGCTGGCAGCACAGGTGCCCTGCGGCCCGGATGGGGCAGCAGCCTGGAGCGCGGCACCCTCTGCTCCTCAGGGCTGGGCGGCAGGTCGCTCTGCCCTCGCGGCCCGGGCGAGCAGGCCGCGCCAGAGCCGGCTCCGGGCCCTCCTCGCGCTGCGGTGCCGCCCGAGCCACCAGCACAGGCCCCCTCCGAAGTGCCCCGTCCCTGCCGCGGGCGCGGGCCGCGGGCAGTTGGCCCCAGGCCCGTCTTCCTTCCCCCAGAAGGACCTTGTGTCCCCCACACCCACGGGGGTGGGGGGTGGGGGGGCCCAGACTGGCCCTGGGGGACAAGCACCCGGGACGCTGCCCGCGCAAGTCCAGGGTCCAGACCCGAGGCCCAAGCGCGGGGAGAGGGCGGCAGGGAGCACAGACCGCGGGGCGGGGCGTGGGGGCAGCACCCTTCAGGGAACTCCCGGGTGCTTGGGGGAGCGCGAGCCCGGTGGGGGGGGGCCGCGGCGCCCTCGCGGGGGGGGGGGGGGGCCGGGGCCGGGGCCTCCTCCAGCGGGGCTGTCCCCACCCGGGCCGCGCGGGCCCCGCGGCGCCGCCGTCCTCCTCGGCCCAGAGGCGCGCGGCACGCCCGGCAGAGGCGGGGGCCCCGGCAGAGGCGGGGGCCGCGGGCGCAGGCGGCGGGCGGGCCGGGCGGGAGCGCCGGGGCGGGACGCGGCCGAGAGCGGCCCGGGGCGCCCGCCGGGTCCCGGCAGCGGAGGGCGCGGCGGCGCGGACCGGGCCGCGGCTCCGCCTGGGGGGGGGTCGGCCGCCCGCCCGCCGCGCGAGGCCCACAGCGCCGGCCCCGGCGGAGAGTCGCCGCGCCCGCCGCCTGGAGCGGCCGGGACCCCGGACCCGAGCGCGGGCGCCGGACCCGCTTCCCCGCGGGGCGCAGACTGCGGACGGCCGCGGGCGCGCGCCCCGCCCCGGCCCGCCCACCCCGCCGCGCCGCGCCGCCCCTGCCGCAGCCTCGCGTCACCCGCCGCCTGAGCGCGGGGCGGGCGGGTGGGGACGCGCCCCCCAGGCCCGTGAGGGCGGCCGCGGAGAGGGCCGGCGTCGCTGTGGGGGCAGCTGGGGCCGCCGGCGCGGCGGTTTCTTTTGAAAACAACCGAGCATGGAGCTGAAACACACCCACACCCCTCACACACCCCTCCACACACCCACACCCCGCACACACCCACACCCCTCACACGCACACACACATCCCTCCACACACCCCTCCACACCCACAACCCTCACACCCACACCCCCTCACACCCCCACCTCCTCACACGCACACACCCCTCACAAGCCCCTCCACACACCCACACCCCTCACACGCACACACACACATCCCTCCACACACCCCTCACACCCACACCCCTCACACGCCCCTCCACACACCCACCCCTCACACACACACCCCTCCCACCCACACCCCCTCACACGCACACACACCCCTCCACACACCCCTCACACCCACATCCCTCCACACGCCCCTCACACCCACACCCCTTACACACCGCCACACTCACACCCCTACACACACCCACACCCCTCACACACATCCCTACACACCCCTCACACCCACACCCCTCACATACGCACCCCCACGCGCACCCCTCAACACACCCAACCCTCCACACACCCCTCCCACACCCACACCCGCACCCTCCACGCACACCCCTCACCCGCCCACACTCCTCACCCGCCCACACCCCTCACATGCCCACTCACAGGCCCACCCACGCACACCCCTCACACGCCCACACTCCTCACACACACACCCACGCGCACCCCCCCCCCACACACCCCTGCAAGCACTGACGCGCACTGCGCCGTCTCTGAGTCTCCAGGGCGCGCGGAGCCGCAACCCCGCCTCGGGAGCGCGCCGGCCCGGCCACTCCGCGGGGCGCCCTCCCCCGCCCCCCCGCCACTTCCTGCGCAGCGGGGCAGACGCCAGGGGCGAGGCCGGTCGCACGACGTGGCCCGCCGGGGCCCCCCCCGCCCGGACGCCCCGCTCCCCCCTCGTCCCTGCCCCGGGCGCGCGGCGGGGACGGGCACGGCCGAGGCCGCTGGGACAGGCCGCGCGCGGGTCACGTCGGGCTGCGCCGCGGGGACCGGCGGCGGCGGCCCCTTGGGATGCGCGCCCTCGCGGCCGGCCAGGCGGACGCGGGGAGCCCGGGAGGACGCGGGGAAAGCGCTGCCCCTGCGCCCGCCCAGCGGGGCCTCGAGCGCCGCCGGCCCGCGCCCTGAGCCCGCCCGCGCCCTCGCCTCTCGCGGGGCCGTCGGAAGCCGCCGCGGCCCTCCCGGCGCCGCATCACGGCGGAGCTGCCGCGGGGCGAACGGCGCCCAGGGGCGCGCCCTCCCGCGCCGGCCCCGCGGCCCCGCCCGCCAGACAAAGGTCTGGAGCGGGGAAGCGCGACCCGACGCCGCGCCGCGGGCCTGCGCGCGGATTGGAGCGGCCGCCGCCCAATGGGAAGGCGGCGCCGGCACCTGCATTTACATAAACCCCGCGGCCCGCCGTGCGCGTGGCTGCCGCCCAATCGGCGTTGAGCGACTTGGAGCCGTCATTTAAATACGGGGCCGTAAACACGCCGCGGGGGCGCGTCATCCCCCCCTCCCGTTCCCCCCGTTTTCTTGTTCGAACGTTTGCGTGCGTGGTCGGCGCCTCAACAGGCGGCGAGTTGGGCGCGAGCGCAGCCGCGGAGAGCTCGTGCTCGGGACGCTGGAGCAGCGCGTCCACGACACCGGGGCCCCCATCACGGGCAGGCGCCCCGGAGGTGCCGAGGACGCGCGCCTGCTGCTCCCCGGCCAAGCACGCGGTGTCCCGGGGCGCCGAGGCCATCACCCGGTCCACCCGCGGTGCCCACACCCAGGAGCCCCCCAGTGCTCAGGAAGGAGCCGCCACCTGGTGTGGTGCTGTGGGTGATGGGGTTGGGCCAAGCGAGACAAAGGGGAGCCCCACTTGCTCTGATGACACGGCCCCAGGGGCTCCCCCAGTGGGGAGCAGAACAGGCGGATCTACTGAAATGCACTGCTGAGGGGAGCAGTGGGCGAGTCAGGACAGGTCTGCCGCGCCATGGGGGTAGCTCCCTGGCTGGGGCTAGAAATTGTGCTGCAGAGGCTGCGGATGCTTCATAGGCCGTGTCTTAACCTCTCGAGCCACCAGGGAGGCCTTGTGGTTCCTTTTTAAAAGGGCATTTTTGTCCCCAAGATCTTTGTTCCATGACTTCATGTTTCTGAGTCTTACAAGGATTTCAGGTTATACCTGCAAAATCCCTCCAGAACCTACCTGAAGACTTTATCTCGTTATTTCAGGCCCAGAGGAAAGTCCCTTAACCTAGCTCTGCACCTCCGCCTGCTCTCTAGTATTTGCTGCACACCGCCTCACCCTTCTTACCCAAGCTAATCCCACTTGCCAGGAGTCAAATGGCTTCAGAGTTTAGGTTTGTGTGAACCACAACCGAATTTATTTTGACAGGATTGAATATGCAGGTAACATGGTCGCTTCTTGACTCCATTTTTCTGTTAGCACCATTACAGCTCTGTGCTGGAGACACTTCATTTTCTTGAACCTAAATTTCTATTTCCTGACCCCGTGCCACCCCCCGGGGCCCAGTCAGCAGGCCCCTGCTTCAGAGCAGGACCCTACTCTGCGGGCTTAGGAACTGTTACCTTTTGAGATGATAAAGGATGTTGATCTTTGTTCACAGATCATCGTTCAAAGTTCAACTATACCTAGGAAGGCAAAAACAATTGAGAAAATGGATTACTGAGCAAACGAATATAATAGTCAAGCAGAACTTCCAGCCCAGGTGCAATGCATACTCCAATGCAGGCATAATTTGCAAGTTTGCTTACAGCGCCTTCTCTCTCAAGATTCATGGCCAGGGCCTCAGCACGCTTATCTACAAGATGAGCAGCCGACCAGGTGGTCTTTCTATCCAAGGCCATCCCCGAAAGCCTGCATCTTTCCCCCCTTGCCTTGCCCCCTTTGTCTGGCGACTGCTGCAAATGGTTGTGCCAAAAACTGATGCTATCCATGTAACAGGCACGGACACAGTTGTGCATAAAGAAGCCCTTGGTCTTTACACCGGTGCTCACACCTTGCGGGGCTGCCCAGGTCCGGGACCGCATGCATGAGTCATAAAGCGGCGCCTGACCTCAGCATTCCTGAAGCACCCCTTGTTCTTCCCCGGCCTGGGTAAAAGGCTAGCATTAGTTTCTACAACAGAATGACTATGCCAACTACCTCGCGTCTAGGAAAAAAGTGGTATTTCCATTACTATCCACGTCTGCGTTCTACTTCTGGGAACACCCTTGGTGCCCAGATCAGCGCCAGCTGTGCCCGTGGACGCGGGAGGGACTGAGGCGTGATGGAGGGAGGGACTGGCACAACCCTGCTGATTACAGGTTTTACTAAATCTTCTTCCTTTGACAATTATCAAAACATACTCGTTTTTTAGAAAAAGTTGTGTCCTGTCCAGATGATTTTTTTAAAGAGACTACAGATGACAAGTATGTTTAAATTTCAACTTAAGAGCCTGGTAGAGAAGGGCGACCCTGGACACAGCAGCACGCCCGCACCGGGGGGCAGCCCTGAGGCAGCACTGCAGTGGACGTGAGTGTGCAGAGAACAGTCTTATCTAAAATCCCTCCCCAGCCACGGAAAAAATTAATGGGAGTATTTTTATTAATGGATTTGGCATCAAACTGCTGTTTCACTGAGTGGCGTGACCGTTTTGGTCCTCAGAATGTTGGGGTTTGCACCCTGACAAAATATTTCACATGCCGACTTTAAAACGCACGTCCTAGAAATCGAGCGCGCCCACGGACAAGGGTTGGGGTCAGGGGCCTTCCGACCACAGCAACTGGCTGCGCGGGTCCCTGACCCCCGACCCCCAGCCCGTGCCGACACACACACACCCGTGGAGACCCCGCCAAACCTGGAACGGACGTTTTGCCTGCGCTGCCCGCTGCCTGCGGAGACGACGACCCCTCCCACACCGCCGGTTCTCAAGCACCCCAGGGTGAGCAGGAGCATTTGGGCCCATGAACGGCATCTGGGGCGCAAACCCCGTCTCCATGAACTTGTCAACTGTCAGGGCCGCTTTCCTGCTCCGCACAGAGCGACCCGGGGCGGCGGGCAAGGGTCATTTTTCCCTCCGGCCCGGCACACTCGCGCCCCTCCCTCTCCTCCTGCACCCCGCTTTGCGCACCCCGCCCCGGGCCACCCGCCGAACCTGCGCTCGGGTCGCACCCGCAAGAAGGACCCCGCCCCGCGACTGCCGCAGCTCGGCTCGCCCCTCAGCACCCCTCTCCCCGACAGCCCGAACCCCTTTCTCATCACCGCACAGGACAAGCGGCGCAGGACGCCCCTGCAGGCGCCGCCCGGGCCTCCCTGACGCGCAGAGGCGCCGCCCGGGGAGGGGGGTCCGCGTCGCCGACGGAGGCCAGCGCGCTCGGAACAGGCGAGCGCCGCCGCGGGCCCCAGCCCGGGAGGGGCCCGCGCGGGCAGGTGACGCCCGCGGGGTACGTGACCGCAGCAGCAGCGCCCGGCAGGGGGGCCGCGCCCCAGCCCCGGCGGACGCGGCGCCAGGCCGCCCCCCACCCCCCGCAGACCGGGGCGGCGGCGAGGGGCCCCCGGGCCGCGCCAGCCACGCCTCCCCCGGGGCCCGGCTCCGCCGCCGGCCTTCACCGTGTGCGACACCCTTTCTCGACAGTGTGGGTGGCTCTGAAAAGAGCCTTTGGGTGCGGGCGCGCGGCGCGCTCACTTGGAGCTCGTGTACTTGGTGACGGCCTTGGTGCCCTCGGACACGGCGTGCTTGGCCAGCTCGCCGGGCAGCAGCAGGCGCACGGCCGTCTGCACCTCGCGCGACGTGATGGTCGAGCGCTTGTTGTAGTGCGCCAGGCGGGACGCCTCGCTCGCGATGCGCTCGAAGATGTCGTTGACGAAGGAGTTCATGATGCCCATGGCCTTGGACGAGATGCCCGTGTCGGGGTGCACCTGCTTCAGCACCTTGTACACGTAGATGGAGTAGCTCTCCTTGCGGCTGCGCTTGCGCTTCTTGCCGTCCTTCTTCTGCGCCTTGGTCACCGCCTTCTTGGAGCCCTTCTTGGGCGCGGGCGCCGACTTGGAGGGGTCCGGCATGATGGCGGCTCGCTCGCAACAAGAAAAACCTGCGCCGGGCGCCACCGTATTTGAATGTCCCGTATTCAAATGAGGGATCAGAAGCTCCTATTTACTCATAGGCTCCAACGCTGAGCAACGTCATCTGTGGAAGGCGCGCATGCAAATTAGGGGATACGGACTTCCCGCTCTGATTGGCTGTTGTCGCTATCCAATCGGAAGGCGCCATCTAGCCTACCTCGGGACCATATATAAGGGCTCACCGGGGCGCGCGCGGCTTTCACTTCAGCTCCGTTCCTTGCTCGCCTGAGTCCCCGTGCAACCCCGGAGATGTCCGGCCGCGGCAAACAGGGCGGTAAAGCGCGCGCCAAAGCCAAGTCGCGCTCCTCGCGCGCGGGCCTGCAGTTCCCCGTGGGCCGCGTGCACCGGCTACTCCGCAAGGGCAACTACTCGGAGCGCGTGGGCGCGGGCGCGCCCGTGTACCTGGCGGCCGTGCTGGAGTACCTGACGGCCGAGATCCTGGAGCTGGCGGGCAACGCGGCGCGCGACAACAAGAAGACGCGCATCATCCCGCGCCACCTGCAGTTGGCCATCCGCAACGACGAGGAGCTCAACAAGCTGCTCGGCCGCGTGACCATCGCGCAGGGCGGCGTGCTGCCCAACATCCAGGCCGTGCTGCTGCCCAAGAAGACGGAGAGCCACCACAAGGCCAAGGGCAAGTGAGGCCGCGCCGGGCGGACGGGCCCCGGCCGGGCCCTGCGACACCAAAGGCTCTTTTCAGAGCCACCACCGCTTCCCGAGGAGAGCTGCACGCCGGGGCCGCGCCGGAGTGGGCGGGAGCCGCGTGCCCGGGGGCGGGGTGTTTGGCCCTGACTCGCGGCTTCTCCCGGGGCGGGGCGAGAGCGCTCGGCTGCGAGGCGCACCCGCTGCCCGGCACGGGCTCCCCGCCGCGCCCCGCGGGCGCTCGCTGTGTTCCCAGGCGGTGACGCAACTTACACCCGCCGGAGTCTCGCCCCCGCCCCCGAGCCGCGCGCGCCCATTGCGCCCAGGTGGTCGCTTTCTGGGGCGGGGGGCCGCCGGGGTGGCCGCAGCCCGAGGTCGCCGGCAGTGGGGAGCGCCTGTGCGGGGGCGCGCCCCGCACCCTCACAACCTGCTTCAAAACGCCTGCTTCAGCGCTCTCGTGAGAGAGAAGCTGGCGCGGCGTCTCGGGCTGCGCGGGCCCTCGCGCGCGGGCCGGGGCCGGCTGTGGGCGGGGCGGGCGAGGTGAGGGCCGGGCGGCGTGTACGCCCGACGGGCCAGCGGGGGGCGCGGGGCCCCGGGGGGTCGGCTGAGGGCGGTTTCCCGGGCGCGGCGGGAGGGGGCGCCGCGCGGGAGGCCGAGGACCAGGGGCGCTCGGCACCAGGTCGGCGCGGGGCCCGTGTCCGCCCGCCGGCCCTGACGCGGGTGCCGCGAGGCGAGGCCACCCTCGGCCGGCGCCCGGGCCGGCGCGGCGCCCACACTCCCCGCGCCCCTATTGGCTCGCGCCCGAGCGGCGGGCGGGGCCGGCGCGGGAGTCCGGGCTGCGCTGCAGTGCGGGGCGCGGCCCGGGGGGAGGGCGGCCGCCCCCGAGTCCGCGCCCGCCGATCCGGCGTTTTGCCGGGGCCCCCGCCGCTCTGAGACCGGCGGGCGTCGGGAGGGAGGCGGCGCGGGCCCTGGGAGCGGCCTCGCGGGGGGCGCCGCGCGGGCTGCTGAATCGATTTCATGTGATTAAAGCTGACCCCAAGGACGCCGTCTGCGCAGCGCGCGCGGCGGCGGCGTGGGCCGGCAGCGATGCGGAGCCGGGCGCGGGCGGGGCGGGGGAGGGCCTGGGGGGCGGGGCGGGGGAGGGGCTGCGGGGGGCGGGCGCTGCCCGCACGAGCACGCCCGCGCGCGCGAGGCTGGAGATCTGCTCCCCGGGCGGGAGGCGGCGGCGAGGTGCTGGGGAAGACGCGCGCCCGCCGTGGGGCGGAGGGGGCGCGCGGGCGCGGGGAGCGGATCTGGGGGTCGGTGGGGAAGGGAGGCGGGGGGCCTCCTGGAGTGGAAAGGGCTCCGGGACGGGACGCGGGTGGCCCTGCGCGGGGGCGCGCCCCCAAGGCTGGTTTTGGGGGACCGGGCGTCCAGGTGAAAGCGGGCGGGGGGCGCACGCCGCGTGAGTGCAGGCGGGGGTCGAGCGTGGGGTGCAGGGCAGGGCGGCCAAGGATTGCGCCCAGCGCGCGCGAGGCCTCTGGGGGCCGAGCGGTCCCGGTGGGCGCCGGGGCCGAGCGCAGCGGTGCACAGGGGCGGCCGGGGGCTTCGGGGCGCGCTCGCGGGCGGCGGGGCGCGGGGCCGCGGCTGCTCGGCTCCGCCGGCGGCGCATGCGCAGGGGTCCTCGGGCGGGGCCGGGCGCGCCCCGCTCTCCGGCTTCGGGCTGCGGTGGGCGCGGAGCGGAGCGCGGGGACCCGGGGCGCCAGCGGGCGGCGCGCGGCGATACTGGACAAAGGGGCGCTGGGGGCTGCGGGGTCGGGGACGCGCTGCTCGTGGAAGACCCGGCCCGGGTTCTGTCGCGCTCGGGCACGATTCCCGGGGTCCGAGGCCCTGGGCCGAGCGCTTTCCCGCACCCCTCGGGCGGGCGCCCCGCCCCCGTCTCCGCCCGCGCGCTCCCCGCGGCGGCGCCTGCCCGCGAGCGCCTGGGCCCCGGCCCCAAGAAGGGCAGCCTCGGCCCCGGGGCCGGTCTCGGCGCCGCTCGCGGGCGCGGGGGTGGATCGCCCGGGGGCCTCCTCGCCCGCTCGCCCTGCCCCTGCCCAGGGCGTCCGTCTCCGCCTCCCTTTGCTCTGCGCGCGGCGCCCCTGGGTGCTGGGTCCTGCTTAGCGGTTTTCTTCCTTTTCCTCTCCCGCTGCTGCCCGCGTCTCCGAGCCGGGCCCAGCGCGACGGCGGGGCTCAGCGCGCTCGCCCGTGCGGTACCGACTATTTTGAATTAGAGCTACCTGAGCAGCACCTGTGCGAGGACACGGCGTCTCTCCGTGCCCCTGACAGCTGGAGAGGCTGCCCTGAGAAAGGCGCCCCCGCTGCCCCCCTCGTCCCCACACGGGAGTCAGGGCCAGGCCGCGGAGGAGCCGGGTCGCTCCCGTGCGCGGCGTCTGCTCAGCCCTCGCAAGCGCGGCTGCCTCTGAGGCCCCTCGTGGCCCCCCCGCACCCCCACCCCCACCCCCACCCTAGCTTCCCCCGCCCCCAGCTTCTCTTAATGTTTTTCTAGTGTTAACCTGCCCCTGTGTAGGTAGTGGACTACCCAACAGAACCCGGGGCAGGGTCAGATTTTCTCCTCCTTTCCACAGACACACCTCGGATCCCACATACCCTTTCTTGTTACTGAGCGTCTCTGTCATTTTATTATCTCAGGGTTGGCACAGGGCGTGGGGCAGGCAAATACCGTGCTCAAAGAACAAACCCCAAGTGGGTCAGGAGAGCGTTTTACTGGAGAGGACTATTGCAGGCGACGGAAGAGGACCACTGCGATGGGCAGGGAAACTCTCTCCCCGTTTTCGGTGTCGGTGGAGGTTCCGTGACGAGAGAGATCAGCAAGAGCAAAGAGCAAGTGTCAGGTTCACAGGGACCTTCCTGAGGAAACCAGACCTGGAGGAGTGGGAGGAAGGTGACCCCGGGAGCGCAAGCAGGATACACGAGGCGGCAAAATACACGTTGCGGCCGGAGGAAGAGAAGCAACATTTCAACCCTGGCCTGTGCAGAGCTTGGCCCTCACTTTCCTGCCTTGGGTCAACGAGGATTTCTCCTGGCATGGGGTGGGCGTCTTTCCCACGGAGCTCGCACTCCTGTGGCCAGCAGAAAGGTGGGAGCTCGGACGCCCCTTTACACCTATTTTTCAAGCACCGTTGGTTCAAAATAATCCTTGTGCTGAAGCGTTTTTTTTTTTTTTTTTTAATGCTACAGGAACGGGTGTAGGCCACAGGTGGGGTGTGAGAGGATTCGTCAGAGACAGCAGGGACAGCACAGGCGGATCCGCTGAGATCCACTGCTGAGGGGAGCAGTGGGGGGAAAGGAGAGGTCTGCCGGGTCATGTGGGTCAGCTCCCTGGCCGGGGACCGAACTCGGGCCACAGTGGCTGGCGCTAGCTTCATTGTGCCGAGACTTAACCCCGGCCCCACCAGGGAGGCCCTGAAGTGGTTTATTTTGGGGCGACACACACCTCCGCCCTCCAGCCGTGCCCTTGCTCAGGGGCTGCGGGCGTCTGCAACGAGAGCACCGAACAAGAGGAAGGACCGGCGGGGGAGCTGGATGGCGGGGCTGGCGGGGCTGGGTCAGGGGAGGCTTGGCCCTGAGGTGCCCAGTTCTCGAGAGGGACGAGGACCTCGGCGCCTGGGGGTGGGGGAGGCGCTGACGTCGGGGGAAACGTCCTACTGGATCCTTTCAAGGGCGTTCCCGCTGCAGACCAGAGTGGGGCCTTTGGCGGGTCTGCGCCCTGCCTGGTCGGGAAACGAGAGGGGATCCCCGAGTCAGCTGCGCCTCGAGGGAAGGGGGGCAGTGCCTTGGACCGGCGCTGAGACCTCAACACCGGCCCCGGGCGAAGGCCAAATTTTGAGCACACGCTTCTAGAAGGTTCTTCCCGCCCTGCCCGGGCTGATCTATCCCGTCACAGAACCTCCACCGACACCTAAAACGGGGAGAGAGAAATGCAGGAACCGAGCGGCAGGTGGTGACGCCCACGACCACAGGCCCCGGGGCCCGAGGCCCGACCCGCCCAGCCCGCGGGTGTTGGAGAAGCGCCCGAGGGCCCCCCTCAGCGGGCGGCCGCGCCCTGGCTGCGCCTGGATCAGAGGCTGGCCAATGAGCAAGCGACCCCCCGGGCCAATCAGAGCACAGCCTACCATCGCGCCACCCGGCGGCCAGCCAATAGGAGGGCGGGAGCCTCTATAAAAGCAGGCTCTGCGGTCGGGCTCACCACTCGGCGAGGAGCGGCAGACCCGGCAGCGCCCTCGGCATGGCCCGCACGAAGCAGACGGCCCGCAAGTCCACCGGCGGCAAGGCCCCGCGCAAGCAGCTGGCCACCAAGGTGGCCCGCAAGAGCGCGCCGGCCACGGGCGGCGTCAAGAAGCCGCACCGCTACCGGCCCGGCACCGTGGCGCTGCGCGAGATCCGCCGCTACCAGAAGTCCACCGAGCTGCTCATCCGCAAGCTGCCCTTCCAGCGCCTGGTGCGCGAGATCGCGCAGGACTTCAAGACTGACCTGCGCTTCCAGAGCTCGGCCGTCATGGCGCTGCAGGAGGCCTGCGAGTCCTACCTGGTGGGGCTGTTCGAGGACACCAACCTGTGCGCCATCCACGCCAAGCGCGTCACCATCATGCCCAAGGACATCCAGCTGGCGCGCCGCATCCGCGGGGAGCGCGCCTAGGCCCGCGTGCGCGTGCACGCGTCACCCCAAAGGCTCTTTTCAGAGCCACCATCTTGTCCCGAAAAGTGCTGTCCATGCTCGGCCTCGTGCCCGCTGCCACCTCAGGGTCTTGCTGGTCAGCGGGTGGGTGGCCGGTGCCGCGGGGGAGGGTGTGGGCGCGGCAGGAACCGGCCTCTGGCGCCCTCATCAGTCCCGGCGGGCGGGGCTTCCCTGGGGCCAAATGGGCGCCTGGGCCGGGCCGCAGGCAGGCCGGGCGCGCTGGCCGCGGGGACCGCGCACCCGGCGCCCCAGGCCGAGTCGGGCTCCTCTCGGCCAGGTCCGCAGGGCAGCGGCCCCGGCCCGCCTGAGGGCGCGGGTGGACGAGGTCCCGGCCCGCGAGCCATCCCGAAGGCGCAGCCAGGGCCCGGGAGGACGCCCCCCGGGTCTCCCAGCGCGCCGGCCTGTTCCTCGGGCGGGGTCCCGCGGGTCGAGCTGTAGGGCCCGCGCGGGACTCGGAGGACGGCGGCTGCGGTGTCCCCATCGCTCGAAAGGGGCCTCTTGGCCGCTCGCACGTGTCCGCGCACGCGCCCTCCCAGCACGACGCCCGGTGGTCGCCAAACGGCGCGGACGCCGCATGCCCGGACGCCCTGCGCGCGCTTTGCGCTGCCGAGCTCCCGCCGGGGCGCCCTGGGTCTCCTCAGGCCTGAGCCGGGGCGAGCTCGGCCGCTCCCTCGTCTGCCGCGTTGCTGCGCCCCGGCCGCAGGAGCACGTGACCCCCGCGCGGGGTGCAGCGAGCACCGCTCCTGGGGCCCCCGGGCGACCCGCGCCCGCCTAAGCCAAGCTGGGGGAACGCGGCCGGCCGCCCCGCGCAGCCGCACTCCGTGCCCTCCTGGGGCCCCGCGCGGGGAGCAGCCCTCGGCCGCGGGACGGGGGGCCGCGGGAGGGGGGGCACCGGGACCAGCGAGCAAGTCGCCCCCGGCCCGCCCTGCCCGGCCCGCGCCGCGCTCGGACAGCCGGGGGCGCAGGCGGCGTGGGGGTCCCGCCGCCCTCCCGGGCCTGGCGATGCCGCTGACCGTCCGTTTCTCCGCTGTCCTGGGCCGGCTCCAGCCTGTCCTCACCTGCCCCCCCCGCGCTGCACCCCCACGAGTACTGGGGAGCGCATCACCCCGTAAGGTCAGGGCTCAGGCTGGGGGGGCAGCGAGCCGCGGACACCCACTGCGGTGCTGCCCCTAACCCGGCCCGCGCCCACCAGGCGCCCCCGACCCGCCCCCCATGCGTCCCGCGCCCCCAGCGCCCCGACCACACCCCGCGGGCTGACGCCACAAAGCCGGGCCCCGCGCGGGGCCGGAAGTGCCCGCGGACGGGGCGGCGCCCGCGCTCGCGAGTGGCCCCGGCGCTGGCGGGCTGGGGTCGGGCGCGGAGCGGCGCCGGCCGTGGACACGCGCGCGCCTCCGCTTTGAAGATGGTGAAAAGCTGAAGCCACGGGCTGAGCCGCGACTGCAGGGGTCCCTCCTGCCCGCAGGTGGCCGGCCGGGGCCCCCCTCTGTGCGCCTGGCGGGGCTCCGCGTGGGGGTGACCACCCGCGCGTGGCCGCTGGGATGGAGGGAGGGGGCGGCCCCAAGGCTGTGGCCAGCGCAGGACCGCGGGGTCCAGACGTGGCTTTAAACAGTCAGGAGCCGGACTGGGGCGCGGGGGCCCCCATCCGCAGCCCCGTGTGCAGCCCGTCCCTTTGGGGTGCAGGCCCGCGTGCTCCTGGGTTCACACCCCCCCACCCCCACCCCGGGTGGACAAGCACGGACAGGGCACGCGGCAGCCAGAGTGGACGCAGCGAGAGCCGAGCGGACTTTACTCAGGACTCGCGACGGGCAGAGACCTCGGCGTGATCGGGGCTGGCTCGGCTCGGAACCCCACTGCGCAGGGGGCTGAGCGGCCGGGGCTGCGGCACCAGGCACGGGGAGTCGGGCTCAGCCCATGCAGCAGGGCCCCCGCTGCACCGGACAGAGCAGAGACAGACTGATGTCCAGGGCCTGGTCGGAACGTGCCGGAGCCCAGCAGAGTTTAGTCAAGGAAGCTGCCAACCTCACTCCCAAATGGAAGAGATTTGTCTTCTCACCTCACTGCCCCTGCCCTGCCCTGGCACAGCTCACGCTGCCCAGGCCGGCAGCAGCAGCAGGGCCTGGGCTCAGCACAGCCTGGGGGCACAGAGGGGTGTGCACAGCCCAGGAGCAGAGTGGGGGCTCAGGGGCCAGAGGCCCTTGGTCTGGGGTGGCGGAAAGGCCTGTGAGACCAGCCCAGCGCAAGGCGGGTCCAGCTCAAACTCATAGCAAGTGGGGTGAGGGTCCCCATCAGGCAGCCCCAGGGGATTCTCAGATGCCCCTAAAACCAGGGGGCCCGCAGGACGCGGCGCGGGGAGCTGGTTGCTGGCCGCCGGGGTCTGTCTGCAGGAGGGCGCTGCAGGGAGCAGCTGGCAGAGGGTGGCACACGGCTCCCCCCCAGGACATGGATGCCGTGGAGCTCGCCAGAAAGCTGCAGGAGGAGGCCACCTGCGCCATCTGCCTGGACTACTTCACGGACCCGGTGATGACCGCCTGCGGCCACAACTTCTGCCGCGAGTGCATCCGGCTGACCTGGGAGAAGGCCAGAGGCAAGAAGGGGCGGCGCAAGCGCAGGGACTCCTTCCCCTGCCCCGAGTGCCGCGAGCTGTCCCCCCAGAGGAACCTGCGACCCAACCGCCTGCTGACCAAGGTGGCGGAGATGGCGCGGCAGCACCCGTGCCCGCAGCGCGGCGACCTGTGCCAGACGCACCAGGAGCCGCTCAAGCTGTACTGCGAGGACGACCGGAGCCCCATCTGCGTGGTGTGCAGGGAGTCCCGGGAGCACCGTCCGCACAGGGTGCTCCCCGTGGAAGAGGCCGCGCAGGAGCACAAGGTGGGCGGGAGGGGCGGGCGAGGGCTGGACGGGGAGCCCAGACGGGTGCCTCCCCACGCCACGGGGGTGTGGGCATCGCAGCCAGGCCACCCCGGCCAGAGGGAGCCCCTTCCCTCGCCCGTTCCTCCAGCCAGGCCCAGGGGCCGGACCCGCCAAGACGGCCCAGCAGCCCAGTGGGCACAGGCAGAGCCACAGTGGCCGCCAGCCCCTAACAGCAAGCAGAGCGGGGTGGCGGCGGGGGTTGGGGTGGGGGGAGAGCAGCCAGTCCAGGCTCCCCGGGGCTGGGAGCGCCCCCCGCGGTCAGTTCCCAGGCTGCAGCTGAGGCTGGAGGCTGACGTGGCTGTGCCCGTGCGGCAGGGGCTGGGGTCTCCACCAGGCACAGCCCCACCCCGGCCGCGCCCCAGAGGCCCTGGGCCTGACACGTGTGACCGGCCTGGGTGGCGGCTCCGAAGTGCAACTCCCCAGCCTTTACCCGGAGGGGCTGCTGACAACCCTAAGTGTCTGTGGCCTGTCAGGCCAGGGGGTTCTGGGGTGCCATGCCCAACCCCTGACTGCATCGACCCCAGCTCCAAACACCCCTCCTCCCGAAGGGCGCACCTGGGCAGGTGCAGAGCCGCTGACCCTGCCCCACGTCTGCGACCCCAGGCAAGGCTGGAGGAGGACGTGGCCAGCCTGCGGGCGGAGGTGGCCAAGACAGGGGCGCTGCGGGCGCAGGAGGAGCAGAGCCTGGTGGACTGGCAGGCAAGTGCCGGGCTGGAGCAGGGCGGGAGGCGGCCAGCTAGGGGAACCAGGGCTCAGCAGGCCGGGGCAGTGGGCGCCATGGGGTCAGCGGCCACGGGGCCCAGGGCCAGGCGGGCTGTGCCTGCTGAGCCTGGGCGGGGGACCCTGGGCGGGCCGGCGCCCACATCCACACCCCCCCAGGAGCTGGTGCAGGCGCGGCGGCGGCGCATCCTGGCAGAGTTCGAGAAGGTGCGGCTCCTGCTGGTGGACGAGCAGCAGCGGCTCCTCCGGGCCCTGAAGGAGGAGGAGGCCGAGACAGCAGGGCGGCTGCAGGGGCGCAGGGCCGCGCTGGCCCAGCAGGGCCTCACGCTGGAGCTGCTGCTGCAGCAGCTGGAGGACCTGGGCGGGCGGACCCCGCTGCAGCTGCTGCAGGTGCGGCCCGGCTGGCGGGAGGGGCGGGGCCCAGGTGCACCGAGGCCGCTGCACGCCCGGCTGCTCAGAGGCTCGTGGCCCTGCCCTGTCCTCCCAGGCGCCTTGTCCCATCCCGCGCCCTCTTCCCACAGGCCTGGGTCTGTGGGGTTGGCACCACACCATGAGCTCCCCTAGCTCGCCCCTTCTGAGCCGTGGGAGGGCTCCCCACAGGCCCAGCGCGCCTGTGCGCTGCCGCCCTCCCCGCCCAGAGAGGTAGCCTGGGCAGCTGCCATCCAGGTGGCAACCCACACAGGACACCCAGCCCAGAGCGAGTCCCAGCAGCCTGGGGAGGTGCCCGCAGGACCGTGACGCGGAGTGTGCACAATGATGGCAGAGTCACAGCAGAGAGCTGTTGCACACACGTGCATGCACACGCACAGGCAGGCCCAGTGAGGCCTACAGACAACCAGTCAGCCCCCAAGTAGACAGGGTGGAGGGGGCTGTGAGGGAGGGGCCCAACCTCTGCCGCCCCCTGTCTCCACAGGCCATGAAGGACCCACCGAGCAGGTACCTTACCACAGCGGTGGGGGGGGCAGGGGCGGGCCCACGTGGGGCCCCGGGGACAGTGAGACCTGTGTCCACTGGAGGAAGAGCAGCGCGCCGGTGCAGTACCCAGAGGCCACGCCCGCACTGCTAAGGACCGTCTGCAGGGTCCCGGGGCAGATCGAGGTGCTCAAGACCTTCCAAGGTAAGCGCCCGTGCTCCCAGCCAGGCTGTGGCCCTCAGGGACCCGCTCCTGGAGCCGCGGAGACACTGTGCGCCCAGCCCCGGCCCCAAGCAGTCTCCCTGGGCTCAGCCACGTGGGCAGTCTGGGGTTCAGGGAGTGAGGCGGGTGGCCCTGCTAGGGTCCTCCCCGCAGGCCCTGAAGGCCTCCCCCTGCCCGCCCCACGCCCGCACGCAGAGGACGTGCTGCCCGACCCGGCCACGGCGTACCCCTACCTTCTCCTGTACGAGAGCCGCCAGCGGCGCTACCTGAGCACCCCTCCGGACGGCGTGCCCTGCAGCCGCGACAGGTTCCTGGCCTACCCCTGCGCCGTGGGCCGCGAGGCCTTCTCCTCCGGGAGGCACTACTGGGAGGTGGGCATGAACCTGACCGGCGAGGCCCTGTGGGCCCTGGGCGTGTGCAGGGACAACGTGAGCCGCCGGGACAGGGTCCCCAAGCGCCCCGAGAACGGGTTCTGGGTGGTGCAGCTTTCCAAGGGGAAGCGCCAGGAGCCTGTGGCACCCGCCCCGACCCCCGTCACACTGACGGAGCCCCCCAGCCACGTGGGCGTCTTCCTGGACTTCGAGGCGGGCGAGGTCTCCTTCTACAACCTGCGGGACGGCTCCCACCTGCACACCTACGCCCAGGCGGCCTTCCCCGGGCCGCTGCAGCCCTTCTTCTGCCTCGGCACCCCCAAGTCGGGCCAGATGGTCATCTCCACCGTGACGCTGTGGGTGAAGGGCTGAGGGCTCAGGCCGGGGCCCGGCCCCCTGCTGCGGCCCCGGGACGTGCAGCCCGCAGGGGGGCCACGAGCAGCCCCCCAGATTCACGATTAAAGCACTTGCATGTGAGAGGCCGGCCTCGGGTCAGACGTGCGCGCGGCCGCCCGGGCGGACCCCGCGGGCAGGGACGAGCCCCGCGGCGGGGCGGCGGCCACAGTGGACACCCCGCCCGTGTCCAGCCGCCAGGCGGCGTCCCTGGCCGGGGATGGGTCACGAGGAGCCCCCGCACCCGGGGGTGGGGGGTAACGCAGAGCGGGGGTCACCAGGGGTCACCCTTCCTCTCACGCCCGCCCAGTCCGCGCTGACCCCCACCCGACGCGACGGGCACCCCCCCCCCGGGCGCCCGCCCCCCCCCCCCCCCCCGGCGGGGCCCCGGGCGCACGCGCGCGGGCGCGCCCCGGGGCCACCCCTCGCCGCGGGCGCCGCGGCCACGTGACAGCCGCGGCCAATCCGGGGAGCCCCCCCCCCGCTTCCCGCTTCCTGCTTCCGCCGGGCCGCTTCCTGCTTCCGCGGCGCCGCGCGAGCCCGGCCGCCCGCCCGCCCGCCCGCGCGCGCCATGGCGGCCCCCGACCTGTCCGCCAACCTGCAGGAGGAGGCCACCTGCGCCATCTGCCTGGACTACTTCACGGACCCCGTGATGACCGACTGCGGCCACAACTTCTGCCGCGAGTGCATCCGGCGCTGCTGGGGCCAGCCCGACGGCCCCTACGCCTGCCCCGAGTGCCGCGAGCTGTCGGCGCAGCGCAACCTGCGGCCCAACCGGCCGCTCGCCAAGATGGCCGAGCTGGCGCGCCGCCTGCACCCGCCGTCGCCGGTGCCGCAGGGCGTGTGCGCCGCGCACCGCGAGCCGCTGGCCGCCTTCTGCGGGGACGAGCTGCGCCTGCTCTGCGCCGCCTGCGAGCGCTCGGGCGAGCACTGGGCGCACCGCGTGCGGCCGCTGCAGGACGCGGCCGAGGACCTCAAGGTGCGCGCGGGGGCGGGCGGGGGCGCCCCGGACCCCGGACCCCGGCCGCCCGCCTCGGGGCGCAGCCCGCGCGGCCGGGGACACGCGCGCCCGCCTCGCCCCAGCTGCGCGGCCGGCGCGGGCCGGGGCCCCCGAAGCGGGCCCGCGCCCCGAGCCCGCGCCCCGCCCGGCCGGCACCCGCGGGAGGGCGAGGCCCGGCCGCCCCGGGGCGAGCGGAAGCGGGGTCCGCGCCGCCGCGGCCCCTCCCGGCCGCGCCCCCTGCCCCGGGGCCCCCCGGGCGCGCCCGCGGGCCTCCCCCGCACCCGGCGGCGCGGGCGCCCTGAGGTCGGGGTGCCGCTCCCGGCGGGGGCGCAGGCGAGGGCGGGCGGCCCCGGGCGGCCAGGACCCACCCGTGGGCCGCACCGCGACAGCTCGGCTCCCGCTGCTGCGCGGGGTCGCGGGGCGCCCGCTCCTGCCGATGTGCGCACAGCGACGGCGGAGGCTGCAGGGCGGACCCGCACCCCGGCCGCCCTGCCCAGTGGCCTCCCGGGGCCCCCGCGGCCCGCCGAGGTCAGCCCCGGACCCGCCCGCGTGGGCAGCTGAGAACCAGCGTGTCCCACAGGCCCCCAGAGGCTGAGGGGACCCCTTTGCGCCCTGCCTGGACCCACGGGCCCCTTTCCTGCCTCACCCGCCAGGGCTCCCCGGGCGCCAGCCAGTACCCGCGCGCGCCGGGTGCAGGGAGAGGCCGGGCGGCCGTGTCAGGCGCTGTCGCCCCAGGACCTCCCCAAATCCCGGCAGTGACCCTGCAGCCCTGAGCAGGGGGAACCTGCGGGCGCCCCATCCCGCCAAGGGACCCGCGGGTCGTGCTGAGGCGCGGGCTCTGGCGGTCCCCGCCTCGCGCCCTGCTGGCCGCAGCCTGGGTCCACCGAGAGGGACCGTGGACAGTGTTGCACGTGCCCTTAGCTTTAGGCCGAGTGCAGTGGTTCAAACTCACTATTTAAAGCAATTTTACTTCCCCGAGCCCTAACTGGACTAGTAAATTTTGCCCACAAATGAAAGCCAGCCCGTGCCCGGCAGGGGCCCCGAGGGGTCGGGAATTTGCTCAGATTCACAGGCTGTTGCTTCCCGGGATCTTACGTATTTAACACCCTCGCGTGTTTTTGTTTTTTTACATTTTTGTTCACAGTTCATTCCCTTAAAGGAAATAACTCGCTTTAAAGACTGTCGAATAAAAAGTTATGAAAGGATTATGCCAGGACGTTCCTACGCTAAGAGGACACGTGCTGTGTCGTGGACACTAAGGGGGGCTTCAGACACCCTCGAGAACGCGCGTGTTACTCTCTGCGCAGCCCCTGCGCGGGGCGGGCTCGGTGGCTTTGGATCCTGTGTCTAAGCCGACTTTGTGCCTCTCTGTCCCGACAGGGCAGTTTTCTTGAGATTGTTCCCCAGGGCCACGTGGGGATAATTTCAAAGTTCACTTTCCGCCTATTTTTGAGTTTTCAAAATGTCAAAATACTGAAAGCGTAGGGGATTCCAAATAACAGTTACTTGTTTCATCAACAGACAGTCCCTGCCGGCCAGCGTAGGGCTCTCCCGGTGACCAGCAGGCAGCCGGGGTGTCCTCGGCCCGGGCCGTCGAGCTGAAATCGGCTTGAGTAAGACCCGGGAGAGCCTTGGAGCCAGTGGGGCCCGACGCGGGGCCCGGCCTGGGCCGGGCTTGGGCCTCCGCGGCGCCCGGCCTTGGAAGTGCGTGACATTCAGGTTTACTTCAGAACCCTCGTAATGTTGATTTTGTCCACTTGGGCCCCATGCAAAATGCTTTCTCTGAAAAATTTTTGTTAAACCTTTTATATAATTTTACGTTTTAAAAACAAGTTTTGGCTCGAGGCCAACGATTTTTTCCTTCACAGTATTTTTGTGAGAAGCAAGTGGGGGCTCCCTGAGGGCCCCCGCCTGGGGGGGAGGGGCTGCGGGCACGGGAGGTGGCACCCCAGCAGGACTGGGGAGCAGCCCCAGGAGACCCCGGGAGCTGGGTTGTTCCCTTCCATTTAGTAGCTTTGGAAATTACGTTTTATCAGGAGGCAGCGCTTCGTGTCTCATTTTTAAGTGCAAGCAATTGTGCGGACTGTCTCTTCGTCGTCCCCGGAGGCTCAGGACATTTGTATTTCAGGCAACACAGAAACGTGGGAGTTGGTTTTTTACCACACCCCCAAATCTGCGGGCCCCTCTCCTGTGCAGCGGCTGCCTGCATCCCGGGGTCGGGGGAGCCCTTGGGCCCCCATCTCAGCCCCTGCCGCCTCCTGGAGCGTCTGCCTGGGCCCTGCGGTCACAGGGCTGTACCGCGGTGCGGGGTGGCCTTTCTGTGGGTCCCTGGGGGTGCGCGGCCCGGAGGCGTCTCCACTGCCCTGGGCTGGCCATCCTGGGGCGCCCTGCAGCCACTGGGAATCCGCCACTGCGTGGGGTCGAGCACGGTGGCCCCTCCTAGGTGGCCATGGAGGCCCCGGACTTCAGCTCTCATGGGGCGGTGTGGGGGCGCCGGCCTCTCCCCTCCCCGTGGGCCGCGGCTCACAGGGGGCCTGGCTCTTGTCCAGGGGGCTCCCCCGCGCACGCTCGGGGCTCGTGGCGCCAGGCACAGGCTGCCATGTGGGCCACGGCGGCGGGTGAGGCCGGGGCAGCACGCCTCGACGGCCAGGCTCTCGGCCCCAGGGGCTCCAGGCGGCACTCGGTGGGGCGCAGCCCGTCCTGTGCCCTGGCGCCGGGTTTCGGGTCTGGCAGTGTTGGCACAACGTGCGTCCGAGACCCGGTCCCCGCCGCCTGGGCAAGTGACGCTCCCGCCGGCGGTCTCCGGGGCTGCCCGTGCCTTTTGCTTTAGGGGTGACGTGAGGCAGTGACGGGGCGTCACCTGGCCAGACCCTGGGAGGGTCGTTCTTTGGACTTTGCGAGCTGGGGGGCGGGGCCTCGGGCTGCCTCGGCCCTGTGCGTGTCCCCCCCTCTGGCGCTGGCCCTGGGTTTGGAGCTGCCCTTGCGCTCCTGCCCAGGCCAGCTTGTGCCCCTGGATGGCTCCCGCCTCCGGCCCGGGCCAGCACACCCTGACATGGCCGTGGGGGCCAGTGCGGCCAGGCTGTGGGGGCCGGGGAGCTGCGCTGGTCCCAGGGCCCGCGTCCGGCCGCACTCTCCGGGCTCTGGTGGAGCCGCCGGGCCGGGCGGGGCCGGGTGCTGGGGCGCGCACCCAGCCCTCACGTGTCAGGCCGTGCCCGTTTGCCCTCGGGGTTGAGGCCTGTGGGGTGGACTGGCCAGTGACTCCACTACCCAGCTGGGCCTTCCGTCGTCATTTCGCTCTCCTGCCCTCTCCGCCCCCCTGGCCCCCGGGGCGAGGGGTGTCCGCCCTTCCGGGCTCCGGCCTTGTTCCGCTGGGGTCTGGCCGAGGGGCCAGGGGTGCCAAGGCCACGCCTCACTCTGCTCTCCCTCACTCTGACGCCACAGGAGGGGAGCGAAAACCCCGAAAGCAGGCGGCCAGTGGCCTGGGCGCCCGCTCGGGGATGATGGCCGGGGCAGCGTCCCCACGGCTCAAGAGGGGCTGGGCCTGGCGGCGCGTGGGAGTGACGGTGGGTGTGGGGACCAGCGGGAGCCCCTTCAGGGCAGGCCGCACGGGCATCTGGCCCCTGGGGACTTGCCCTGCGCTCTGTGTGGGTCAGGGGCTGGGCGTCCAGGGTGGGTTGGGGTCAGGGCGCCCCCCCCCCATTGGCGCAGCACAGCTCTGGCCCCACGCCCAACAGACCTCCGCCGGAGTGGGCACGGATGGGCACCCGGTGCCAAGCGGGCAGGACATGTGGCCAGCGTAGGTCCAGGAGTGACCCAGGACTCGCCCTCCGGAGAGTCCCCTGCCCGCCCGTGTCCCGTCCTCCAGGCCCACACCTGCCCTTCTGGGGAGGCACAGCCTTCGCTGCGCCCTGGCCCCCCGGGGCCTGCGGAGGAGCCGCGGCCATGGCAGGAGGGCGCTGGCCAGGCTGCCCGCCTGTGGTCTGCGCCCGCGGTCTGCGGGGCCCTCTGGGCATCGGGCATAGCCACGGCTCACCAGCCTCCACCCGCAGGGGAAGCTGCAGGCGTCGCTGGAGCATCTGCGGAAGCAAATGGAGGAGGCGCTGCTGTTCCAGGCCCAGGCGGAGGAGACCTGCGCCTTGTGGCAGGCATGCAGGGGCGGGCGGGGCACCGGACACCCCCTCCCGGGCGCGGGGGCAGGAGGGCTGGGCGCAGGGAGCCCCGGGGTACGCGGCCGCCTGGCCCTCAGCCCCGCTCTGGCCCCGCAGAAGATGATCGAGAGCCAGCGGCAGAACGTGCTGGCGGAGTTCGCGCGGCTGCGGGGCCTGCTGGCCGAGGAGGAGCGGCGGCTGCTGCAGAAGCTGGCGGAAGAGGAGCGGGAGGTGCTGCCGCCCCTGCGGGAGAGCGCCGCGCGGCTGGGGCAGCAGAGCACCCAGCTGGCCGCGCTCATCGCTGAGCTGGAGGGCCGCTGCCAGCTGCCGGCGCTGGGGCTGCTGCAGGTGCGTGGGGCGGGCATGGGGCCGGCCTGGGGGGCGCGGGGGTCCTGGCTGTCCCGCTGCGCCTCCGCACCTGTGAACCCGCAGGGCCAGGAGTCCCGGGCACGGTTTGGGCCCTGTGGCGGCAGGGCCTGGAGGGTGGGCAGACCCTGCTCAGCCTGGGGGCCCGGGGCTGCTCCTAGGCCGGCTGTGGGCATCGGGGCCTGGTGGGGCTGCACCGTGGGCGGCTCCAGGGGTCAGGGGCCGCCCTTGGAAGCCAGCCCCGGCCACCAGGCCCCAAGGGGCTGCCCCAGGCGGTGACATGGCACCAAGTGCTTGTTGGTCACCACAGGAGAGGAGGGGTAAGAGGCAGGCTGGGAGGGGGCACCCCACGCTGCACAGAGGCACCTCCGAGGGCAGGGGTCAGCCGGGCTGGCCTCCCAGGGTTCGATGCCTCCAGGCTCTATTCCTGGGGCGCGGGGCGTGTGTCCGGGCGCCGGCGTGTGGCCCACTGCGGGGAGGCCCGGCCAGGTGACCAGCTGCATGTGTCTCTCCCACAGGACGTCAGGGACACCCTGCGCAGGTAGGAGCCTGGCCCCCAGGGAAGGGGCGGGGGTGCCGTGGCCACGTGACAGCAGCTGCCCCCCCAGGGTCCAAGACGTGAAGCTGCAGCCGCCCGAGGTGGTGCCCATGGAGATGAGGACGGTGTGCCGGGTGCCGGGGCTGGTGGAGGCCCTGCGCGGCTTCCGAGGTGGGTGCAGCGGCCGGCCAGGCGCCTCAGGCAGGGGGGCTGGCCCTGGGGCCCTGCAGGCGGCTTGGTCGTGGGTCAGGGCTGCAGGGAGATGGGGCCAAGGGGCAGCCGGGCCCAGGCTCTTGGCTGGTGTCCTTGGGGAGCGTGCCGGTCAGCCCAGAGCCCGGGCCCACAGGGGCCAGAGTGCCCAGCAAGAAGCTGGGTGGAAACCCAGGGTATCCCCCTGCCCTCGGGGGAAGAGCCAGAGGAGAGGGGGGCCTTCTAGACCACCCAAGTCACTGCGGCTGGGGGGATGGGGAGGCTGCGGGGCCTGCGCCGTCGGGCACAGGGTGACCGTGGCTCTTTCTGCAGGGGACGTGACCCTGGACCCTGACACCGCCAACCCCGAGCTGGTCCTGTCGGAGGACGGGCGGAGCGTGCGGCGGGGGGACCTGCGCCAGGCCCTGCCCGACAGCCCCGCCCGCTTCGACCCCGGGCCCTGCGTGCTGGGCCGCCAGCCCCTGACCTCGGGCCGGCACTACTGGGAGGTGGAGGTGGGGGAGCGGGCCAGCTGGGCGCTGGGCGTCTGCCGGGAGGACGCCAACCGCAAGGAGAAGGGCGAGCTGTTTGCAGGCAACGGCTTCTGGATCCTGGTGTTCCTGGGGAGCTACTACAACTCGCCCGAGCGGGCCTTCGCCCCACTGCGGGCCCCGCCGCGCCGTGTGGGCGTCTTCCTGGACTACGAGGCCGGCCGCCTGTCTTTCTACAGCGTGGCGGACGGCTCGCTCCTGTACGCCTTCCCCGAGACGCCCTTCTCGGGCACCCTGCGGGCCCTCTTCTCGCCACTGTCCGGGGGCCCGGTCCCCATGACCATCTGCAAGCTGAAAGGCGGGCCTGGGGACACACCGGCCCCCCAGTGAGCAGCCTGGTGCTCAGGGCCCGCCGTGCTGGGCCCAGCCCCGGGAGCCGCCTTCACCAGCCCCAGCGCCCACAGCTCTGCCTCCAGGAGCCTCCGTCCCACGCTCAGGGCTGCGCTGGAGTCCGGGGCCTGCACAGCCCGGCCCTGGAGCCCCGCAAGCCCCGAGGGGAGGTGGCCACCCCGTACCCGGGTTGGGTCCTCTACCTGCCTGGGAAGGACAGGGGCACAGCCACTGCATCCTCACGAGAGGCCGTCTTAGGAGAGCCAGCAGGAGGCGCTGCCCACCCAGGGCCAGCAGAGGGCCATGCAGCCAGGACACGGAGCCTCATGCGCGAGAACAAACCCCTGCAGGACTCTGGACAATGCCCTTCCCTGGCCTGGGAGTCGGAGCCCCCGATGTGCCTGTCCTGCCTGGGGCCGCACGCCTGCAGACCCCGACTCGTCCAGGGGCTGGCTCTGCGTCGTCCCCTCCACAGCGGCTGCGCCCCAGGCTGTATTTATTGTGAGGCCCGGACCCATTAAATACACTGACACCCCATCCATCGTCCAGCGCGGCTCAGAGGCGGCGACCAGAGCACGGGCTCTGGCTGCAGCCTGGCCCCGGGGGTCAGTGTGCACCTGGCCCTGGGCTGGGGAGGCCGGAACTCCAGGTGAAGGAGGGGGTCCCATGGGGGCAGTGGGGGGCTGAGCAGGCGGGGCTGGGGGCTCGGCCACCGCGCCTACCCAGGGGGACTGTGTGACCGCCAGGGCAGCAAGTGGAACAGGAGCTCGTCCACGGGCAAAGGGCGCCCTGCAGCCTGTGTTCCCCACTTCCAGGCAGGAGCAGCGCTGGGCGGAGGGTGGAGCCTGTGGGCACCGCCCGGCCTCCAGGGCACATTCCTGAGCAGGACGCCCTCACTGGCCCTGACAGCCTGGCCGGCTGCCCCCCAGATGCTGCTGACCCAGGTGGACAGAGGGCGGTAGTGGCCACCCTCGGGACCGCAGCCCCATCTGAGCCACAGAGCCGGTCACGGGGGTGCCTTGACGCCTGCACCTCTCACGCCCAGAAGGCAGTTCTGCCGCCCGTGGGTCCCCCCAATGCCGGGAGGTGACGGCCCCCCGGACAGAGCAAGCGACGCGTCTGGGCTGGTGCAGCTTTATTGGCGAGGCCGTGCGGGCGGGGCGCGGGCGGGGCGCGGCCTCCGGGACAGCAGGGCCCGTCTCCGCTCCCGCTCCCGCACGAAGGCGCGCAGCCGCGCGGTGGGGAAGGCGACGGCTGCGGGCGGCGAGCTGGCCGGGCCCTCCTCGGTCAGCCACGGGCTCTGCAGGCAGCTGGACGCGCATGGCCGGCCCCTGGGGTCCAGGAGGGGGTGTCAGTTGGGGGCGCGCGGCGGGGGGGCAGGGGGGCTGGGGGGCGGCTCACCAGGGGTGCGCGCACAGCGTGCTCCGGAGGAAGGCCACGGCGCCCCCCGACAGCCCGGCGTAGCAGCGGCCCAGCCGGATCAGCCCCTTGCGCAGGCCCCTCTGCAGGTCTCGCGCGCCCTCGCTGCTCACCGGGTACTCGGCGCTCAGCCTGCGGGGGCGGGGAGGGTCACCGGCCGGGTGACGGAGGGGCCCGGGGTTGTCCCAGTGGCCCTGCACCCAGGACTTACAGGACGAAGGCGGTCACACCGATGGCCCAGATGTCCGTCTGCGGGACAGCACCGCGGCCCTCCAGCAGCTCCGGAGCTGGGGAGTACATGGGCACCGGTGAGCAGCAGGGCACGGCCCCCCAAACCAGGGCTGCCCACGCACGCACCCATCGTCTCCAGGTGGTCCCGGAAGCCCTCCGGCGGCGGCACCCTCTCCTGGGCCAGGCTCTGGGCGCTGCCCAGGTCCACGACCTTGAGCAGGTTGTACTCCGTGACGATCATGTTCTCGGACCGGAGGTCCAGGTGCAGGATGCCGCGCGCGTGCAGGTACTGGGCGGCGCTCAGCATCTGCCACAGGTAGTCCTTCACCTCGGACTCGGAGTAGGAGGCCCTGGGGACGGGCGCGGCTCAGGGCAGGGAGCACGGGGTGTGGGGGGGGCGGGGGGACACCACCCGGGCCCTCACCTCTCGGCCAGGGCGGGGAGCAGCTCAGGGCCGGAGCAGAGCTCCTGGACGAGCACCAGGTGCCGGGGGCTGAGGTAGGCGGCCTGCAGCTGGGCCAGGTGCGGGTGGCGCAGCGCCTTGAGGGCCTGGTACTCCCGCAGCACGGCCTCCCGCTCCTCGGGCCGGTAGGGCACGATCTTGGCGGCCAGCGCCCGCCCGCTCGCCCTCTCCCGGCACTGATGCACCACGCTGAAGCGGCCCCTGGGGACAGGCCAGGCTCGTGGGGCTCCTGCCCACGCGCACCTGGGGGGTGCGGGGGTGCGGCAAGGGCCGGGTGTGTGGAGGGGCGCGGGGCAGGGTGGGGCAGGCGCACCTCCGGATCTGCGTCTGGAAGGCGAAGGTCTGGGTGCTGGGCAGCGGTGCGGCTGGTCGCGCGGGGCCGCTCTCGTCCTCAGAGGCTGCAGCGAGGGCAGAGCCCGTGACAGGGGGCCCGCCCCACAGCCCCAGATCCTCCCCTCTCCCCCATCATCCCCAGCCCCACTCTCAGGCCCTGGGGGCAGCCGGTGCTCACCCAGGTGGCGGGGCCCCCCCAGGAGCACCTGCTCCGAGGGGCTGCTGAAGGGACCCATGCCCGCCTTGCTGACGCAGGCCGTGCGGAAGGCGTAGGCACCGCCCCGGGGCAGCTTGCGGGCCAGGTAGCAGCAGTCGGACACGTCGGCCGCCAGGGTGCTCCAGCCGCCGCCTAGAGCCGCCCGTGTGAGCCCGGCCTGGGGCGCCCCCCCACCCCCACGCCTGTCCCAGGAGGGCTGGCCGGGGCGCCCCCTCCCCCCAGGCGTCGCCAGGGCGCCCCCTCCCCCACCAGGGAGGGACAGCGGGGGCTCCCCCTTTCCCCCCAGGGCCGGCCGGGCACAGGTCCCTCGGGGCTGCGGCACCTTCGCGGCTGCACTGCACGGTATAGGTCACGGCGCCACAGTGCTCCACGGGCTTCCAGACCAGCAGCACCCCGTCAGCATGCACCTCTCCAATGTCGGGGCGCGGCGAGGACGAGGGGCGCTCTGCAGAGCCGTGGCAGCCCCATCTGAGTGCCCCGCCCCCACCCGCCCCCTTCACCCCTGCCACCCCCTGCAGGCCAGGTCCCCAGAGGGCACACCCCGGGGTGCAGGGCCTGCCCTGGCTGCTCAGCCTGGCCACGCGGGGCGGGGGACTGGCGGCCCCATCAGCCCCCTCTGGGTGTCACGCTGGGGTGCCCGAGGGAAGCCTGCTGCCCCTCTAGGTCACCCCCAAACCCAGTGAATTGCAAGATCATGGCTGCAGGATGGAGCAGCCACCCTCCCCTGGGGGAGCGGTGAGGGGGCCAGGGAGGGGCCAAGGCACCTGCCCCACACATGCCCCTGCCCACGGGCAATGCCCTGGCAGGCGGATCACGGGGGGGCATGGAGGGCCGACACAAGCCAGGGCCCAGACAGGGGTGGTCTGGGCCCACTGGCCCCACATTGGGGGCGGCCACCCAGGCCCCGTGTCTGCAGGACCCACCTGCCCTCCGGAGCGCGGCCGTGGTGGCCGCTGTGCCCAGCGCGTTGCGCACGTGGCAGGTGTACACGCCCAGGTCCTCAGCGGCCACCACCAGGATGGTCAGCAGCTGGAAGTTCTTGAGTGTGGAGGAGATGAGGAGGCGGCTGCTGCTCTCCAGGGGAACCCCATCTGCAGCAGGACAGGGGAGCCTGGGGGCGGGTCCCAGCACACCCCCCGGCGCCCCAGAGCCACGCCCGCCCTGCGGCCTCCACGCACCCCACTCCCGCCTCGCCCAGCGCGCCTCACCTTTGCTCCAGGTGGCCTGGGCGGCCGGCTGGGCCGACACCTGGCAGGCGAGCGTCACGGACTGGCCCAGGACCACCGTCTCGTCTGAGAGCTCTCGCAGGAAGGACGGTGCTGGGAACCAAGGGGGCGGCCTTCGGCCTCCAGCCCACAGCACAGCCTGCCCCCCTCCACTCACCCCACCACCAGCACCTCCTCCGGGAAGGCCCCCGAGACTGCCAGTCCTGAGCCCACAGGGCAGAGCATGCCCTCCCGCCCTTGCCTGGCACAGCTGGGCCGGGGAGGGCACCCGTCCCCAGCCGGGCAGGCCTCTGGGGCTGCACACCCACCTTGGTCCCTGCTCTTCAGGCCGGGCAGCCAGATGGAAGCCAGACCTGCCTTCTTCCGGGGCGGCTCCCCCTCGGGGCCTGCAGGAGAACGGGCGAGTCACTGCAGGGTCCGCTGCTCTGAGCAGGCTGCTGCCGGGTGCCGGGGCGGGAGCCCCCAGGCCCAGCCGGTGACCTCGGGAACAGAGGTCCCCGCGGCGGGAGCCGAGATGGGCAGGAGCCCCGGCCAGCACCCGGCCCAGGGGCCAGGGCCGAGGACACAGCGTGAGGCCTGTGAGGGCCGAGGTGTGGCTCACCTTCAGGCCTGCCCCGCAGGAGCCGGGAGATGTGGGCCACCGAGGCCCACACCCGCTGACGCAGCCCCTGCTCCACCGGCTCCTCCGGCCACTCGGGGCCCCCTGGCAGGGGCAGCAGGCCCTCAGCGGGGGGCGACCACCTGCGCTTCCGGGCGCCGACCGGCTCCCCCAGCAGGGCCACCATGTCCTCCGGCTCCTCCATGATCTCCAGGCTGGCAGGGGTGCCCGGCCAAGGCCACGTGGGCTCCGGCAGCCCCGCCAGCTCCTCCCCGGCCTCAGACTCGGGGGAGGGTGGCCGCTGCGGCCTGGGGACCTTCCTGAAGATCATGAACTCGAAGGGGAGGTACTTGATGTCGTAGAGGTCGGACAGGTTCAGGTAGGCGGGGTCCACCTCCGAGATGTCCAGGGACAGGGTGTCCGCTGCCTCCGAGTCCCCCGACAGGTCCCGGATCTGCACCAGGGACACTTGGGGGCCCTCGTCAGAGTCCTCCCAGGCGCTGGGCTCCAGGGAGACGCCGGGGGGGCCCTCGCCGCCCTGGAGCGGGGGCCCCGAGGCGGCCGCCGCGGGTGGGCGCTGGGGCCCCGGCTCGTCCTGCTCCTCCGAGGACTGGGAGGCGGCCCAGGCCATCCTGGCCCACATCGGGCCCTGCCCCAGCATGCCCCCAGCGTCCCCGCCAAAGGCGAAGGTGCCGTAGCCCGCCACCCCCGCGTAGCCCCCGCGGTACCCCAGGGAGAACTTGCGCGTGGTCGCCTGCTCCTGAGGCCTCGGGGGGCTCGGTTCTGACTCGGCCTCTGGGGCCAGGTCCTCATTTGGGGAGGGACTGGGCTGTGTGTCCCCAGGGCCTAGGGAGCTGGGGGGGCCGAGCCTGCCTGGGAGAGCCGTGTCCCCCGGCCCCTCCTTCAGTCCCTTTGGGGGGCTCGCTCGGGTTGGGGAGGGGAGGGGGGCCTCTGCGCACTGGCCTACGCAGCTGGGACCAGGGGGTCTTCCACCCTTCGGGGGAGCAGGGCCCCGCTGGGCATGGCCACTGCAGCTGTCCTGCGGCAGCCCTTCCCGCTGGGTGGACACTGGTGTGCCACCCGTGGGAGAAATCAGCCCAGGCCCCAGGGCCCCCACCGCGTGCTCCAGCCCCCTGACAGTGACTCCTCCAGGCCCGCTGCACCCTGGGGCGCCCTGGGAGTCCGGGCTGCTGCTCCCAGCGGAGCGGCCGGCCACACACGGCCCCTCGAGGTCCAGGGAGCGGCTGCAGACCGGCGGCAGCCCAGCGGCCTGCTCCTCCTGGGCAGCCAGCTCCTCCAGCACGTGGTGCTCCAGCAGCGGCTCCCGCAGGCCAGGTAGGCCACGGGCAAAGTAGCCGCCCTGGAGCAGGTGGCGCCGCCGGGCCGGGAGGCGCCGGCCGCCAGGGGCCAGGGGCGCGTGCTCGGGGCCCTCGCCCGCCTGCTGGTGGAACAGGCTGCAGATGATGCTGTGCCGGGGCACGCTGCCCGGGGCGGCGCTGGGGGGCGCGCGGGCCTCCGCCTCCTCAGGCGCGCCGGCCTCGGCCTCCTCGGGCAGGCTGGCGGACGGCCGCAGGAAGCCCCGCGGGCGCAGCAGCGGGGAGTGCGTGGCCGGGGAGGGTGGCAATGACCTGGCCCGGGCGAAGGGCGCCAGCTCGGTGTCCGAGGAGGAGCTGCTGGAGGTGGCGCTGTCACCGCGGTGCAGGTGCCGAGCCACGCCCAGCGAGGGACTGTCGGGCGAGCCCTGCAGCAGCTCCGGGATGGCCCGCATCAGCAGCACCGACTTGTAGCTCATCAGGGAGCGCTGCGGGGGCGGGGCGGGGGTCAGCCGGTGGCTGTTGCCAGGCACAGGCCCCCCGGGGCTCAGGGAGGGAGACCTCAGGAGCCATGTCCAGCCCCTCCCGGGGCACAGCCACCTGGGCCTTGCGTGCCTCCCGCCCTGAAGCCGGGGCCAGACTGACCTGCCAGCGGCTCCGGGCCAGCAGGAACTTGAGCGGCTTGGTGCTGATGAAGTGGGCGTCCTCTGCGGGCACAGACCTCTGGGGGCCCCGGGGAGAGAGCCGCGTTGGAGGCCCCCAAGGCCCAGCCCCCCTTCTTCCCGTGCCCACGTCCCTGCCTGGGCTCCGCCAACTCACCAGGAACCAGGGGTGGGCGAGGCACTGGGCGGCACTGGGCCGGGCCCTGGGGGACGGGGAGAGGGGTCAGGCGGCAGTCAGCTGGTGCTGGCAGCGGGCCGGGGGCAGCGGCCGGGGGCGGGCACTTACTGCGGGGCCCGCTGCAGGGTGGCCATGATGAAGTCCTTGGCGTCCTCACTGAGGTGGGCGGCCGGGGGGCTGCTCCAGGACACCCGCCCTTCCAGCACGTTCAGGAGGGTCGCGCGGTCACTCTCGCCGGCAAAGGGGGAAGAGCAGGTCAAGCTGGAAGCAGAGGGGCAGCCCTTTGGGTGCCCTCGCTGGGGTGGCCTCCAGCCCCCCCCCCAACCAGCCCCACGAGGCCCACAGCTGTCCCATTTTCCCAGGGGACCAGGCTCGCCCTGGTAGGGGGGCCCACCACGGTGGGGGCCAGGCCCAGCAGGGTGGGGGCTGGGCTCAGGTGTCTGGGGGGGCCCCGTGGGGGGGTGGGCGGGCTCAGGCGTCCAGGGGCCTCTGGGCGAGGCGCCCAGTTCTGTGGGGACAGCCTGTCCACACGTCGCGGTGCTGAGCAAGGCCAGGCTGGCGCCAGTCTTATCAGCCAGTCAGCAGCCTGTGCCCAAGATAGCGGCCTGGGTCTCGGGTCTGCTCTGGGCAGCAGCCAGGGGTGCGCTGGCCTCCACAGACCCGGGGGGCCATCCAGGGTTGGCTTGGCAGGGAGGCTGCTGGCGTCTCCGCTCACCTCAGGTAGGAGATGACACCCATGGCCCTGCGGGACAAGGTGGGGTGTGAGTCTTCCCTGAAGGGGGTAGGGGGAGGGTTCCCAGGAGCAGCCGCCCAGCGTCACCCACCAGATGTCGGAGGCCTCGCTCACAGGGGTCTGCTCAATGATCTCGGGGGCCACAAACTCGGGGCACCCGTATTTGCTGTACTGGGGCTCTGCCGGGGTGATCTTTTGGGCAAAGCCAAAGTCGCAGATTTTGATGTCTTCTCTAGCAGGGTGCACCATCAGGATGTTGGGGGGCTGTCGGCAGAGGGGACCGGGCGTCAGGGCAGGTTCGAGCAGCAGAGCTTCCCCTGCAGGGCAGAGTGGGCCTGGCCCAGCCGGTACCTTTATGTCCAGGTGGAGCACACGCTGGCCGTGCAGGTAGTGCAGGCCCTCGGCCAGCTGCTGGATGTAGACCTTGACCTGCCGGGACCCGCAGCTCAGGCGGGGGGCGGGGGGAGAGGGCAGGGGCTGCAGGGCCTGGGGGGCTGCGAGCCAGGGTGTGGGGGCGGGTGCACGCAGGCTCGCTCCGGCCGGGGGGGGAGGGGGCGGGGGCCTCACCTCCGCCTCGGTCACCACGCTCTTCTTGAACAGCCGGTCCAGCAGCTCCTCCGAGGAGCACCTGCTGCCGTCAAGGAAAGGCCGGGACCAGGCCCACCTGCCCGTACCCCAGGACCCTGCACCAGCCGGGGCCGCCTCAGGGGGTGGTGTGGCCAGGCCAGGTGGGTGGGGCACCCTGGAGCTGGGGTGCCACCCGGGGGGTCCGACCCCTGCCGGAGGCCACGTGGACAGGCGGCCCGCAGCCCCGCCCACAGCCCGGCCCTTGGACAGGCAGATACAGCTCCAGGACGAGGATTAGGGTCTTGCGGGTCTCGAACTGGTCAAGCAGCCCGGTGAGCAGTGGGTGGCTCAGCCCGGCCAGCACGTCCCGCTCCCGGTAGGCCTGGGCGCGCGTCCGGCTCCGCAGGGGGATGAACTTGGCCGCGCAGCACACCTGGTTCCCCTTGTGCTGCACCCGCTTCACAAAGCTGAACACGCCCCTGCAAGTGGGGGCTGGGCGTGGGGAGTCTGCGGGGGCGGGGGGCCAGGGGGTGCTGGGCGGGGCTGAGTGTGGGGAGTCTGGGGGCTGGGTGGGGCCGGGACGGGGCCTGTGGCAGGTCCAGAGGTGAGTTCCACCCTTTGGGGGGGCTCCTGGGCGCGGAGCTGGTGGGCCTGAGGCCAGGCTACCTTCCGATCTCCTCCTTGACGTCGTAGAAGGACTGCAGCTTCCGCCGAGTGCTCGGCTCTTCCAAGTCCATCTCGTCCCCTGTGGTCAGGTGGGTCAGGCGGCGTGGCCAGGGCATCGCCCATGCCCATTCCCCTCTGGAGTGTCGGAGGCCGCTCCCAGGGCCTGAGCCCCATCCAGAGACAACCGCACACCGGGGCAGACTCACCCCCGAGGACCTGCAGCTCCGCCTTGCACAGCACCTGGCCCCCCGCATTGCTGGCCAGGCAGGTGTAGACGCCCGCGTCCTGCAGGTCCACCTCGCTGAGCACCAGGGAGTAGGTGCTTCCTTCCCGCAGCTGGCTGAGCCGCGGGCCCTCAGCGAGCTGGGCGCTGCCCTGCAGGCACGGGTGGGCAGCATGGTGGGCCGCCATCCCCGGGGCGGCCCTGGCCACCCTCCCCGAGCCTGAGCCTCGCCGCTGCCTCCAGCACAGGCCCCGCCCCGCCCCACCCCGGCCCGCAGGCTGCTCCCACCTTGTACCAGGTGACCGTGGGCTGGGGGTTGCCCTCGATGACCGCCTGAAAGTGCGCCTTGCCGCCCCTCTGTGCCTGGACATCCTCTATGGTGACCTGCATGGACGGGGGCCCTGGGCGGGACAGGGGGCGGTGGGGAGCGGCTGGCTGCGAGGCCCCGGCCGGCCCGGCCCTCCCGGCGCCCACCTCCCCGCGGCCCTCCCTTCGGCCCCAGGCCCTGCCGGACAGGACGTCCTGTGCGAGCCCCAGCTCCGCCCAGGTCCGCCTCACCGCCTGCCGGGCCGGGGCCCAGCGGGGCGGCATGCCGGGCACCTACTGACGGCTCCCGTGGCGCCGGCCTGGCACACGTATGTCCTGAGCGTGGTCTCCGTGTACACGTGGGTGTGGACGTCCCAGCGCGGCTCCGCTGCCCCCGGCCAGGCCGCACCCTCCATCCTGCGGGCAGGAGCTGTGAGCTGCTGCCCTGCCCGGCCCCCACCGCCTGCCCCTCAGCCGGGGCTTACCTGATGGGCACCGTCCGTCCCTGAGGCTCTGGACCCAAGTCCGGCCCCTGACCCTCTTCCACAAGCAGTTGCGGCCCTTCCCGGTGGGACTCGGCAGCTGGGGGCCCGTGGCCTAGTGAGGCAGAGCCGGGGTGAGCAGGGCCTCGGGGCCAGGCAGAGGCCCCACCGCCCACGAGGCTGTGCCCCCTGTCTGGTGCTGGCCCGCTCGGCGGGGCCCGTCATCATGGGCCCAGAGCTGACCGTGGGGCCTGGGCCCCAGCTGGGGTGGGCGGGCACCTGGCTCCCCAGACGGGACACAGGCTGAGCACAACGCCTCTGCGGGACCCCGTGCGGGCGCCAGGGCCCCTGGGCTCTGCCGGGTCAGCAGGCAGGGTCGTGGGGGCGCCTGGCAGTCCGGCTCACCTGTGGCATCCGCAGCCTCCGTGCCGGGCGGCCTGGAACTGGCCTCCTGCGGCCCAGGCAGTCCCCCCAGGCCGGCGCTGTCTGCTGCGGCGGATCCTACAGCCTCGGGACCCACCAGCGGCTCTGGGATCTCCTGGGACGCCGGCTCCTGGGCAGCAATGGTCGGGACAGCAGTGTCTGTGGGGTGGTCAGTGCCTGGGTGAGGGAAGGCCTGGCCAGGGAGGGGGCGGCAGGAAGTCCCTCCCGGCCCGATGCCTCCCCAGCAGGCTCCTGGAGCGAGGGGCCATGTGGGGCACGGTGCTGGGCTGCGACTCGGTTGTCCACACCAGACCCCTCACGGGCAGCCCACGCTGCCACCCCCCCCTGCTCATCCCACCCCCACGCAGGACCCCAGGGTGCTGGCGCCCGGCGAAGGTGGCCAGCCCCACGCTGTGGGGCCAAGAGGATGCCGAATCGCTGCCCCCTCCCACGCGGCCCAGGCGCAGCTTCCGTCTTGCTCTCCGCCCTCGGCCCCACTGGGGGACCAGCCCCCGCCCGTGGGGTCCCGGTGGGCCAGAGCCCCCATCCGCCCTCCCCTCTCCAGGGAGGTCACTGGGACCCGGCACGACCCCGCCCACCCCAGCATGGCTGTGCCCTGGTCACCGCCGGCCCTGGTGGGGCTGGGTTGGGCCCTGCTGCCCCCGCGGCGCCTGCCCCGACGCGTGAAGGAGGCGCAAAGGTGGACAAGTGCTGCTTTATTATGGGGCAGCGGCTCCTCGCCCAGAGCCCAGCGGGGGGAAGGGGAGGCGGGGTGGGGCCACGCACGGTCCAACCAGAGAGGCCACTGCGGCCTCCACTGAAGACCAAGTCCTTCGAGGTAGCAAGTGTCCAGGGCAGGAGGGGAGAGCAGCCCGAGCCACTGGCCACAGCAGGGCGTCCAGCCGTGAGTCCCTCCTGGCCGTCTCGGCCTCAGCCCTGAGAGGGCCCAGATGTGTCATCCACGTCCGGGCAAATGTGCAGGGTGACCGTCTCACCCACTGTCCCAAAGCTGACCATCTGGGTGGACACCTCCGTCTTAAAGCTGCTCTGGCCACTGTCCGCAGAACGCTGGACGTGGGTGTGGAGGGAGGGCTTCCAGGGGGCAGCGCCCACAGCCTGGGCCGCCTGCCCACGGACAGAGACTCCCCGGGACCCCGGGGGCGGCCAAAGGAGCCAGGGGGCCCCGGAGGGTGCCCCACTCTGAGCAGGACGGGCTGCCCCACAGCGAGCTCCCTGATGTCCCTCTGCAGCACGGCCACCTCGCAGGGGGGCTCGTCGGGGCTGCCAGAGGCCTCCCCCTGCGGGGGCTCACAGTCCTGCAGGTCAGCCAGCGTCAGCACCCGGCCGCTGCCGAGCACGGGGACCGTGGGGTCACCATCCCGCCGGCCCTCAGGTCCTTGGGGCCCCTCCAGGGACAGGTCCTCTTCAGCCGCCCAGGGAGGGGGCGGCGTGGCGGCCTCGTGGGGGTCCTGGGTCTCGAGGGCCAGCCACGTGTTGTTGGAGTTGTTGGCATTGGGGCCCCCTCCGGGGCTCCCGCCGGGCGGCGTGCAGAGCAGCGCAGCCGAGCTGGCCGGGGCCTCCCTGCTGGGCGCCACGCCCCCCGGGCCGGCCTTCTTCACCCGGACCTCCACGGTCTCCTCCACCTCCAGCCACTGGGGCCCCGCGCCCCCGGGCCGCGCCTCCGTCACATACAGGGCAGGCACGGCGGGCCGGCGGGGCTGGCCAGCCCCTGCTGCGTCTGGCGGCCCGGGGGCCGGCCTGGGTGGGCTGGCCGGGCGGCGGGAGGGCGACTTGCTGGGTGACCGGCGGCGGCCGCGGGGGCTCTTCACCACGGTGGTGATGGTCTCCTCTCTGCAGGGAGAGGCCGGAGGAGGTGGGCACGGGGCAGGCGCCTGCACCCAGGCCTGCAGCCGCGCAGGTTAGTGCGGAGCAAGCAGCAAGCGCAGGCGCAGCCCAGGGAGCCCTGGGAGGGCCCGCTGTGCGCCAGGGTGGTGCCCAGGAGCCGCTCTCTGTCTGGGCTGTGTGGTCCCTGCCTCGGAGGAGCCTCCCTGTGGCTGGATGCCCAGAACCAGGGCAGGGAGGCCCAGGAGTCCAGGCAGGGGCAGCAGGGACTCCGGCTGACCTGCCCACGCTGTGAGCGCAGGGCTGGGGCAACCCACCGGCTGGAGAGGCTGGGGAGGCTGGGAGGCCCGGGAGCCCGAGCCCGCGGGCGGCCGCCTCTGCCTGGAGGCCCTCCAGGTCCACCGCGCGGCCTGCTCTGTGCCCTCGAAGGGGTCGGCGGAGGCTGGGGGGGCGGGGGTGGGGGGCTGCGCGAGCCGGGGCACCACCTGGGCTGGTCCCGGCAGGTGAAGGTGACAATGAGCTCTCCAGGCAGACGCGCCGCATGCGGGTGGGCTGCGTGCGGGTGGGCGTTGCTCTTCCAGAAACAGGAAAGACGCGAGACAGACGTTAAGACGACGGGACGGAGCAGAGAAGGGACAGACGGCAGCAGGCCGCAAGGGACGCAGACACAGACAGAGACGCTGAGAGGAACACGGGAGGGACGGGGCGGGACGGGACACGGGAGGGACGGGACGCTGGAGGGACGGGGAGAGACGGGGGGGGGGGGTACGGGGAGGGGCGGGGACGGGGGGGGACGGGGAGGGGCGGGGACGGGGGGGGGGACGGGGAGGGGCGGGGACGGGGTGACGGGGAGGGACGGGGGGACGGGGAGGGACGGGGGGACGGGGAGGGACGGGACGCAGACACGGACAGGGCGCCGGGAGACGCAGAGACGCAGACGGGGAGGCGGCGCAGAGCTCAGCGGGGCTGACGGACACGGGCCACGGAGGGCGCGAGGTGCCGGGCGCGGGGGGAGCCCCGAGGGCGCAGACGCGAGGGACGGAGGGACAGGGCAGGAGACGAGGGACAGACGCAGGGTTGGGGGGACACGGGGGAGCAGCAGGCGGCGCCGAGGCCGGGGTGTGCGTGGCCTTGGGCGGGCGTGGGCGTGGCCGCGGTGTGGGCGTGGGCGTGGGCGGGCGTGGCCTTGGGCGGGCGCAGGCGTGGCCGCGGCGTGGGCGTGGCCGTGGGACGTGGGCGTGGCTGCAGGCGTGGCCGCGGCGTGGGCGTGGCCGTGGGACGTGGGCGTGGCTGCAGGCGTGGCCGCGGCGTGGGCGTGGGCGAGCGTGCGCGTGCGCGCGGGCGGGCGGGCGGGTTAGCGCGCGCGGCAGTCACGGTTAGGACACGCGTGCACTTACATGATGACGGTTTTCTTGGGGGCTCTAGTCTCCTGCTCAGTGACTACAAAGGAAACAGCGGGAGCCAGGTCAGCCCCGCCTCGCGGCCTGGCGGGAGCGCGGGGCCGCCGCTGGCCAGCGCGGCGGGTCCTCTCGTCTACGGGGGCAGCGGCCGCCCCGCGGCGGGGCCACCCGAGCCCGCGTCCCGCCGCCTGCAGCCCGGCCTGCGCTCGGCCACGCCGCGCGGCTCGGGCGCAGACGCTGGGGCGGGGGCGGCCCCGGACGGGGCGGCCGGATGTGCAGCAACGTCCCGGGAGGACGCGCGGCCCCGTGGGGAGCCCCCAGCGGGCGCTGGGCCGCGATACCGGGGCTCCCCGTGGAGTGGGTGTGGGGGGCTGGCTGGGGGCAGGTGACCTGCTCCCCATGGGCCTGAGGCCATTTCTCTGGCTGCCCAGCTGCCTGGACCCTCAGCGCTCTGGCCCTCCTGGCCGCCCTGTGGGGACAGTCGGGGTGAGGCCTGCAGCCCCTCGCTCCTGCTCTTGCTCCTGCCCCTGACCCAGAATATGGGGCCACTGCCTCAGGCACCTGGGCGTGGGGGGTGTGCCTGTGGGGGGGTGGGAGGTGGGTGTGCACACATGGGGTGTGTATAGGTGTGCAGGTGGGGGTGTGCACGGGGGGGTGTTGGATGTGTACATGTGTAGGGGCCTGTATGGGTGTGCAGGTGGGGTGTGTGCACGGGTGGGGGCGTGTATGGTGTGCAGGTGGGGGGTGTACACGTGTAGGGGCCTGTATGGGTGTGCAGGTGGGGTGTGTGCACGGGTGGGGGCGTGTATGGTGTGCAGGTGGGGGGTGTGCACGTGTAGGGGCCTGTATGGGTGTGCAAGTGGGGTGTGTGCACGGGTGTGGGCGTATATGGTGTGCAGGTGGGGGTGTGCACGGGTGGGGGCGTGTATGGTGTGCAGGTGGGGTGTGTGCACGGGTGGGGGTGTGCATGGTGTGCAGGTGGGGGGTGTGCACGTGTAGGAGCCTGTATGGGTGTGCAAGTGGGGTGTGTGCACGGGTGGGGGCGTGTATGGTGTGCAGGTGGGGGGTGTGCACATGTAGGGGCCTGTATGGGTGTGCAAGTGGGGTGTGTGCACGGGCGTATATGGTGTGCAGGTGGGGTGTGTGCACGGGTCGGGGCATGTATGGTGTGCAGGTGGGGGGTGTGCACGTGTAGGGGCCTGTATGGGTGTGCAAGTGGGGTGTGTGCACGGGTGGGGGCGTGTATGGTGTGCAGGTGGGGGTGTGCACGGGTGGGGCGTGTATGGTGTGCAGGTGGGGGGTGTGCACAGGTGAGGTGTGTATGGTGTGCAGGTGGGGTGTGTGCACGGGTGGGGGCATATATGGTGTGCAGGTGGGGTGTGTGCACGGGTGGGGGCGTATATGGTGTGCAGGTGGGGTGTGTGCACGGGTGGGGCGTGTATGGTGTGCAAGTGGGGTGTGTGCACGGGTGGGGGCGTGTATGGTGTGCAGGTGGGGGGTGTGCACATGTAGGGGCCTGTATGGGTGTGCAAGTGGGGTGTGTGCACGGGCGTATATGGTGTGCAGGTGGGGTGTGTGCACGGGTCGGGGCATGTATGGTGTGCAGGTGGGGGGTGTGCACGTGTAGGGGCCTGTATGGGTGTGCAAGTGGGGTGTGTGCACGGGTGGGGGCGTGTATGGTGTGCAGGTGGGGGGTGTGCACGGGTGGGGCGTGTATGGTGTGCAGGCGGGGGGTGTGCACAGGTGAGGTGTGTATGGTGTGCAGGTGGGGTGTGTGCACGGATGGGGGCGTATATGGTGTGCAGATGGGGTGTGTGCACGGGTGGGGGCGTGTATGGTGTGCAGGTGGGGGTGTGCACGGGTGGGGGCGTGTATGGTGTGCAGGTGGGGGGTGTGCACAGGTGAGGTGTGTATGGTGTGCAGGTGGGGTGTGTGCATGGGTGGGGGCGTATACGGTGTGCAGGTGGGGTGTGTGCACGGGGGGCAGGTGTTTGGGTGTGTGCACATGTAGGGGCCTGTATGGGTGTTCAGGGGGTGTGCACGGGGGGCAGGTGTTTGGGTGTGTGCACATGTAGGGGCCTGTACGGGTGTGCAGGTGGGGTGTGTGCACGGGGGTGGGTGCATGTTTGGGTGGGGGTGTGCAGGAGTAGGGGTGTGTGTGTGCGGGCTGGGTGCACGTTGGGTGCTCTGTTGTGTGTGGCGCACACGTGTGCGGTGTGCCCGTGTGTGGATGCGTGTGCAGCTGCCTCTGGAGAGGCGGGCCGTGGGTCGGCCCTCGGGTGGGGAGCGAGGCGGGCGGTGCAGCTGAGCGAAGCGGCTGGCGCAAGCGAGGCGGGCACGCGGTCCGCGCGGCTGCGGAGCCCTGGTCAGGAGGAAGCGCGGGCGGGTTAGGAAGCGAGGCTGCCCGGGCCTCCGGCCGTGCGTCCCGCACCCGTGGTGCCTCCTCCGGGCCGCCGCGCGAACGTCGTGGCTTCACCACCAGGGGGCGCGCTCGGCGGAGCCGGCGGGTCTGCGGCTGTGACGGCGCCCGCCTGCGGCGCGCGGACAGGTGTGGCCGGCGGGCAGGTGCGGCCGTGGCCGGCGGCCCGCGCACACTCTCCGCGACCCCGCCCTGCCCTCTGCGGGGAGGAGCGGATCTCCAGGTCCAGCCCAGGCGCCAGGTGGCGCGACTGCAGGGTCCGGCTGGACAGCACCCTGGGGAGACCCGGCTCGCTGGCCAGCGCATCCCAGATGCCAGGCCTCAGGGGCTCACAGCCCGTCCTGCTGAGGGAGCTGCGGGCCCCGCATCCATCCACCCGAGTCCCTCTGGCCCCCGCGCATGCCCCCAGTGACAGGCTCGCCCCTAGCCCTGCATGTGGCTGAGGCAGCTGCCCCCCGGCGCCCAGGGGCTCTCCTGCTGCCCTGAATGACTCAGGACAGAGCGCCCCGCCCCGGCAGGTGAGGGGGAGAGGCATTGCCCTGGCAGGTGGCTCTGCCCAGGCAGGTGAGGGAGAAGGTGTTGCCCCCCACCCCACCCCGCTGAGGCAGCCCACGCCTGCGACCCCCCAGGAGCCAGTGTCCCGGCCCTGCAGGCCCACCTGACCCCACTGCCTTCAGGGGCGGCTGGACCTGCACCTCTGCACCAGGCAGGGTTCCCTCCAAGGAGCTGCTGCCCACCCCGCCACCCCTGCCACGAGGCCGCTCTGACGGGCCCAAGGCGGCCCGGACTCACACCCCTGGTCCTGGGGGTGGTGAGCAGGCTGGGGCCGGCAGCCAGCCCCGGAAGGGTGCGGCCCACCAGCTTCTCCTGGTGGTGGCACCGGCACATCCCGCCTCCCCCTCCGCAGCCCCCCCACTGCGGGCTGCGCCACCTACCTTCCACAGCGGCCACCTGCTCCTGACGGCGCTGGTCTTGGGCCCGCGGCACGGGGCTCTGCATGTACAGGTCGGCGCCGGCTCGTGCCGTGCCCAGCCGGTTCACCAGCTGTGGGCAGAGAGGCTCCCTGCAGCGGCAGCTCCCACGGGGCGTCGGCCAGCTGGCCCTGCCACAGGTGGCCTGCGCCAGGTGATACTCCTCCCGCGCGGTCCACAGGGGCCACACGGGCCCAGGCACTTGGGACACAGCCAAGGACCCAGCTCTTCACCCAGAGACCCCCATCCTTACTCTAGCTCACCGGGGGCCTGAGGGCCAGCCTCCAGGCGCCCCACACGCAGGCCAGCCTGGACGCCCGAGCGAGTGTCACCGCCCACATCCTGCCCTGGGTGACTCTGCCTCTCACCCGTCCTGGCTGTGGCTGGTGTCAGGAGTGGGGCCATGCCCCCCGCCTCACCTCACACTCATAGTGACCGAGGTCCTCCTTGCTGGCTGCCCGGATCTCCAGCACCAGTCGGCCGGCGCGGGCCTCGCTCAGGGTCCGGTACTTGCCACCGGGTGTCAGCGCGGCCCCGTCCTTGTACCATCTGAAGTTAGTCAGGGTGGTGAGGGGAGCCCTGTCCCTGTGCTTGGTCTCCCCGCCACCCTGCGGGCCAGCCAAGGGCCAAGCCGGACCCTCATGGGCCCCGTGGCCTCACGAGGAGTGAGGACCTGGGTCTGGCCTGCCCTGCCCGTAGTGGCCACAGCTCCTGGCCCACCTGATCTGAGGCCACGGGAAGCCTTCCACGGAGCAGGTGACCCGGGCGTCCTCTCCCTCAGCGAAGGGCGCAGCCTGCACCTTGTTCACGAACCTCGGGGGCACTGCAGGCAGGCGGGGGTCAGAGGGGACCAGGAGCAGCCCCCATCCACCCACCAGCCCCGCCGCTCACCCTGCACCAGGATCCTCCCCAGAGTGCTGGCATTGCCAGCGGCGCTGGCCGCGAAGCACATGTACTGGCCGGAGTCGGCGCCTGTCAGGTTGTCCAGGATGAGTGTGCACGAGCCGTCCGGGTCCCCGATGAGGATGTGGTGCGGGTCCACCTCCACTGGCTTCCCGTCTGCGGGGGAGGCGGTAAGGGCAGGGATGCCCACGGACAAGAGGCTGGCCTGCGGGCGTCGTGCTCACGGGGTGGACCCCAGCACTGCCAGCCACCTGACCCCATGCCCTGGATGGATGGGAGGATCCAACCCCCCAGGTCACAGCTGCCCCCGGTGGATGCTGCGGACCCGCCTCTCTCTGGCCATGGCCAGCAGCATGGCCTGGATGCCCACAGCCAGTGGCCCCTCACCACAGACCCCTGGGAGGGCCCGGCTGCCCATCCACGCAGCACAGCTTCACACGCCGCAGCCCGCATCCTTATGGTAAAGCAGGAGCCGGCAACTGCCCAAGGAGACCCTGCGCCCTGGTGTGAGTGACCACTGCCCACCTCCCTGGCCCCCTGGCAGAGCCCAGCTCCTCCAGCAGGGTGGAGCCGGGCCCCTCTGCGCCTATGCCAGAGAAGGCAACAGGCTGCCTGGCCGCGGCCGGTGCCCCATGCTGGACCCAGCATGGCGCCCTGGAGCCGCAGGCGCGTGGGGGACAGAGGGCCCCGCTGGTGGGGGCAGCAGCCACCACCCCGCTGGTGGTCCAGCAACATCCCTAGGGCTGGGCCCGTGGTGCCAGAACCTCCACTGGCCCTACACACCTGGGGAGGCGGTGCACGTGGATGCTGTGACCACTAGCACCCTGCCTGCCCGTCTCCCCAGTCACATCCAGAGACCACGTCACAGCTATGGGCCCACTCCGCACCCCAGGGGTCACCCCACGGGCAGGATCCGCCTGTCCACCACCTTTTCCAGGCATATGGGGGGTCCCCTAGCCTGACCCACAAAATGGCCGGCGGTGGGCAGTTGCCCTAAGCGCCGGCACACCCGGGGGCCTCTGCCCAGGTGCCTGGCCAGGTCCAGCCCAGGAGCAGGTGAGGGGCAGGCCCAGCCTGGGGCCGCCTGTGCCCTCTGGGTTCCTCCTGGTGCAGGGGTGGCACTCAGGGCCCACCTTTGTACCAGCTCACGACGGGGGTGGGGGTGCCAGTCACACGGCAGGCCAGCTTGACCGTCTCGCCCAGTGTGGTGGTGCAGTCGGCCAGCTCCTCCTCAAAGTCCGGAGGCCCTGGGGGAGACACACATAGGTCCTGAGGGTGGCCCTGGTAAGGTGAAACGCCCCGGGACCAAAACCCAGCCAGGCCCAGGGAGTGGAGGAAGGGCGGCGGACAGTGCGGGGTGTCTGGTGGACACTGAGCGGAAGAGCCGGTGGCCAATGGGGAGTCAAGGAGGGGGTTGGTGGACACTGGGGAGTCGGGGCTGGACATGGCAGGTGAGTGGACACTGGGGCTGGGGGGTTGAGTGGACATGAGACGTCTGTAGTGACTAAAGGTGTGGACAGGAACCTCCCCTGCCAGGTCAGGGAGCAGACTGAGGCGGCCAGGTTTCACAGCCCCTGGGCACAGGGGGCACCTGCCCAGCACTGGGGTCCCTGCAAGCAGCCCAAGGGCCCTGCCCTGGGATCTGGGCCCCTGGGAGGCTGGGCTGGTAAAGGGAGCAAGCCCTCCCACTACGGATGCCCACCCACTCGGATCAGCCCTGGGTGACCCAGAGCCAAACTTCTGGGCTGCAGGCTGTGGCCCGTCCAGCTTGCTGCCCAGGGCACTCACGCCAGACGGGCAGGGCCAGGCGCTGCTGGATGCTGCGGATGTCCCTGACCCAGGCGTTCTTGGTGGTGGCCGTGCGCGCCTGCAGCAGGAACTTGCGCACGGAGCCCTCCCGCTCGTGCCACACCTCGAAAGCGCGCTCGTCCCCCTCCACCTGCTCGTTGAGGTCCACGCTGCTCAGCTGCGGGGCAGGACAGGCAGGTGAGCAGCGCGGCAGGGGCCGGCCCCGCCCACCGCCTCGGCCCCGCCCCCGGCTCCGGCCCCGCCCACTGGCCCGGCCCCACCCCACGGCAACGCCCCAGCCCGGCCCCGCCCACCGCCTCGGCCCCGCCCCCGGCCCCGCCCCGCCCACCTTCATCATGCCGCGGAAGACGTAGCTGAAGGTGTCGGTGCGCGGGTCCCGCCGCGGCTTGCAGACCACCAGGTGGTGCGGGAACAGGAAGACGTGCCGGTGGTGGCCCTTCCAGGGCATGCGCGCGCCCGGCGCGCCCTCCCACACGATGAAGTGGCCCTGGGGGGCGGCGGCGCGGTCGGTCAGCCGGGGTTGGGGCGCCCCCGCCCCCCCCCGCGCGGCCCGGCCCGGCCCCACCTGGCGGACGGGCTCGCCCAGGGCCTCCAGGCTGCCCGGGTAGTTCTCCATGAGCGACACGTGCAGCCGGTCCTCGGCGCGCCGGGGCAGCGCGGACACCACGGCGTAGGCCTGCTCCAGCAGCGCGCACGTGCGCCCGCCGCGCGCCTTGTTGCGGATCAGGTCCTGGGGGCGGCGGGGGGGGCGGTCAGGGCGGCCGGGGCGGGTGGGGCGGCCAGGGCGGCCAGGGCGGTCAGGGCGGTCAGGGCGGGGTGGCCAGGGCGGTCAGGGCGGGCGGGACGGCCGCGGGGCGGTCGGGGCGGCCAGGGCGGCCAGGGCGGTCAGGGCGGTCGGGGCGGGGGGGCGGCCAGGGCGCCCAGGGCGGCCAGGGCGGTCGAGGCGGGCGGGGCGGGCGGCCGGGGCGGTCAGGGCGGTCAGGGCGGGCGGGGCGGGCGGGCGGCCAGGGCGGCCATGGGGGCGGGGGGGGGTGGGGGGGGGGGCGCCGGCCCACCTTGAGCAGCGTCTGGTACTGCTGCACGCGCTCCACCGGCTGCTCCAGGAAGTGCTGCAGGGGCGGCGGGGGCGGCTGCGCGGGGTCCTCGGCCGCCAGCACCTCCTCGCTGTACCTCTGCGGGCAGGGAGCCATGGCACCAGCGCCCAGGGCCCGCGGGAGCCGCCCGCCCGGCCCCCACGGCGCGGCCCAGCCCAGGCCAAGCGCACCTTGTAGAACTCCTGCACCGGCGTGCTGACCACCACCGACTCGGCCTGCACGTGGCCCACCAGGAACTCCAGGTGCTTCTCGAAGGCCTCCCGGTTCTTGATGAAGCACATGGCCACGTCGTCGTCGGACTTGCAGGCCTGCAGCTCCCGCAGGAAGCTGGGGGGGCAGCGGCCTCAGACCCACCCTGCCCCCACCACAGGCAGGGGCCACATGCGCCGCTGTGCACGCGTGAGTGTGGGGGCCCGCGCGCATCTGCCCGTGTGCTCTAAGGGTGCACGCCGCCTGCCCACCTGCCGTGGAAGCGGCTGATGTCCTGCACATTGCGGAAGATGACGGCCCTCTGGCTGGCCACGGCGGCAGGCGCCCGGGGGCTGCGGTCCAGGTGCCGCAGGTGGTGGCTCTCCAGGAACTGCAGCTTGTCCACGAAGGCTTGCTCCGAGCGCAGCAGCTCCTGGATGGTGGCGCTGGGGAAGGGGCCCGTGAGGGGGGACCCGGCAGCGTAGGGGCTGCAAGCGCCCACCCCCAAGGGCGGCGAGGGGCCGATGGAGCAGCAGGCCAGGCCCCAGGAGCCAAGCAGGAAATTCAGGTGGAAGGGCGCCTGGGAGACCCCGCGACCCCACCTCCCCCGCCCTGCGCTGCTGGACCCTCACCTCAGCCGCGTCTTGTACTCGTCCTCAGACACGGCCTCCCCAGGGAACTCGGGGGCCTCCGTAGGGCCCCACTCGGGCGACAGCTGGCGGGAGACGGGAAGGGTCACCGCTGGGGCGGCTGCGGGGGCAAGACTCAGCCCTGGGTTTCCCAGGTTGGCCTCCGGCCAGGGTGGCCTGGCCTGCAGGGCAGGAGGCCCCCAGGAAGCGGTCCACAGTCAGGTAGAGGGCGGGGGGGGGGGGCAGGTGTCTGCCGGGACTGGCAGGTACCTTGAGACGCCGGTCCAGGTAGGCGGGGGACACCCAGCCCTGCCGGGAGGGGCTGGATTTGGTGGGCTTGGTGCGCACAAGCCAGCGCAGCGGGTGGGCAGCGTCCAGCACCTCCACGTACTGGCCCTCCCGCAGCGCGATGGCGTCCTGCTCGGCCCCCAGGGGCTGGTAGTCCGCCGTGGCCACGTAGATGTCAAAGATCTGAGGGGGCGCTGAGTCAGACCAGGGCTGCGGCGGCCCTGGTCCACAGCAGAGGGCGTGGGCAGCCAGGCTCGTGCGGAGCATGCAGTCCATGCTGGTGGGCCCCCGGGGACATCCCCCCACCCTACGCCCCCACCCTCGTGACCCCACCAGCCCCAGCACCTCGCCCCGCGAGTCCCCGTCCTCCGACTCCGAGGACGACTCCTGGACGCTGGAGGAGGGGCGTGAGCGGCCGTGCCGGGGGGACGCAGAGGGCGTCTTGGACTCCTCGTCGCTGTCCCCTCCTGGCACCTGCAGCTGGGCTGGGGGCACAGGGCGCGTGATGCAGGGAAGGGCTTCCCCGCACCCCGCCCGCACCCCGCCTCCGCGCCCCACCCTCACCCTGCGTGATCTTGGCTGACACCATCTCCGTGATCTGGGAGGTGAGCTTCTGCAGGAACTCCTCCGTGCCCACCTCAGCCAGGGACCGGGGCCCGCGGGCCGCCCCTGCCAGCGGCTCTGTGGGGCAGACTGTGCTCAGCGGCCACGTGTGCTGCAAGCGGCCCAGGCCGCACTGGCCAGGGTGGTCGGAGAGATGGGGCTGGGCGTGACAGGGTGAGCAGAGTCCCGGCAGGGGCGGTGGGAGGCAGGGGGAGTGGGTGTGGCTGCAGGGCTGCTGAGGGCAGAGCCTGAGGCCAGACCGACGAGTCAGCAGGCTGGAGAGCCCCCCACCCCAGGCTGTGCGGCCTCTGCTCTCAGTGGCCGCTGGCTGGGAAGGGACCAGGGGCGCCACCGCCTGGAGAGGGACCAGAAGGGCCCACACTTTGGTCGGAGCCGGGCTGTGAACGCGGGAGGGGGTTCCGCCGGGTGCGGGTTGGGGTGAGGTGAGGGTGGCTTGCAGAGGGAGGGGATGGGGGGGCAGGCGCAGAGGTGGGGAGGGGAGTCTCGAGGAGGCTCAGACACGTGGGGTGGGGCTCTGTCGCCTATGGCCAGTGCCGCCAGATGACTTCACGAAGCCCAGCACAGGCCAGAGGACTTAATGGCCCTGGAGGGAGGGGCAGGCCTGACCCGTAGGCCCCAGAGGAGCCAGGAGGGGGCGGACGACCCCACAGACCCAGCCCAGCCGGGGCTCAGCCCGTGGACCCCCAGGGCAGCTGTAACCAGAGACCACACATGGCCGGGCTCCGAGGGCAAGCATGCCAAGAGCCCAGCCCCCCTCCTGCGCCCACCCAGGGACCCGCCGCCCGCCTACCTTGGCCAGCGAGGTCAGCGAAGCCCGACATCTGGGAGGACACGGCCTGGGCGCTGTGGGGGACAGGGGTGTCCGAAGATGCCGGATTACCCGCCCCCGGGGAGATGGCACTCCCTGCCAGGGCAGAGCCAGGGCGGCCAGGACAGGGCAGCCCGTCTCACTCACCCCTGCAGGAAGGTGGAGATGAGGGCCGCCTTGACCCCTGCCTGCTCCTCCACGGCACCGGCCTCCTTGGGCACTGCCAGAGAGCAGGGTAAGCCCCAGGCACAAGCCCCAAGCACCTGGCTGGGCCCCGAACCCCAGGAGCTGGGAGAGGAATGGGCCTGCCCTTGGCCCCGCAGCCCCTGGGGGCCGAACAGCCCAGGAAGCAGTGCCCAGGGGCAAGGGCAACCGGTGCAGCGGGCAGTGGGGCGAGCCAGGCCTTGGGGGCCCCCCCAGCTCCCGCCCTGCCACCCACTCACGGCCGGAGACGCGCAGGCTGGCGGAGCACAGGGCCTGCCCCGCGGCGTTGGAGGCGACGCAGATGTAGGTGCCCTGGTGCTCGCGGCCCACGTCCAGCAGGACCAGGCTGTGCTGCTGCGCGGAGCTGGCCAAGGTGTAGCCGGGCGTGTCGCGGCCGATCCACAGCACACCGCGGCCTGCCTCCTCCCGCAGCCAGTGCACCACGGGCACCGGGCTCCCTGCGGGCCGGAGAGAGTGGTGGAGGCGCCGCTGCCCGCACCCGAGGGGCTCCGCCTCCCAGGGCTGTGGGCAGGTGGGGGCCGGGACACCCTACCTTCCACCTTCACCGAGAAGGTGATGCTGGAGCCCTTCTTCACCTTCTTGGGGGAGAACCTCTCCAGGATCCGGGGGGGCACCAGCTGCTGGTGTGCCTCTGGGGAGACCCAGCCGCTGGTGTGAGCCATGCAAAGCCAGGTCGGGGTCCCTACCCCACGCCCCCACCCGCCCTGTCCTGGCCTCACCTGGTGCAGGCTTCTCCTCCGGGTCACTGGGGTCTGAAAGAGGCGCAGGGTCAGACCGCAGGCCCATGGCCCTCCCTCCCCAACGGGTGGGGGCCCCGAGCAGCGCACCTCCCTGTGCCCGCTGTGTGGCCCTGGGGCCGGGCACGCGGCCCTGCCAGAGGCTCGGGCTGGCCCACAGAGGGGCAGGGGGGATGCCCGGCCCTACCCCCGCTCCCTGCCCCGTCCTCAGCCCCGAGCCTCCTACCCGCCGGTGGCAGCAGCAACAGGACTCAGCCCAGCACCCACCTCGGACCAGCAGGCGAGCGCACGAGTAGGCAGCACCCAGCGTGTTGCTGATGTAGGCCGAGTACTGGCCACTGTCCTCACGGGTGACCGAGAGGATCTCCAGGGTGTGCACCGTCCTGCGGTCAGTCATGCGGACGCGGGCAGATGCAGCCAGAGGCTGCCCGTCTTTGAACCAGTACAGGCGGGGTGCCGGATAACCTGGGTGGGGCGTCCATGTGGGGTCACCGCCCAGGGAGAGGACCTGAGACCCCCACCTAGCACCCACTGCCCCCTGGGTGGGCTCCCGAGGCCTCCTTGTACGCCTCACCTTTCACCTTGAGCTGGAGCTTGGCCAGGTGTGTGCCCGGGGCCACCTGAACATCCCTGAGCTCCTCCACCACCTGCGGCAGCTGGCCCTCCTCGAAGGGGGACTCCGTGCCCTCCTGCTCCCTGCTGGGGGAGAGCAGACCAGGGCAGCCGTGAGGGGCAGTGGCGGGGCCGAGCCGGGAGGGACTGGGCGGGTGGTGGGCGGGTGGAGGGCCCAGAGGCCATGTGCCCTGTTGGGTGCTGTGCCTGGGCCATGTCTGTGCGCCCAGCTGGCAGGGCCGTGCTGGGCCAGGGAGCCTGCCGGCCCCGCCGTGGTCTCTACCTGGACAGGTAGCCTTGAGCACTGAAGTAAGACGAGGTCTCGGTGGCATCGGCTGCAGTGTCGTAGTCGGTGCTGGTCACTGAGGAGGAGGAAGGGCAGCCCTGGGCAGGATGCACTCCCAGCCTCCTCGGTGCAGAGTCCCGTCACCAGCGCAGACCCCTGCGCTGCTCCCGCCCCACGCACGGCGTCCAGCCCCACACGGCGTCCAGCCCCACTGACTGTGGGCGCCGTGGGCCCTCCGCACTGAGGTTCTAGAGGCCCGGGGATTTGGGGGCGCATCTCCCCATGCCACCCACCAGGGACGCAGCGCTCAGGTCCCCACGCCAACAGCGGGCTGCGCGGCCAGGCAGGGCAGCAAGGTCCACGCAACTGCCCCGCGGACGCTGGAGCCCCGCCCCGGAGCCCCGCCCCACCCTGAAGCCCCGCCCCACCCCGGAGCCCCCACACGGAGCCCCGCCCCACCCTGAAGCCCCGCCCCACCCGGAGCCCCGCCCCTCCCCGGAGCCCCGCCCCGCCCGGAGCCGAGCCCCGCCCCCGCTCACGGTCCACGCGCAGCTCGGCCTTGGTGGAGGACACGCCCACGCTTTTCTCCGCCAGGCAGCGGTACACGCCCGTGTCCGCCGGCACCACGGCGGGAGGATGAGCTGGTGGCCGCCGCGCCCGTCGTCGGTGATCAGGTGGCGCGCGTCCTCCTCCAGCAGCCGCCCGTCCTTGAGCCAGCGCACGCTGGGCGCCGGCCGCCCGGCCACGGCGCAGTCGAAGCTCGCGGGGTAGCCGTCCAGCACCTCCTGGTCGCGCAGCTGCGCCACGAACACCGGGGCTGCGGGCGGACACCGGTCGGCGGGCGCCCCCCCCCCGCCCCCGCCCCCCCCGCCCGGCCACTGACCCCGGCGCGGCCCCTCCCGGACGCCCCCAGGCCCGCCCGCCCGCCCGAGCCGCGAGGCCGCGCGCACTCACCGGCCTCGGCGGCCTCGGCGGGCGGGGGGGCGCGGGGGGCGCGGGGGGCGCGGCGACCTGGCGCACGCGCAGCTCCACGCCCCGCGGCCCCGGCTCCGCGAGCGCGATGTCCACCGCGATGCCCAGCGCGCCGAACAGCTCCCGGAAGCGCGCGGCCGCCCGCCGGGCCTCGGCCGGCGCCTCGAAGCGGAGGCTGGCGGAGCGCGCGTCCTCGCGGTAGGTGCGCCCGTCGGCGGGCGGCGCGGGGCCCTCGTCCGCGCTCAGGAACAGCTCCTCGTCCGACACCTCCGACGCGCGCTTGGCGCGGAACAGGCGGTGCAGCCGCCGCGCGCCCGGTGGAAGGGGTCGTCCAGCTCGCCCCCGAGGAGCTCTCGGCCTCGCTGTCCGGCCCGCCGACCGCCACGCGGGCGCTGTGGGCCGCGCTGCCGAACTTACTGGTGACCCGGCAGGTGTAGCGGCCGGCGTCGGCCCGGCCCAGCCCGGGCACCAGCAGAGAGCAGGTGCCGTCGCCCTGCTGGTCCATGTGGTGGTGCCTGCCGTCCACGAGCTCCACGCCGTCCTTCAGCCAGCAGGCCCGCACGTCCGCCTTGCTGGACACCACACACTCCAGGCGCAGGGCATCCCCCACCCGCACCTCCGTGTCCCCAAACGTGCGGGAGAACACAGGCCCCTCCTGCTGCTTTATCTCCTTCCGGACCTTGTAGCCCTTGAAGGCAGCCTGGATCTTCACAGCCGCCTGGTCCATGACCGGGCCGCCCAGGTCCTCAGCGCTCAGCTCTTCTGGCGCTGTGGACGCTGCCGCCAGCTGGGCCTGCGGCTTCCGCAGCTCCCCCGCAGGGGCGGGCGGGACCCCGACCTGCGTGCACGGGTGAGGCAGGACGCAGAGGTCGGCGCGGGGAAAGGGCATTCAGGCAGAGCCCAGCCTCCCGCCCACTCCCAGCGCACACTCCCTCCCACACTCCGCCCCACCCTGGGGCCGGCCGTCCACACGGGGCCCAGGCCCCGCCACCCGCCTGACACAGCCCCAGTCTGGGTGGAGACGGTCAGCTCTTCAGCATCGGGACTTAGTGGCCAGGGGGAGAGACGAGGTATAGTGGACGAATAAGTGTGTAGCTGGACACACCAGACGTGTGCACAGACGGGTGGCTGGGGAGGTGAGTGGGTGGGTGTGGGTGGAGGAGTGGGCGGGTGGGCAGGACAGGCGGGCGGGTGGCCCATGGGGTGGGTGTGTGGGCGGGGCGGGTGCATGGACGGGAGGGCGGGGTGGCAGCGCAGAATGCCAACAGCCGGGGCCCCGGGCCCTCACTTGCTGGACAAGCGGCCGACGCGCCTCGCTGAGCAGGGGAGGGACGCCCGGCACACCGGCCTTCTTGAGGTAGGTGACGAGGGCTGGAGTGCCCGCCCGGGACTCGTCGTCAGAGCTGGTGTGGGAGAGGTCGGCCTCGCCTGTGCGCGCCAGCTCGTCGGCCGTGGAGTAGTCCTCGGAGAGGTAGGGGGCGGCCTCCTCGGCCTCCTGCTGCGGCCGCGGGAGCCGCCCGTCCTCCTCGGGCAGCTCGCTGATGGAGTCCAGCGTGGGCTCGCGGCTCATGCGCCGCTTCCGGGCCAGGGCCTCCCACAGCAGGTGCAGGTCGCCCTCCTGGGCCGCCTCTGGGGGCAGGCTGGGCTGAGCCGGGGCCTCAGCCCCAGGCCCGTCTGTCAGCACCACTGCGGACAGCGGGACGTGGGTGAGCCGGCTGGGCAGAGCCAGATCCGGGCCCAGCTGGGCTGCCGACTTGGATGCGGCCAGGAACGGGGTTCCCCTTAGGGGGCCTCTGCTTCCTGCCTGGGCCCCCGTGCATTTCCGAGGGGGTCTGGAGGAGGTCATGAGGCCTCCTCTCCCAACACCTCCCCACCCCGACCTCGTCAGCCCCGCACAAGCTTCCATCAACAGGGCCTGCAAGGCCAGACTGAGCTGACCTTAACCTCTGCCTTGGTCGCCCTGGAGGAAACCAGAACCCCAGCCAGCTGGGGAGGGGTCTGGCCTGAGGCGGTGACAGGTGCGCCCTCAGTCTCCCTGGGAGGACCCCAGGGGCTGCAGAGCAATGGGAGCAACGGCGGCAGGAACTCACCCTGGAAGGAGGCAGGGGCCGCGCCCTGGGTGGGGCTGCAGCAGTACTCGCCCTGGTCCTCTGCCGTGAAGTCCCGGACCACCAGCGTCTGCCGCCCACCCTGGCAGAGCATCTGGACACGGTCGCCAGGCTGGATGCGCTCCGTCCCCTTCAGCCAGGTGACCTCGCCGGTCTCGGCCACCTCGCACTCCAGACGCAGCTCCTGGCCCATGGCCACCTGCCGGCACTCGGGGGCAGGGGGTGCAGATGTGGACTCCAGCGGCTCTGCTGGACGGGACAGGTGCCTCAGCACAGAGGCAGCCAGGGCACGCGTGACCCTCAGGGCCACCCCTGGCCAGTGGGGCAGTGACTCACCGAGCCTCACCGTCTGGGGCAGGTGCACCGGCTCCCCAGCGCCCGCAGGGCCCACGGCCGCCACGCGGAAGCGGTAGGTCTCCCCAGGGGCCAGTCCGTCCACCACGCATTCAGGCCCCGGGACAAGCTCATGGCACAGTCGCCACTCGCCAGTGGCCGCCGCCTTCACCTCCACCCGGTAGCCACAGAGACCCCCGCCGCCGTCGCTGGCAGGGGCCACCCAGGACAGCGTCACGGCGCGGTCGCTGCGACCCACCACCTCTGCGTCCTCCGGGGGGTCAGGGAGGCCTGCGGGGAGGGCCCCAGTCAGCTGAGGGCGAGGCCTGCCTGGGCCACCCCACAGAACTGTGAGCCCGGAGGCCAGCCAGGCGCGGGCCTGAGGGAGGAGGACAGAGAGGGGCTGTGGGGGGGCCCCGAGGTGGACATGCGCAGCAGGTGGCAGCACTGCCCTCCCCTAGGGCTGGGAGGGGCGGGGTGGGCGGGAAGGGCGGGGCGGGCCTGGTCCACGCTGCACTGGCCACTCCAGGAGAAGGGCCCGGCCCTCGCCCCGGGCCGAGCCATCCCCAGCGGCGTCCCCGGGGAGGGGCGGGTGGTCCCCGCCGGGCCCACTCCCGCCCGGCCTCACCCCCCAGCACGCGGAGGCGCGCGGACACGACGGCCTCGCGGGCAGCGAAGGTGACCTCGCCCGCGTGGCGCGGCTGGGCGGCGCGCAGCTCCAGGGCGTGGCAACAGCCGTCCGCGGTGGCCGTCCAGGCGGGGTCGTCGGGCTGCACCGCGGCGCCGTTGACGTACCAGCTCGCCTCGCCCGCCGGCACCGCCTCGCTCAGGCGGCAGCTGAAGCGGGCCTGGCCGCCGGCGGGCACGGCCGCGTCCCGCGGGGGCTCCAGCACCTCCAGCCGCCAGCCTGCGGGGGGGGGGGGAGGTGTGAGCGTGCCCCGGCCCCGCGCCCCCCCGCCGGCCCTGCACGCCCCGCCGGCCCCGGCCCGTGCCCACCTCACCTCGCACGGTGAGGGCCGCCGATGTCGACAGGTCGCCCGCCACGAAGGTCACCCGGCAGCTGTCCCGGGGCCGCAGGTTCCGGAGCAGCAGCACGTGGCGCAGGCCGCCCTCGAAGTAGACCACCTCGGCGTCCTCGGAGGTGCGCACCGGCTGGTCGCCGCGCAGCCAGGTGTGGGCGGCCACCTCGGGCTGCGCCAGCTGGCACTCAAACAGCGCCTCCCCGCCCTCGGGCACCTCCGCGTCCTCCAGGCCACGCACCAGCGAGTTCTTGGCTGCGGGAAGGGGCGGCTCAGGCGTGGCCTCGGCCGGCGGCCCCGCGGATCGGCCCCACTCCCCGCGCGGCGCCGGCGTCCACTCGAGAGGCCGGCGCCCTCCCCTCTGCGGGCTCCCGGCGGGGCCTCCACGACCAGCTGAGCCAACACAGGCTGTCCAGGCAAGGAACTGGCCAGCACAGCCCTCCAGGGAGCCGGCCACAGCCTGCCCCTCTGCTCTCCCCCTGCCCGCCTGCCCGCCTGCCGCGGGGCTGCCCCCGCCCAGCCCAGTGACCCGCCCCACGCCGGGCTCCCCAGTGCCCAGTCGCCAGTGGTGGGAAACCTCGTGGGAGCTTGGGCCCCCGAGGCCTCTCTCCTGCCCTGCCCCACCCCCCTGCATCCACCCACTCGCCCGCCGCAGCCCGCCGCCGCCAGCCCTGCCCATCACAGGGCACCGCCTGCCCTGGCCTGGCTCCACGCACACTCCCCAGAGCTCCTCCCTGCGAGTCCCCACAGGTCCCCTTTCTGTCCCTGCTGGCCCCAGGGGCCAAATGGCGCGTTCAGAGAACTTGCTGAGGTACTGGGGTGTCCTCACCCACCAGCGAGTGGCCGCAGCCGGACACCCCCACAGTGCCACCCCTTGCCCCGCGCTATGTGGCGCAGCAGGAGTGAGAGCTGCGGGGCGGCCGCATGGAAGAGGCAGAGCTGAGGGGTCCCCTGGGCCTAGGAAGTCCCGCCCAAGGCCCTCCCCCTGCAGCACGCAGCCCTGCCAGTGCCCCGGTCACCACCCGGTCACTGACCCCATCACTGCCCCGGGGCGAGCTCAGCTGCAGGCCCTGCGGGTGCAGCCTCTGCGGGGAGGGGGCTTCCCTCTCCCCTCCCTTGGGCCCTGGGGGGCAGGGGCCTGGGGACAGGTTGTCTCAGACCCCCACGCCCTGGGGGGCATCACGAGCGCCCGGGCTGGCGTCACCGCGGGTCTCCCTAGCCTGGCCGCGCTGCCCACCGGGCGGCCTCACCTTGCACTTGCAGCAGAGCCACCACGCAGGTGCCCGCGGCCTCACAAGAATAGATGCCGCTGTCGCTGGGCAGGGCCGGCCTGAAGGACAGCCTGGCCACGGTCCAGTCCTGCTCTATGACGACGCGGCACCCGTCTGCGCACACCTCCCGCGCGTCCAGCTTCCACGTGGCCCGCACCGGCCGCGAGTACTGGCAGAGCAGCTCGGCCGGGCTGCCCTCCGCCACCACCAGGTCCTGCATGGCGCTCACCACCTCCACCGCGGGGTCTGCCGGCCGACAGCCACTGCCCGTCAGCCACCGCCACGCAGCACGCCCCGCGCAGGCAAGCAGCAGGCCCCGCCCTCAGCCTCGCCCGCCTGGGGTGCAGACCCCACAAGGGACACCCTGGTGCTCCCCGGGGCCCTCCCCACCGCCACCCTTCAAAGCCTGCTCAGAAACGCCTGTCCTCGGCCAGGCTGAGCCCCCACATGGCTCCATGGGGTACAGACCAGAGCCTCCCAGGCCAGGCCTGGGCGCGGGACTCTGCTGGGCAGGGAGCCCCTGGCAGCTCGCGGCTCCCCCAGCCGCTGCTTCCCTGCGGAAGGGCGGGTGGCCCGACTGACCGAGGGCGGGCTGCTGGCCCAGGCCGTCTGGTGAGGGCCGTGCACTCCTGGTAAGCAGTGGGCCGCACACCTCCTGCCCACCGCCCCCAAGAGGCTGCCAGGGGGCTGGCCCAGGCTGGCGGCCCCTGACCCCGCCCGCGCCCCAGGAAACGCGAAGGGCAGCGGCAGCAGCAGCGGCAGCGAGGGCGGGCCCCTTTGGCCCGTACCTTTGACCAACAGCTTGGCCGTGGAGACCAGGGGCCCCGCGCGGAACGTGACAGTGCCCGAGTCGGCGACCCCCAGGCCCGAGAGCGTGAGGGAGTGCAAGGTCCCACCACGCACGGCGATGGTGCTCTGGGGGCCATCCTGCAGCAGGGCCCCGTCCAGCCACCAGCGCGCCTCCAGCCCGCCCGCGCAGGACACCTCGCACGAGAACGCGGCCACCTCCCCCGCGAAGACGTCCACGTTCTGCAAGCCACGGAGCAGGCGCGGCACGGCCTCTGCCAAGAGGGCAAGAGAGGGCAGGCTGGGCGTGCTGCGGCGGGCGGGCAGCTGTGCGGCTCTAGGCACCCCCACCCGGTCACAGCATGAGCCGCGGAGCCACCGCAGGAGCCCCGCACCCGCCCCCACGCACGGACGCCCCAGCGGGCGGCAGCCACGCGTCTCAGCCCGAGGGACTCCAGAGGTCCCCGAGGTCCAGTCCTACAGCCCTGAGGCCTAAAGGCCACGCTGCGGCTGCCCCTCCCCGTCACCCCGACCTGGCAGTTCGCGCACCAGCAGCCTCCCCGCGGGCGCTGCCCGCCTCCAGTCACTTCCCGGGTGCCGGAGCCCTCGGCCAGGCCCTGACTCCTCACCCGCCGCTCCAATGGCCTCCTAGAGCCCTACCCACCGCGCAGAGGGCGAGGGGACGCGGGCATCCCCAGATCGCAGGCGGCGCGCAAGGCAGCTCCAGGCCTGCTGCGGCCAAGCCCGTCCCTCAAAAGCCCTAACCCCTGCGGGCAGCGCCACTCTCCCAGCCTGCTCCCTGCGTGCAGCCTGCCGCTCCTCATCCTCTGCTTCCCCTGAGAACGCAGCTGACTCCTCCGCCACCTGCCAGCCTCGCCCCACCTCCAGCGGGGTTTCCACCTTGCAGACAGGCGCCAGTGGGCACCCGCTCCCGCACACCCAGCGGCGCCTCCCCAGGCCGCAGCCGGTCATCCGTGCACAAGCCTGCTCGTCCCGCGGACGCCTGCCCGAGAGGGGCCGGGACTCAGCTCGGGTCCTTCCTGGTCAGCTGACTCAGGGCACCCAGGAAATAGTCCCTCTCCCCCAGCTCAACTGAGGGCTGATCGTATCTTTCCACTCCTGAGGATTCAGGACACGCTCAGCCTCCCTTTCCGGCTCCCCCACACCTCCCGCAGATTGGGGGCTCCCTGAGGGCACAGCTGCAGCCGACCCCTCTCCAGCTCTACGGTATACGGTGCTGGCTGGCTGACGGGTGGATGGACGAGGTGGTGGGTGGGGGGTGGTGGGGGGTGGGTGGGTGGGTGGAAGGGTGAGAGGCAGATGTGTGGGGGAGGTGGTCAGATCGTCAGGGAGGACAGGTCAAGAACCAGGAGGGGAGGAGCTCTCAGGAATGACAAGCTCTGGGAACAAGGATGACCAAGTCATCCTTGAGCGCCCTGCGTGCACCCTCGGGGCCGAAGCGGCACGCGTGTCCAGGAGTGCTGTGGCGTCAGAGTGCGGGGCCTGCTGGGAGTGCAGGGGCGTGTCCGTGTGGCTGGCATCAGTGGCCCTGCCCCCGGGGACCGCAGGCATCCTCTGCAGACAGCGCTCCCACGCGGGGCCCCACACGCCAGGACGTCTCCCGCCGACGTCCAGGCCCTCGGAGGGCCCTCTGGCCTGAGCCAGGGTCCAGGTGAGAGCACTGCCACCCGGGTGGTCACTGCCAGAGGCCCAGGTCCTGGCGCCGGCCCAGCCGCCCTCCCGCAGGGAGCACAAGGGCCCACAGGCAGGGGGGAGGTGGGGGGGCTGCCCACCTGTGACCTTCAGCTGGGCCTCCGAGCTGCACGAGCCCACCTGGAAGCTGACAGTCCCGGCATCCTCGAGGGTGACCTGAGGAGGGAGAGGGCGCTCACCTGGCTGCCGTGCGACCAGCTTCACTCAGGCCTCCCACACGCTGGCGCACTGTCTGACCCGGGAGCACCGCAGGGCCAGGGAGCACCACGTGTGGCCCGGAGCATGGCGTGTGGCCAGGAGCAATGGGGCCTGCCCACCTTGCGCAGGGTGAGCGAGTGCAGCGTGCCCTGCTGCACAGTGAGGTCATTCATCTCGTTGGCCTGCAGGGGCACCCCTGCCAGCGTCCAGCGGGCCTCCTGGCCCGCGGCCCTCGACAGCCGGCACTGGAAGTGGGCGTCCTGGCCCTCGCTGAGCTGCAAGTCCTGCAGGGGCTCCAGGATGGTCACCTCGGGGACTGGACACAAGGCAAGGACAGCGTCGGCCTCTGCAATTGGGGAACCCCGCAGTGCCCCCAGCACCCCACCCAAGGCCTGAGGCAGCACCAGCCCACCCGCCCCCCAGGGGACCCGGGCTCTGTCCCTGGAGGGGGTGACAAGGCCCAGCCCATGGGCACTACCTTGGACGATGAGCTGGGCAGAGGACGTGAGGGCGCCCACGTGGAAGGACACGGTGCCCGCGTCCTCGGGCGTCACACCCTTGAGCCGTAGCGTGTGGGTGCGGCCCCCCCGCACGGCCACCTCGGTCACCTCGTTGGTCTGCAGCGGCAGCCCCTGCAGGCGCCACTCCGCGCCCACAGCCCCAGCCCGCGACAGCTCACAGCTGAACTCCACGTCCCCATCAGCCTGCGCCTCGGTGTCTGCCAGCCCCCGCACGATGGTCAGCTCGGGTTCTGCGGGGAGCAGCCGGCGCCTAGGTCAGCCACAGCCGTCCAGCACCCCAGCCCTGCCGCCCGTGGGGCGGGGCCGCGGGCAGCTCTCTGGAGGGGGGCGACGGTCACTCCCACAGGGACACCAGGGAGGCCTGACTGCAGGCAGGGCCTGAGAGGCACAGGCCAGCCTGCCCAGTTGCTGGCTGGGGAGAGGCGGGCAGGCCTCAGTCTCCCGTGGACACTCCTCGGGCCTCTGCTCAGGGCTGCAGCCCCAGAGCCTGCAGCACTTGGCCCAGCTCGCGGCCGAGAGTGCTGGGGGCCACCCCGGGGTGCCAGGGCTCACCTCGGACGGTGAGGGAGGCCGAGGTCTTCTGGGCGCCCACCACACAGGTGTACTCGCCAGTGTCCTTGGGCTCCAGCCCGTGGACCAGCAGCTCACACGCGGCCCCCTGGCGCCGCATCTCGTACTTGGGGCCGGCGGGCAGCTCAGCGCCCTCCTTGAACCAGCGCACGGGCCCCGGGGTCTCCGCCTCGCCCAGCACACAGCACAGCCGCGCCAGGCCGCCCGCCTCCTGCTCCGCGCCCTGCAGCTCCGTCCTGAACGCCGGCCTGGGGGCTGGGGACAGGGGCGCGGGGCACTTAGGGCTGCCGAGCCAGGCCGCAGGCTGCCCCTGGGGAGCCCGGCCCGCGAGGCAGTACCAAGGGCAGCTCACCGCGGACAGACAGGACGGCCGTGCTCTGCGCATGGCCAGTGTCGCAGGTGTAGTGGCCGGCGTCCTCCTGCTCCACGCCGCGCACCAGCAGCCGGGCGGCCGCGCCCTCTTGCAGCATCTGGTACTTGGCGCAAGGGAAGAGCTGCAGGGCGCCCCTCCTCCACTCCACAGGGGCCCCCGGCCGGCTCAGCTCACAGCACAGGTGCGCCGTGGCCCCCTCGTCCACCTCCTGGGCCTGCAGCTCCCGCAGAAAGCGCACTGGCACGGCTGCAGGAAGGAGGGCGTGAGGGGCGCCCGGGGTGGCTACGGGGCCTGGGGTTCAGGGACCGGGGTGGCTACAGGGCTGGGGGGCTGGGGACCGGGGCTGGGGGACCAGGGGCCCGGGGACAGGGGCAACTAGGGGCGCAGAGCCCCGCAGGCGGCGCCGCCCCCACGAGCCCCACCCCCGCGGGCACCTGTGACGGTGAGGGTGGCGCTGGTGGCCTGGGACCCGCAGGCGCAGATGTACTCCCCGGCGTCCTCCCGCCGCAGGTCCCGCAGCAGCAGCTCGGCCGTGGGGCCCCGGCGCAGCATCTCCCGGCGCTCGTCGGCCTGCAGTTCCAGGCCCCCCTTGCTCCAGACCACGGCGTCCCCGGGCCGGGCCAGCTCACAGCGCAGGCGGGCGGAGGAGCCCTCCTCGGCCTGCAGGCTCCGCAGCGGCTCCCTGAAGCCCACCTGCGCGGCTGGGGGGCGGGGCGGGTCAGGCCGGGCTGCCTCACGCCCGCCGCAGAGTCAGGCTCCGCAGCTCCGCCCTGCCGCCCGGGGCTGGGTCCCCCGGGGAAGAGGAGCTCTGGGAGGAGCTTCGGGGCTGCCCAGGAGGTCTCCCCCCGGGAACCGGGACCAGGTGGGCCCCTCGGGCCGGGGCCATGTCCTCCATACCCCGACCGTGGCCTGGAGGACACAGACAGGCCGCAGAGCCAGGAGGTGAGGGCAGCGTCCTGAGGCCGTCGGGACAGACACCCGCCCCGACGCGGGACGGAGACGGCCGCAGGCCAGCGAGGGCCGGGCACGGACACGAGGGGGGACAGGGCTGGAGGGCCCCCTGGCCGCGCATCCTCACCCCTGACGGTCAACGTGGCCGAGGTGCTCTCAGGCCCGCACACACACGTGTACTCCCCGGCGTCCCCCGCCGCCAGGTCCCGGATCTGCAGCTCACACACGGCCCCGTCCTGCCTCAGGCTGACCCTGCCCGCGGTGTGGAGGGCCTCGGGCCCCCTCCTCCACTCCACGGGGGCCGCCTGGCTCAGCTCGCAGCGCAGCGTGGCCGTGGCCCCCACCGGGGCCTCCTCGTTCTTCAGACCCTTCGTGAACTTGGTGGGCGGGGCTGCATGGGCCAGAGGGCATGGGTGTCACCCCCCAGAGGGCACAGGCAGCAGCAGAGGGCACCCAGAGGGCACGGATGTCACCCCCCACAGGGCACGGGTGTCCCCCTCTCGCCCCCGGGCTGCGCGGCTGCGGAACTCACCCCTCACGGTGAGCGTGGCCAGGGTCACCTGGTCCCCGAAGCAGCAGGCGTACTGCCCGCTGTCCTGGGGCTGCAGGTCCCGCACCACCAGCTCCAGCACGGCGCCCTCCTGCCGCAGGCTGTACTTGGGCCCGGGCCGCAGGACCTGGTCTCCCCGGCGCCATTCCACCGGGGCGGCCACAGCAGACAGCACGCAGCGCAGGGTGGCCGCCCCGCCCGCCTGCACCTCCATGTTCCTCAGGCCCTCGCGGAACTGCACCGGCCGAGCTGCGGACACGGGTGGGTCACCGTGCCAGCAGGGGGCAGGGAGCACGGGGCGGGGGCAGGGGTCCCCTCTGGGAGGCCCCTGCCTGCGGGGAGCCCGCCCCAGCGGCTCAGAAGGGGCTGAGTGGACGTGGCCCTGAGGGGCAAGTCACGGAGTCACGGGCACAAGGCCCACCCATGGACGGGGAACCTTGGGAGAAGAGGTCAGAACACGGCAGGGCCCGCCCCACCGGCACCCCAATCTCGCAATCTGGTCTCTGGGCCTGGGGGGAGGTGGCTGTGCGGCCCTGGGGCAGCCGCTGCACAGCCCACTGGCTGTGGAGACAAGCCAGGCAGCAGGAGGGACGCCCGGCAGGTCGGGAGGGACCCCCAGCTGGGCGGGGCTGGGCAGGCAGGAAGCCCGCGGGCTCACCCTGGACCCTGACGATGGCGCTGCTGCTGCTGCCCGCGGCCTCGCACTTGTAGCGGCCGCCGTCCTGCGGGGTGACGCCAGCAATGACCAGCCGGGCCTGGCTGTCCTCGTGGCTGAGCTGGCACCGGGCCGATGGCCGCAGGGCCTTTCCATCCTTGGTCCAGCGCACCGGGCTGTCAGGAGCAGTGGTCTCGCAGGCCAGGATCAGGTCCTCGCCCTCCGTGACGGTGGTGTCTGTGAGCTCCTGGGAGAAGACGCTGGGCCGCTCTGGGGACAGAGGGCACAGGCACGTGAGGCTCCACAGCTGCCCATGCGCTCCACAGGAAGTCCGCAAGGGGTCAGGCTCTGGCGGCGCCCCCCACCCAGGCCAGGCCACGCTGCCCAGGCTCCCCTCTGCCCGCCAGCTGCACAGCCCTAAGCCCACCCTCCGGGATGGGAGGCCCCAGCTGGGCACAGCCGCGACGCCCTCTCCCTAAGCCTGGCCCACATGGCCCACGTGGCCCGTGGCTGAGCCGCCCTCTGAGGCTGTGCCCTGGGGTCGGGCTCCCACACCAGGCCCGGGCCCACCTGTGACCCGCAGGGCGGCTGAGGTCCGCTGCTCGCCCGCCTCGAAGTGGACAGTGCCTGAGTCCTTGAGCGCCAGCTGCCGCAGGGTCAGCACGTGGTAGCCCCCTGGCTGGACCTCGATCTCGCTGAGCTCGCTGGGGTGCAGTGGGGTCTTGTCCAAGAACCAGTGGACAGGCCCGAAGTCAGCAGGGGTGATACGGCAGCGGAAGGAGGCGGAGGAGCCCTCCTGCACCTCCACGGCCTCCAGGCCCTCCGAGATGAGCACCTGCCGGCCTGTGGGCACAGAGCAGCACGTCAGGGGTGCCCTGGGGGAGGGAGCCCCAGACCTGGTGGGCTCTGCCCGGGCACAGCAGAGCTGTGCGCAGACAGGTCCTAATCTCAGCACAGCGCCAGCACCTGCCGCGCCCCTGAAGGGGGCTCGCTGGGATCCCCCGGGAGGAGGGAGCCCTGAGAAGTCAGCCGTGCCCGGGAAGACACCAGGGCACTTCCCACAGACGCCCCGCAGCACTCCAGCAGGGCCCGCTGGCCTCCAACCCGAGCAAAGCCACCGCTTTCTTATCTGCCCAATGGAGGAGGTGACCCCTCCCCGGCCTGTGAGCCTGGAGGCGTCACGGTGAAGCCCGGGGGACCGGCGCCTCCTTTCATGGACCACATGCCCGGGGTCAGGACACGCACCAGCTAGAGGACCCAGGGAGACCGCCAGGGGAACCCGGAGAGCAGAAAGAACAGGTCTGGGTGTGCCCAGGCCAGCAGAGCTGCCACTGGCCCCTGCCGGGCACAGGCCTCACCGAGCACGAGGAGCTGGGCCTGGGAGCAGGCCTGGCCGATGTCGCAGGTGTAGGTGCCACTGTCCGCCTTCCCCAGGCCGCTGATGGTGAGCCGCAGGGTCAGGCCATCCCGGCTGGGCACGAGCCGCCCCGAGGGGCGCAGCTCCACCTGGTCCTTGCGCCAGGTCACGCTGGCCGCGGGCCGCGCCGTCCGGCACTGGAGCACGGCGGTGCCCTGCTCCTCCAGCTGCAGGTTGCTCAGCTCCTCCGTGAACCCGTTTGCCTTTTCTGGGGGACGGGTGGAGGTGAGCCGCGCAGACCGTCCTGCCCGGACCGGCCCGCCCCCAGGGATGCCAGGGGTGCGCTCACCCTCCACACGGAGGCTGGCGGAGGTGCGGGCGCCCTCGGCCTCACACGTGTACTCGCCCGCGTCCTCAGGCGCGGCAGCCCGCACCACCAGCACGGCGCGCGTGCCCTCGGTGAGCACCTGGAACTTGTGGCCCTGCCGGAGGGGCTTCCCATCCCGCAGCCAGCGCACCACGGCGCCCGCCCGTGACACCTCACAGCTCAGCCGCACGTCCTCCCCCGGCGCGGCCTGCTGGTCCTCCAGGGGCCTGGAGAAGCCGGCCCTCTCTGCAGGGAGCAGGGTGGCCGGGTGACGGGGCATCCCCACCCAGCCAGCGAGGCCCACAGGGCTGGGAGCCCTGGCCGGAGCCCCACAGCCAGGCAGCGGCTCCCACCTGCGGCCCCAGGTGGTGCCAGGTGTTCCCGGACCGGCCACCGTCCTGTAGGCACCCCACCCCCCAGACCCTGCCGCTCCAGAGGGAGCCCCTCCCGCCCCCTCCCACTCCCTCCAGCAGCCCCACAGGCACCCCCCCACCCCCGCCTCCGCCGGGAAGGCCCAGGCCCCACATCGCGGCCCAGCGCCACAGCAGCCCGGCCCGCGGGCGCCCACCTCTGACGATGAGCGAGGCCTTGGAGGAGAGGTCCCGCAGCGAGAAGACCACCTCCCCCGCGTCACTGGGCGCGGCCTCCCGGATGGCCAGGGTGTACTTGCGGCCCTGGCGCGTGGCCTGGAAGCGGCCTGAGCTGCCCACGGGCTGGCCTCCCAGGGTCCACACGGCCGCGTCGCTGGTGTTCTCGTGAGACAAGACACACTCGAAGCTGCAGCCCTCTCCCTCCAGCACCTCTGCTGTCTTCAGTCTCTTGGTGATGCCCACGTGCAGGTCTGCGGATGGCAGAAGGATCACTCCCGCCCATAGGGCCAATCCCAGAGGCGGGGCGCCCCACAGACCCGTGTCCCTGCCCTCTCATGGGCCTGCTGCCCTCTGAGCCAAGGCCCACTCCACCTTTGCTGTCCCTGGACCCTCAAAAGCACCACAGCCTGAAGGCCTGGCTGTAGGCACAACGCAGTTTAAGGCCCCACCCCGCAGCCCGAGAGCCGCCCCAGAGGACCAGGTGCGGGCACACAAGAGAAGACGCTCCAGGTGACCGAGTGAGTCCGTGAGAAAGTGAAAGATGGGTCACCAGGGGAGCCGAGGGGAGGGCCGGGGACGGGGTGCAGGCAGACGGCATGTGGGTGTGGGCAGTCTGGAGAAGGGTGAGTGCAACACACACCCCTAGAGAAGAGTAACAGTGTAACCCCCAAATACCAAAACATCAAACATCAAAAACCAGATATTGTTGGTGAAGGTGCCGCTAGGACACGGGAAATAAAGGCACAAACAATCAGAGTCCCTGCGATTAAAGACATGACCCTCGCCGCAAGAAGAGCAAGCGAAAGGAAAAAGTAGGAACCACTTGGCACCGCACGGAGCAGCAGCACGTTTAGGAGCGTGCGGCACGGGTGTCCCCCAAAGCAGGAGGTGCGGGGTCCGGCAGATGTCCCGCCCCGGCAGTCAGCGACGCAGGCACGCCCATGCCCACCCAAGAGCCGCAGCTCCCTCAGCTCTGGCCTCCCTGAGAGTACACCCAAGGGCCAACACGGCAGCCGAGGGCAGCCTGGAAGGGGGCCTGGCGCGGCGTCCGGCCCTCTGTCCCCAGGGTCACCTCCCAGAGCCCGCCCCTCCTGCGGGTAGCCGCGCACCTGGGGCCTCCATCGGCTGGACAGCCCAGCCGCGAACTCACTCTGCCGCCCGCCGCCGGGCCCACACCCGCCCGCACCAGGAGCCCTCGCCACCCACCGAGCACGCGGACCCGCGCCTGGGTCTGGGCGGCGCCCACGTCGCAGGTGTAGAGACCAGCGTCGTCCCGGGCCAGGTCGTGCACCACGAGCCCCCGCGTGCCCGCGCTGTGCTGCAAGTCGTACTTGTCCCCCGGGCCCAGCTCCACGCCGTCCTTGCGCCACACCGCGCGGGCCTCGGGGTCCGAGACCTCGCACTTCAGCGCCAGCGTGCCCCCCGCCTCCGCTGACACATCCTCCAGCGCCTTCAGGAACACCACTGGCTTCTCTGGGGGAGCAGTGAGGCATGAGGAACGCGGGGTGCCCGGGGGCCCCGCCCTGCCCCTACCCGGCCAGCTGCCTGACCTTGGACCACGAGGCGGGCAGAAGCTGACACCTTGCGGGAGGCAGCGCGCACCGTGCCCGTGTCCTGGCGGCGCGCCCGCTTTAGCACCAGCGTGTGGCGGCAGCCCTCGTGGGCGATCTCGTGGAAGCTGTCGTTGTACAGGGGCGTCCCGTTGAGCGTCCACTCCACCTCCTCGTCGTCGTGGGACAGCTCGCACGAGAAGCAGGCGCGGGCCCCCTCCGTGACCTCAGCGTCCTGCAGCGGTCGTGTCACAGCCACCGCGCGCACTGCAAAGGCACAGGGCGCTCAGCCGCCGGCCCAGGGGCGCGCAGCCCTTCCCGCCAGTCCCCGGCCGGACCTCGGTGACCTACCTTCCACGGTGACCTCGGCACTGCTCTGGGCGCTGCCTGCCTGGCACCGATAGACGCCGGCATCAGCGGGCGTGAGCTGCAGCACCCGCAGCTCCGCCATGTGGCCCTCCAGACGCATCTTGAACTTCGCGGAGGCTGCCAGGGGCGTGTCATCCTTGTACCACTGCACGGCCTTGGGGGGTGGCTTGAAGTCGCAGGACAGGACCACCGACTGCTGCTCGCGCCCGGCCTTGGGCTCCAGCGGCCGTGTGAGCACCACTGGGACGTCTGCAGCGCCGGAGAGGGGTGCCACGAGGCTCGCACCGGGCCACCCGGGCAGGGGCCCGCCTGCGCCTCCCGCATGCAGGCCGCAGCCTCCCGCTCGCGCTCACCTGAGACCACCAGGTGGGCGCTGGAGCGGGACTTGCCGATGGTGAAGTGCACGGGGCCCGTCATGGTGGAGCAGGTGCGCAGCAGCGCCAGACGGTGCACGGTTCCCTGCTGCTCCATGGCCACGTCCGCCCCCGCCCGCAGCACCGTCTTCCCCAGGAGCCACTTGGGCGGCCGCACCGAGGGGATGGAGGTCTCACACTCGAACCAGGCCGGGGCGGGCTCCATGACCGTCACGTCCTGCAGGCCCCGCACGATGGCGATGGATTGCTCTGCGGGCGAGGGGACCGTCACGGGCGGCCACAGGCGCAGCCCCCGGGCTGGGCCTCCCTTTCTGGGAACAGGCCTAACCTTAACCCTAAGAGGGGCCGCCCCGAGCGAGCGCTTGCGCCCAGCCACAGGGGAGCCCCGGCGAGCCCCCGCCCCCGCCCCGCCCCCGCCCCGCCCCCGCCCCGCCCCCAGCCTCGACTCTCGGGCAAGCCCCGCCCCGCCCCGCCCCAGGGCTCAAGCCCCGCCCCGAGGGCAAGCCCCGCCCCCAAGGGACCAGCCCCGCCCTGAGGGCCCAGCCCCGCCCCGAGGGCCCAGCCCCGCCCCTGAGGGCCCAGCCCCGCTCCCGAGAACTCAGCCCCGCCCCTGAGGGCCCAGCCCCGCCCCCGAGAACTCAGCCCCGCCCCTGAGGGCCCAGCCCCGCCCCGAGGGCCCAGCCCCACCCCCGAGGGCCCAGCCCCGCCCCTGAGGGCCCAGCCCCGCCCCCGAGAACTCAGCCCCGCCCCTGAGGGCCCAGCCCCGTCCCCCGAGGGCCCAGCCCCGCCCCGAGGGCCCAGCCCCGCCCCCGAGGGCCCAGCCCCGCCCCTGAGGGCCCAGCCCCGCCCCCCGAGGACCCAGCCCCGCTCCGTGGACCCAGCCCCGCCCCCGAGGGCCCAGCCCCGCCCCCGAGAACTCAGCCCCGCCCCTGAGGGCCCAGCCCCGCCCCCCGAGGACCCAACCCCGCCCCAAGGGCCCAGCCCCGCCCTGAGGGCCCAGCCCCGCCCCCGAGAACTCAGCCCCGCCCCCGACGGCCCAGCCCCGCCCCGACGGCCCAGCCCCGCCCCCCGAGGACCCAGCCCCGCCCCTGACCGCCGCCCTGGACGCCGTGGCCTCCAGGCGCCCCAGCGCCCGCGGGCTGCCGGCCCGGTCGCACCTTCCACGAAGAACTGGGCGCTGGTCTTCGCGTCTCCGGCGTCGCAGGTGTAGGTGTCCTCGTCCTCGGGCTGCACGTCGTGGATGACCAGCTTGCGGTAGAGGCCCTCGCTCACCACCTCGTACTTGGGCCCGGGCCGCAGCTCGGCGCCGCCTTTGAACCAGCGCACCTGCGCGCTGGCGCGCGACACCTGGCACTCCAGCACGCCGCGCCGCCGCTCCATGGCGATCTTGTCGCGCAGCGGGCGCAGCACCGTCACCGGCAGCTCTGCGGGCGGCCGCGGGGTCAGCGCGGGGCCGCGCGCCCGAGGCCCGGCCAGGCGGGCCCCGGGCCCCCCGGCCCCGCGCGGCTGGGCTAGCGGCGCCCGGAGGCGGCCCGGGGCGCACCGCACTCGGGCCGCGAGGAAGAGGGCGGGCGGCCCCCGGGTGCCAGGCCCACCCGGCCCAGCCCGCCCCGCCTCCACCGGCCGGGCTCCCAGGCCAGCCAGCTCAGTGGGCGAGGTGGCGCCTCAGCACCTGCCCGGCCCTCGCCCCAGTCTCCAGCGCTGGCCGCTGTCGGGGAATCCCGGTGGAAATAAGAGATGTCAAGTCCTCACACCCCAAGGCCGCCTCCCCACACCCCTGTCTCCCCCACCCTCGCAGCCGTCCCTGAGCCCCAGGCCCGCCCCACACAGGCGCCCCACCCACCGCCCTGCCCTCACCCTTCACACGCAGCTGCGCTCGTGATTCTGCATTTTCCACCACAAACTTGATTTCCCCGGCGTCTTCTGCCAGGACCCTCCGGTAGATGAGCGTGAATGTCCTTCCTGGGAACAAAGGAGGCTCAGCGCGGCTGGGGGCCCCGGGGTGGGCTGGGGCGCAGGGGAAGAGCCCCACCTTCCTGGCGGATGCGCACGTTGTCGCTGGGCCGGAGCTTACTGCCCTCCCGGAACCACTGGCCGGCCACCTCCTCGTGGGACACCTCGCAGGAGAACGAGGCACCCTCCTTCTCCATCACCTCCGCGTCCTCCAGGGGCCTCACGATCTGGACGCTCCGGCCTGGGGAGCAAGCAAGGCCCTGCCACACTCACCGGCTGGGGCCCAGCAGCCCCACCCGGCCTGGTGGGCACCATGCTGGCTGGGCTAGTGGCACCCAGAGGCAGCTTGGGGCACACCAGTACTCAGGCCACAAGGAAAATGGGTGGGTCCCTCGGCAAACGGGGGTTCCACCAGGGAGTGGGGTGGACCTGGGATGAAGCAGGAGAGTGATGCCCGCACCGCACATGGGCTCCCCCCACCCCTCACCTTGCACCTTCACAGAGGCCGAGCTCTGTGCGTCCTGCGCATCGCACACGTACACGCCCTGGTCCTCACGCTCACAGCGGTAAATGATGAGGCTCCGACAGGTGCCCTGGGCCACCATGCCCACCGTCTTGCCCGCCCGTAGCTCCACACCGTCCTGGGCAGGGGCAAGGGCAGGGGCAGGGCCAAGTCAGGGGGTTGGCCCCCAGGCAGCCCACCCCGCCCGCCCGTGGGTGCGACAGCCAGGGAGTCCACAGGAGGCACCTTCAGCCAGCGCACGTCCACATTGGGGCGTGAGAGCTCACACTCCAGGGTCACCTTGTCCTTCTCCGTGGCCACCACATCCTGCAACTGGCGGCTGAACCTCACAGGCAGCTCTGGAGAGGGAGAAATGGCTCAGGGCCAAGGAATCGGCCACTCCTGAGTGTGTGCCCACTATCCCAGTCGCCCCACCCCGCCCCGTCCCGCCACGCACCAGTCACCACCAGCCGCGCCGTCGTGTGCACGCCCTCGGCCTTGAAAGCCACAAGGCCCCCGTCCTGCGGCCGCAGCTCTGAGAGCGTGAGCGTGTGAGTGGGGCCACACACGTCCAGGCGGCACGTGGGCCCTGGCTGCAGCCGCAGGCCGTCACGCGTCCAGCTGCCCTCCACGTCGGCGTGCGACAGCTGCACCTCCAGGGTAGCCGTGCCCTGCTCCTGCACCTCCAGTGCCTGCAGGCCCCGCACCACGCGCACCTGAAGCCCTGCGGGACAGGGAAGATCAGCCGCAGCCCTAACCCTGGCCACACCGGTGCTGCCCCGGGTCCGGCCACTCACTTTCCACCGAGAGTTTGGCCTGCGTCTTGTCGTCTGGCGTCTCACAGCCATAGAAGCCACGGTCTTCGAAACCCACGCTGCGGAGGACCAAGCGGTGGCTCACATGCTCGGCGTGGATCTCCACGTTCCCACCCTGCACCAGGGCCGTGGCGTTGCGGGTCCACTTGACCTCCGGCCACGGCCGCGTCAGCTCCACCTCCATGGTCACTGAGCTCCGCTCCTCCACTGTCTGCGGCTCCAGCTTCTTCTTGAACAGCACCGGTGCCTCTGGACAGAGGGAAGGGGAGGTCGGCCCAGGCAGGGCCACCCTCAGAAACCACCAAAGCCTTCAGAAGCCTACAGCAACGGCAGCCTTGGCCCTGCCAGGACCCAGCCGCACGCCAGCACAGGCAGGTTAATGGGAGGAAAGAAAGGGCCAGCTCCTGCTCCTGCCATGCCCCAGTGACCGTGACCAGTACAGGCACACAGCACCCCCCACCCCACTGCACCTGTCGTCCCACTTCCAAGACGCCTTGGCCCCTCAGATGCTGAAGAACCAGAAACAGGCATGAGTGGGTGTCCTGCAAGCTCTCTACAGGCAGTACACGGGCCCACATCACCCTTCCCTGAGAGCCCCACAGCTCCCACTCCCCTCAGGCGAAGCCCCAGCTCCCAGCACAGCCCAGTCTCAGCAGCAGAGCTCACCCACACTCCCCCTCTGCTGCACCCACTGGCTGCCAGCACCACTCTCCCATTAGGCACACCTCCTCCTGGAAGCCTCCCTGGACTGCCTCAACTGCCACCCCTCTCGGCCCAGGTACATCCCGGAGAATTTTCCTCTCCTCTGCCGAGGAGGCACCAGGCCTCTTCCCACCCGGGGGGCCCCTCTGCGGCTGACAAGCCCTGTGCCCCTGAAGTCAGCCAGATGAGCCGGACACAGGCCAGCAGCATGGACTCCGCCTGGGAATGGGGCGGCAGGTGCTCCTGGACCCAGCGCACCTCGGACGCGGAGGGCTGCGGAGGACTGGACCCCCTCGGCCTCAGCGGTGATCTGGCCCGCGTCATCCAGGGCCAGGTTGGAGATGACCAGGCTGTGGCTGGCACCGCTCTGTGTGATGACAAACTTCTGGCTGGGCTGCAGCAGGGCGCCGTCCCGGAACCAAGTGACCAGCGCGTCGCCAGGGGACACCACGCACTGGAAGGTGGCCTCCCGGCCCTCCTCAGTCGCCACGGCACTCAGCCCGGACGTGAACTTGACCTGGCGGGGCACTGGGAACGGGGGTTTGGCTTGAGGGCCCTCAGCAGCCACGGAGGCCACACCTGGAGACACGGCAGGAGGCTGGTCCAGGCCCCGCCCCCAGGCCCCGCCCCCGCCAGGGCAACCACCCACGGCCCCGCCCCCACAGGCCCCGCCCCACAGGCCCCGCCCCCGCCAGGGCACACCACCCACGGCCCCGCCCCCACAGGCCCCGCCCCACCAGGGCACACCACCCACGGCCCCGCCCCCACAGGCCCCGCCCCACCAGGGCACACCAACCATGGCCCCGCCCCAGGCCCCGCCCCACAGGCCCCGCCCCCGCCAGGGCACACCACCCACGGCCCCACCCCCACAGGCCCCGCCCCGCCAGGCCCCGCCCCCGCCAGGGCCACCACCCACGGCCCCGCCCCAGGCCCCCCGCTCCGCCGGGCCCCGCCCCACCAGGGCACACCACCCACGGCCCCGCCCCCACAGGCCCGGCCCCCGCCAGGCCCCGCCCCGCCAGGGCACGCCACCCACGGCCCCGCCCCGGCCCCGCCCCCGGCCCCGCCCCGCGCTCACCCCGCACGGTGACGCGCGCGCTCGTGCGGTCGTCGCGGCTCTCACACGTGTACTCGCCCGCGTCCTCGGCGCGCAGGCCCGACACGGTGAGCGAGCGCCGCGCGCCCTCGGCCGCCATCCGGAAGCGCTTGCCCGCGCGCAGCTCGGCGTCCCCGCGGCGCCACACCACGGCGGCCGGCGCGGCGCTCAGCTCGCAGGTCAGGGTCAGCGCGCCGCCCAGCTCGCCGCTCGCGGGCGCCAGCGGCCGGCAGAAGCGCGCGGGCACCTCTGCGGGGAGCGGGCGTCAGGCGGGCGGCGGGCGGCGGGGGGCGGGGGGCGGGGAGGGGGGCGGGCGGGCCTCACCTTCCACCTGCACCGCGAAGTCGCGGCCCGCGGCGCCCGCGCGGCACGTGTACACCGCGCTGTCCCCCGGCCGCGCGCCGCGCACCGTCAGCGTGTGCGTGTCCCCCGCGCTGGCCGCCTCGAGCCGCCCGCCGCGGCGCAGCTCCACCCCGTCCTTCAGCCAGGTCGCCGCGGCCGCGCCGGGGGCGGCCAGCGTGGCGGTCAGCACGATGTCCTCGTGCTCCCTGACCACCAGCGGCTCCCTGCGGCCGCCCCGCTCCGGGACGGCGGGCTCGGGCGCCGGCGCTGCGGAGGGCAGGCGCGTGAGGCGGGACCCGCGCTGGCAGGCCCCGGGCCCCACGCTGCGCCGCGAGCGCGAGAAGGGGCAGCCCGGGCGGAGCCCTGAGGACTCGCCCGGCTACCCAGGACGGCGCCGGCACACGCAGGGCACTGACCCGGTAACCCGCCCCGGGGGCCAGGCACGCACCGGCACTGCCCCAGGACCCTGAAGGAGGCGCCAGCCCATGAGCAGGTGCGAAGGGGGGCAGGACCGGGGCCCCTCGGGTAGCTGAGCCTGGGGAGCGAGGGAGGGGAACAGCACAGACAGCCTGCTCTGCCCAGGAGTGTCCACTCTGTGTCCAGGCAGAGTGACCGTTTCCATCAGCTTCAAGCATCGGACAAGGGGACCAGGAGGCCTGAGGGGCAGGATCCTCAGGGGAAGTCTGCTCTGGAGTGACCGTGCTGGAGCCAGCACAGAGGACAGCCACATGCCCACCCAAGGGTCAGACCATGCCCTCAGACCATGAGAGCAGAGGTGGGCAGGGCACAGGGCTGGATGAAAGCCACAGGCAGCCTCACAAACACGGGGAGGGGACAGATGGCAGGTAACCGCTAGCCACCACCAGCCAAGTGATCCAGCCCAATGACCAGGCCTGGAACCCACCTGGAACCTGCAGGCGGAAGGTGACCCGCTGGCCCCCGGCCTCGCAGCTGTACTCCCCGGCGTCCGCCGGCCCCGCCTGCCGCAGCACCAGCCTCCGCGCGCAGCCCTGGGCCTCCACGCGCACCGCCGTGCTCCCACTCAGCCTCTGGCCGTCCTTGAACCACACCACCTCCGTCTGCGCCTGGGCCACCTCGCAGCTCAGCGTGGCGCTGGCCCCCGCCTCGGCCCGCACCTCCTCGAATGCCAGCTGATCCTTGGAGAACACCAGCAGAGGCTCTGGAGGTGTGGGGAGAGCACTGTCAAACACACCAACCACCCACCAGGGACAGGGGCCAGGAATGGCTGCAGAGTTGGCCCCAAACAGGCCCAGGACTCAGTGCCCTCCTCCTCACACAGGATCCAGCCAAGAGGCAGAGCTCCCGCCTGCCCATGCCCAGGCCCACGGAATCCCCTTCCCAGCAAGACGCACAGCCCAGTGCGATACCCTCACACCAAGCACAGGCCCCAAGGCCCAGGGAGGGGTACGCCAAAGCCAGACCAGCACTCCTGTCTCCCCAGAACAACCCAGCACTCAGGATGGTGCAAAAACCAATCACTTCTTGGGGAAAAACCCACCCACACCCACCCTCAGGCCCCTCCACCCGGCGCTGACCTGGGACCTGCAGGCAGAAGGTCACCCGCTGGCCCCCGGCCTCGCAGCTGTACTCCCCGGCATCCGCCGGCCCCGCCTGCCGCAGCACCAGCCTCCGCGCGCAGCCCTGGGCCTCCACGCGCACCGCCGCGCTCCCGCTCAGCCTCTGGCCGTCCTTGAACCACACCACCTCCGTCTGCGCCTGGGCCACCTCGCAGCTCAGCGTGGCGCTGGCCCCCTCCTCGGCCCGCACCTCCTGGCGCGCCGGCTGCTCCTTGGCGAACACCAGCGGGGGCTCTGGGGGAGAATGGGGGGCAATCACCCTCACTGGCCGCCGGTGGGGGACCAGGGACCAGCACAGCTGCAGAGTCGGCCCACACAGGCCCAGGACGCAGCTTCCTCCCTCCCCACTCCGGACCCGGCCTGGCCCTTGGTGACCCCTGGGAGGCAGAGCTCCTGCCTGCTCCTGCCCAGGCCCATGGAATCCCCTTTCCTGAGCACTCACAGCCCAGGGAGATGCCCTCACACCAGGCACAGGGCCCAAGGCCCAGGGAGGGGGGACACCAGAGCTGGACCAGCACCCCTGTCTCCCCAGAACAACGCAGGCTCAGGACAAGCGCAGAGACCACCCACCTCTTGAGGAAAACCCACCCACACCCACCCTCAGGCCCCTCCACCCGGCGCTGACCTGGGACCTGCAGGCGGAAGGTGACCCGCTGGCCCCCGGCCTCGCAGCTGTACTCCCCGGCATCCGCCGGCCCCGCCTGCCGCAGCACCAGCCTCCGCGCGCAGCCCTGGGCCTCCACGCGCACCGCCGCGCTCCCGCTCAGCCTCTGGCCGTCCTTGAACCACACCACCTCCGTCTGCGCCTGGGCCACCTCGCAGCTCAGCGTGGCGCTGGCCCCCGCCTTGACCCGCACCTCCTGGCGCGCCGGCTGCTCCTCGGCAAACACCAGCGGGGGCTCTGGGGAGAATGGGGGGTACCGTCGGCTTCACTGGCCCCCGGGAGGGACCAGCACGGCTGCAGAGTCAGCCCAGACAGGCCCAGGACGCAGCATCCTCCCTCCGGCCTGGTCCCAGTGGACCCCAAGAGGTCACCAGTTTCCGGATGCACACCGTGGAGGGCACCGATGCACATGTCAGGAGATGGACACTTGCCTGGGTTCTGACCCGACTGACAGCACCTGCACCGGCCCAGCAGTGCGGCCTCTCAGCCTCCCGCCCCCAGGCCTTCCCCACGGCAGCCCCGATGCCCTGAGCAGAGCTTGGCTGGCCCGTCTCACTGTGGCCGGCGCGTGGCCGGCGTCATCCAGGGCCGGCGGCAGAGTCCTGATCGTCGGCCGTGGTGTCGGCGGCTCTGCTGGCCACTGGGCCACCCGTGTAGTGCCCCGTCTGTCCTCGCCAGGCGCCTCCCGCACTCACAGGCTGAGGTAGTCAGGGCTGGCTGCACATCCCGCTCACCGGCACAGGCCATCACATCGCCCCGTCACCAGACAAGCGCCCCCTGCAAGGGCGGGAGCCCCTCCTGCCTCCTGCGGGCCCTGCGCCCCCCCAGCAGCCCAGGGCCTCCCCAAGACTGGCGACGCGGAGCCCCAGGAAACACCTCTGCCCCATGGCCCAAGCGTCCCTCCCCGCTGAGGCTGCTCGCTGCTCCCCAGGTATCTGTCCTCGCTCCCTAAGCGCGCAGGAATCCTGCCCCTGGGCCCTTGCACGCCTCTCCTGAGCCTGGGAAACAGGCGCGCCCGGGGCTGGGGTCAGCCGCCTCTCACCGGGCGGTGGTGGGCTGCGGCCTCGGGCGGGCAGGCCCCAACCCTGTCTCCTCCTGGGTTTGCAGAAACCATCACCCTCTTATCTGTGAGTTCCACTCTTATCTGTGAGTTGCCTCATTCCCTTTTGCCGTGTTCTCCTCCGCCGGGCCGGGAAGTATGGGGGTCCCGCCAGCGCCAGGCCCCCCCCAGCAGCCCTGGGCCACGCTCGTGTGAGCAGGGCGAGAGCGTGGGATTTCCACCGCGGAGGGATGCCGAACTATCATTTTTTTTCATGTTTTGATGTTCAATTTTCCCAGAAGTTTCCCCCACGTTTCCTGAGCTAATCGCCAGCTTCTCCTCGGGGCTCGGGCGCCATGGGGCACCGGGTCTCGGCAGCTCTGGTGTCGACCCGACGCCTGGCCTGGACCCGGGCTCCGCGGCCGCCGGCCTCCCACTGCGTCTCTCGCCCTGACACGGCCACCCGTGGGAGTCTCCCGGCGCCGCCCTCAGGCGGGTGCGGGCGAGCACGGCCTCCCCAGGGCCGGGGCGCGTCTCTCTCCAGGGAGCCCTCAGCGCGGAGCGGCGCTCCCGGGGCTGCCAGGACGCAGCTCAGGCCCTCCCCAGGCTGTCTCCCGCTGAAGCCACAGGTTCTGCGTCCTTGAAGGCCGGGGCCAACGCGGCTTTCCCATCTCTGCGCGTGTCGCTTCTCATACAGTTTCCAGGATGAGCCGAATTGGCACAATTCCAAGTTTTTTACCAAAAGGTCATTTTCCATATTATTCTTAGAGTGCATTTCACGGGCGCAGCGAGGACGCCCAACCGGGCACTCGTACCCCACCCACGCCCAGCCCCAGGCCCTCTCCCCTGCCCTTCCCTTCACCCCGCCCCTGCCCTCCCCCCTGCCCACCCCGCCCCTCCCCCTCCCAGCGCCGGCCGCCCAGCCCTCTCCACGCGGCGTGATCAGCTCCATGACGACACCTGGTGGCCACACGTGGGACTGCAGCCCATGCCTGCCCGCCGAGACCAGCCTGACCCACCGGCTTAGGATGGCAAGACAGGCCCTGTGGCCGCTGGCCCGCCCGCCCACACACACCCCCACCCCGAGCCCCGCGGTGCCAGCCGAGCACGTCCACTCCCAGCTCCCAACCCAGGCCCAATGCCCTGTGGCCAGGAACGCACATGGACCAGGCTGGTCCACACAGGCTGCGGACACCGTGGCAAAGCGGGAACGACATGTTCAACAGACGCCGTGGAACAAGGATCTGCTTGGAAGGACGGCGTGTCCCAGGCTCCGCGCGACGAGCCTGTCCCCCCCCCAGACGGCGGGCGGGGGGCCGAGACCCAACCTGAGACCCAGGTCAGCCGCTGGGCTAACCCTCCTGACCCGCTAGGGCCAGCACCTTGTGACAGCCACATGCGGCCGGCACGCAGGCGGCGCCAGGACGGCTGACAGGAAGGAAACGTGGACACCTGTCTGGTCTCCAGACCACATGGTCAATGGACCTGACATCCCTGACACAGAAGCAAGGAGGGAGTGGCTACGGGAGCTACTCACTCAGACGAGGACACGGGGCAAGGTGGCCGACAGACACTCCCTGACACACACCTCATCAGATCTAATCGCCTCCCAATGGTCACTGTGCCCAAAGACTGACCTGCAACCTGCAGGCAGAAGGTGACCCGCTGGCCCCCGGCCTCGCAGCTGTACTCCCCGGCGTCCGCCGGCCCCGCCTGCCGCAGCACCAGCCTCCGCGCGCAGCCCTGGGCCTCCACGCGCACCGCCGCGCTCCCGCTCAGCCTCTGGCCGTCCTTGAACCACACCACCTCCGTCTGCGCCTGGGCCACCTCGCAGCTCAGCGTGGCGCTGGCCCCCGCCTCGGCCCGCACCTCCTGGCGCGCCGACTGCTCCTTGGCGAACACCAGCGGGGGCTCTGGGGGAGAATGGGGGGCAATCAAACTCACTGGCCGCCGGCGGGGGACCAGGGACCACCAAGGCTGCAGAGTCGGCCCAGACAGGCCCAGAACCCTGGGTTCTCCTCCCCATACAGGAACCAGCCTGGCCCTTGAGCACCTCTGGGAGGCAGAGCTCCCACCTGCTCCTGCCCAGGCCCATGGAATCCCCTTTCCTGAGCACCCACAGGCCAGGGAGATGCCCTCACACCAGGCACAGGGCCCAAGACCCAGGGAGGGGGGACACCAGAGCTGGACCAGCACCCCTGTCTCCCCAGAACAACGCAGGCTCAGGACAAGCACAAAGACCACCCACTTCTTGGGGAAAACCCACCCACACCCACCCTCAGGCCCCTCCACCCGGCGCTGACCTGGGACCTGCAGGCGGAAGGTGACCCGCTGGCCCCCGGCCTCGCAGCTGTACTCCCCGGCGTCCGCCGGCCCCGCCTGCCGCAGCACCAGCCTCCGCGCGCAGCCCTGGGCCTCCACGCGCACCGCCGCGCTCCCGCTCAGCCTCTGGCCGTCCTTGAACCACACCACCTCCGTCTGCGCCTGGGCCACCTCGCAGCTCAGCGTGGCGCTGGCCCCCGCCTCGGCCCGCACCTCCTGGCGCGCCGACTGCTCCTTGGCGAACACCAGCGGGGGCTCTGGGGGAGAATGGGGGGCAATCACCCTCACTGGCCGCCGGCGGGGGACCAGGGACCACCAAGGCTGCAGAGTCGGCCCAGACAGGCCCAGAACCCTGGGTTCTCCTCCCCATACAGGAACCAGCCTGGCCCTTGAGCACCTCTGGGAGGCAGAGCTCCCAACTGCTCCTGCCCAGGCCCATGGAATCCCCTTTCCTGAGCACCCACAGGCCAGGGAGATGCCCTCACACCAGGCACAGGGCCCAAGACCCAGGGAGGGGGGACACCAGAGCTGGACCAGCACCCCTGTCTCCCCAGAACAACGCAGGCTCAGGACAAGCACAAAGACCACCCACCTCTTGGGGAAAACCCACCCACACCCACCCTCAGGCCCTCCACCCGGCGCTGACCTGGGACCTGCAGGCGGAAGGTGACCCGCTGGCCCCCGGCCTCGCAGCTGTACTCCCCGGCGTCCGCCGGCCCCGCCTGCCGCAGCACCAGCCTCCGCACGCAGCCCTGGGCCTCCACGCGCACCGCCGCGCTCCCGCTCAGCCTCTGGCCGTCCTTGAACCACACCACCTCCGTCTGCGCCTGGGCCACCTCGCAGCTCAGCGTGGCGCTGGCCCCCACCTCGGCCCGCACCTCCTGGCGCGCCGGCTGCTCCTTGGCGAACACCAGCAGGGGCTCTGGGGGGAAATGGGGGGCAATCACCCTCACTGGCCGCCGGTGGGGACCAGGGGCCGGCACAGCTGCAGAGTCGCCCCAGACAGGCCCGGGACGCAGTTTCCTCCTCCCCACGTGGGACCCAGCCTGGCCCCTGCAGAGCTCCCGCCTGCTCTTGTCCCACCCAGGCCCATGGTCTCCCCTTCCCTGCGGCTCCCACGGCCCAGGGAGATCCCCCCACACCAGGGACAGGGCCCAGGGCCCAGGGAGGGGGATACCAGGCCGGACCCAGGAGCCAGACAAGAAACTTTGCCTGCCTGGACCCCAGGACACGGCACTGAGCCCCAGAGCAGACCCACATCCACTGGTCACCCCACCAGTGACCCCACCTTCCCATGGCCTAGGTCAGCTCAATCACGAGCACCACCCGGATAACACCAAGAGGTCACACCCCACGCCAGGTCACACCCCACACCCCAGAACAACCCAGGCTCAGGACGGTGCACAGACCTCCCACCTCTTGGGGAAACCCACCCACGCCCACCCTCAGGCCCCTCCACCCGGCGCTGACCTGGGACCTGCAGGCGGAAGGTCACCCGCTGGCCCCCGGCCTCGCAGCTGTACTCCCCGGCGTCCGCCGGCCCCGCCTGCCGCAGCACCAGCCTCCGCGCGCAGCCCTGGGCCTCCACGCGCACCGCCGCGCTCCCGCTCAGCCTCTGGCCGTCCTTGAACCACACCACCTCCGTCTGCGCCTGGGCCACCTCGCAGCTCAGCGTGGCGCTGGCCCCCTCCTCGGCCCGCACCTCCTGGCGCGCCGGCTGCTCCTTGGCGAACACCAGCGGGGGCTCTGGGGGAGAACGGGGGGCAATCACCCTCACTGGCCGCCGGCGGGGGACCAAGGACCAGCAAGGCTGCAGAGTTGGCCCAGACAGGCCAATGACGCAGCGCCCTCCTCCTCACATAAGACTCGGCCTGGCCCTTGGTGACCCCTGGGAGGCAGAGTTCCCGCCTGCTCCTGCCCAGGCTCACGGACTCCCCTTCCCTGAATACCCACAGCCCAGAGAGATGCCCCCACACCAGGGACAGGGCCCTGGGGAAACCCACCCACACGCCCCCTCAGGCCCCTCCACAAAACCCACCCACACCCACCCTCAGGCCCCTCCACCCGGCGCTGACCTGGAACCTGCAGGCGGAAGGTCACCCGCTGGCCCCTGGCCTCGCAGCTGTACTCCCCGGCGTCCGCCGGCCCCGCCTGCCGCAGCACCAGCCTCCGCGCGCAGCCCTGGGCCTCCACGCGCACCGCCGCGCTCCCGCTCAGCCTCTGGCCGTCCTTGAACCACACCACCTCCGTCTGCGCCTGGGCCACCTCGCAGCTCAGCGTGGCGCTGGCCCCCGCCTCGGCCCGCACCTCCTGGCGCGCCGACTGCTCCTTGGCGAACACCAGCGGGGGCTCTGGGGGAGAATGGGGGGCAATCACCCTCACTGGCCGCCGGCGGGGGACCAGGGACCACCAAGGCTGCAGAGTCGGCCCAGACAGGCCCAGAACCCTGGGTTCTCCTCCCCATACAGGAACCAGCCTGGCCCTTGAGCACCTCTGGGAGGCAGAGCTCCCACCTGCTCCTGCCCAGGCCCATGGAATCCCCTTTCCTGAGCACCCACAGGCCAGGGAGATGCCCTCACACCAGGCACAGGGCCCAAGACCCAGGGAGGGGGGACACCAGAGCTGGACCAGCACCCCTGTCTCCCCAGAACAACGCAGGCTCAGGACAAGCACAAAGACCACCCACCTCTTGGGGAAAACCCACCCACACCCACCCTCAGGCCCCTCCACCCGGCGCTGACCTGGGACCTGCAGGCGGAAGGTCACCCGCTGGCCCCCGGCCTCGCAGCTGTACTCCCCGGCGTCCGCCGGCCCCGCCTGCCGCAGCACCAGCCTCCGCGCGCAGCCCTGGGCCTCCACGCGCACCGCCGCGCTCCCGCTCAGCCTCTGGCCGTCCTTGAACCACACCACCTCCGTCTGCGCCTGGGCCACCTCGCAGCTCAGCGTGGCGCTGGCCCCCACCTCGGCCCGCACCTCCTGGCGCGCCGGCTGCTCCTTGGCGAACACCAGCGGGGGCTCTGGGGGAGAATGGGGGGCAATCACCCTCACTGGCCATTGGCAAGGAACCAAGGACCGGCACGGCTGCAGAGTCGACCCAGGCAGGCCTCACTGGCCACTGGGGCCTCCTGTCGCCTCTAGAGCCTGCTCCTCGGGCCTGCGGGGATCTTCCCTCGGGGTCCGCCAGGCACAGGTGCCGCTGGCCAGCCCCGGCGTGGTATCACTGATGGCCTGGCCAGCCCCGGCCGGGCACACAGACTCCGAAGCCCTGGCAGTCAGAGCCACACTCGGCGTCTGCAAGAAGTTTCTTCCTGGTGGCAGAGGGGGACAGCACCTCTCCCAGGGCTCCCCACCGCACCTCCCGCTGCCTTCCCACCCTCGCCATCCGGAGGAAACAAGGGTTTCAGAATTCACTTTTTCTAGGGCCCGGCTAAGCACCCAGCCACGTGGACAAGGTTCCTCGGCCCGTCGGCCGAGCTCGGGCACCCAGACAAGGCTCTCCTGGGACCAGCCTGGGCTGGCTGCTCCTGCTTCGGAGCTTGGAGCACGAGTCTGGGATTCTCCACCCGAGTCCAGCGCCGGCCCTGCCCCGCGCTGTCCCTCCCCGTCCCCGCGGCGCCCGCTCACCGCTCACGCGTAGCTGGAAGTCCACTGCATCGTCGCCCACCCGGCAGGAGTAGGTGCCCTCATCCTGCCTGCTGACCGCGGAGGCTACCAGCCGGTGCTGCGTGCCCACGTCCTCCTGGGTGAAGTGCTGGCCGCGGAGGCTGAGCTCCTGGCCGTCCTTGAACCAGCGCACGCACTCCTGGGCCCCCACGGTCTCACACTGCAAGCAGACGGGGCCCCCCACCACGGCATCCACGCGGCCGCCCGCCTTGTCCTTGTGCAAAAAGGTGGTGGCCCCTGCAAGGGCGTGGGTGTGTCAGGAGGGCAGGACTCCCACCACGTGTTTGCATACGCGCCCCACGCCCACGGGCCTGGTGGCGCCCCATTCAGGGCCTCGGGACACTGGACACAGCCTTCCAGGGTCCCCTGGGCTCTCAAAACTTGCAGCCCCGAGGGGCCACCCACTCTTAGGAGCCTCTCCCGGGCCAGTGAAGCCCGCTCCCCCTCCACCCAGGGTCAGCAGGACCGCCAGGGGCCCCAGAGCCTGCCAGGAGCAGCGGTCACCTTGCACGGACAGCCGGTAGGCGAAGCGGCCCTGGCCACTGACACACTCGTAGAGGCCGGCGTCCTCCCGCGCCACGTCCCGCACCAGCAGCTCCCGCTGCCCTGCCATGGCCTGCACCTCGTACTTGGGGCCGGGGGTCAGCGCACGCCCGTCCTTCAGCCACGTCACGGCCGCCGCCTGGTCTGACAGCTCAGCCAGGAACCGTGCCTCCTCGTGCAGCCGGGCCAGCACCTCCTGGGCAGCCGCCGGATGCTTGGCAGCCTGTCCTGGGGCCCCTGGGGGCAGGGACAGGTGGACAGATGGGGCAGTGGACAGAGGGAACACAGACACAGAGTGTGGCCGGAGAGGATGTGGATGGGGAGGCGGCAGACAGGAGTGGGAGGGAGCACAGAGCGGGGTAGACAGGGCCGCGGGGGTGTGGGGGTTGGGCGGGGGGCCGGGGCACAGACAGGGGAGAAAGCCCGGGGCCAGCAGGGCACGCGGGGAGGGGCAGGACAGACGGGGAGGGGGACAAGAGAGACAGGAGGGGGCGGGGCAGACAGGGCAGTGAGCCCGCATCCCCGAGGCCCCCCCACTTCTGTGGCCAGGCCACCTGCTGCGCACGCCCCAGCACTTGGACCCCCCGCCAGGCCCATCCAGCCCCAGCCCTGTGGACACGCCGCGGGGCTCAGCGCCTACCTCGGACCTCCAGGCGGATGCTGCTCTGGACGCCATTGGCCACAAACTTGAGCTCGGCGCCCTGCAGGCTGGCGGGCACCTGGCGGATGGTCAGCGTGTGCCGCGTGCCCTCGCAGCGGATGCTGTACAGGCTGCTGGCCATCAGGACCTGGCCGTCCAGGAGCCACTGGCCCGCCGACACCAGCGTGAGGTCCACAGAGAAGGACACCTCGCCACCCTCCACCGCCTCCACGGCCTTCAGGGGCGTCTTCACGGCCAGCTGGGGGACTGTGGGGCGCTTCAGAAAGGGGCAGGGCCACCCTCCCCTCCTGCCCCTCCCTGGCCCGGCTGGGCAGGGGATCCGGCCGCAAGTGGAGGACACCTGGAGCCACAGGCCCGGCAGGTGGGCGGCTCCACAGCCTGGTCCTGCGCCCAGGCTTTGTCCCCCAGAGGGGCCCCACCCCAACAAAGACACTCCCTGAGGAGATGGCTCCCGCTGGGCCCAGGGTCCCCGAAGGCATGTGGGGCATGCCTGCCCACTCACCCAGGTGGACAGTCCCAGGGAACTCGAGGTAGGGACTCTGGCCAGAGCTGTTCATGGCAGACACCCGGAACTGGAAGTCCCCCTCCTGGGCCACGCCTGCCACGGTCAGCTCGGGCCCAGCCACCCACTCAGCCTCGTGGCACCGGGTCCAGGCGTAGGTGCCCAGCCGCTTCCTCTCCACCAGGTAGCCGTCGATGGCCACAGCGTGGTCCCCCGGGGGCGGTGGGGACCAGCCAAGCGTCACGGAACCCTCAGTCCTGGACTTCACCACGGGGGCTTCCGGCGCGTGCAGGGGCGGCCTCCTGGGGGCTGAGGGCGAAGCGCGAGGCGGTCACCACATGGAGCCCTCCATGTCCAGGGCCAGCCTCAGGGACGCGGCTCTGATGTAGGACGGCCCCATTCCAGCCAAGGGGGCACCAGCACCGGCCAGCAGCCACGTCTCTTGCAGTAGGTAAGGGCGGCCAGCCCAGCCCTCAGCGCCATGCAGCCCGGGCCACCAGGCACCGTCCAGGCAGAGACAGCTGGCCCCATCCGCACAGGCAGGACCCCACAGCCAGCCCGAGGCCACCCTCGCGGTGTCCGGGACAGGGCACTGCCCCCACGCTCCGCTTCCCACACCTGAGGCCAGCGGAACTACCACTGTCCACGCAGCGTCCAGACCTTCCGCGCCTGCGCCCGGCAGGGGGAGGGGAGCGGCAGGACGCTGGCCCCGCAGCGGAGAAGGCAGGGGCGGGGGAGCCAGAGCGTGACCCCAGCGCCGCCCGCCCCGCAGCCCGGGCCCCTACCCGACACGCAGAACTGGGTGGAGGTCCGGCAGTCCCCGGCCACGAAGGCCACCTCGCCCATGTCCTCCAGGCAGCACTGGGCGATGGTCAGCGTGTGGGTGGCGCCGTGGGCGGTGACGGCCACGCGACCCCCGGCCACCACCTCCTCCTGGTTGCGCAGCCAGCGGACGGGGCCCTCCGGCTGGGCCAGCTCCACGCAGAACAGGGCCGTGTCCCCCACGCGCACCCGGGTCCTCCGCGGCAGCTTGCGGGTGAGGTTGCCTGCGGGCGGCGGCGGGTCAGGCGGGGCCTCGGGGCTCCGCAGGCCCCGCCCCGGCCCCCCGCCCCCCGCCCCCCGCCCCGCGCACCCTGCACCGCCAGCTCGGCCACCGTGCGGCTGCCCTCGGCCGTCTCGCAGATGTACACGGCGTCGTCGTCCGCCGACACGTCGCGCACGGTCAGCCGGCGCTCGGTGCCCGCCGCCTCGATGGCGTACTTGGCGCCGGCGCACAGCCGCGTCTCCTCCTTGAACCACGCGGCCTCCGTGGCGGGCAGCGGCACCTCGCAGCGGAACGTGGCCGACTCCTTCTCGCGCACCTCCAGGTCCTGCAGGCGCCGCAGGAAGGGCACGGCGGGCTCTGCGGGCGGGGGCGGGCGGGCGCGTGGGCGCGGGGCGCGGGGCGCGGGGCGCCGGCCGAGCTCCGAGCAGGAGTCCCCGCCGCCGAGGCCGCGAGGAGGCCGGCAGGCCCGGGAGGTCAGAGGAGGGCAGGGAGGGGTCCCTGAAGTCCCCGGGCGCGAGCCGGGGGCGCGGTCCTGCCGCCCCGCGTGTCCCCCCCAGCCGCGGCGGAGACCCCAAGTGGAGGGGTTCCTCCTGCAAGGACGAGGACAGAGGCAGCCTGGGGAGCCGGGGCGGGACCGTGACCCCCTCGGGACGCTGCCTTGGAGAGGGGGCGAGGGACCTCCCGCCAGACCGGCCCCGGCCCTCTGCGCCCCCCTGCCGGGCGCTGCCAGCGGAGCCCGAGCCCCCCACCCCCGGCCGCGCGGCGCCCCGAGGCCGCGGGTGGTGCCTGCGCTGCGCTGCGCTGCGCTCCGCGGGGAGCCCGCCCGGCAGCAGCCCTGCGGCCGGGGGCCCGGGGGCCGGGGGCCGGGGGGCGGGGGGCGGGGGCCGGGGCCGGGCCGCGCCTCACCTCGCACGACCAGCAGCACGGAGCTGTAGGTCCGGCCCACCAGGTTGGACGCGGCGCAGGTGTAGAGCCCGCGGTCCGCCTGCTTGCAGAAGAGGATCTTGAGCACGCAGTTCTCCTGCGCGTCCTCGTACAGCAGGTGGCGCCGGCCCTCGGCCAGCGGCCGGCCGTCCTTCTGCCACACGGTGTCCGGCTTGGGCTCCCCGGTCACGAAGCAGCTGAGGCGCGCGTGCTTGCCCTCGGTCACCGTGCAGGTGCGCGTGCCCGCGCCGGGCGGCGAGGGCGGGGCGCCGTCGGCGGCGCGCATGGCCTCGCGGCGCCGCTGCAGGTGCGCCAGGAGCGCGGCCGTGGAGGCCCCGGGCGGGCCGGCCGCGTCGGCGTCCGCGTCGGCGTCCACGGTCAGCGCGGCGTCGGCGCTGGCGGCGCCCAGCGGGTTCTCGGCGCGCACCGTGTAGGTGCCGCCGTCGCGCGGCCGGGCCGCCTGGATGCGCAGCGCGCTGGCCTCGCCGCTCGCCTCCACGCGCACGCGGGGCCCGTCGGGCTCCCCCACGCGCCGCCCGTCCTTGGCCCAGCTCACGGCCAGGGGCGGCGAGCCCCGCACGCGGCAGCGGAAGGTGGCGTCGGCGCCCTCGCGCACGCGGATGGACGTGGGGCGCAGCAGGAAGTGGGGCGCCTGCTCGGCGCACGCGGCCGCGGCGTTCACCTGCAGCCCCACGGCCGCGAAGGCCTCGCCGATGGCGTTGCGCGCGCGGCACACGTACTGCCCGCTGTCGCCCAGCGCCAGGTCCAGGATGGTCAGGCGGTAGAGGTCGCCGTCCTGCGCCAGGCGGAAGCGCGCGCCCGCCTCCACCGGCTGCCGGTCCTTCTCCCAGCTCACCTGCGGCCGGGGGTTGCCCACGATCTGGCAGCTGAGCGTGGCGTCCTTGCCCACCGACACCGCGAAGGCCTTGGGCCGCGTGAGGAAGCGGGGCGCGCCGCTGAACGAGGACTGGGCCATGCTGGCGGGGCGCGGCGGGCCTGCGGGACGGGCGGGGCTCGGTGAGCGCCCGCGGCCCCCCGGGGCACCAGCCTGGCCCCGGGAGGGTCCCCGCGCGGCCCCGCGGCGCCCCGTCCCGCGGGTGGCACGCGGCCTGCAGATGTGCGGCTTTGAGGGTCGCAGCCCCTCCGGGGCTCTTCCGGCCCGAGGCGCACCGGAGCGCGCCCCCACCAGAGGCCGCTCGGCCCCCCAGCCCCGCGCGGCCTCCCCTGCCTCCCGCCGCACCGCGGGGCCCAGGCTCGCGCTCCCGCGTGGGCTGTCCATGCCCACGCAGGCCCCCTGCTGCAGAGGTTGGATATGCTAGGTCTCCCCATCCAAGAAGGGGGAGGGGTTCCTGCACCCCAGAGGCCCTGGCAGTGGAGGCCCAGGGCCCGCTCCTGACCTGTCCTCCCTGACCCCGCAGCAAAGGTCACCTCTCTCCCCTGCTCTTCCCCCAGGCCTCCCCCAGGCGCCCTCAGGCTGTGTGTGGGGCCTGCCTGGCCCAAGCTGCACTGCCAAGGGTGGCCACTGGCCCCCCCAGGGGTGTTCATCCCAGCGTGGGAGGGAGGGAGGAGCCAGCACCGGCCCCCCCCCCCAGCAAGGCCTCCTCACACCCTCAGGGCCAGCCCAGCTCAGGGCTGCGGGGCCCATTTCATGCTGGCTGGCCCCCACAGCCGCCCGCAGGCCTCAACGCACTCGCCTCTGCCCCTGCCCCTGCCCGCCACTGCCCCGCCCAGTCAGGAGAGCGGCCCTGCCCGCGGTGCCTCCAGTCGCCAGACAGCGGTGCCCACCGCGGGGCACAGGGCCCTCCGCCCTGGTCCTGTGATGCAGGCCCTAATCCCCTTAATCCTCCCCGGGAGGCGGCGAGCAGCCTGCTGACTCACTGTGCGTCAGCACCCCGCCCCGCCCGCACCTGGCTGCAGAGGGCCTGGCCCCCAGGGCACCCCGGGCCCTGGCCTGCCAGCTCTGCTCAGCGCCCACCCCAGCGTGCAGCTGGCCGCGGGCTCCCCAAAGGTGAGGCGCCACACCCCCAACATCTCAGAGGTCGGGCTGGCATGCAGACGCCAGGGACGCAGGGGCACCGCGCCCCACCCCGCCCCTGGCAAGGGTGGCCAGAGACCCCAAGACCCTGAAGGGCCACCAGGACCATGCCCACCACCTTTGCCCTCCTAATGCGCCGACCCACAGGGCCGAAGGGGCTCACGGGGGCCGCTGCCTCTGCTTCCGGGCAGCCCCGCCAGGCCGGCGTCCCCCTGGGCAGCAGAACCAGGCAAGAGAGGGCTGCCTCGGGCACCCGGGACATGACAGCCTCCGGCTTTCAGGCCAGCTGAGGCCCTCGGGCCGGCGGGCACCTGCCACAGTGGGGGCCAGGGCTGCTGGAGGTGTAGGTGCATGGGCAGCAACTGGAGAGGCCAGGACCTCAGGGCCGGGCCCCCAGAGATGCCCCCCAGGCAGGTGGCTCCTGTGGGGCCCACTCAGCCTCTCAGCATGGGGAGATGGCCCAGCACACAGGCCTCACTGGGGGGACCTGGGGCCCGTTGCTGGGGCGCTGGCGCAGGCCCCGCCTACCACTTTCCAGCCCTCTTTCCAGAACATGGCTCTGTCTCTCGGGCATGGGCTACTTTCCAGAAGGGCCTCAAGTGGGGAGCAGCTCACCCACAGCAGGGCCAGGCCCTCTGCCCCAGCGCTGCACTGCCCCAGCCCTCGCAGAAAAGACCCACAAGGGCAGCTCCTGGGGCCTGGCCCTGAGACCCACGCGGGCTTCGCACTCAGGACATTCTCTGGGGTCAGGTGTCAGCCCCGCTGGCTGTGCCCTCCGCTGAGCCAACAGGCCCAAAATAGCCCCAGCTGTCAGCAGCACTGGCCCTGGAGCGGGGGCAGGGCTGGCCGACCCCCGGCCGCCCTCCGAGGGGCCGCGAGCGCGGGCTGCAGTGCCCCTGCCAGACCCAGGGCCCGTCCCCAGAGCCCTGACCTCCCTGACTGTCCTCTGGAGACCCAGGGCTGCCCACACTGCCCCCCTCTGCTCCTCACCTTCCTCTCAGGGGGCTGCAAGCGGTGCCGGGCTGGGGCTCAGATGGAACGTCGGGCGCTGGGTCTCACCTCCTGCTGCCGGCCAGGACCTCCGCGGCGCCCACCCAGCAGCCCACACTCTGGCCGGCACTCAGACTGGACGGGGACGAAAGGACAGGCAGATGCCGTCAGCTGGAGAGGCCCCCCCGGGCAGGCCCAGCCCAGCTCCAAAATAGCCACTGTCACCGCCCGGGGTCTGGTTTCACCCACCCCAGAAGGCAAAGGGCAGGCTCTGGGGGTGGGGAGGAGCCCATGTCTCCCGGGTGGGCGGGGGACCCTGGTCAGACCAGCCTCCCGGGGTTCAGGGTGGGAAAGGACCCCGGGGCCCTGTGCCAGTGGGGGGCCGAGGACCACGCCTCGGGGCTGGCTCCCACCTTCTCACTCTGGGGATCCCTTTCAGATCCACCAGCCTCCAGCCTGTGTGCAGCGGCACAGACGGGGTGCAGGCAGTGGCTGGGGCCCAGCGGGGTGTGGAGCAGGGGCAGCCTCCATGCTCTGTCCGGGCCCCACCCCTACAAGGGCACCAGCCAGGAGGGCAGGCCTGGGTCCCCAGGGGCAGCAGGCCAGCCCCTCCTGGAGAGACCACGGGCCTCCCACCAGCCACCGACTGCCCGTTTGGCCCAGTCCACCTTCCCCGGGTGGACCCCATGTCCCTGGGCCCTGGTGAGGTCCTCAGGGGCCCAGTCCCACCAGGCGATGCCCCGACACGTGGCTAGGCGGGGACAGGGTCAGAGGACCCGCCATCTTCCTAGAGGACAGGCCCAGTGGTCCTGACGCCTGGTCAGCTCTGACCTCGCGGCAGACCCCGTGGACGGGGCGGCTCACGCCAGGTCACCGGTTGGCCGGGCGGCTACACCTAGAGAAATGCTGGTGGATCTGGCATGCAGCTGATCCAGGGCAGCAGGGGGCACTGAAACCGGCCCAGGACACTGCCCAAATAGTTTACTGGTCACTGTCTGAGCTCTTCCCCCGTGTGCACAGTTGCAAGGCCACGCAGGCCCGGAGAACAATAAAGGGATTTATTTAACAAACCAGGGAAAACAAGAGTTACTGAGGCCAAAAATGGCCCTTTCCTTCCCCCAAAGCTGTGTCCAGTGTTTTCCAGCCCTAAACAAAAGCAGTTAAGATGGCGTCCTCCCGCCGCTGAGGCCTGGGCCTCGCAGCAGCCGCGGGACGCCCCCGCGCAGCGCCAGACACGCACTCTCAGGACAGCAGCTGCAGCGGCCGAAGGACCCGACCGCGGCCACAGCGAGGGCCTGCCCTGGTCTCCGCCTTCCCCCAGGCCGTGACAGCAGCAGAGCTGGGAACAGCTTCCGTCGCTCGGCCAGCAAAGCCCCGGGACTCTCCCTGGCTGAGGCCGGCTGCTGGAGGCCTCCACGCCCATCAGGGGCCGCCCCAGCCTCGGGGAGATCCGCGCGGTGGGGCCAGAATCGCTGACCCTGGAATCACTGAAGGTCCGAAAACGCTGAATGTTCAGACGCTGAATCCCGAACACCGAACCCGGGGCCGCTGCTGCAGTCCCTTGCCGGAGTCTCCGCCCCAAATGCCATACCCGTTAGCCTGCCCCTGGGGCACGGCCTCGCCAGCGCCCCCTGCAGGGGGCGCCACCTGTAACAGTCTGGCTTCAGCCCTGTCACACGGTGAGGCCTCTGTCCCCCCACTTCCGCCTTGGGGACCCCACTCTTGTGACCCCTCACCCAGTCGCCTATGAAAGGACCCCCTAACACCACCACACTGGGGTCTCGGGCTCCTCGTGTGGATTTGGGGGGCAGATTCCAGTGAGGAAGGAAAAAGTGGGAAAGAGAACGAGGCCCGGGGTTCAGGGCGGGAAAGGACCCCGGGGCCCAGTGCTGACGTTTCCGGCGGCCAGGGCTGACACCCGTGTGCCCCGCGCCGCCCGGCCCCGACGCACACCGCGCCTGTCTCCCTGTGTGCCGGCAGCTCCCGGGCAGGCGCCGGAGGCCCCGGCGACGCCCCTGCTGTCTGGCGTCCCGGGGAGGCCTGGGAGTACAGGCCGGCCCACCCGGCCTCCAGGTGACCCCACGGCCGCACCGCCCCGTCCAGGGACCCAGCCCCACCGCCGGCCGTCACTGTTGTGTTTTTTGGAGTCAGTGGGTTTGGGGTGCAGGGTCCTTGGGTTCACTCCGGGAAAGGTGTCACCAGAGCTCCCCTTCCAGCAACACGCGGCCAGCCTCCCAGGCGAGTTTCTCCACGAGACAGAGACGTGGGTCGCATTTAAAGGACAGGTTTACTAGGGCCAGGGACGGCAGAGTAAGGGACACTTGCACAGACACCAGCGGGCAGGAGGAGCTGCCCGAGGAGGACGGGTTTGCTGAGAGGCCTGCATAGCCTCAAGCAGGTGGCCCTGAGGGGAGCGGCCTCCGCTGAGGGGGTCAATGAGGAGACGTCCCGGCAGGTGCAGGTCACGGGCAGGGAGGGGGCGGCTGCCCTGCGGACAGGGGAGTGGGTGACAAGAGGCCCCTGCGTAGGCACGGGTGGGCAGAGGGACGGCGGCCCCGAGCCAGGGCAGACTGCACTGATAGAGTCTCCCGTCTGGGAGGGGTCGCCCCTTGTGAGCCTCAGCTGGTTGCTGACTTTGGACAACTCTGCAGAGTCTCAAAGGGACCGGAGATTCCAGGATGGGCTCCATCTCCATGTCTTTCCCTTGGATGCGCCCCCGATACCTGCTTGGGTGCCACGCCTTGTGACCCCGGCGTCCGCGCCGAGGATGCTAGTTTCCGCGACGGTGCCGTCTGGCCTGAGGATCTTGGTGTCCGTAGCTGGGTCAAGGGCTGTGCGAATCCCTTCGACCCCCGCCTCCTTGAGTGAGCCGGGTTTCTGGTCTCGTGGCGCCTCCTCTTCAGTTTGTTTTTTTCTATTCTTGTCCTCCATCAGTCACCCTTCAATTGGGGGATCAGCCCCTCCCCTACCCTTACCTCAGGGGGAGTAGGCATTCGCCCCACCCTGCCCACGGTGTCCCTCATGGTCTCTGGCCACCGGAGGTCAGGATTCAGCGCCAGCAGGCATGCCAGGCCGCTGGCCCTCGGCCCCTGCCACCGTGGACCCCGCCGGGGTCCTCCCGGGCACACCCCATAGAAACGCTGCTGCAGCTGCACCAGCCCCCGGAGGGCCAGGGCTCTGGCTGCACACAACGTGGGGAGCCAGTCACCGCAGACCCCCACCCCCACCCCACGCGGCTGGCAGTGGCCCGGGCGCCTGCACTGGACCCTCCTCACCCTGCTGGGAACAAGCGCTCGGGGCAGGAGCCAGCACAGAGACACACACCCCCCCAAGCGCAGCCCCTGGTCCTCCTGGCCGGAGCTCGGAGCCGAGAGGCGGGCGTCCCCTGCAGATGCCGCCCGAGCCGAGGGCACCGTGGGCAGCGGGAGGCCCGGGGCTGTGGGCATGGCTCGGACACGGCCGCACACACAGGCCCCAAGCCCAGGGAACCCATCCTCAGTGCCACAAGCCCGGCCTGGGGGGATCCCGCCCCGGCCCCTTTCTCCTGGGGAGCACGAGGCCCCCTCGCGGCCATGGTGGGGGCCTTGGTCCACCTTTTTTGTGCTGCTTTGAAAAAGCGTCCCTGGGGGTGCAGGGGTTGAGTCTCAGCACTATGGCGCTATCAACAGCCTCTGCAGCACAAGTTCCATCCCCGGCCAGGGAGCTGCCCACAGGGCCCAGCAGACCTCTCCTGGCTCCCGCTGTCCCCTCAGCAGTGTGTTTCAGTGGATCCGCCTGTTCTGCTCCCCACTCTCTCTGGGGAGTCCTCTCGCCCCCGCACCTCTGGCCTGTACCCCAGTTCTTGTGTGCATAAATAAAATAAATCTTTTAAAAAAAAAAGCATCCCTTGTAATAGCGGCCAGTGAACGCCAGAAACGGACACCGGGACCACCCCTTCTCGAGCAAGAGGGGGCTGGGGGCATTTCTGGAGCGGCCTGGATCACGATCAGCTTCCCTTTCTCACGCCCAGCGGTTACGTGGGGCCAACGCCCTGTCCTGGGCCCACCTGCGCCCTTGTCCACGGCTTCCTGGGGAGCTCGGGGGCGTTCGCTGGTCAGCGGCTAGAAAGCCAGATGGTCACCTTGGACAGGCTCCTCTGCCCTTGAGCTCGCTGCAAGTGCATGCCACGGCCAGGGGTCCATGGTGGCCCTGCAGGGGGAAGGGCGGGCAGGGGGCAGGCCCTGCAGGGGCGGGGAGGGGGCTTCAGGCAGGATCACTCGGCTCAGGGACACAACAATCGCGTTTATTTAGCAAATGGGGAGACGAGGAGTTTCCGAGGCCGAGTGGCCGCTACCCCACCCCAGGTATCCTCGGTGTCCAGGATCCTAGGCAAGAGGCCCCTGGTCCAAGATGGCGCCATTGGGCCCACGAGGCCCAGGGCGGGCAGCCCAGGCAGCGGTGGAGGAGCCCAGGGGTGCGAAGGTCTGGGGGCAGCGGGCAGCAGCGGTTCCAGACGCCCAGCCGGCAGCTCGTGGTGGCCAGGCCGGCCCTGATGCACCCTCCCGGCGGCGGCTGGACACTTGCTCCTGCTCGTCCTTCTTTTGGAGGCGGGTTGGGAATGCGAGGGGTCTGAGCGTCTGGGGTCCCCCGCTGGCTCGGTCTCCTCTTCAGAGCCCCCGCCCGCCTGGCCGCTCCTGACTGGACCATCCCACCCGCCCGCCCGCCCAGGTGGCCTGGCACAGAGCGGTCAGCACCAGCTGCCCAGGCACGCACCCGCGCAGACACGGGAGGCCAGGGTGTCGGCGTCCATGCTAAGGTGCCACTCTCTGGGGTGGGGCACCCACCTCGCACAACAGTGGGGGTGCGGGGGGGTGGACCCAGGGGACACTTCGCTGCCCTCCCCAGCACAGGCGCTCTCGATGCTCTCGGAATGGGCAGCGCCCACCTGGCCTGAGGGAGTGCAGCGAACCCCCAGGGCAGGGGCTCCAGCGTGGTGGTCTCTGACCAGGTGCTGTGCAAACAACCCCCCACTTCCCACTCAAGGAAAAACGGTGCCAAACTGAGTCAACACCATTGACCAGGCTGCTGGGACCCCGGGACGGGGCTGCAGGGGGGCGGCCCCGCTCGGCCACTGATTTCCCTCCCGGCTAGGCCAGGCAGGGCAGCCAGGGCGTCTGGAATGGCCACGCCCACGTCCCGCCTGCGTGGGAGAGTGAGGGCAGCAGCTGCTGGAAGGACATGGCCAGGGGCAGAGCCTGCCGCTGCGGTGCAGCCCAGGGGGTCATCTCTCGGGGGTGGACAACACAAGGCACAGGTGGGAGGCCAGAGGCCCTGCTCTGCAGTGGTCACCACTGTGCTAGGCAGGGCCTGGGGGGCCGTGGGGGGCTTCCTCCTACGAGGGAAAAGGAGGCTGCTGCAAAGCCCAGCCAGTGCACAGACACCCCCTGGGGCAGAGCTGCCCACTTCCCCCATCAGCCCCCCACCCCCCCAGCGTGGGGGAGGGGCGCCGGGCACTGTGCAGGAAGCCACCCCCAACCACCTTTTGCTTCCCGCCCCAGCAGACACGCCTTGGGCTGGGGCTCAGGCCACTACCTGGGTCCTCCTCACTGCCAGCCCTGGGCAGACGCCCCGCGAATTCCCCCAGCCCCGCTCCCGCCTCTGCCTGGGGAGGTTAGCGCTGCCCGTGGGCCCCTGGCTGCGGTCCAAGAGGGCGGTTGCACGGTCACACCCTGGCTGCCCACTTGCCAGGCCCACCCCCGCCCAGGACAAGGTCCTGAGCTCGGACCCTGCTCCTGTCCAGGCCAGCACGCTCGCCACCCCTCCGGCAGGTTGGGGGACGGCCAGCTCAACACCCAGCAGGGTCGCGGCCCGCGGTCCCGGGAGGGCTTCCGCCGAGTGTGGCAGGCCAGACGCCTGCACCCAGCCCCAGGGCGCCCTGCAGCTCCAGGGTCTGTGGAGGGGCCGGGGTGCCCAGGCTACTTTGCGGCCCCCGGCCACCAGTCGGGCACTGACGCCGTGAGAGCCACGCGGCCGCGCTCGGAGGTGCCGACATGCAGGGGGCCGTGGATCAGCTCCGCGCGCAGCAGCGCTAGCCCCACGTGCCCCTGGCCAGCCCGGTACTTGCCGGCCACCTGGCCCGACGCGGTGAGCACGGGGGTGCCGGGGGCCAGGCCGCAGGCAGGGAGGTCGCCAGAGAGACGGACAGGGAAGAGGCGTTTGCGGACTACGCCCGTGTGGTGGGTGCGGGCCGTCAGCTCCTGGCCCAGGTAGCAGCCCTTGGTGAAGCTGACCCCATTCATGAAGGCCAGGTTGGACTCCAGGGGCAGTGCCACGCCCGGGGGCAGGTCTCGGATGCCCTCAGGCACGCCTGTGGGTGGAAGGGGCAGTGGGTGAGGGCTCCAGGGCTTCAAAGGGGCGGCTCAAGTCCCCACCCCGCCCTGCTCCTGCCGCTGTTCTCCCACCCTCCTCCCTCAGGTCCCCTGGCGGCACCCCCTTCCTCTCGCCCCTCTGGTGCCCAGCCTGGCTCTGGACGCCCGGCCATCCGAGACACCTGCTCCTTACACCGATCCCCCCCGCCCGGGCGCCAGGGCTGCACCCCTTCCCGGCCCTTGGGCAGGGCCACTCGCCCACCTTGCTGGTACCGGTGCCGGTGGTAGTCCTGGGCATCCCCAAGCTGGCTCCCCAGCACAGGGGCCGGGCCCTGGACCCGCGCGAGGAGCCGCCAGCCCATGCGGGCAGTCCGAGGATCACGGGCCATGATAGGGGCGTGCTCAGGGCCCTGCGGGGGTGCAGCCTCGGGGGCGCCAGGCAGCGCCGCCCACACACCCAGCTCGGGGTGCAGCTCCACGGCGACCCTCCGCCGGATCCTGTGCAGCGCCAGGTGCCTCTGCACCGCGTCCAGCGCCCCGCGGTCACACTCCAGCAGGAAGGCAGGCGCCTCGGCCTCGAGCTCGGGGAGCCTGCAGGGAGAGTGGGGTGCGTGGGGGCGTCAGGAGCAGCACACCCTGCCACCCAGAGGGGCCCCGACAGCACCAGTGGCTGCGCCGGGAGGGGAGCAGCAGGACGCGGGTGGTGGGTACCGCCAGCTCCAGGGACACTGCCACCGCCCCAGGCTCTCAGCCCCGAGCAGGGGGTGCCCACAGGAGACCCCAGCACCATGTCCGGCTTTACTCTGATACCCAAAATGGAAAGCAACAGCCCTGCAGTGGAAGGGCGCTCACCACGCCACCCCAGGTTCCGCAGGGCACCCCGGAGACCAGCTGCGGGGCTGGGGCTCACCCTCCTCAGCAGCAGGAGGGGCGCGGGGGAGGAGCCTGAGGGGCACACGCGGGAACAGGCAGCCGCGTCCACCACAGTAACTGCAGGCACACGCGTGTGCACACACCGGCCCGGGTGCGCCTCGCGGGTCACACGTCCAGCCCCAGCGGGCCCCGGGCCCCAGAGCGAGCTGCTGCCGCTTTGGGAACCGCGCCCGGCGCCTCCCGGGGGCTTCCCGCGAAGTGCGGCCGCCGCGCGCAGGGCGCGGAGCTCCCCGGGCGGCGCGGGCACCGGCCACCGGCCCGTCGCCTGCTTCCCAGCGCGCGTCACGCTCCCCAAGCCCTCACGGAGGGGGGGCCTGGGGGCGGGGGAGGCCGGCCCGGAGGGAGGGGCCGCCCAGGAGGGACCCGGGCCGACCCTTCTCGCCGCCAGCGGGCTCGGGGCTTGCGCCCAGGGGCTGGCCTCAGGCCCCGCCGGCGCCGGTCAGGGGGCGCGGCTGAGTGACGGGGACGGGTCGGCGGGGAAAGGGGGGCGGGGGGCGGCGGCGGGGCGCTCGGGCCCGGGGCCCGCCGCCGGCCGCACGGAGGCCAGGGCGCGGGCAGCGGCCCCGCGGGCGCAGGGCGAGGAGCGCCAGGCGGGGGCTGCGGCCACGGCCGCCCGCGGGCAGGGAGCTCGGACTCGGCGGGGAGGCGCCCGGGAGCGGACGGGCCGGCTCAGGCCAGGTCGGGCGAGCCCAGCCCACCAGGCGGGAGGCCCCTGCGGCCGCAGCGCGCAGGCGCGGGGAGCGCCGCGGGGGGCGCGGAGGGAGCAGTGGCGCGCAGGCGCGGGGCGGGGGTTGGCGCGCAGGCGGGGGGAGGACGGGGCGCAGGCGCAGCGCGCCCCGCGCTTCAGGCCCCGCGGCAGCCGGGCGGGCCCCTCCCTCCGCCCGCTCCGACGGGGGATCCGCCTCCTCGCCCGCCCCAGCCCCGCCCACCCGGCGCCCCGTCCTCTCACCGGTACACGATGACGTCATAGAGCGTGCGCCCCTGGACGTTGAGGAAGTGAGCGTAGCCCGCGCGCGCCGCGGGCGGGGCCGCCCCGTCCGCAGGGCCCGGCAGCTCATTGGTCAGCAGCCCCAGAAGGAAGGGCGCCGAGTCCGGCCCGCGCACGCGCACCAGGGCGCGCTCGCTCAGGGGGAAGCAGGTCCAGGCCCCGCCACCCCCGGGGTCGCCGCCCTGACGGCCTGGGCCGTGGGCCAGGCGGCTCCCCGGGGCGGCGCGCAGCCGCCAGCACCAGGCCCTGCGGCCACGTCCCGGAGCCACCCCCCGGAGCAGCGCCGCGGCCGCCATTTTGGGCACGATTGGAGCGCGGGAAGCGTCGGCGCTGGCGCGCGCAGGGGGAGAACGCCACAGCGACCTCTGGCGGCGGCGGCGGGCGGTGGCGGCGGGGCGGGGCCTCCGGGGCCCGTCACCTCGCGCGCCGCCTCTGCGCGCGCCCGACGCACCTGCAGCTGCTGCCCGGCGCGCCCGTGACGCGCGTGGGACGCGCCCGCCCGCGCGTCTCTGGCTGGGGTCGCCGGTCGGCCCGGGGCACCGCGTCTCCGCCTTTCAGAGGCCGGTGGCGCCGCGGTGGGGGGGCGCAGGGGGCCCTCGGCCACGGTGCCGTGAAGGACCCGGCCTGGGTGGGGCGCTGCCCCCGCATCACCCCGGGTCCCTGCGAGGGTGCCCCAGAGGCTTGGGGCCCGGGAACTTGGAGTTTATGGAGGCCTCTCCCCGATGGAATCAAGTCAGGTTCCACCTCTAGCCAGAGTCCAGTGGGGGCAGAGTGGGCCCCCCCACCCCACAGCCACTAGGGGCTTTCCAAACCCGCCTCCTCCAGGGCTCTGACCCGGGACAGTCCAGGCTTTAGTCCAGGAGCAAGACAGAGGGTGAGTGTGTTTCAGCATCACAGGTCAGGGCCGGGTGGTTGGCTCTTCTGAGGAGCACCCGTTGTGAGCCAGCAGGGTCTGCAGTCCTGCTGGGGTGGGGGGGGGGGTTCGCGGCAGACCCCTCCCCTGCTGCTCCCTCTTGGAGCCAGTCTCAGCTTGCTCCTCAGGTGTGGAGGTGCCCGCCTGCTCCCCGCCCGCGGGGCAGACCCGGCTTCGGCCCTGCCACAGGGCACTGCTCTGGAGCCAGTCGAAGCCAGCTCTGCCCGCACAGGCACTGCTTCTCCAGGTCAGGGCGCTTAGCATGGTGCCCCCACCCAAGGGGCCCCTCTGGCTCCTGTGACCTGGGATCCCGCCCTGCCCCGCAGGCCCCACAGCTCAGCTCCTGGGACCTGCCGGTTCTCACAAGCTGGGGCAGAGCTGGGACTTGGGGGCCTCCAGGCTGGAGGCCCGGCCCTTGAAGCACCTAGGCAGCTGAGCCGGATGCTGGCACACCCCGGGTCAAGGCCTCACCCTCTGCAGCGTGACCCTGCAGGCTTCCACTGGGCCTGGCTGCCGGACCAGCTCGCCAGACTGCCCCCTCCCCGCAGGCGGAATACTCCCCCCGCGCCCCTGTCCAGCTCAAGGCCTGCCCAAGACCCCTCAGGTCCGAACCCCAGCCGTGAGCCGAGCTGATTGCATGGGGAGGGTCACATGCCCCCGCAGTCCACAGCCCTCCATCCTGCTGGCCACTTCCTGGCAGTGACCCACCAGGCCTGCTGTGTGGCCCCCTGGCCCTTCAGGAGGTAGCGGGCAGGGACAGCAGGGCACATGGGCACGTTCCTCTGGCCCCACGTAGCTTGGCTCTGGGCCAGCAGAAGGCCTGCTTCCCACCTCAGGGCCACAGGAAGGGCCAGCAGCTGGCCCGGGGCCTCCCAGGCTGCCCCCAGCTCTCTGTGCGGCAGGGCAGGGCTGCTCCAATGCAAGTTCACAGGAGCCAAACACAATGTCCACCTCCCGCTTGCTGGGGTGTCGTGGACCTTGCCTTGTGGCCGGGGCAGGGGAGGGGGTCCCCTGGTACAGTGTCTGCCCTGAGACAGACCCAGGGGAGAGCTGGCATGTGGCGGGCTCTCCTGTCTCCCGGAAGGGGAGCTTTCCCGCACCCTCTGGACCATGCCGGAAATGTTCGTGAGACTCCACCGGGGCAGTCCCCCTATCTCCGCCCAGGGGACGTTGCCTGGGGACCCTGGGCACCGTCTGCTCTCCTGCCAGGCATGCCCGGCTCAGAAGCATCTTCCGCTGGTCCCGGGGGCCACTGAGTGCACAGGCCAGAGCCCCTCATGGCCGCCCCTAGGGCTGCGCTCTGGGCCCTCCTCCAGGAAGACCTCCTGTCTGTGGCCAGCCTGGCCGGACCGACTCTCCACTGCTGCCCCTTCCGGGTCCCCCACGACACCTGCCTGCAGCCGTGTCCTCAGCTGCAGGGGTCGCTGTGGTCGGGGTCGCCCCCCGGAACCGGGTCTGGCCCAGGCTGCAGGCTGCCCTGTGCTGTCCCTGCCCTGAGGCCATGGGCCCTGGCACAGGGAAAATGGGCAGGCGCTGGGGGGCCCAGACCCCACTTGCCAGCCGCAGTGGGGGTGGCTTCCTGTTACTCTGTCTCACGCTGACCTCCCATCCCAAGGCAAGGAGGCTGCCCCCGCTCTGGGGGTGATGGCACGCCCGGCGGCCACACCCTCTGGGATGGCCTCAAGCCCCAGGCAGGTTGGCTCGGGCCAGGGCATGGAGGGGGTGAGACGGCCACTCTGACTGGCCTGCTGCAGGTGGGGATGGAGCCTGCCACGCCCCCGGGGGAGGCCAGGTCACTGCAGACTCGGAGTTGAAACGGGGTGCCAGGCTGGGCTAGGCGAGCTCCCGGGGCACAGCCCTGCCTCTGTCCGCTCTGGAGGAGGGAAGGGCCGAGTCCCCCGGAGCCACTGTAGGCATAACTACACGGTGGGTGATCCGCCTGCACCCTGTCCTGGCCCAGCCCCGCGGCACCCCCATACCCAGCCTGGCCCGGCGAGGGCCTGATGCCCTGGCACTGAGACTCACGCCCAGCATGGCAGCCCACACCGGCTTGGGACAGGCCCCGAGGTCTGGTTTGCGTGGCCACGCAAACACGGGCCTGCTGCTGGCTGTCCCGCGGACTGAGTGCTCATCGTGAGGCGGCTGCCGCCAGAGCATCCGGGCTCCAGTGCCAGCCTGGTCACGTGGGGGGCAGGCCTGGCGTGGGGGTGGCACCATGCTGCCCAGCCCGGGAGGCCAGTGATGTGGGCAGTGACAGGACAGGGCTGGAAGCCACTGCCGCCAGAACCTCACAGAGCCGGGCCCCCAAGTCTCCAGATGGCGGTCCCTGCCATGGGCCCTTCTGCAGCCATAGCACAGCCCTTCTGACCTGGGCTGCCTGTGTCCCTCCAGATTCATATGTGGGGCCACACCCCCCAGGACCTGGAATGTGACTGCTATCGAAGATGGAACCCTTAAAGGCGATAAAGGCAAAATGCGTGGTGGGGAGGAGACCCAGCCTATGCCAGGTCGTGGCAAGGTCAGGACAGCCCACTCAACACTGTCTGCAAGGAGGGACCTGGGGGCAGCTGCCCCCGGGGCCCGGGCTCCAGCTGGGGCAGGCCCACGAGCTGTTTGAGCCGCACAGCCCCGCCCGCCCCGAGGCGCCTGCGGAGGCTGGCCCTAGCAGGGAGGTCTCGGGGCAGCCCAGTGCAAGGACCAGCCGAGCGGCCTCTCACCCCACCGGGCGCTGTTCTCTGTCTCCCGCCATCTGGTGCCCAGCTGTGCCCCCGCCCACACCGCGGCACCCCGGGCTGCCTGGGCTGCTCTCCGAGGCGCCGTCCGCATGCACCGCATTGCGCCCAAACACGCCACACAGCCGCAAACAATGGTTAGACTTAGTTTACTGCTCCCTCTGCTGTGCAGGCTGGGTCTGGATCAGGGAGGGGGGAACGTGGCCCCCCGGCATGTCCCAGCCCCCCGGCCAGCCTGGCCACTCCCGCCGCAGCGGGCTGAGTCTTCATGGGACTCCAAGTGCATCCCCAGGCAGGGCTCGGAGGGCCCCCAGCGGCAACAGGCCGTCTGCTCCAGGAAGCTGCCAGGCCTGACAAGGCCAAGAGCCCAGGCAGGGGAGGCGCGGCAGGGTGGCTGCAGGGGCCTCTGCCCACCCCTCCTCGGACTCCCCTTCTGTGGGAGGAAGACAGGATTGCTTCCAGCTCCATAGGAAACAAAGTGGCCTGGGCTGGGGAGAGAGGGCGGGAGCCCCCCTGTGCTGCGAGGCAGGGCACAGACAGCATCTGCCCAGGGCTGCAGGGGTAGCGCCCCCACCTGCCTGGACCCCAGGCCCTGATGGGGCAGCGAGCCTCCTGGTGGCTCTGGGGGCTAGGGCGCGGGCCTGCCCCAGCTGCAGTCTCCGGGGATGCGGGCCAGAGCTCAGGCCAGGTGCCCAGGGGCCGTGCCCAGCCCCGTGGGGTCCCACCCTCAGCCACTCTGAGCCAGCGGGCGTGGGGCTGGTGGGGGACTCAGATCCACACAGTGGTCTTCCCCTCCCGGCTGCTGGCGCTGCCCTTGTCAGAACCGGCCCTGGGCTTGGCACCCGACCGGCCCAGGCCCCCGCCCGTGCCCCCCGACGTGGCGCTGCCCGACCCGGAGGCGGGGCGCCGGCCCGCGGGGCGCCCCGGGCAGCCGCGGGGAGGCCGGGGCAGGGCGGGCTGTCGCGGTCCCCGGGCGCGTGGCCGTCCCGCAGCGCCTGCAGCGCCAGGCTGGCCAGCGTCGGGTCGTGGGCGCGCGCGCGCGCTCGGCCGCTCGCACCACCAGGCTGTAGTCGGGCGGGCAGGCCAGGCCGGCGGGCGCGGCGGGCAGCGCGCAGGGCGGCGGGCGCGGCGCGGGCCCGGGCGCGGCGGGCGGCGGGCGGCGGGTGCGCACGGCGTCCTGCGCGCTGCCCAGGCCCAGGTGCGCCATCTCGCAGAGGTTGAGCAGCAGGCAGAGGCCGCTGACCACGTACATGACCAGCAGGAAGACGGTCTTCTCCGTGGGCCGCGACACGAAGCAGTCGACCACGTGGGGGCAGGGCCGGCGGCTGCACGCGAAGAAGGGCCGCACCTCGAAGCCGTACAGCAGGTACTGGCCCACCAGGAAGGCCACCTCGAAGGCGGCGCGCGCCACCAGCTGCGCCACGTACACGCGCATCAGGCCCTCGCGCTGGATGCGCCGCCGCCCGTCGTGCGGCCCGGCCGGGCCCGCGGGCCCCGCGGCCTTCAGGTCCCCGCCGCCGCCCTTGGCCGCGCCCTCGTCGTCGGCCTCCGCGCCCTCGCCCAGGCCCGCGGGCCCCGGCTCCTCCTCCTCCTCGCCCGGGCCCAGCATGGGCTCCTCCTCGCCCGGGTCTCCGGGCTCGGGCCAGCCCGGGGGCGGCGGCGGCAGCGGCAGGGGCGCGCGGGCCGGGCGGCGCGGGCCGGGGAGGCGGCGCGGGGCGCGGCGCCGCTCGTCCTGCGCGGCGCGGGCCAGGCGGTGCACGGCGTAGCCCAGGTACAGGACGGCCGGCGTGGAGATGACCACGATCTGGAAGACCCAGAAGCGCACGTGCGACAGCGGCGCGAAGGCGTCGTAGCACACGTTGTCGCAGCCGGGCTGCCGCGTGTTGCACGTGAACTTGGCCTGCTCGTCCGAGTAGATGGCCTCGCCGCCCACGGCCGTGAGCACGATGCGGAAGACCACGAGCACCGTGAGCCACACCTTGCCCACGAACGTGGAGTGGTGGTGGATCTCCTCCAGCAGCCGCGTCAGGAAGCTCCAGCTCATGTTGGTCATAGGGGCTGGCGGTGCGGCCTGCGCGACAGGGCGGCTCAGCCGCGGCCCCCAGCGAGGGCGGGGCCCCTCCCCCTCGTCCCCCAGCCCCTCCGTGAGCTCCCCCTGCAGTCCGCCCTGCTCAGGGAGCCCAGCGAGGGCCCGGGCGTTGGACGGTGGGGAGAAGGCAGCCGCACTCCGAGTCGGGGGGGCACCGCCTCCCCTCGGACACACCCCTGGGCCGAGGTCACTGGCCAGGGGCCCACAGGGGCCTCATGGACACCAGCACCGCCGCCCTGTCTTCAAGGGGGCCCTGGCTCCTTCTCTCCGCACCAAGGGCTAGGACCCCAACCTCCCGGCTGCTCTCCCCTCCATGCAGGCACCAGGCTCCCTGCAGCAGAGCCGCCCAGCTGGGCAGCGGGCAGCTGGGGCACTTCTGTCCACCAGAGGAGACGCTGCGGGCACGCGCAGCTCCGGCCCCAGCCAGCTGGCCACGAGGCCGGGCACCCCATCCCACCCTCGGGCAGCCCTGCCCCGTGCCCCGCCCCTGCCCCGCCCACCAACGCGGCAGGGGCAGGCTGAGGTGGAGCCGCAGGGACCCTGCACCCTCCTTATACAGCGTGGCGGGTGGGCAGCAGGGGTTCCTGGAGAAATGACCCCACCTCCTCGAGTCCCTGTGCAGGGCCCAGCTCAGCATGGCTCCCACCGCCCTCCGCCCCGGGCTCTAACCAGCAGCTGCCCCTGACAATCCCCCAGAGCCCAGAGGCGGGGTGCGGTCAGCATTGAGCAGGCTCCGGGGAGGCAAGCCCATGGGGGTGCTGCCGCTGAGCGCCCCTGCTGCCAAGCAGTACCCGAGACCCGCCTGGGGTGCTGGGTGCCCTCAGAGCTGGACCCTGCTGCCAGCCCCACGCACGGAGCCTCCCAGACCCACACTGCCAGCCCTCGCTGCCTCCTGGACATCCGCACAGGGACACCAGGCAATATAGGCCAGGACCAGACCGGCGTCCCCCTCGGGGTCAACTCCCACGCAGCGCCCGCTGCCCACTCTCCTGCTGCGGGCACAGGGAGCCTTGGCTCGCCCCCAGGGTCAGGGTCAGCCTGGAGACGGGGTCGGAGCTGACCAGCAGCGGAGCATGGACTCCTGCACCCTAGAGGGGCGCCGCCCGGACGTGAGGCCAGCCCGTGGAAGGTGCCAGTCGGGTAAGACGGAGCCAAGAGGGCCTAAGTCCAGGGGGAGGCAGCCAGGACACGGCCACAGCAGAGCCCGAGGGGCCCCCAGCCTGCCAAGGGCGCAGCCACAAGGTGACCCCAGGTGGGCCCTGCCTGCCTCGTGAGAAGGCGCCGACCCTGCTGTCCCACCCTGAGCCACCACCCTCTCCCAAGGGAGATGGACTCCAGGGGCCCCACCAAGCACCTGGCCCTCCACACAGCCCAGGGGGCCTGAAGCGCAGAGCCACACCCAGGTCTGAGGGCCAGCGGGGGCTGGGGGCCGTCGCCCCCACTTGCACCACCTCTGGACTCCCCCCCACCCAGCGCGACTGTGGGCACTGCCTGCTGGACGGGCCAGGGCCTGGGGCATAGGGAGGACCCCACTGAGTGGGTAGGGGAGGCACAGGCTGGCCCCGCTGTGCGGTGCTGCTGGCAGCTAGTGTGGGAAGGGGGTGCCGTGCCAGCCCTCAGGGACCTGTTCCAGGGGAAACTCTCCCCAGGCTGCACGGTGGGCGGGAGGGGGTCGGGATGAGGCTGGAGAAGAGGCAGGGGCGACCGCGTCTCAGGCTGCAGGACAAGCGTGGGACAGGGTAGGGCCGGCAGGGACAGTCTGGGCTGGGAGGAGGGGACACCCTGGGTCACCCCGCCCACAGCGGCCAGGGCTGCAGCAGGACAACCCAGCCCATCACCGTACTGCCAGCTGCTGGCTCTCCACTCCCTGCACCCCTGGCTCAGGCCTACACAGGGTCCCGGCTGCAACACCCTGCAGGCCTGGGGCCAGGGCCCGGCTTGCACCCATGGGCAGGCGGCTTCCTGGGGGCAGCAGGGCTGGGCTCCAGTGGTCTCAGCTCCCCGAGGGGCAGGTGATACCCTCTCCTGGAGCCCTGGGGCGGCTTAGTCCTGGGGTAGCACCACCTCTGGACAGTGCTCGCCAGCCAGCCCCCCCAGACTTGGGTGCGCCTTGCCCTGAGCGCTCCTGCCGACCCGGCACCCCCCCCCCCAGAGTCTGCCCCCACTGCACATGCCTCCCTGCTGGGCCCCATACCCACCGCTGGCCCTGTGGGGAGCCCCCCGAGCCAGGGACTGCTGCGACCACCCACCCCCACCTGGGGACACTGGCCTGATGCCCACCCTGTGCCCAGGGAGGTCTGCGGGCCCTGCCAGGGGTACCCTGGGCTCAGAACCAGGCGCCAACCTGGCCCTCACAGCAGCCAAAGGCTGACTGGGCTGTTTACAAGCCCTCTCTGGCCTGACAGGCATCCTCTGGGGGGGGTCCCCTCCAGGCTCCAGGGCGCCTCCCAGCCCGAGAAAGGCCATCAGCCAGGTTGGGCAACAGCACCTGAGCCTGTAGGCCCTTCCTCCCTGGGGCCTCTGGAGGCTGCCTCTAGGCAGGCTCGAACAGCCCCTCCACCCTCTAGAGCACAGCCTGCAGGGGTTGGGCCTGGGCCCATCTCCCGAGGACTCTCCCCAAGGTGGCCTGGGCAGCCACGCCCCAATGCTGCCCAGGTCACCTCCTGCAGTGCCCTTGGCCCCGCCCATGTAGGCGTTGGCCTGGCCCTCCACAGCCGTAACCTGGAGGCCAGGCAGGAGGCCCCACCACCGCTGGGCACCCGGGCGCAGACCAGAGTGGGTGGGTGGGTGAGCTCCCTCCAAGAGCGTGGGGCCTCCTGGGTGCTCCCAGGGAGATGCCTGGGCCAGGGCAGGTCGGGTGGAGATCCGGCAGGGACAGCACTGGCCAGCTGCCCGACCCCTGGACACGCTGCAGCTGCTTGTGTGGTGGGACGGCGCCCCCCCACCCCCGCCTGAGGGGGACCAGCTGCTGTGCACCCCTCCCGCCTGCTACCAGCTGGCGGAGCAGCCCCAGGGCCCAGACCCCTTGTCAGGCCCCTCCCCGGGCTCGTCCGTGGTCCCTGCCGGAGAGCCATGGGCCTGAGGTGTCTAGGCCCCCAGAGCCTAAGGCCACCAGGCCAGTCCAGCACCTGTGACCCTCAGGGCTTGGCCCTGGTCCCCCAATGCCTCTCTGACGGTCGGGGCACGGGCGAGGTAGGCTGGGCCCACAGGGGAGGGTGGATGCTGCTTGGCCCCCCCGCACCTAACCTTGGGCAAGGCCTACCTGCTCCAGGTCAAGAAGTGCTGGTCCCTCCGAGCCTTCCACCTGCCTCCAGACACTGGCCCTCCGAGGGTGGTGCTGGCTGGACCCAGGGCCCGACCCAGGGCCACCTCTCGCCACCAAGCACAATGTGGGGGGAGGCCTTCAAGGGAGCCATTGTTCCCCCCCAGGCCCAGGGTCTGAATCCCCGATTGTCCCGGGAGCCGGGGCTGGACAGGGCCCAGAGAGGGAAGGGGCCTCCCCCAGCAGCCCCACGAGGCTGAGAGCAGTGGGGAATCCACCTCACCTGCCTGTAGCCTTTGGGGGTGGCCCAGCGCCCCCCTCTGCCTGCCGGCCCAGCTCCCACTCGCTCTTCTCTGTGCATCTGCGCTCTGGATGGAGCCCAGCCCGCCCCCCCCACTTCCGCCTGGGCTCCCGACCTCCCCATCCATGTATCCTTTCAGGGCCCCCGCGGGAGCGTGGCCCTGGCCCCCTGCTTCCGCCTACACCGCCTGCAGCAACCCTGGGCGGAGGAGCGGGAACTGGGGTGAAGAGGGGTCATGCTCCCCACGCAGGTCTCTGGTCCAGGCCCAGACCTCAGGGTGGGGGGAGGGGGGCTGCTGGCCACGGGGCTGTTCTCCAGGCCTCCCACCCACCCCAGGCCGGGCCTGGCCAGGTCTCCCCAGAGCTGCAGGGATTGGGCCTGGGCCCATCTCCCGAGGACACTCCCAGGTGTAGCCCCCCACCCAATGTCCAGGACAGACAGCCGGGCCAGGCACTGGCCAGAGTGGTTCAGCCTGCCCCTGGAGCCAGACCCGGGGCCTCCCCACAGCCCAGCCCCGGGGGGCCCCCCGCCCCACAGGGGAGGCCTAGAGGATGCTGGACAGCGGGGCAGAGGAGCAGCCGACACAGCTACACAGTAGCGCAGGGCTTCTTTATTAGGGGGTCAGCCCCGCCCCCACCGAGGGGTGCAAGGCAGGAGCTGCAGCAAAGGGAGCCCCCAGACGTGTCGGCGCCCCCACCCCCGGTGCTGCCCGCTGACCAGAGACCCAGGCCCGTCTGGGAAGGACACAGCCCGCGTGTCCTCAGGAAAGGAGGTTGGTCTCCTGCGCCTTCTTGATTTCCTGCCGGGAGAGAGGGAGAGGCTAGGGGGGTCCTGCCACACGCAGCTGCCCGGCACCCCTACGACCCCCTTCCCACCTCGGAGAGCGCCTCCTTCAGGAGCCGGTAGGCCTCGTCCAGTCTGTCGTTGATGATGACCAGGTCGAACAGGCCGGGCTCCCTGCCTGGGGGGGGCAGGGCGGTGTAGGGGCCTTGCGGGCCTGGGTGTGGGGACCAGGGTCTGGGGACGGCAGCGGGTGGGGACAGGGGCCACTCACTGCTCTCCATGTCGGCCCTGGCAGCTGCCAGCCGCTTGGCCAGGCTCTCCTCCGTCTCCGTGTCTCTCTGCCGCAGCCGCTGCTCCTGCGGGTGCAGGAGCATCAGCGTCTCCATCTCCACCTCCCGCCACAGCCGCCCGCCCGCGGCCACGCACCAGCACGTCCAGCGAGGGCGGCTGCACGGAGATGCAGATGGGCCGCAGGTCGGTCTTCTTGATGCTGCGCACACCCTGCAGGTCCACGTCCAGCACGCAGATGCGGTTCAGGGCCTGCACAGCCTGCACGGCCGCCTTGCTGGGGGCACATGAGGGCTCAGGGGCGCAGGGCCTTGGCCCTGGCACAGCAACGAGACCGCCGCTGCCCCGTCCTGGACCCTGCACCCGCCCACCTCTGCCGGGTAGTACGGCCAACAACCCCACAGGCAGGGCCCCCGAGGGGGAGCGGGAGGCCCCGTGTGTCCTGCCAGGCTCAGCCTGGACCCCACGCATGCCAGCAGCAAGCCCCAGGAGCTTCCTGCTGCGACCCGCCTTGCCCACAGGCTGGCCCTCACCTCCCACATCTGTGCCCCTACCATGGTCCTTTGGGGTTTCCGGGGTCCCCCTGCCATGTGGCAGCTAGCAGAAACCGTGTGGTTGGGGCTCCAGGGCACCCACCGAATCTAGGGGAGTTGCAGCCCCTGGTCACCATACCAGCGGCTGGGGACGGGTGGTGCAGAGGTCAGCCTGGGCCTTTCCTGAGCCAAGACAAGGTGAGTGGCCAAGAGCGGCGGCTTCCACTGGGGCCCAGAGCTGCCTCCTGGGCCGGAGGGCCCCCTGCGCAGCCCGTACCCCGAGATCCAGTCACTCCCACAGTGTGGCCAGCCAGGGCTGGAAGGGCCCAGAGAGCTGAAGGCTGCCCGGCCTGAGCTCGAACCCCGTCGGCCCACAGGAGCCGAGCCGGGACTGCAGGGGGGAACCCCGCCCACCTGGTGCCATAGAGATTGCCTGAGAACTCCGCGTGCTCGATGAAGTCGCCGGCGGCGATGTCCCGCTGCATGGCCTCCCTGGTCACGAAGTGGTACTCTGGGGGGGGCCAGCAGCCTCAGCCCGGCCCTGCACACGGCCCGCCCACACCCGCCCACCCCTGCGTTGTCCTGGGGGGAGGGGCCTCTGCTGCGGCCGCGGGGCCAGCTCACCTCTGCCGTTCTCCTCTCCCGGCCGCGGGGTCCTCGTGGTGTCTGCAAATAAACACCCGTGACCACCCTGAAGCCCCAGCCCCGCCCCCGCCCCCCCACGGGCCGGGCCTCACGGGACACGCTGAAGCCGAAGAGGCCGCTGTGCTCCCGCAGCAGCATCTTGAGCAGGGTGCTCTTCCCCGCGCCCGATGGGCCACTCAGGACGATGGGCCTCGGCCCGGACATCCCTGCGGGCAAGGGGCGGATGTTAAGGGGCCCGAGGGGCTGTGTTGTCCTTCCTGGGGCAGAGGGGAAGGAGGTGGCACAGCCCCCACCGCCCCACCCCCGCAGCTTGCGCCAGGGCTGGGTCCGGAGAGGCACATCCGGGTCCCCTTCCGGAGTTTCCTGGCGCACCCAGGGGTAGCTCCAGCAAGGCCGCGGGACACAGACTGTTCCAGGAACTGAGAAGCGCGGGGCTGACTGCTCAGGCCAGAGCTTCCTGCTTCCCTTCCGGGGAAGCTGGGGTGGGGGAAGGGTGCAGCAGGGCCCACACCTGGGGCTCATGCACCTGCCACAGGTGGGCGCACTTGTGGGGAGCCTGGGGGTATGAGCCCAGGCAGCAGATGCCCCAGCCTGACACCCCCCATTGCCCCAGGGCCCCGAGGCAGGATCCACCTCCCTAGTGAGGTACAGCCGGAGCCTCCCCGAGCCAGGGGCGAGCAGACAGCTGTTCAGACAAGCTGGGGCTGCGATGGGTGGCTGCCCCCAGCACTGGCCCCTCCCAGGGTCTCAGCCCTGGGCCCAGGAGTGGAGGGAGGCTGTGCGCAGCAGCTGCCCAACCACTCAGTGCCAGTGGAGTCAGGGAGGCCCGGTACAGTGGGGCCAGCGTCACAGTCGGCACCGCCTGGGGGCCTGCCTGCAGTGGAGGGGACCCAGGAGGCCTGGGACCAGCCGGGGGGCTCCCACCCAGCCCTGGCCGGGATGCGTCCTGATCCGCAGTATGGGCTGGCTCCGTAATCCCGACTAAGCCTGGAGTACAGCGCGGGCCCGATGGAGCTACTGGGAGGAGCAGGAAGAAGGGCCGCCCCACACCTCCGCACCCCAGGCTCCTGCCGAGAGAGAGAGAGACTCCAACCCTGGGGCAGGGAGGCCCCACAACGATCACACCACCCAGACACACGGCCATGCACAGCCACTCACACACGTGCCCAGCTCCACGCCCACCACCAACCACCGCAGGGTCAGCACCCCCTCCTCAGGCCTGCGCCCCACCTCTGTCCTGACCTCTCAGGTGCAGAGCCAGGGGCGCTGTCTCCACACAGCCCAGCCCCACCTTCCAGGAGGACGCAGGAACACAAGCTACTGGGGCGGGGCTGTCCAGGCCGAGGCCTGCCCCTTCCTTTGCACACCTCAGAGGACTCCAGAGCACACTGGGCCAAGGAGGGACCTACAGCCGTCGCCCGCTCCAGGGCACCCCTCCTGCTCTTTCCTACCAGAATGGGGTCACCTTCCTTTCTCTGCCAACCACATCACGACACCTCTATGTCCCCTTGCCTCCTCAGCTGTCAGAAGGCGGATGTGCCACCCTGAGGGGGCCGAGGTGCTTGGGCCTTGCAGAGCAGGGGGCGAGGGTGTGGCCTGAAGACACCTCAAGGACCCTCCACCTGCATCCTCCACGCAGGGACAGACTGAGCTCACCAGTTCCGGTCAAAGATCAGACGCCGAGCGCCCTGGTAGCCACACCCCCAGGGCTGTGTCGGGCAGAGGGAGAGTTGGGGCACACGTGGGTGGCGTGAAATTCACTGTCAGTGCAAGACAGGCACGCGGCCCTATGGGGGTGAGGGGAGGTCTGCCCACCTCTCACAACAAACAAGCCCGGGTCTAGGAGACTCAGGGATGACCAAAATGCACGAAAGCCCACTCTGAGGGTAGCCGCTCCGCTCCCCCGGCCCCTCCGGCTGGCCTCCCTCCCCCAGTCGGCAAAGGCAAAGACGTCGCCTTCCTACAGGCCGGGGGCGCTGGTCGGGACGGCCAGGCCGCGGCACCCCGGCGTGGCCTGGGGACGCTCGCGCCCAGGGTGCGGGGCTCTGAGCCGGGGCCACCCCGGGGGGCATCGGGCGCCCGCTCCGCCCGGTCAGCCCCTCGGCTCCGGCGCGGCATCCGCTCGCCCTCACCACGCCGGCCGGGCGTCCCGAGGCTGCCGCTGCGCTTCGAGGCTGACACGGGAAGCGGCTTCTCCCCTGGCCGAGAGCGAGGACCAGCGCGCAGGGAACGCCCCCGGGGGCGCCCTCCGCGCGTCCGCCCGGCCCGAGACCGGCCGCCCCCGCCGCCGCCGGCCCCGCGCGGGGCCCTGGAGGCGCCGGCCGCGCGCCGCGGAGGAGCCGGGTGGAGGACGCGCGCCCCGCAGGGCCCGGGGCCGCCACTCACCGTCCGAGGGGGCTCGGCCCAGGGCGGCCGCCGCTAGCCCGGCCAGCGGGCGCCGCAGCATCAGCAGCCGCCGCGTCCGCCTCCGGCCGCACGTCCTAGCGGCGCGCCGGCCCGCCCGCGCCCGGGACACGTCACCGCCGCGTCCCGGCCCCGCCCCGCCGCGCGGGCCCCGCCCCTGCCCCGTCCCACCGCGCAAGCGCGGGCCAGCCCTCCCCGGCGCCCCGTCACGTCTCGGCCCGCGGATTCTCGGCCCGCGCCGGCGACGCCGCGCCCGCTGATGACGGAAAGGCGGCTACGCGCTGCGATTGGCCGCCCGCGCGCCGGCCCTCGTGCGTGCGGCCCAGACCGAACGCCCGAACGCCCGGCCTCCCGGCCCGCGGCGTGGGGGCCGCTGGTCCTCGAGCCGCCGCGGAGGTCAGTGAAGGGCGCGGGCCGGGGGCGCGCGGGCCGGGGTGGGGCGCGGGGACGGAAGCGCCCGCTCGCTCGTGCGTGGCGTCTCGTTCCCGACGTCGGAGGGAGCGTCCCTGCGCTGACCTCCGGGGCCACCCGGGCCGGCGCGGCGGGCCCGACGCAGACACCCGGGGAGACAGGGCGCCGCAGGCGGCCCGACGCCCGGCCCCCGGGCCAGCGTGGCCCCGTCCTCCCGGGACTGGGGGAGAACTAAGTGATCTGGGCGCCAACCCGGCCCTTTGCGTCTGCTCTGTCCTTGGAGGCGCTCCGCGGCCAACCGACCGGGGGGCGTCGACCCCGCTCAGCCCACTGACTCACCATCCGTGGGGCCAGGACGAGGACAGCCGTAGGCAGGGGCTTCTGCTGCCCGCCCAGAGCTGAGACCCGGATGGGCTGCTGAGACCGGCAGTAACACGCCTGGCCAGCGGGCTTGGGTCCATGGCTTCGTTCCTGGCCGGAACTTGATGAGGCTTAATTCGATGGAAAGCCTGTCTTTCCAAAAGATCTCATCTCTTTGCCCAGAAGATTGCACGCCAGGCCTGTTGACTGACCCTCGACTTCACAGAACACCGGGCTCTCAGGAAGAATGGCATCCGAGGGCAGCCTGCTTCGGTAAGTAGCGGTTTCCAGGCTGTTGTGGGCCCACCAGGGGGGATGCCAACCTGTAGCCTTAGACCGTGCTACCTCAGAGCAGCTTCCTGTGTGTGTTTCTATCTGGAGAACACACGACTCTTAGAGATGGGGTACTTATGAATACATCCTTTGGGTGGGCTTTTGAGGCAGGAAGGAAATAGCTAACCAGACTCAACTGCTCACTGTCCTACTCGGAGCCTGCAGCTCAGCCTAGCTCCCTCCTGTTCTTTCTACTGGAACTGCCTCTCCATCTGCCATCCCCTCCTCCCCTGGACTCCCCAAGACAAGAACTGCTGCCATTGGAGAGAATGAGTGCAAGTTTCCCGTTTCTGGGGAATTGGGGGAAAGGGACAGAGCTTCTGGAGCTGGTGCTTGTGTGGAGATGGAGTAGGGACTCTGGCTGTAGTGCTCCCTGGAGAGTTCTTGTCCTGGGACAAGTTCTTGTCGAATTTGTTGTTACCTCCTATTTGGCTTCAGCCCCACCAGGGGCCCCTTCCCAGGGCACCAGCAGAGAGGGCATTCAGGACCTCCTTTAACTCTCACCACCTCCCAAAGGCCATGGCTCCTGACAATACCTTCTGGTATCCCCACATTTGGGTCGGGACAGATGTGGAAGTCGTAACGACGGGTACGTCCCTGGAAGTCAGCTTCTGGTCCCACACTGAGCCCAGCACCTGCACTGGGCAGCCGTGCCTCATCAGAGCCAGCCGTGCTGGGCCTGCTGCATCCCGGCTGCTGTCCTGTCTCCTAAGCTGCCTGGGAACCTTGTATGCTGCTTCTCGGCCTCCTCTGCCTGGGCATGGGATGAGAGCAGCTCTGACCATGACCTGCCCCTGGTTGCCACTCCCTCCCCATAGGAGCTGGCTGGCCTAGGCCACATGGGAACTCTGGCCCCAGTACTGGCCACTGACCTCTGTGCGTGTGTCTGCAGCCTGCTGCGGCAGTGTGTGCTGACGGGCTGCCGCCCGCATGTGTCCTCCTGGCGGGCCGCCAGCAGCAGAGCCTCCCTTACACGCCTGCACCGGCAGAACTACGCACGCCTCTACCCTGTGCTCCTGGTCAGGCAGGATGGCTCCACCATCCACATCCGCTACCGAGAGCCACGAAGGATGCTGGTGGTGAGCTCCCTCCCTAGGTGCAGGGCGGGACTGTGGGGACTGAGGGCTTGGAGCACAGCAGCATAAGGGTGAGCCAGGGCAGGGCAGCTGGGAAGAGGGTGGACTGGTGCACGCTGCACAGCCAGACCTCTCTGCAGTAGCAAGCTGCACCTTTGATTGAATCAAGTCCTTTTCGAGAATAAAGGCTTAGAAGGTGGAGGAAGGCCAACAGCGGCGGAAGAAACTTGGGGAAGTGGAGGGGAGAGGGTCTCCTGGCCCCTTGCCCGTCCTCCCCACCTCCTAGCCAGGGGCGCACCGCTCCCTTCCTGCAGATGCCTGTGGACCTGGACAGCCTGTCCCCAGAGGAGCGGCGGGCGAGGTTCCGGAAACGTGAGGCCCAGCTCCGCGTGAAGAAGGAGGAGGAGCCGATGCTGGGCGATGACTTTGATGTGGAGCGGTACAAGCGGTTCTGGACCAAAAAGTGATGGCCTGCAGGCCTCCGGGCTGGGGCTCCCATGGAGGGGGGGGGGTCTTAAAACTCACCTTCTCCAGGCTGCCTCCACCTTGTCTTTTGTCCTCGTCACCTTGCCCAGAGGACCTGACCCATAGTCCACTGTGGGGCTGCAGATTGGGTCAAATTGTGATTCTGGAACAAGATCCAAAGAGCATATGGGCCCATTGAAGTGGGAGGAGAAATGCAGACACCGAAGGTGCTGCTCTCACTGCAGGAAGTGCCTGCAGCACCATGTGGGGCCCCTGGGCTCTGGAGCCTCCTAGTCCTGGCACTGTTGAATCTCAGGTCAGCCGGGGCTCCCCCAGAGGGGCATGGCAGGTATGGGAGCGGTGGGAGGAGCTGATGCTTGCAGTGGAAGGCGGTGCTGCCCTGCCTCCTCCAGCTGGCCTGCCCCAGCCCAGACTGCTGGCCTGCGGCTACTGTGGAGGGCTTGCTCTTGGGGCGGGATTCCGAACCTTTCCCAGCATACTGAGCTTGCCAGGCTGGGCCTCCCCTTTCCCGCCCTTGGTGGTCATTGCCTCGTTCAGGTGTCAGCAGGCAGGCACAAGTAGGCAGCCTGTGGAGAAGAGCCGGGGCCACTCAGGATGAGGCTGGCCTGAGACCCACCTTTGGACCCCACTCCCCTGCTGGCCAGGGGAGCACACCTGCTGTTGCAGGGCGTGTGGGCTGCCCCAGCTTGTGCCCCCACCCCCTAGTCACTGCTCCCTCGCCATGCGGCGTTGGGTGTCCGCCACTGGCTCGCCCCAGCCCATTCTCACCCAGACAGCCTCCTGGGAGGCCTGGCTCTTCCGGCTGCTGCCCCGCTTCCCTCCTCTGCAGGGGAGATGCCCCGCCTGACCTCCTGCAGGTGGCAGGGGTACTGGAGACCCTGGAGCAAGGCAGGCTTTGTTCGCAGAGGACGCGGGGCCGGGGCCAGGCGTGTCCAGCACAGGCCACTGGGTGTAGCAGACGCGGGGATTGAGCCCCCGCCTGGCGACCGCTGACTTGGGCCCGAGCAGGTCTGGTCCGGCAGGCCGGTCTGCGCGCGCCCCTCCCTGGGAGGCGGGACCTCCGTCCTCGGGCCCCTGTGCGCCCGACCGCCGGCGGGGCGGGGCGGGGGCCGGCGCGCGACCCCGCTGTCCGCGTCGCCAGGGCGCAGGCGCGGGCGTGACGTCACTGCGCGCGACGCGGAGCGGGGCCGGACGGGCGGCAAGATGTTCGGCTCCAGCCGGGGCGGCGTGCGCGGCGGGCAGGACCAGTTCAGCTGGGAGGACGTGAAGACCGACAAGCAGAGGGAGAACTACCTGGGTGGGCGCCGGGCGGGGCGCGGGGGCTGGCGGGGGGCCGGGCGCGGGGGCGCGGGGCTGGCGGGGGGCCGGGGGCTGGCGGGGGGCCGGGCGCGGGGGCGCGGGGGCTGGCGGGGGGCTGGGGAGCGGGGGCTGGCGGGGGGCCGGGGCGCGGGGGCTGGCGGGGGGGCCGGGGAGCGGGGGCTGGCGGGGGGCCGGGGGCTGGGGAGCGGGCCTGGGAGGGCCGGGGCGCGGGGGCTGGCGGGGGGGCCGGGGCGCGGGAGCGGCGGGGCCGGGGCGCGGCGGGGGCTGGCGGGCCGCCCCCCCGCGCGCGACGGACACGGCGCTGCGTCCCCGCAGGCAACTCGCTGATGGCCCCGGTGGGCCGCTGGCAGAAGGGCCGCGACCTCACCTGGTACGCCAAGGGCCGGGCGGACGGCGCGGGGCTGAGCCGCGAGCAGGAGCTGGCCGCCGTCAAGCAGGCGGAGCGCGAGGCGCTCATGGCGGCGCTGTGAGTGCGCCGCTGGGGGCGGGGCCGCGCGGGCGGGGGCGCGGGGCTCCGCGGGCGGGTGGGGCGAGGCCCGCCGCCCCGCGCCCGAGGCCGAGCTCTGAAGCCCGCGCGCCCCCGCAGCGGCTACAAGAACGTGCGGAAGCAGCCCACCGGCCTGAGCAAGGAGGTGAGGGCCGCCCGGAGGGAGGGCGGGCGGGCGCCGGTCCGGGCGGCGGCCAGCGCCTGCTCCTCGCCCCGCAGGACTTCGTGGAGGTCTGTAAGCGGGAAGGAGGTGACCCCGAGGATAAGGGCGTGGACCGGCTCCTGGGCCTGGGGAGCTCCAGGTGCGCGCGGGGCCCCAGGGGCGCGGGCGCGGGGCCGGCCTCCTGCAGCGGGACCGGGGCTGACCGCGGAGGCGTCTCGCCCGCCTCCCCGCAGCGGCTCCGCCGGCCGAGTGGCGCTGTCCCGAGAAGACAAGGAGGCCGCCAAGCTGGGGCTGTCCGTGTTCACGGTAATGGGCCGCCGCCGCCGGGGTCCCCCGCCTCTGGGGGGTGGTCTGAGTGCCTCTTTGTTGCGGGCCTGGCGGGCGTCCCCCGGGGTATCCTCCCAGTTTCTGGGCCACCAAACCGGGGCTCCCCTTGGCAGCACCACCGCGTGGAGAGCGGCCGGCCGGGGGCCTCCCCGACCTCAGCCAGGAAGAAGCCGCGCTCCGAGGAGAAGGCCGAGCCGGGGTAAGGGGCCTGGCAGAGCCCAGAGCTCTGCATCCTCCCCCTCGGGGAGCTTCTGGAGGCGGAGCTGCAGGGCCAGGGGGGTCAGGCGCGAGATAGCCAGAGGCCGAGCAAGGGGGTGAGGGCGGCAAGGGGTGGGCGCAGGCCAGCTCGGCGCAAGGGGTCGTGGGCTGGCTGCACAGCCTGTCCTGTGAGGTGGAGATGGCCACGTGGCCAGCGGCCTCTGCAGTGGCTGCTCCAGCGCGGGGCCTGGGCCTGGCGAGAAGCTCCTCCAAAACCTGTTGTGCCCACCCGTCCGGGAACCCCACAGCCCGGACAGCCACAGAAAGAGCAGGAAAGAGAAGAAGAAAAAGAAGAAAAAGAAACACAAGAAAGAGAAAAAGAAAGAAAAGGAGCACCGGAAAGGGGGAGCTTCGTCCCCCTCGCCCACCAGGTGGGTCCCCTGAGTGGGTCCAGCTGGGCAGGCAGAGCCGCAGGGCGGGCTCACACCTGGTTATCTCCTAGGCCCACTGGCTCCAACCCGCCCTCCCCACGCTGCAAGAGGAGACGCCACAACAGTGACTGAGGCCACTCTGCTGGGGACAGAACCATGGAGCCGGAGGGTGCTCCCGGCTCCCCGGGAGCCCAGAGCATGGCCTCTGCCCCCACCCACCCCCAGCAGCCTAACTGTGGCCAAGTATCCTGTCCAGCTTTTATTTTTCTTCTGTCAACTGGCTTTGTACTTAAATAAATGTATTTTAAGTGAAGTTTACTCAAACGAAGTGGAGATGAGGCACGCGGCCTGGCCCTGCTGGGAGATCTGGGTACATGGGCAGCCTCCTCTGTGGTCACGCAGGGTCCAGGCCGCCGGCAGGGAGGCAGAGGGGCCCAGCCAAGGTGGGCACTTCCGGAGGGAGGGATGGCCCTGCCAGGGTGCGGTCTCCGGTCACGGGAGAGGGTGTGCGCCCAGAACCACCTAGCTCCCCCACCTTGGGCCACCCAGGTGGGAGCTCTTGCGAGCCCCCTCCACCTGGGCTGTGCGGGTTGAGGGGTGGGGTGCAAGGGCTGGCTGCCCCCACCACGGCTAAGGCAGCCATGTGATGCTTGACCAGAGGACCCACCCCAGGCAGGGCAGAGGGCAGGCTGGGGCCAAGGAGAGGGTTGGCAAGGGGTGCCACCGAGGCCCACCCTTCCTGGGTGTGAGGGGGCAACGGCAGGGCAGGAGGGGCGGGCTGTCCATCGGCCGCACCAAAGCACTGGAGAGCCCGCAGAATAGTTAAGAGAGTTTATTCTAATAGCTATAATTACAGTGCTCGTCTGTCAAATGAAAACTGAAGACAAGTATACAAAACGGTTGATTACTAATCGTGTATTGAAAGCAGTTAAGAGATTCCACAACACCAAATAAACCACTTGTGAGGTTTCCCCAAGTTAAGTTTAACATCTCCAGCTTCCTCAGTGTTTATCAAAATACAAAAGAAAAAAAAGTAGAGGTTGTCGTCTTCGATGGCAAATCTGACCCTTGCAGGCGGAGGGAGTGAAAGCACGGGTAGCCGGGGCTCCGGGGTTGTGGCGCTGGGGGGACGGTCCTGTCCGCCCACACTCCCGCTGCCGAGACCCCAGCGGGCCTGGGGTGACTGAGTGGCAGACAGGGCTCTGCTCCGGCCAGAGGGCCCCACGCGGACCCAAGGGAAGGTCAGGTCCTTCCCGGGAGTCCGAGCGGCTGGCAGCAGCCCCAGCCAGTCTCCTGGGCAGCCGTTTAAGCACAAATACAAGCACAGACGCGATGGGGACGGGGTGACCCGAGACAGCAAATCACAGGGACCCAATTGTGACCATGCAGAATGGGTGGCGTGCGGCGCCAGCAGCACAAGACCGCACGCAGGCCGCTCCTGCAGCATCTCCAGAGGCACGTCTCTCCCTCTGTGTGTCCAAGTGTTCTCACCTTGTGTTTTGAACTATTTTTAAAAATGCACTGAGTTCGGGTTAAAAACCAAAATGGATCTCAACACAGATCTGGAGCCCAGAGGACATGTGGGGCATCTGACCCAGCACTCCTGGGGCCGCAAGTGCCTGCCATCCCTTCTCAGCACTGAACGGTGGGTTGATTCTCTTTTTTTTTTTTTTTTTTTACAATAAAAAAAGCTGAGTAAGATTGCATAGAGTACCAGAAACTGCCTCACTAGAAACAAAAACTATTTACATTAAATAAAACCCGGCTGCAGCTCGCCCGCACATTTACAGCTTGGTGAAGCGCTGGCCAGCCCGGAGACAGCTTCTGGCACTCACACCACAGGTGCACGTTTGCCACATGAGAGAAAAGCGAGGGCAGAGAGGGGGTGAGGGAGGGGGGCGCAGGCTCACTTCTGGTTCCGGAGCTGATTGGACAGCCAGTCCAGTCCCTCATAGAGCCCGTCCCCGCTGGTGGCGCAGGTGGCCTGAATGTACCAGTTCCTGTGGCGCAGCGAGTGCAGGCCCAGCTTGTCTGTGATCTCGGCGGCATTCATGGCGTTGGGGAGGTCCTGGTGGGAAGGACAGGCGGCCGGTGGGTGAGCATGGCCCTGCGCCCCGCCCCGCCCCGCGCCCCAGAGCCCCATGCGCACCTGCTTGTTGGCGAACACGAGCAGGACGGCGTCCCTGAGCTCATCCTCAGCCAGCATCCGCATGAGCTCCTCGCGGGCCTCGTTCACGCGCTCGCGGTCGTTACTATCCACCACGAAGATCAGGCCTGCAAAGCAGGGGGCGTCAGTGCGGGCACCAGGACACACCCCGCCCCCTCCCGCAGGCGCGCCGGAAAGAGCAGGAGGGTCAGCCGCGCCCACCCTGCGTGTTCTGGAAGTAGTGGCGCCACAGAGGCCGGATCTTGTCCTGGCCGCCCACGTCCCACACGGTGAAGCTGATGTTCTTGTACTCCACGGTCTCCACGTTGAAGCCTGGGGAGCACAGGCTGGTAAGTGCCCTGCCCCTGCCCCCCACGCCCCGCCCCCGGGGCCGGCCCGCACCTATGGTGGGGATGGTGGTCACGATCTCGCCCAGCTTCAGCTTGTACAGGATGGTGGTCTTCCCGGCGGCGTCCAGGCCCACCATGAGGATGCGCATCTCTTTCTTGCCAAAGAGGCCTTTGAAGAGGTTTGCAAAGATATTCCCCATCCTCGCAGACAGAGGGAGCAACACTGGCCAGAGAAACCTGCGACAAAGAGCCCTGAGCTGCTTCTGCGCCACTGGGGAGCAGCACAGAGCAGGCGCCCCGGGGAGCGGATCCCCAACGGAAAATGCCCGGCCCCCCTGTCCACTGGAGCCCCCAAATCACCCCCCCGCCCCCGCGGGGAGGCTGGGGCCAAAGGCGCGGAGGTGACCAGAATCTGAGGCAGTCGCTACCAGCGTCTCTGCAAGGGACACCCCAAACCAGATGCTGCCGGCTCAGGCCCACCCCGGCTGACCACGGTGCCCACGCACACACCCGGCCTCTCAGGTGTGAGGGCCTCTTCCTGGGGCCACAGACGAGCCCAGGGGTCTCATCGGG